TACCCAGGAGGAGTGGGATTGCTTTTGTGAAGGGTTAAGAGAGGCGTGGTGGGCCATACCTGATACTCTGATCAAGAAGCTTATCTACTCAATGCCACGACGACTCAGTGCCTGTATGCGTGCACAGGGGTATCAGACTAAATATTGAGATCATGCGCAATCCAGCGCTTTAATCAGATTCAAATTTCACCGTGTGGTTGTTGAGATAATAGTGTGTGAACATTCACTCAAAAGTAGTTGTGGTGGTCCAAGTGCATCGGGCGACAAGACTTTTGTCCTCCGACTGTATGAACCCCGCAGATGCGGCTGTGCTACTCGTGCTGAGACTTACTACGAGATGGTAGAAATGGGGGGTGGCTTCTGACAGCCACATAGCTTACTCTTTGCAGGCAATGACCGAAGCTCACAAGAGATTGAGGTCAGTCCGATGTTGGAGTCGATGCGACGAGATTTACAACGTTTCCGAACACCTCACCTGTAGGCAACGTGGTACCGCTGATTCGACAGAAGAGCATTGCGTAAACATGACTTTTCCAGCACCCAATCAGGTCCGCCTAGCTTCAGGTTACCTGACCGCCGGCCATGGCAGGCATGAACATCAAAACTGCCTGCAATGCAGCGTCATCTTATTTCACTCACATCTGAACTAGAAACCCCGTCATCACAGCCTCCATCATTTCGCAAACTTGTCCGGATTGGACCTCGTTGCCAACCCTCAACAACGGAAGTCTTGTGCCTACTGACCTCCAGCCTCGGCCGATCCTGATCCTCCGTGAGTCACCTCCGGTGCGGCTACCTTCCGGAAAGAGGTAATAGCCAATCAGCGTTCTTACAGCTGTAAACACCAACCGAGGCATCATTCGAGCAGCTATCAGATCGTCTCAAAATCTCTTCGGGATACGCGACATCATTTGCGAGAACTGCGGTGTGTGCAGTGCGTCACCTGTGGTACAGTTTCATGCGTGGACGAAACAAGTAGCCTCTGACGCAACATAAGACGAGCGGAACGTTCTCACAACCAACATATACCCTTTAACCAGCAGTGCGCAAGACTATATTTCCTCGTCTTCATTCATTTCAGCTTCTTCATACTACAATCATGGGTTCAGACACAGCGACAATACCCGGACCCCCAGGGCTTCCATTCCTAGGAAACATCTCGGACATCGATGCCGAAACTCCCATTCAGTCGCTTTGCAATCTCACAGACACATATGGTAGTGCTTCTGCCATCCCTGGAAACACCACATACTGACCTGGACAGGTCCGATATGGAAGTTTAACCTTGCAGGCAACGAACGTATCGTGATCAGTTCACAAGCGTTGATGGATGAGATTTGTAACGAGGAACGCTTCTCAAAGATTATTGCAGCTGCATTAGAACAAGTCCGTAACGGTGTGCATGATGGGTTGTTCACAGCACATGGCCCACAAGAAGAGAACTGGGGGGTTGCGCATCGTGTATTGCTTCCCCAGCTCGGCCCTTTGGCCATTCGCAACATGTTTCCCGAGATGCACGACATTGCCTCACAACTCGTCATGAAGTGGGCTCGCCATGGACCTAATCACACGATTAAAGTCACCGACGACTTCACAAGGCTCACGCTGGATACAATTGCGCTCTGTGCGATGGACTACCGCTTCAACTCATACTACTCCGAAAGCATGCACCCCATGATACAGGCCATGGCCGACTTCTTGAAAGTCAGCGGAGATCGCGCGCGAAGAGACGTGGTCACACAGATGTTCTACCGCGCGGAAAGCCAAAAGTACCAAGACGACATCGAACTACTCCGAAAAACAAGTTTCGAAGTGATCAACACACGCAAGCAAAACCCCACAGATAAGAAGGACCTTCTCAATGGAATGTTGAAAGGTGTGGATCCAAAGACTGGCAAGACGATGTCGGTAAGTATTTTGAATATTGATCTCCAACTTCAAAATTGACTTTGCATAGGACGACAGCGTGGTTGACAACATGATCACATTCCTCATCGCTGGACATGAGACTACATCTGGCCTCCTTTCCTTCACATGGTACTACCTGCTAAAGAATGCTGCCGCGTATGAAGCAGCACAGCAAGAAGTTGACAACGTCATCGGCAAGGACCCAATCACTGTTGACCACCTCACCAAACTACCGTACCTGAACGCAGTACTGCGAGAGTCGTTGCGATTGTCGCCAACAGCTCCGTCGGTTGGAATCACCGCCAAGGAAGATACTGTCATTGGTGGCAAATACCCCGTGAAGGCCAATGTGCCACTCATCGCACTCTTCCCTAAGATTCATCGCGATCCTGCCGTCTATGGGGAGGATGCTGAAGAGTTTCGACCCGAGCGAATGTTAGATGAGGAGTTCAACCGTCGTGAGAAAGAGCATCCGAACTGTTGGAAGCCTTTCGGCAACGGTATGAGAGGCTGCATCGGCCGACCATTCGCTTGGCAAGAAGCATTGTTGGTAATGGCCATGCTCTTGCAAAACTTCAATTTCTCTATGGAAGACCCATCATATCAACTCCAGATCAAGCAGACGCTTACTATCAAACCGAAAGACTTCTACATGCGCGCACACCTCCGCAGTGGCGTATCCGCGACAGCTCTTGAGCGAGCCCTGGCTTCAGCTACACTCAACGATCCACCACCGGCCCACGGTGCGCCACAGGTACGGAAAGAAAAGTTGGCGAAGGGCAAGCCGATGTCCATCTACTACGGCTCCAACAGCGGTACTTGCGAGGCTCTTGCTAACAGGCTGGCGAGTGACGCCGCAAATCACGGCTTCAGAGCTGATATTGTCGATACTCTAGACGCTGCGAAGGACAATCTACCAACAGACAGACCCGTTACTATCGTCACAGCTTCGTACGAGGGCCAGCCGGCTGACAATGCTACACATTTTGTTCAATGGGTCGGAACGCTAGAGGAGAACGAGCTCAAGGACGTGACATACGCTGTGTTCGGCTGCGGACACCGTGACTGGGCGAAGACCTTCCACAAGATACCGAAGTACCTCAATCAAGAGCTGGAAAAAGCTGGCGGTACACGCCTTGTGGACATGGGATCCGCCGATGCAGCTCAAGGAGACATCTTCACAGAGTTCGAGACCTGGGAGGATCAAGTGTTCTGGCCTGCTGTACGGGAGAAGTATGGCTCATCGGAAGTTGAAGGTGAGGGCTCGCTGGAGGCTAGCCTTGACGTTGAGATCTCGACACCACGATCTTCAACACTGCGCCAAGATGTCCGTGAGGCACGCGTTGAAGAAGTGCAGGTACTCTCTGGCTCAGGCGTTTCTGAAAAGAGGCATATCGAGATCAGCTTACCTTCGGACATGACATACTCAGCCGGCGACTACCTTGCTATTCTTCCCTTGAACCCCAAGGAGAACATTCATCGCGCCATGAGATACTTTGGATTGTCCTGGGACAGCATGCTTACTCTCTCCTCGGCTGGACCTACCACCCTACCTGTTGACCAACCCATCAGTGCTATCGATGTCTTCGGAGCTTACGTTGAGCTTGCACAGCCAGCTAGCAAGCGTAATGTGCATGCACTGGCGGACGCGACACGCGATGAAGCTACTCAGAAGGAGCTTTCACGCCTTGCCGAGGATGCCTTCGCTGAAGAGATCACAGCCAAGCGAGTTTCAATTTTGGACTTGCTCGAGCGATTCCCTTCAGTTCAGCTGCCACTTGGTGTCTTCCTGAAGATGCAACCACCCATGCGCGTCCGCCAGTATTCCATCTCTTCCTCGCCGCTTTGGAACCCAAACAACATCACACTCACTTATGCGGTTGTCGATCAGCCGGCATTGAGCGGTCAAGGACGCTTCGTCGGTGTTGCATCAAATTACCTATCACATCTTGCGACTGGCGACAAGCTGCATGTCAGTGTACGATCAAGTCACCAAGCCTTCCACCTGCCCAAGGACGCGAAGAATGTGCCTGTCATTATGATCGCCGCTGGTACAGGTAAGCATTTTCCAATAGCTGTAACCGGACCAGGACTAATAACACCTAGGTCTCGCACCCTTCCGCGGCTTCATCCAAGAACGCGCTGCCCAGCTTGCCGCTGGCCGCGAGCTGGCACCCGCACTGCTCTTCTACGGCTGCCACAGCCTCGACAGCGACCTCCTTTACGCCGACCTGCTCAAGCGCTGGGAGCAGCTTGGCGCAGTGTCTCTCCGCTTCGCGTTCTCTCGCACTCCTGATCAGTCCGAAGGGTGCAAGTATGTGCAAGATCGCTTGTACCATGACAGGCAAGAGATCGTTGAGCTTTTTGAAGCTGGTGCGAAACTCTTTGTATGCGGCAGCAGGGACGTGGGCGATGGTGCACAGGAGACCTTGATCAAGATCGCGAAAGAGACCAAGATGATGAAGGAAGGCAGGGAGGTGGATGATCAGAAGGCACGGGAATGGTTTGAAGGTTTGCGGAATGAGAGGTAAGTGATCAAGACTTGACATGAAGTTCAACGGCTAACAAAGTCCAGGTTTGCGACAGATGTGTTCGCGTAATTACGGCTGTTCGCTTCTTTGTCTCAGCTCAGAATGGCCGATACAGTATCGAAACCTATGAAACCGCACATGTCTTTGCGTTAAACTACCCATACATAAAGATTACGTTTGGTCAAGTGAAAGATCGCCTTAGCTTCGCTACTGTTGGTGGCACCTACATCAATGCAGATTCCATGAGCTAGGCATGCGCTGTGTGGCTGTTTCAGTTTTCGCGATTCGCCATGGCTTAACTTTTCTTTCGAGCAGCCCATCAAACTCTGTGGCTGAACGACCAGAGGGATGTTAGTGAAAGGTCTGATCCGGTACAGACGCTTGACTTATCCCTTGGTCTCCAGCACCAAAAACCAGATTCCGTCAGCAAATGGAAGCCCGACACCAGCATAGAACCAGCCAGTCTTGGAGCCCCAGTTGCACTCGTTGGCGTCTGCCATGTACGGCACGAGTACATTCATAGCAACGCCAACAACGCATGTGCACGCAGCGCCAAATCCCGCTGTGTATGGTCGCAGTGATCAAAGTCTCGTCGGGTTCGATGTGAAAAGATACCAGAGCTGCTTAGTTCTGAACTACTCCGATCAGCTGCACGTGCGCTGTATTCATGTGATGCTTGTGAAGAAAGGAGAGTACTGCGCAGCGACTTCCCAAGGCTCGAATACCTACATGTCTTGTCAGTGGATGCAATGAACTATTACTTGAACAAGAACAAGCAAAACATGAGACTAGTGGATGCTACATTGTTCCAAACAATAACAGAAAGCAAGCCGAAGTCGTGGCGATGAAGGGAATGACAATGATGAGCAAACCAAGTTGCGTGCGATGCTTGAGTTGAGAGGGATGCTCAGATAGCTAAAACTCCTGAGTGTTTTGTTGGATTGGCTCGGAACTTCAAGAGGCTGCGGAAGATGACCGACTATTGTAGCATGTGTGCCTGTGATGGTGGACCCACGTAGGTATGTGATAGTGATGTTGGCTTCTGCAAAGGCTGGCTTCATCATGGCTTGTCCAAGCATTGGATCCGATCGCGAGTGTCCGTCATCTCCAAAGGAGTTTGAAAGTAATTCGGCCGGTCTTTTGAACGCTTAGCATTTATGTTCAAATGCAGTTAATCTTGAGATCACACACTTCTTACCATGTCAACCCTAGCTCAGAATAGATCCGATGGAGCATCACTGTCAGCTTGTGTCGTTCAGCGATATGATATCAATCCTCAGTTGAGTCCCAACGTTTCATCACTTGCCGAACCTAAACAGGAATGCCTTATTTTGTGAAGAGCAAGGGCCAACCCTATCAAGCATCCGGGAGTGTTCACTGTGATGTGACGAGCTTTGCATATGGCTCATAATACTCAGGTGGTGTGAGAAAGTGTGGATTTAGTATGCATAGATAGTCTGTAGACGACTGAGGCGTAGTCCGTTTACCTAGCAGCTGTGGCAGAAACTGCATTGAGTCTATTCTAACCAGACCTTAGACAAGACAGCGTAAGGCATCGCACTCAAGATCGGACTTCTGACACGTATAAAGGGGCATACAACTCAGGGTTGAACGAACCAGCACTCAACCAAGCGTAACGATCTCCCCAACCATCGGCTACCTACGCACCTCTTCAAGGATTTCTCTCATCAAAACTCTCTTCTTCACTGCTCTATCCGCCACGCAGGCCCAGAGTGGACGCCGCACGCCGATCGCAGTCAATGAGCTGCAGCGATGTGTTGATTGTGACGATGTCTCCAAGTATACCATCCAGGTAAGTGTGGCGTTCATTCATGAGATGGCCGAGAGGAGACAGCACTGGTATGCTCGACCAGTACTTCATAGAAAACAAGATCCAAGAGCCTGAGGCTGCGATTTGTCGACTTTACACAGGATTTTTTAGCGGCACGGCCAAACGTTACGCCCACTCTGGGGGGGGGGGGCATCTATGACTACCATCTGGGTTTTTGTATCTATCTCCGAACAGTCAGTCAAACATGCTGAGCTGCACAGGACATTTGGTCATGCGATCACTATAATGGTAAGCGAGATGATGAAAACCATCGCCTGCGCTGCATTTTCAGCGAGGACTCAACCGATGCGCTGTTTCCGCCTAACCCACACCTCCTCCCCATCCCCACTCTCACTCTTTCGTAACTGCGTCTCCCAAACTGTCAACTTGTAACTCCCCCGATCACTCCTTCCAGTAAACAAATCAAAGCTCCAATCATGCTTCGGACAGGTAATCCCCCCGCTCAACTTGACACCAAAATCCTCAATATCAAACGGTGTCCCATTACTCAATGGATACGAGGAGTGTGGACATTCCTTCAACAAGTCAGATCGTAAAGTGAGCGGGTGTTCCTCGTCTCTGGCAAAGCATCATCACGGAAGGAGGAGAGACGAGGTGGGCGTGGGCGACGTACATGGTTAACCGCAACGAATTTGCCGTTATATCGGAAAATCATGACTTGGTCCTTGGTATCGCCCTCCCCATCCTTCCAGTCATCGATTGCTACCGGACTAGCCTGCGTGGCATCCTCCTTGGGCACGTGGAAGACTTTACATCCTGGCAAGTATGCATCGTTGCAAAGGCGCTGCTGGGCTAATGCGCTGTCGGCAGTCTCGATGTTAGGATACGACACTACAGGCCCGGCGTTGAACCATGCAACTCCGCCGCGAGGAGCGCGGGAGAAGGGGTTGAACATGGACGTGGAAATAGGAAGGATGGTGGAAGGTTTGGAGTGAAGTTTGATAGGCTAGTGTTATCGATAGTGAGGCTAGAGTCATACTAACATTCGAGATATGCTTTGGTAAAAACGCTAAGCATGTTCCATTGCAAGCGTGACCATGTTCGTCTACCAAAGGCATCGTAAGGTTCGTAGAATGGGATTGCTACCGTGAAACGCCGTGCATGCAATCGCTCCCTCGCATGGCTGGGGCCATGCTCACTCTGTTTTCATCTCATGAAAGTATCCACAAGGAAAAGAACGCCATCACCCGCATTATTGTCCATCTCTTCCTCATAACAGCTGCCCCACGACCCCCAGCGCAACCCCCATGCCCACCACTATGCCCCCACAACCCTTCGTAGCCGCCGCATTCCCACTCCCATCGAAAGCCTGACAAGCCTCGACCTGCAACCCATAGCACGCCTGGCTGCTCAAACTACTACACACCTGACTCGCGCTCGCCGCCCCCAAACTCGGCACCGCAGTAATCGTCGCGCCACCATTCGGCGCACTGACCGTAACGCCCTGCGCGCCGCCCATCAGCGCATTCGTACAGCTCGCAGCATCGCTTTGGCAGCGCGTATAAGCGCTGGAGCAGGCAGCTGCGTTGGTGTAAGTGGTGGCGATGTAGGGGAAGGGGTAGAAGGCGTTGGATACCGTTGATGTGCCGGAGCCGGCGTTGGCGGTTGTGGCTTGCACGAAGGGGCCTGAGGTTGTGGAGGCCGTGGCGAAGGGGACGGTGGTGCTGGCTGTCACGGCGCCTGTAACGGATGCGCCTAGTGTTCCGGTGCAGGCTGCGCCCTGAGGACAGCAGGCGATGACGTTGTTGCGGTCGGCGGAGCAGACGGCGGTGCGCGGGCAGCAGAGGCCGGCGGCGTTGAGGTTAGTGCAGGCGTAGTAGTTGGTTGCGCAGTTGTTGTTGTTGTTCTGGCGCTTGAGGAGCTCGGCGATGCTGTCGACGGGTGTGGTGTCGTTGTTGGATGTTGGGAGCTGTTCAAGCTGCTCAAGCGCGGGCTCGAAAGCAGCGAGGGTGTCGGGCACGGCGAGAGCCAGCGGCGCAAGGAGGAGGGGCGCCAGAATGGTCCGCATGGTGGGTGTGTGTCTCAATTGAGGTTTGGATAACGTGGGTGTGGAATGCGGATGCGCCCGTGGAATCCTCAGCTGGCACCGGGTGGTAGGTACAGTGAAGGCGTGGGGTAAACAATCACCAGCGGCAATACTGAGAGCACTGATGGCGATTGAACGGATCTGAATTGCATGTAGCACCAACTGCTCGAGGCTACGACAGGGTCTCTCACTCGGTGTGTCGACGTCAACCACCTCACCTGCGCCTGAGCGGGTGTTGTTGCCCTGCCGAGCCCGTCGTGCGTTGGCAAGGTGATGAGCTAGGAGCGACCTGCATGACGTCGTCTGATTGGTCCGCGCACGCTAGACATGTGAACATGGGTTCACCACAACTCCAGCCCCCACTTCCACATGGTCAACACGCTTTCTATGTTGCAGAAATTGTTAGACGCAGTAACTGCCAGTCGCGGCATCGATCACAAGGTCTGGCGGTCATCAGAGCAAAATAAAGTGCCAATGAGCCTCTGCAGAACACTTTCGTGGTCCTTCAACACTTCATTGGCCTGCACATAGCCTCTAACTTGCCCTGGATACCTACCGTAAAATCCTCCCCATATCCTGCGGTAAAGCGTGCTTATGTTCGACTCAGCCCCTACTCAGACACTCTTAAAACCCTAGCTCTTTGGTTCTGGTCCTCCAGAACGCCAGCCTCTTACCAACACAAAATCTCACTCCCTCCACCCACCCTCCAAAAATCTCCAGCAGGCATCCGCTCCTTCGCCTCCGCACACAGTTTCTCAAGCGCATCCCCCGCAATCCGCAACCACTGCGCAGGCGCAGGCGCATGCAGCTCGCTATTCTTCCCCAGCCTTGTGCCAGGCGAATGCTCGAGCGCCCTAGCCAAAGTGCTGCGGCCGATCTGTGCCATGTTTGCGAGAACTGGAGCTTTTTGGGTAGTTTTTTTTTTAACACCGGGGTGCACGGATACAAGGGCGGTGAAGGTGTTGATGTTTTTCCAGTATGTCATTGCGGCGAGAGGGGTTGCTGGGTTAGGATTCGTGTCGAAGAGGTATAGTTTGGGCCCTATGGTCGTTCTTAGTAAGAAGGGAGAGTCGTGAAGTGAGTTGCATGCGACTCACCTTGAAACCTCTCAGTCAGGTTCCAGGAAAACATCGGCAGGTCCCTCCACAATATGCCTTCCGCAAACTTGATCACCTGTCCTGGTTTTACATGCCAGATCTCTCCTCCTCCTACTTCCAGTGTTTTCGTTGACGGCATCAGGGAGGCTTGCTACCTCCACAAGGTAGTCTATCAGTGCTTGCAGAACGTTCTCGTCGTCGAACTCCTCGGCCGCGTCAAGAACCAGGCCCTTTCTGTTGAAAGGCAACAATCCACTTACTCGTGACTTTCGCCGCTATATCATCCATGCGTTACGTCAATTCCATTGGGGGCCTGCTTTTGACGTTCGGGTGGTGTGTAGCTTGCAATTCGGTCGTCAGTACCCACATGCTTAGGAGGTAGGTGCAATACATTGTAACGGCTGCTAGCTACATCGGTAAGCGTAGTGTGTAGACTTCATCATGATTGATGTTCATGTTGTTAGGAGGTTACAGGGTGTACACACCATTAGCATTTCTTCCATTGCAACAATCATAACGAAGGAAACGATCCGACGTAGGTGTCGTATACTGTGGATGTTCTCGCCCTCCTCAAAGAGTCCCCTATAATTCACGAATCAACCTGTGGTCTCCCATTCCGTTCATACTAGTAAAGTTCTACTGAGTCGTTGCAAGGGAGGATGCTTCACATAGATAAGACAAACAAGCATTCAGTTTCGCTCAGACGAGGATGAGATCCTGAGGTTCCTCGTCGAAAAATTCGGTATCCACAACTTCCAGCCAACCAATCCTGCAAAATATATTTTTGTTTGGATCGACAGGGGTTACGATCAGGGCGCCAGTCACTTGTTGGTCTTTCTCTGCTCCTTCAACGCCACGTTTTCTGTAAATGGACCTATCATTATCTGTCCATTCGACCCATTGGATGCACAATATCGTTCCGCCCCCTTCAGTCAATGTGTCCGTGAGCATGTCCAGTATCGCGACTTGTTGCTTGCCGTCCTCTTCTGGTCGAGCTGTGACTGGCTCAAATGTGCATGGTGTGGGATGACAACACAACTGACCATGTAATTCTATACGGAGGTTCGTCCTTCGAACGCGTGTCACGCCGAGTCTGGCGCGAACGTGTAAACGATCACCCTCTAGAAAGCAGTTTATCACCTGCACCTTAGGCTTTTCCATGAAGGTGGGACCTCTGAAGCGTAGCTTCGCGTCGACTGATGCCCATGACCACGAGGGCATATTTGGCAACCGAGCAGGCTTGGATGACACTCGATGAATGGGTTGTAGGACTCACTGAAGTCTGCCATCCAAGCGAGCTCGTGCACCAAATTATGCGACCAAATCCCCTTTACCATCTTCTTCCCAGTTAATCTTGACACATCAGTTCCCAAACCTTCAACGGCTGGTAACCTGTCCGTAGCCACTGTGAGCATCTTCTGGGAGAATTCTTCTAGGAGTTTCGTCCAGACACTTCGTGTGCGTCGAGTTGTCTCGAACTCCACAATGTCTTGCGCAAGCGCTTGTAACGTTGGGAGTCTGTGCCGCTTCTCCATCTCTTCCTCATATTCGGAGGCGGTCAGTTCTGCACAGCGCCAAAAGAGTCCATCTTGCGTCCAGAACAGGGTTCGCGATGCTAGCATTTGCTCCTGTAGCACCCAACCACGCCGAGCAAGAGCTGAGCGATTTACTGCAAGCTCCCATATTGGTAACGAGGGTTTTAGAAGACCACCGGTACCTCCAGGCTCATGCGCTTCGTCATCGTTCTCGAGGTAGTAGTTTTCTACTGGCCAGCGAGCTGCTCGTCTGAGATGGAACAGCCCACCTTCACTGCTTTTCGCACCGCTTGCTGCGATTGTGAGCACAGAGTGTCTGTAAATCTTGCCCATGTTGCGGAGTTCACGCTCCCAATCTTTGTTGCTCCCTTCTTGGACTTGTACGATGCAAAGGGCGTCTACCCACAGGAATTTTACACCCAAAGCGCGCATCACTCTGATGGTGTCTTGTATGGTCTTAGGCAAGTTGCCAATTGAGATCGCTTTGAGTCTCTGAGCTATGTTTTGCTTCGTGGTACGGGCCGTATCGTTTGCGCTACCCCAGCAATAGCTGAGTGTCACGTAGTTGTGGCCTTCGGTCTTTACAAGATCCTTCGACAGAATGAGCTGTATGGTCTCTTGTCCTGGTTAACCAACACCAAGTAGCCGGGTTGGGAGGTACGCTGATTCTGTTCTGTCCTGTGGTCCGCAGCCCTGATGCATGGTGCGGCAGGTCGCGAGCCATTGAAGTGACAGATTAAATAGTGATTCGAGGTCAGTACCTCCCTCTCGGGGCTTCCGGAGGTTTGGCTTTTGGAAAAGATAAAAGTCGTGAAGCGAGCGTGCAGGACCACCGATATGTGCTCCGTGACAGAACTCAAAGCCTCTGTCTTCCGTTTCTCGTAACTCGTCGTAAAGTTCCAAGAACCAGACGTGTACGTCGCTCTCGAGGTTTTGAAGGTCTTCATTGCTGAACGCGTAGTGGACGTTATCATAGCTATAAAAACATAGCTCGCGACGAACGAATTTGCAGAGGCCACAAATAGTGTCCGCACATTTTGACAGCTCAGGATAGTTCTGGTGAATAATGAGCCGCTCCGCCCTTTGTACTGGCTGAGCATGAGGAACTCGGCCGATGCGGAGAGGTTGTGGGTCAAAGAGGCGATTTCTCATGGCGTGGCATCCTGTACAAAGCGTTTGGTCTTGCTTCTCGCTGTAGTTGGTAAGGAGGTGGAAGAATTTGGATACAAAAGCTGTCATGTTTCGGCAGGCGGCCAACAAAACTGTATCTAGGTATTAGTCAGGCAAGCGATGCTGACCAGCATTTTCGCCGTGGGAATTACAGTCGAGGATGTTCAATTGATTTCCTTTCAGACAACAGACTTTTCATATAACTAAACTTGTGCTGATATCACCAGATAGCTCGATTTTCCAGATGGCGGTTGGTGCGGCTGTATATGCTTAGTTTTGAGGACAACCGTCGTTGCCTCGCTTAGCCACATCCGCAACCCTTGCCTTGTGACGCTGACGCAGCCATGCGCTCGCATCGCTGGATCTGGCTGATCTGACTCCCGGTGGCTTCTGCTGACTGGAAACATCGAAAGACATGAGTTACGTATGCCTATGGGAGTGAGCTTCTCAGTCCACAGAGAGCAGGAAGGTGGGGCGCCGTTTCCTCCGCGGACAGAGCAAGACGCGAACAAAGGGGAAGGAGAATGACATCGTTGCATCTTTTGACGGCGAAAGCGTGAATACATCCAGCCTTGGGAGCTGAAAACATGTTATGTATCCCTCTTAAGCCGATGCACAACAGGAAATATAACACCTCCCCCTCCCTCCTTCCTCAAAGATAAGCTGAAGTCAGTCGAACCCCCGCTTAAGATTCCTTCGCCTCACCCGAAGTGAAAGAGACAACAAAGCACTTCCGAAGATCGTGGAAGCAGTGTCACCATCGATTACCATATATGCTATCTGAACAACCAAAACGCCTTCATGCCTAGTACACAAAGATGAATAAGTCTCAACGCCCAACGACCGAGTATGCTTTTCGTTTCTATGTCAAACAGAGGGACGACGACCGAAATATCTCACTCTCAACACCGCAATACAGCCCCGTACACCCCCGTACAGCACGACTGAGACTAGTCGATCCGGGTCGGTCAAGCTAGATGACCTTACTAACTCAAGCCTTCAGCCTCCTCTCCTCACACTTCACACATACCGGATCCTGACTCTCGCCCCTCAAAAAGTATCTTCCATCATCAAACGGCCCCTTGCACTCCTGCATCACATTAGCTTGCACCCCTCACGCCAGATCTGACTTCACTTACCACACAAACAAAACACCCCACGTGCCACTCCGCCCCCAGTGCCTTAACAACCGTATCCGTAACTGGCTTCCTGCACCCCTTACACTTGGCACTATACCGATTCGTATGGCAATTCACACACCATGCATACCCATCCTTCTCGACAAACGGGGTGCTGGAATCGAACGGATCACCGCACTGCGCGCAGAAGAAGTGACCGGGGTGCCACTCCGCACCACACGCAACCACGACCTCGCCTTCGATGGGCGTCTTGCAAGATTTGCAGCGCGGGGAGAAACACTCGTGGAAATCCAAGTGGCAGTAAAACCGCGGCGCCTCATCAAGCCCATCCTGCTCCTCAAGCTCCCGCATCTTCTCAGCGGTTTCCCAGCCGGGGAGGAATGCGATATCTTCACCTCTCTGCCTCGCCCGCATACGGTCCACGCGCGCGGCGTGCTTAGCGGAAGGTTCGGGGTAGAACGCGACGCACTCAAGTTTCTCGCCGCACTGGTAGCAGGAGAAGCATTCGGGGTGGAAGCGACACCCACCTGCGCTGACGATGCGTCCGCTGATGGGGAGTGCGCAGTGTGTGCATTGCGCGCCGGTGCGGACAGAGGTTGGTGTCCAGTGGGTGCGGGCGGAGGCGGGCAGGGGGCGGGTGCTGAGAGGTGGGCGGGAAGGCTGGGAGGTGCTGATGGGTGGTGCTGCACCGAAGGGCTTCTTGGTGTAGTTGCGTGGGTCTGGCAGAGGTCGGGTTGATGGAGTCGGTTCGCTGACGCTGGTGGCTGGCACGGAAGGCGTGACGGAGATTGAGGGTGCGTTGATTGTTGGAATTGGTCTTGACGCTGGAGGCTCGTTGACCGATATTGTCGGCACGTCTGTGGGCAGATTGATGACGGGTGCGTTGAAGCTGTGGCCTCTAGTCATGGAAGGAGGCTCGTTGACGGAGATTGTGGGAATGGCTTGTGTTGTCGAAACCCTGTTGAAGCGCCCTCGAGGAGGAGAAGCAGTAGTTGGAGCTGGTGAGTCGCTCACAGAGATTGTAGGGATTGGCGGCGTGACACCTATCGAAGGGATGCTGCCGGTTCGCCCATGGCTCGGGGTCGGTGTGTCGCTGACGGAGATGGTGGGAATGCTTGACACTGATTGTGGTCTGCTGAACCTGCCTCGGCCGGCAGGGCGAGGTTCGCTGACTGAAATACTCGGAACGGGTGGCTGGGGCCGGGATGATGGTGGTGGAAGTGCGTATGGATCGGCCGGTATTGGTGGTGTTGCAGATACAGTGGGCAGTGCATACGGATCCGCAGGAACGGGAGGTACAGCACTTGCCGCAGGCGTTGTCGATGGAGCAGTGGAGGCGGTGTTGACTCTGCTCAGCGGACTCCTGTTGGCAAAAGGTCCCTTTGGTGTCCCTGGACGGCTGTTGCTCAGCGGAGCAGGCGAGCTAGACGGGCCGAACTCCCTCAAAGGTGCTGGTGATGCTGTCCCGGATCTACTTGCCGGTCTGTCAAAAGGACTGGCAGATCTGCTGGCAGGCCTTTCGAACGGACTTGGTGCTGCTCCCGATCTGCTCGTTGGCCTCTCGAAGACGCTCTTCCGTGTCGGTATGATTGGCTCCGTCGCCGACTTCTCCAATGGCTTTGATGCTGGAGCCGGGCGCAAGGGCTCAGGCCCTGGATCCGCTGGCAAGACGGACTTCTCCTCCTTTAGCTCCACGACACCATAGTCCTTCTGGAAAGACACAATCGGTCTCCCAGGCGCATCCGACACCATAGTCGGTGTGGGCAGCTTCGGACTCCGATCCCTCAGACTGAACCCTGTAGCAGCGCGCAGCTCATCACTCCTGATCTCTTTCCCATCTTTCATCTTGACCTCCGGCTCATTCTCTGCATCCACCTTGCTGACTTCACTCAGCTTCGACCTGTTCGTATTAAGCGTATACGCCGCGTTCCTCGACTGAGTCGGCTCATTCTTGTAAATCTCGTATCGATCGAAACGCTTCATGCCTACGATGGGATCCGTGTTGGACCTGACCATACCGTTTCCTTTGATCGACTGGAATCGTGTGAAAGGGTTCCGCCGCATGCCCAGGGGTAAAGGAGCAGGCTTCGGAGGCTCGGCCGCCATGGGGGTCGGTGCGGGAGCAGGGGGTGCTTCTTCCTCGGGTTCTTCGTAGATTTGGTCGTTGGGGTTCTGGAAGAGGCTGCCGCTTGGTTTGCGACGAGAGCCGCTGGTTTTCCGTTGCTGAGGCAAGTCTGATGATGCTCTTACAATCTTGAGGTCGAGTGAGTTTTTGGTGGGAGATGTGCTGAAGGGGGGGCATGGTGTAGCGGACGAATCTGAGCCAGCTGCGCCGACGCTGCCCTGCAGACTGCTGCTCCTGCTGCCCGCTGAGCTGCCGATCGAGTGTCTCTTCCTCATCTTCGAGTTCGCCCGTTGCAGATCCTGCTCTGGATCCTCCTGCGGCCCCACACTGCGACTCCGCGTACGCTGCAGCTTCGGCCGCTGCAGTGCCTTGCGTCCTGGTCCGGGGTACGCATACGGCGCACTGGGGTTGTTCTCAGGCGCGTTTGGGTTGCGGTGCTTCCAGACGATCTCGGCGGCTTCGTCGCGCGCAGCCTCGTACAGCTTCTCCTCCGCCTTCAGCTCCAGCTCCTCCATGGCAGCGCAAACTTCGCTGGACCCCCGGCGCTCTGCCTTTCGCCGGGCGTCTTCGCGGTACTGCACACTCGGTGTGCGTTCGTGAGAGCCAGCCGAGTCTCGACCCCGCGGCGGCTGCACGAGGGCCTTGCCTGCACTCTCCACGACTTGGTCCAAGCTGGCATTCGACGTTCCCCCGCGATGCAGCTGTGGTGTTGGTGCGGCGGGGGTTTGCGTGTCGACTTTCACCTCGGCATCTTTCGCAGCCTGCAGCGAGGCAATCGTCGGCATCTCCTGCACGCGCGAATTTTCTCTATTCGACCAAGTCTTGAAGTGTGCAGGTGGCGGACGCGAGCCGGTTGGGCGAGCAGGGCGATTGGTGCGAAGGTCATGGAGGTAGCTCTCTGTCGCAGCGTAAGGTTGAGAACATACACTGACATGCACGTTTGGCATACTCATCTGCTGCGGCGTGTAGTACGCTCCAGGTCCTGGCGAGCTTGCACCTTCCGTGACCCAATGCGTCGGCTGCATTGGAATGGACGCGACTGTTTACTGCTGTGGTCCTCTGTTTACGCACTCAGCCACTACAAGAATTGGCGAGAAGTTGAATTTGAAGCAGCAATAGAGAAAAGAATGTATTCAGGTAGCACGCAAAGGAGCTCTCAAGCACACAGCAGCTTCTTCAGCTTGCATGGTGGCTTTGTCCATGTTGCGAGTCGACGAAGCGGAGCTGCCGTTGCCCAGCGCAACCAGCTGTTACGTCCAGACCGCCTCAGCACCTCCGAAGCTGCGTCCCTGCATTCGCAAAGTCAATCCCCAGATGATCTTCGCGCGATACAGGATATGCTGAGAATGATATATCGATAAACGTCCGTTCGAGTCTGAGTCGTGTGCGGTCTGTGTAGGATGATGCTGGCAGGGTTGCATCGTAAAATCGGTAATTGCGCTGTCGATGGTTGGTTCGGCGACTGTGCGTGAGCGAGGCTGTCCGAGCCCGTCGAACATCGCGATTTTGACCGGCGTAAAAATACTGTCTTCAAGCTAGACGCGTAGAACACTCGGTGGATATTATGATGATTGGGGCAGAAAGACATGTGCTCATAGTACAAAAGTGGCGAGTCTACCTACGCCTGCCCTCCCCAAAGACGCCATCTCTGACAGTGCTTGCAAAACGAGTGGGTATCCAACTATATCCTGATCAAAGCCCTCAGAACCCTCAGATCCCTCAGATCCCTCAGAACCCTCAGATCCCTCAGATCCCTCAGAACCCTCAGATCCCTCAGATCCCTCAGATCCCTCAGATCCCTCAGATCCCTCAAACCCCTCAGAACCCTCAAACCCCTCAAAACCACCCATCACAATCTCACACTCAGTTCTGTGGAGCTCCCGGAACATCAACATTCGCCCCGTGCGGCGTGCCCAACACATCCCACCCCATCGGCGCATTCTCCATCACACTCTCTAGCAGCGAGTTCCACGTCCCCGGCGTGATGCCCGCGTCCATGTCCTGACCCATACTCATCTCTCCACTCATCGCAGTGAACTCCCAGTCGAACCCGTTCTCGTATGCTCCGTTGTTGATTGCTCCGGAGGGGTAACCATTCATGGGTAGATCATTGTTATTGGTTGGGTATAGCGGTGCGAGAGGAGCGCAGCTGGTGCTTTGCGTTTGCGACATCGGCATTTGTGAAGATGTGAAGCGTGGTGATGCGCGGTAGGGGAGATGGTGTTCAGTCGGCTGGCCGGGCGAATATGAAGAGTGCGATGTCGAGCCGCCGCGGGATTGCGAGTTGATTGTGGAAGGGCTGGGTTGGTCGCCAGACATGTCCATGTCATTGGCGCTGTTTTCGAAAAGGAACGTGGTGGCGCCTGGCACAGCGCCTCTGTGTGGTGAGAAGTCATTCGCTAAGTCTTGGAGGTTTCGAAGGGGCACGAAGGGGGCGGGTTGGGGCGCGATCTCGATGCCACTGCCACTCGGAGCGCCGGGTGCTGATGGCTGTTGATTACTGTTGCGCGAGAATTGTGGTGCTGCGTTTGTAGAACTGGCTCTGCTGTTGGCGAATTGATTGATGGGTGCGTTCTGAGCTTGGGTTTCACGGATCTCGTATATCGAGTTGCATCCCACTGGGTCGGAATTGACAGGTATGACGGAGTTCTTCTTTTCGACCGGCATGTATGGCTTCGGGATGCCAGCGCCTTCGAGGTCGAGGTCTAGTTGAACCAGGAAGGATTCGGTCAGGGGGTTCTTGCGGCGCAGAGCCTGCATAGCTTGGAGGAGAAATTGTAGCGAAGAGCCCATCTGCTGGTCGTTTGGTCGTGTTTTGAGGTACTGGACGAACACTCTTGCTGCCACGTAGACACAGAAGGATATGAAAGGGTTCATCTAAACTCGTCATTACTCATTCAAATTCAAGTCGTGCACACTATGCTTACCGCTCCCAGATCCATATGACTGATCGTGCGCATGATGGACGCTATCTCTGCAGCTGCAGTCACGCATCGAATTTTGCTTTCGTTGCCAACACTTGCGGGCAACTGGTACTTGTCGGCTTTGAAAATCGCTGCCTGATGTAGGCAGATTGCGGAAGTCTGAATACACATGTTTGTAAACACTACGTTGGGGTCATCGCGTCCGCTGGGCATGCGTAGGTAATCAGGCAAGTGGAGCGATGTCTGAAGGAGGATCTGCTCAAGTTGGCGGTGTCGGGTCCAGAATCCACCATTGAGGTCGCCATCGTTGTCGTCTGCGGTTGGCCGGTGCAAATGAAGCAGATTGCGACCAAACATCGCCGCTGTAAGGACAATGCCGCCGAATGATTCGAGTTTTGCTGCACCCAAGGGGTTCAACGCTTGTTCGAGAGACCCTGTAGCCATTGCTTTGCTTCTCTCGAACGCGTCTTCGCTCGCAGGCAAATTCGTCATGATCTGAGGATGTGTTAGCGGATTCGAAAGACTTTTGAAGCGGCACAGCTTACGTCTCGTTCGTCAATGATCATCGGCCAGCCTGTGCCAATGCTGGCGTAGCGATCAATGGCGAAGCACATCCAAAAAGTTCGTCTCCGCTCTTCCCTCTCAGTCCAGTCTTTTGGTGGCGACAGACATTGCTTCACGTCCAATCCAGCTCCATCCAGACGGTGCAGCTGCATCATCTGAGCCAACCTCACCGCGCGGCCGGAGGACAGCCAGGCTCTTGGGAAGTACATGTTCTTGAACTCGTACGTACACATCAGCGTCCACGCCTGACAATGCGCGAGTGTAATGGTTGATTCTCCATGGCCCCTCATCTCGTCGAGCTGTGCGTACTTCCTCGCGCGGTGGTAGAAGTGTTCCTGTAGTCCGTCGTATTTGTCCGTCACAGATGCTGCCAATGTCCACATGCTATATCGCAGACATACTGGCGGTCGCATGTGAGGCGCAAGGTTCAGCGCGGCCATGAATCGCGGCCGATGGATGAGTGGTATCGATGGGTGAATCTTCGCAAAGTAGATCTGGTACCTGGTTGGCCTGTTAGACCCATGCTTTATTCCACATCTACAACCAATACTTACAGTTCCTCCATGACATCCTGAGGCGGCAGTGGCTCCTCCAGACCCAAGCCAATCATCTCCCACTGGAATTCTGGCCCCTCCCCGGTTGTGTTCGTCGTCTCATTCTGGTATGCGGGTACCGATGCTTTCCGTGCATCGAGGAGGTTTTCTAGTGACTGATCGAATGGGTTCAAAGACTGGGTCCTTGTAGTAGGCACTGCTTGCTGTATCGTATTGGCGACGTAGGCGGTGGTCGAGTCCTGACGAGCTGCGTCCTTGTTCGAGTCGGTCGAGTCCTGACTCTTGAGTAGTGTCTCAACCTGTTCTGGAAGGGAAGTGTCAGCAAACTGTCATGAAAGAGGGTAGCGCATCGGCTTACGTAGTCGTTGTTCAAGCAGCTTCACATAACCTCTCTTTGGCCCGCTCTTCTTGCGCACTTCGTCGTAAGCGCAATCATGCGACAAGCGTTTACATGTTCCGCAAATTGGTCGAGTGCCGTCGCATCGCAGCTTCCTCTTGCGACACAGGACGCAAGCTATCCTCTTCTGTTTGGCCGCGTTGTCGTTCTGCGCATCTTGGCTGTTGTTTCGAGTAAGTGATTGCCTGCCCCCATTTGCTTCTGGAACTTGCTGGGTCGGATCGTTGAAGCAGGTCTCCTCCGGCGACTCAGATCCGGGCGACGGCATCTTTGCGCCCTGAATATCTGGTCGTTGCCTTGAAGTCGAGGTGGTCCGTATGCGCTGGTACCCCCACGTAAGCAGCACGAGACAAAAGGGGTCCTGAGGTCTTGCAAAGAAGTTTGAAGAAGTCAGGCAGACACTGAAAGCGTGGGAGTATACGGGGTAAGCTTGAGTTGATTAAGGAGCTCTACGAGGTTTGGCACCGAGATAGCCCTTTCACCGCAGGGCGATCAGGCATCCCAGTTCCGTCCAGACACTACAAGGGCGTCACAAGCTGGGAAGGAGGATCCACGGCGAGGCAAGCAGTATTGTGCGTGTTAGTGGATAGTCAGCAAGCCATAGCTGAAGCTGCGCCCGTTGGCGTGATGGTCCATCTGCCGCATCCGCCAGGCGTCCACTTCGGCGCGTGTCATCGAAGTCATCCTGGACAAATAATCGCGGACGCTGTTTGCGACCCCAGCTAGCGGGATCACACAGCTCTCGGCGCCCAGCCGCATTTGAGCAATGGCAAGCATCTGCTCTCCGTAGATAACTATATAGATCCTGCTGGGGCTGAGTGAACGCAGCTGTTCACTGCATCTTGAGTTTGCTGTGTCTTCCACGCCGACCTTCGATGATACGATTGTTGGAGCGCGGGGTGTTTTAGCGTGTCTCCAGAAACAGCTAGTCATGCGACGGCTGGCAGGGGTCCTCGCTTTGTCCAAGACTGGGGTTTATCATGTTCAGGAAGCAAAGAGACCAGATGCTGTTCGTTCATGTCTCGAAGTTTGGCAGTGAAGTGTATGACGACATCGGATGCTTGCGATCGTGGTCCCATTCACGAGGTTGACAGACTTCATCCCTGCACTCATAGTTTCCCAAGTATCGTTGTTAGTCGGCCTTCCATCAAGCTGCAATCATAAGCATGTTGATGAGTTGGTAAATCCAAGGGCAGCTTGTGGTGCAGCCATGCAATATATGATACAGGTTCGACAGACAGATATTGATACACGACGCGCTCAGCTGGCTTATCTCGGCCTGCGCTTGCCCTGGTTTCGTGGTCGGTCCTGGACCAAGAATGTGTGCTTGTTCCTCTTGTATCGTGTCTTGTAACCTCCCTTGGCCGGAGTGCCCCAAGGACTGACTGGGTGCACTCGACCCTTCGATTTACCTCGTCCACCGCCGTGAGGGTGATCAGCTGCTTAGTGTTAGTGTTGGGTGTCCCAAGAGATTGATACGAGTACTGACCTGCGTTCATGGCGACACCACGAACCTCTGGTCGCCTTCCGAGCCACCGAGAACGTCCAGCTTTGCCGAGCGATTCGAAGTGCTTCTGAATGTTGCTAGCTACACCAATCGTGCAGCATGCGTCCGGAGAGACTTTGCGGATTTCGCCACTCTGCAGACGGATAATGACGCTCTTCGTCTCCACTCCCTTTGCCTTCTCTACTTCTTCCTTGTTCACGATGATGGCGTATGTGCCTGCGCTGCGGCAGAACACGCCTCCACCCTGTGTCTTGGAACCAACATTGAACACTTGCGAGCCGAGCGGTACCATGTGGATAGGCAGGCAGTTTCCTCGCGCTGCTGTCTTCGCGGCGAGCATACCGGGGTCAATGGTTCCACCCATGCTAGCAATCAAGTCCTTTGGGATACCAGTCCTGAAGCTCTCCACCTCATCTCCTGCACGCATGCCATCTGCAGCAACGATGTATGATTTCTCACCCGTCTCGACTCGTGTGATGAGGGCGAGATGCGCGCTCCGGTTGGGGTCGTATTCTATCCGGTCCACTATGTGCTTGCCGGGCAGATACCGCTTGTAGTCGACGATGCGTATGCGCCGCTTGTGTCCTCCGCCCCTGTGTCGCACCGTGACCCGTCCGGTGTTGTTCCTTCCTCCCAGATGCTGACCCTTCCGGGCAATGGTGAGCTTGAGGAACGGCCGCCCCTTCCACAAGTGGTCGTTCACGGGGCGCTTGAGATGACGTAGACCGGGTGTGCGCGGCTTGTATGTGCGCAACGGGATGAATCTCTCCTTCCGGGGGCCCTCGGCGGTGAGCACAGCGCCATCAGCGGATGCGGTGGGCGCAAAGGACGCCGGCTTGATGAGCTGCTCGAAGCCCTGCGAGTAGTTGCGGGCGCCGAGCAGCGACTTCCCCAGCCGCGAGGGCTGGAATCGACATATCCGGGGCTGCAGCATTGTGTCGAGGTGTGCCGGGGGGCGTGGCAATGGGAACGGCGGTGCAATGGGCGGGCAATGGGCGGGCAATGGCCTGCGACGACGGGCGGCGATGGCGTGTCGTCGCAGGAGAGCTGCTCGAAAGAAAATCAGACTGCGCCGGATGCGGGCTAGCGCAAAAGGGCAGGCACGTTGCTGGGCCAGTCGCGCCGGCCTCGTCGCTCCCTCTCGAAACTGCCCTTCACCTGCAGGCCCGGTGCATCTGCAATCGCGCCGCAACTTCTTCTGCGCAGCCTCTCGACTCGCTCTGCACCCTCTCCAGTTCGCTCTCCTCAGCACCCGGCATCTATTACGCGTTGGTTTCGGGCGTATCCGCAGGTAAGACACTCCCTCCTCTCAACTACGCGCGCTGGTGGTCGAGTGGGTCCCGCAATGGGCACACGCCAGCCTCAGAGTTCACGTCTCCCGCGCGTTGTTGGCGCAAAATTGAACACGTGACTTACCGCACACCAAAACAAACCAGCGGCTACATCTACTTCCATCAACACACACCTTGGTGCAGCCCCGACTCTCGACCTCAGCACCTCCGCCCGCAAAGCACTCCGCACCTGTGCACGTTGGAGCTGGACTTCTCTCGCGTCCGTCTACGACCACAGGCGCTGCCATCCAAGGGTTCGTCGCGCTCATCCCGCACGTCACATGATCGCTGCCGCCCGCCATATACCGTGTTTGGTCTGCCAGTACTCGCAAAACACCGTCGAGGAGTGTCTTTCGCGTGCTTGGTGCTCTTGCAGTACTGTCAGCCTTCACCGTTTGACGCGTCTGCTACATGCTCTTGCCTGGATTCGATGCTAATGCGCGCAAACAGTACATCATAACACGACCCTTTACTCCATATCTCGCCCTACGACATAGCCAGTCTTCTTCGATACCACTCTAGCCTTGATCAGCATATCTAGTATTGCTCGTAATGCCTCCCGCAGTACGTTCCGTCTTCCTCCACGTTGACGCCTCGTCCCAAAACGTCATGGCGGGGATCCACGACTCACGCGTCAAAGCTTACTGACACGTCCCATCAGGTCAGATCAACACGGCAGCGTGCTGTCACCAACGAGAACGATGAGAACGCTGGTCCTACGCGTATGACGCGTGCAAAGGCCGCTGGCCTGGGCGCGACTGAGCACGCTGGTGACGTGCCTAAGAAGACGCTAGCCACCAAGAAGTCCACAGCTACATTGAACGGTGCTACACGAACACGAACAACGCGTGCCGCCCTCGGCGATGTCAGCAACACCATCAAGGTCGACGGTCTCGGTGCCGGCGCGAAGGATGGCAAGAAGCCTGCCGCTTCCAAGGGCGCCGTTGCCAAGGCAGCGCGTCCTACGGGCGTCCAGAAGGCATCTCAGGCCGCCAAGGCCCCGGCCGTTCTGGGACCAAAGACTACCAACAAGCGCGCCGTCGCTGCTGACGCCAATAAGCCCGTCGGCAAGAAGCTGAAGGCACCCCCAGTGGAGCAGGACACAGAGGAAGAGGAGGAGAACGTGGTACCAAAGGAGGAGGAGAAGCCCGCCAAAGTGAAGAAAGAGACCAAGGTTGAGCCTGTCGAGGAGGAGCTTAAGACCAAGCGCGAGGAGATCGTCGAGGTCTTCCCCGACGAATACGTTGACCTGGACAAGGAGGACATCGATGACCCATTGATGGTCTCCGAGTACGTCGTTGAGATTTTCGAGTACCTGAAGGAGCTCGAGATTGCTACCATGGCGAACCCCGACTACATGGACAGCCAAAACGAGCTTGAGTGGAAGATGCGTGGTATCCTGGTCGACTGGCTGCTCGAGGTCCACACTCGCTTCCGTCTTTTGCCCGAGACCCTCTTCCTTGCGGTCAACATCATCGACCGCTTCCTATCATCGAAGATTGTTCAGCTCGACCGTCTCCAGCTGGTCGGTGTTACCGCCATGTTCATTGCCTCCAAGTACGAGGAGGTCCTCTCGCCTCACGTCCAGAACTTTCGCCACGTTGCCGATGATGGCTTTACCGAAGAGGAGATTCTCAGCGCAGAGCGCTTTGTCCTTACCGCTTTGAACTACGACTTGAGCTACCCCAACCCCATGAACTTCCTCCGCAGGATATCCAAGGCCGACAACTACGACATCCAGACCCGCACGCTCGGCAAGTACTTGCTGGAGATTGGTTGCCTCGACCACCGCTTCCTCGCCCACCCTCCAAGTCAGGTCGCTGCTGCTGCCATGTACCTTGCCCGCCTGGTACTTGAGCGCGGACCTTGGGACGCCACGCTCACACATTACTCTGGCTACAGTGAGGAGGAGATCCAGCCTGTCCTGCACCTGATGATCGACTACCTCTCCGGCCCAGTCCTCCACGAGGCATTTTTCAAGAAGTATGCCAGCAAGAAGTTCCTGAAGGGTAAGTTCCATACCAACATCTTCACCTTGACATCGTTGCTAACTTGTCATAGCCTCCATCGTCCTTCGCAAATGGGCTAAGGAATACGTTGTCGAATATGGTAATGCCCTGCAAGAAGAGTCCTCGCAGCCCCGTAGCAAGCGCTAAGAGTTCTTTTTCTTAACAGGCAACCCTGGTCGTGTCCCCAGCATCCACAGCTACTACCCACCGTACCGCCCTGACGGGTACATGTGATGGCAGGATGCTGAAGGCCACTATCAGCAAGCCACCTTGTTGCATCCGACTACTTCTTCATGTTTGCATCTCGGCTTCCAGGGCCTACCATCTTTCGGTCGGCGTTAATAAAAGGTGTGCAATTGGTTATTCTACCATCTGTTCTTGGCTCCATCTTGCAGCGGAGTTCGCGGCGTCATTTCATTGCGGCGGCGTTTTCACTTTCAGCACTCTTATCATCATTTCCCTGATAGCGACTCTGGATACTCGCTCATAGCACTAGCGACTGGTATACCATGATGGTGAGATACGAAGGCTATTCCTTGGTGGATACGTGCGGCGTGTGTGGGTACATTTGCACTGGAGACACGAGATATCACACGCGGTTGTATGATTAGCGCTTTCTGCGTCGCAGGCGCAATTGAGGTTTTCAAAGTTCAACTATCGTCCAGACATGTACTTTTTTGGTTACGTGATGTGTGAGGGCAGGTACTCGAGTCTCGAGCTTCATACCAAGTCCAGGCGCTGAGACAGCTGTCCTGCCGGCTGCAGTCGCGTCAAGCTTCACGCGCCTTTCTGCTGTACGACATACGTGCATCGCGTCATCAAGTTGCGACTCCACGATCGTGACGTGACAGGTCGCGAACTCGGACGCGACTCGAGGGCACGGGGCTTGTTTATGCATTACACATCATGCTCACGGTCCAGCCCAGCCATCTTGCATCGCTGATCGATCGCGTCTGGATCCTTGACCTCGGCAACATCATCAACAACACCAGCGCTAACCCTTTCCAACCCACCACTATCAACCTCACTTCATCCATCGACAGTCGTTCAAGCAGTTTTATTGAATCATCGCGCAGCAAGAGACGGATTACGTAATCGACCTCTTGGGGAGGCAATTTCGAAATGCAAGAGACAGATCTATGTTACCCGGCGGATGCGTGTCCGTTCTGCGCCATCGCTGCTGCGTATCCTGACCCGCATTCTCAATACCATTCGAGACCAAGACTGTGGACTAAGAAGAGGAGTCAAGAGGAGGAATTGCAAGATGCGGTGCCCGCGGAGGAGGAATGCAATGTTGAAAAGACAAGTCCGAGCAGTTTCTTGGTGATGCGGACGAGGGATGTGGTGGCGTTCTTGGATATCTTGCCTATGACGGGCGGTAAGTCGCATCTCTAGGTTGTTGGTCGTGCAGGCTTGTTTGGTCCGTTGTGCGAATGATTTGGATACGAAGGGTAGTGGCCGAGGGTGCGAAGACTGGTGAATGGTGTAAAGGCATTTTTCGGATGCAGAGGATGGAGGGCGCGAGTGTAGCGGGAGTAGCCCTGAAGTTGTTCTCGAATATTGAGAGGGTCTTAGACTGACGCTTATGTGCAGGGCATCTACTGGTCACAACGCGGAATCACAAAGTTAAGGTGGCAGATATGGAGGCGCAAGAAAGTCGCGAAATCGGTAGGTCTGGACGAAGCAATAGGCTCCGGATGGTAAGCTGATGGATACAGGCTTTTGGCTCCCGTTCCTAGCGAGGACTGTAGCGAAGGTTACCGGTGTAACAGACTACAACATTGTACAAAACAACGGGGCGCGAGCAGCGCAGGTCGTACCACATGTACATTTTCACATAATACCACGGCCAGCGACGATGCCGGAAATCAAGAGCAAGAGCTGGACGATGTTTGGGAGGGGGCAGCGCGATGATCTGGATGACGAAGAAGGAGCGCAGATGGCGGGCGAGATGAGGAAAGTGCTGAGGCAGGAGATTAAAAAGCTGGGTAAGAACGATCCGAAGTTATAATGAGATGACATCACAAGCAGCCCAACTTTAGGTGCGCAAACCTTGGGCGCGAACTACGGAAGCACGTGGTTTGGTCTTGAAGACACATCTACTCTGATGAGATTACAGCTTCCTGTTCCGTGTCGTTTGATTTTCCCAAAGAACCTCTCAACCTAGAGTTATTCAAGACGGGAAGAACCTCAGTACAATTAATCCGAACCCCTGATAAAGTCGACAATGAGGGTCTTGTTGCTCTTTTCACGGAGCAGCGTATGCCTTCGAACATACTGGAGGCACACGTTCGCACAGAACGAGGGCCAAGCTTCGTGCTTCTCAACGAATATGCTAACTTCAATCTCACCGCAGCACAGAGCCCAGGATTACGCTGCACAGTGGGGTTGTTGATAGGCAAGAGTAAGCGCCGAGGGCTTCACGTAACTCAGAGCTGCATATCCAAGCCTCGCAGCTGTAAAAGTGCACTTGTGATTATACGACGGATAAAACGCTCATTACATCGCTTCCCCTTCGATACCACAGACAGCACGGCTTTCTAGACGATGAATCGTGAGATCACAGCGACCCTGGCTGTCGAGCCTACTGTCCCTCCTACCGAGAGAAATAGTCAGTATGCCAACGAGGCTGAAACCCTCATTCTAGACCCGATGCCGTTACCAGAACAGTCTCCGATGCTCGAGCGAAAGTCTGTTATCGAGCCAGTCCCTATGCGATCGATCGCAAAGCTGATCTTCTCTACTTGGCTGTTCAAAATCATTTCCACTTGTACAGCTCTCGAAGTTCTTACTGCTGTAGCTGCCGTCTTAGCTGTTCATAACGGCCGCCTCAATCCGGAGTGGCGTGGTGGTATCACACTCAATACGGTGGTTTCCTTCGGCTCCATGCTTTTTCGTATTAGCTTGATGGTGCCTGTCGTTAGCTATATCAGCCAGTTGAGTTAGATATGGTTTGCTCAAGCTTCAACGGCCTCTTTGTGATATGGTATGATTCGATCAAGCCAGTCGGAGTCTGTACGGCAGCTTGAGACTGCTGTTCACTTACCACATCAGGTAAGCACACAACGGTCATTCATGCGGCGGACAGTGCTTACTGGGTATGGGAACCTTCACCTGATCCGCCATTCACGTGTTCAACGGGTAATTGTACCTGGGATCCATTCCCTACCTTAGCAATTGCCTTTCGATGCAGAGCTGCTCCGGAACAGTATCGTGTCAAATGTCCAGTTTTTCAATACAACTCCCAACACTCGATAGTTGTGAGATCATCAGCAACTATCAGCCCATAAATTCGACCTGCTTAGCGATAGCAAATCAGACTGTCAGCGTGCCCAGCGTGAATGAGACCTGACCAGCGGTCCTTCACTTTGCTGTAGCGTCCGACAACTAGTGGAGTCCACACTACCCGCAAGAGAATGACCCTATGGGAAGGCGCGCGGATATCGAGTGGATACGTGCTACCAAGTTGCCTCTGGATGAACAGACTAATGGCAACGACCATGGCTTCGTTGCACTCAATAACTCTTTCTGTGCAGTAAGTTGTATACCTGTGTTCACGTCATCAAAGCTCTAGTAAAGGGTGGTATGTATAGCGAGAACATCCTTCAGGAAATTATCAACGACACGCTCAGTCTCGCACTATCCGAGGTTGAGAGAGGTCTCATGGCGTTTATTACGCGAACCCGCTCTATAGCGTGGCTTAGGCCTATGATCCTGGCAACACACCCTCAACCGACTTCACACTCAATATCTTGGGAACTATGCCAAGTATAGGAGAATTGACAAAAGCCCACATTCTCAGGGGTACGCTGGCCCTGAGACAATTAAAAAACGATCTATTTCACTCCCAATCTTACGGATATGGCGCACTCCGTAGCGCGCCGTACCAATATTGCACTTCGCTCCTTCCACACCTTCCAAGAACTGTAAGCGAATCCAACATTGCCGCAATACCACGTCTCGGTACAAAACCGTGTGCCTGAATCCGTGAGACACGACGAGATTCATGTGGGTGTTCGGTGGGCTTGACTCGCTCTTCCCGCTACCCTGTTAGTCCTTGCGATCGTGCTCTTGGTAGCTACCATATGGGTATCGAGGGCCGAGGAAGTAGGAACTGGGAACAAGCAGAATTATCGAAGTGTAGATGTGGTAGCATATGGATGATGGAGGGGGGGGGGGGCTGCGACTCAAGAATTCAAGCCTTGGTGTTTACAAAGTCGAACAGATATCTTCATTGGAACGAATATGACACGACCTTCACTTTACGAAAATCGAAGAAAGTAGCCTTTGTATTTAAATTCACGAGTGCCAGCAAGATCTCAGTAACGCACGAAAGTGAATGGTAATGTAGAGATCAGAACCATGGTACACTCCTTATGTTACCAATATCGCCAGCCTCTTGGAGTATATATTTCAAATCATCTGAAAGACTGCACTCTCGGCTCGCCTCAAGCAACGCACAAATATTCACAGTGTACTGAAGTCCTTCAGAGTACTGGATCGGCAATCTGATATACAAGGTATTGGCCGGCGCTTTCCGATAGCGGACAAATGTTTGGTGATAGCATGTGCTTTTTACACATCTCGAAATTATTTCGGGGCCTTGAAAACTAGGCACTGCGTTGATAGGATGGAACCTGGTAGCGAAACACTGGCAGCTAATCACCTTACAATACTAGGTGATCAACGGTACCGCTCACACAGTCATCAACCCTGGAGAAACTTGTCCAACATGTACTTTGGTTTATTCAGTTGATCACCAACCTTTCACACAACCGCAAACTCAATCCCGCACAAATTCACCACCATGGCCACCACCACTCGACACCCTCAAGTCTTCATGCCCTTCACCGGACCACTTCTACATAACCTCACCGCTCTATTGGGTAAACCTAGCGCAAGGCTTCACCAACCTCCTCTCCGCTCCCTTCGCATTGTTTTATTTTTGGAGATATGTTCACTTCCCCCGCAATGCCACCTTCGCGTCTCTCGTCCACACAAAGGTTTCTCCACGCTGTAAAAGGCATCACAGCCATTATAGCCCGCGACCTCGATCTCGTTATCGGTCCGCCTCTGGAAAACTTGTCCGTGGCGCTCGAAGAGTCTGCAGCGGATGTTGTGGCTTCCCTGCCGGCGCGAGAGCATATGAGGATGGTTTTTGGGATTAACTTTAGTATCAGTGGTGAGGAGTGGGAGATGGTGGATAAAGAGAAGGAGGACTGATGACTTGCGGTACCTCCTTAACTCCGGCTTGAAGAAAGAGCCAGGAGTGGAAAAAGGCGAGGTGGATCATAATTAAACACTCGAAGGGGCCCTTCATACCATTTTCGATATCTGCTCTTCATTCATATTCCTTTCACGATATATCCTAAGGCCTTCCCAACCCTTCACTAATACTCAAAATCGTTATCAACACTCGGCCCCTTACTCTTCTCTTCACAATATATCCTACACCTCTTCCCAACCTTTCACTAATATTCAAAATCATCATCAACACTCGGCCCCTTACTCTTCCCCACACTCTCCTGTCTTTGATACATCTCGGCGATCATCCTCGCACTGGACGCTTGATCCGGTTTCTTATCATCCCTCTCCTTGATGAACCTCGGAAACCTCAGCGATACACCCTTGCCACCACCGCCGACCTCCGCAGCCGCCGCCTTATACCTTGGAGATAGGGTCAAATCGGCAGTCTTGACTTCCCACACGTACCGCGGCTCGAACCATACATCAGGCTGGTCTTTGTTGCCGGCGCTGTGCGTGTAGAATGGTTTTGGGCGGTCGATAACGATATCCGAGAGTTGTTTGTGGAATTGCTCGAGGATAGCTTCCGAGAAACCTGTGCCGATATTGCACACCGTCTCGTACTTCTCTGTATTCGGATTGTAGCACGCAAGCAAAAACGCACCATACCAGCTCGTTCTCTTGCCCTTGCCGTAGTAAGCACCTAGCACGACCAGATCGAGCGAGTCGCCGACGCCAGCGAGGTAGTCCTTTTTGACCTTGAGCCAGTTCTGCGAGCGCTTGGAGGGCTCGTAGTAGGATTCGGGCCCGTCGAGCATCTTGACCATGAGGCCTTCGCAGCCTTCTTTTACGGAGTCTTCAAGGAGCGTTTGGATGGTGTCGAGGTCGTTTGTGTTGCCGAATTTGGCGAGCGCGAACTCGCCTTCGACGGGAATGAAGGCGCTGTTCAAGGCTTCGCGGCGCTCGCGGAAGGATTTCGTTACGAGGGCCTGGGAATATTAGCAAGTGCATACGACATAGATAGGAGGTGACGCACCTCGCCATTAAGATAGAGGATGTCGAAAGCGAAGACGCAGACTTTTACCTTCACATCCTCGACCTTGACATCCTTCCTCTTTCGTGTCATTAGTTGCTGGAAGGGTAGAACCTTCTTCTCGACCATGTCCCAGGCAACGGTCTCGCAGTCGAGGACAAAGCTCTTCGTCCCTTCCTTGACCCAGGTCGGCAGCTTCGCAAGGATGTCTGGGTACTTCTTCGACAAGTCTTCTGAATTGCGCGAGAAGATATTGGACACACCACGATCACTTGTACCAGCCGAAGGAGCTGCTGTCGCCATATCTATCGCGGCGTCGTGTGCAACGAAATGTATCTGTGCCCGCTCGCCATCGTACTTGTACTCGCATGTAAAGTCCTTGCCTTCAAAACGATCGAGTACTTCGGTGATTGACTTTGTCGGTTTCGCAAGCATAGGCTTCAACGGTACACCAGGTTGTAACCTGCAGTTCTCGCGAAGATTTGACAGACCATGCGCGAGCATTGCAGGGACAATTACCTCGTAGCTGGGGAGCTCGCTGTGTATATGTTAGCAAGACCATGAAGCTCTTTTCCGAGAAAGATCAACATACCTGTAGACAGTCTTCAGCGTCGACTCAGCTTCTGCCAAGTCCGCCGTGGACGGTGTCTTGCCCTTCTGTGACATCTCATGGAACTTCACCGCTTGCGCAAGCGACACTACCACGGTCTTCTCCGCGAGTCCCAGACGAAGCTTACCCTCCAACGTTCGGACGATGAACTTCGCTTCACTCGCACCACCCTTGTTCTCCTCGATATCGACGTGTTTTCCAGCGTTGTGCGCGTCGGCTGCTGATAACAGTTTCTTGATGCCATCGACCTTCCGTCCTTGAGCACCCTGACCTTCGGTGGTAGTGGCAATAGCCATCAGACCTTTGTGGACACCTGCCACTGTCAAAGGTTTAGGCTTGAACATGGTGGGCTGCTTCGATCGACTCTTCGCTGCCACCAAACCAAGATCACCAATCTCTTGTTGGTCGCTCTTGATGTGCTGCAGGCTTCGCCCGGTACTCTCTGAGACAGCTTTCATGATCAACGACTCGCCGATTCCGAGTTCGATACCGGCGTAATCTGCTGCAAGCTTGTTGATCATGAGCATGACCGTTGGTAGGAGGTCTGAAGGGGTCAATCGCATCACTTGACGCAGAAAGAGCGAACAGTGGGCCATGATCTCGAGTCGCTTCGTTGTCATCTCGATTTTGGAGAATGTCGTGCAGAGCGCAGCGTACGGCACTGGCTCACCAGGTTTCCAATCCGGATACAGATCCTTCGTGTTCGAGGTGAGTGTAGTCTGGACCTTCTTACGGGCCTTCGTCTTGACCTCCTCGGGCTCTTCACCTGAGCTGAGTATATCTTCTTCCTCTTCTTTCCCATCCGACATGGCATCGTCCTCTGCGACTGGTGTTGGTGACTTTCGTGCCTCGTTCTTGCCCTTTGCAGCCTTCGTTGGCTTCGATGCCTCCTCATCCTCCTCATCCTCCTCCTTCTTCTTCTCCTCCTCCTCTAGTTCGTCCTTAACGGCTTTTGGTGCGGCAACTGTCTGCTTCGGTGTCGCAGCGGGCTTGTCAACTTTCTTTGGCGCTGGCTTAGCCTTTTTGGATTTGGTCTCCTTTGCAGGTTTCCTTCGCAGTCGCTTTGTGGGAGGCTCATCCTCCGAATCTTCCTCTTCCTCCTTGGCTTGTCGCTTCTTACCAGCCTCAGCGGGTGCACTGTCTACCTCCATTGCCTCGCCATTTACTTCTTCTTTGGCCTCCGCATTCGACCCTGCCCTTCCACTGGGCTCTGGTTCCACCTCTGCCGGCGAGGATTCGGCTTCTTCTTTCGGTTCTGCATCTTTCCTCCCGGTCTTGGTCTTGGTGGAGAAGGATAGCTTCGACTGCTGCTTCGCTGGTGCGCCGTTCTTGCCGAAGAACTTCCTGTCAGAAGGGTGTCAGCACCAACACTGTACGTGCAGTACAATTGGTGATCTTCGTCGCAACCAAGTGTAGTCTGAGAAGACTTGACGTACCCCAGAGTAGCCTGCTTGGGCGGCATGGTCACTGAGTTGCAGAGCTGCGACCTCTCACGTGGGAGGCGGCGAGAATTCACTGAAGAGAGCAATTGCGATCGAACTGGCTGGAGCGTGCGACAAGTCAAGCGAGTTGGGAGAGCAGTGCAGCTTGAAGCGCTGAAGCGAACGGGCATGCTCTGTCTTTGCAATGCGCACAAGATTAGGCTACACGCGCGCAGATAGGCAGGCGCGTCTCGAGACGCGTCGAGTTCGGGGACGTGCCCCAGGCAGCGCGGAAAGTGCTGACATCACTCCGGAGTCGTGGCTCACCATATCAGCTACTTTGCATATCGCCGCCTACGCAGAACAGTCGCAACACCTTTTGCATATCTCCTGACAAGTTGAAAAATATACCACCCTGGCGAAATATCTTTGGAAACCCCCTCCTCCTTCCTCTCCCACACCATCTCCGCCCAGCATGTCGCAACCCTACCCAGCGCCACGCCTCACGCCACAATTCTGCTTCAACCAGACCGCACTGCGAGGTCCGCCCCCCTTCTTGTCTCAAAACCGCTCACTAACTAATACAAGCTCCCTGGCAGACTTTCTGCGCATATCACGCTCCACAATAGACGATTCGATAACCCAGAACCTCAACGCCTTACTTACGCCCGCACAGCGCGGCTTCGATCCCTCCTCAACATCTACACGCCAGCTCAGCGGCTCCGCGCGCTCAATACCCCCAGCGCAATGTGATGAATTCAAGCAGCGCGTGCTATTCCCGAGTTGGAGCGTACGGTCCGATGTGCTAGACTACTGCGCAGGCGTAGCCACCTCCCCAGACCCCGACGACCCAGACAGCGTGCTGCGGCAGATTGAGGATAGCAAGGCGAGGGAGAGGGTGGTGGATGAGAGGCTAGATCCGTATTCGGGAAGGTACTTTCCGAGAGAGGCGAGGACGGAGAGTCTGGCTATGCTGATGCGGAATGAGAGGGCTGTGGAGAAGATTATTCGGATGCGGACGTGGGGGCTGATTGCGGAGAGGTGTGGGAGTGAGCATGTTGAGGCGGATCAAGCGTTTGACGAGTGGAGGAAGAGGCAGTGAAGATGACGGCCAGGGAAAAGGACTGGAAGTGGCTGCGAGGTAGATGCATGAATGTTCATGACCTGTTCTTGGGCGTGTGCATGCTGACGTTGCGGGAGCGTAGCATATGGCCTGACGTCAATACTTCCTGGTGTACATATCTTGCAGATAAACTCAACTCTGAACAACAGCTACGTACAATCGTGATCCTTCAATTGTAAAAGTGCTTCCTGCAGTCATGCCCGTAAGGTGAGCGAAGGTGGTCGTCGTGCTGCGCTGCTCATGATTCACAGACGATGGTGAGCCAAGACGGTGAAGGACCAAACTCCTGGGCTTTATGGTTGCAGCGACACGGTGACAAGTAACGACCATACGACCATGACTGAGAACACTTATGCAACGAATCGCGGTTGCGCGCTGCATCTCTGCAAAGCCTCGACTGAGCAGCAAAAAAAATTCTGTCGTCGCGCAGTAGCAGCACCAAAACCATCCTCAAGCGCAGCACCCAGTGCCGCTTCTCAATGATAGCTCATGCCAATGATATGCATCGCCAGTGCCCTACTCTCATCCATCTCAGTTCCAAAAACACAAGAAGGTAAAAAGCGGTATGTCCCACACCATCCCACAACTCCGGTCCATCTTTTCACGGACAGCAATTGGTAGGAAGACGGTCGGAATTCTTCTACGGGGCCGGGAACGGAGGACTATTCACAGAGAAAAAGGAATAACCCTCAGCAAGCCGCTTGCGCGGAGCCACGATATAAGTAACTTAGGAAGTTACCTACTGATGTAGGAAGAACAGAAGAGGGGGACGGGGGGAATTGGGGTTTTATACTGGTGGAAGAGAAGCTTGGACCACGGCTTGGCAGGAAATTTTGGTTTTGGTTGTGGGGCGGCGAGGCTGGTGCTGGATAGGCAGAGATGGGGCGTGCAAAACGTGGAACAGCTTTGACTGCATTTCAATTATGTAAAAAGAAATTAGATCAGTTTCCGAGTACACGATTTCATGTCAAGATGCACGGCAGGGACATTTAGGTTTAGGTGACAGGGTTCACATATGCCATTTAAAGCTACATTACTGCCCATCCTTCATCCATTCGAGATCGTGATTCCGTTAGATCGTTACCAGAACAGGCCATCTTTCAAGAGCCCGCTGCAGCGTGACTTGACGAACCCAGCAACCCAGACGACAACGCTCTAGTAGAGGCGCTTGGGGGGGCTCATGGTGGCCTTGATGGTCAAGGAGCCCACGTTCTGCCAGCCCTTCTTCAGGAGAGAGACGAGGTAGTTGATGGCCAACATGATGTTGCCGATCAGCTCATCCTCGGTCATGCCGACGTTGCCGACAGCGACACCCATGCAGAGAACCTTCTTCAGCTGGAACTTGATGGTGGACTTGACCTCGGTCATCTTGTTGGCGAGGTCCTCAGCGTGAGAGACGGGAGTGGGGAACTTTCCGGCCTTGGACAGACCGGGACCCAAGAGACGGGGGATCTGCTTGATCAAGGCGTCGGAAGCCATGAAAGCATCGTACTTGCGTGCGAGCTTCTTGATGAGCTTCTTGTTCTTGTTGAGCTTCTTCAAGTCCTGCTTTTGTGTCAGTCGTGTTCGTGCGCGCTGCAGATTTTGAGGGTACTCACGTCGGTGGACATAGCATCGACGCCGTGGTGCTTGGCACGATCGATATCGTGCTGGTCACCGAGAACGCAGATGGCCATGCCTGGAAACTGTCAGCCTTTGCTCTTCCGGTGCTCGATGCGCGCGCGGCTTACGGGGACGGGGAACGGTGGGGAGCTTGACGGTTCCAGAGAAACGCTTGTCACGCTGGGGGTCGTAGTTCTTGAGGCCGATTTGGAGCTCGACGGTCTCGAGGAAGTTCCTCTTCTTGGTCTCGTTGGAGTACTCAAGGAGCTCCTTGACATTCGTGCGAACGCCGGCGACAGAGATTTTCGACATGTTGGCTGATTGTCTCCCAAGGGATGATTCCTTTGGTGGCTCTGGTGCGGTGGTTGAAGAAGAAAAGACGGCGGGGCGGCGGCGGCGAAATGCAGAGGTGCGCGTTCGTAAGCGAAAGTTCGTCCGCACTAGTCGCTGATTGGCCGCTCACCATCTGACAGAACGAACAACAGCACTGCACCGAACTGAGTTCTCGTCCAAGCTGACGCGGGTACCATATCTCACAATCACTGTAGATACCCTGGAGATGTCGCCGAGGTTTACTCACACCGACTGGTGTTCAGAAACGCCATTGCGACCACGTGTGAGATTCATTCAAGTTCCATGGTGATAGCCAAAGACTTTCAGACATGTGTAGTCGAGTAGACGCACTCAGAATTATGGAAGAACAAGCATATCCCTACATTGCTCCAGCTAACCGAAGCTGTCCAAATATTATACATATCGCTTTTGTCCCAAGCCAAACCACGCACAGAAATACCACGCCATGCAATGCCCATAACTCCTCGCCATGAGAGTCGTCCAATAAAGATGATAAGATGCTGTAGGAACATGTCGTGAACAACGTTCCCACGGGTATCGCATCGGAAAGATCCCAACGCCAGAACCGTACCATATCCAGGTCGAAGTGATATGTACCCGAACCGTCCCCTATGCATGCCGCCACGCTGAATGAAGTCGAAGGTCGAAGCCTATAAATTACACAGAAATCGAAGTGAGGATGCACTACTAAACTGAGTGTGTGAAGGAAGTCACACCTGCTTCCCAAGGGCTCCTCAGTGCATCAGCTGCTGGTTGTTGGCAGCATCAACGACGTTGTCCGAAAGGTTAATCAGCAGCTGAGCGAGGCAACGTTTGGTAGCCGCATCGTCGCGAAGAACTGATGAAAATGTCGCGTCCCTGAGGGGCTCAGGAAGGCACTGACGCAGAGCTTCACGGGCGCGAGCGTTGTCACTCAGACTGAACACGTTAGCTGTGGACTGTGCAAATGAGCATAAAGCAACGTACCGAAGGAAGCAGCGAACGACATGCTTCAAGAGACGGACCGTCTGCTGCTCTACAAGCTGGTTAACCATGTTGCTAAGAACGGTGCCAACTGCGTAAAAGCGCTCGTATGTTTGGCATATGTACGCGAGGCCAATATCGTCGAGCAGAATTTTCTGGACAATGAAGATCGCGACAGTCTTGCTGAGTTCTGAGCCTGTCTCCATGATGCGAAGGCAGAGCGGAATGATCTCGGTTGTAAGAAGAAAGTTGATGACTTCAGAAGAGTCGTTCTTGACGAGGGCACCAATCACACCGAGGGAGGTCAGACGGAGGTATTCGAACGGACGCGACTTCGACGTGGTGTTGAGAAACGGATAGAGGAAGAGCGGGATGTGCGCTGCGTTCATGTCAGAGATATTCGTTATCTGGCCATGCCGCACCTACCACTCAGGAAGAGGCCACGGGTCTCGGTGTGGGACGCTACGCATTGAAGGAGCGCAAGTGCATTGCACACGCGGTTTGAAGCAGCAGCCGTCAGTTGCGACGGGTTGAGAAGAGGGTAGACGGAGATGATTTCTTGGAGAAGGGAGGCCATAACACCTGATTCTGTTAGCTTCCGCCAGGCTGTCATTCAGACCCGCGTAGCGTACCAAATGAATGCCACAGAATAAGGGCGAGCTCTGGCACCTGCTCGCGCTTCTTGCTGAGCTCGAGCAAGGCCGACTCGCGCGTTGCTGGCTTCATGAGCTGTGCGATCCAGTCGAGCACGCGCCTGTTCTCTTCGGTCATGCCAATCTCAGTGTTGGCCTGCATGTCGTTCGCGGGGCCGCGAGGCACGATGCCATTACCGGGGACGGCGGTCCCATTGTTGCCCGCGATCCGTTGGTAGTGCTGCTGTTGAGCCTGCGCAGCGGCTGCGGCGGCTGCGGCAGCCTGTGCTTGAGCTTGCGCTTGCGCCGCCTGTGCCTGCGCCTGAAGCTGACCGTGCTGGGCTACATGATGATTGGGAAGTTGATGGTGACCCTGCGACCACTCGCCAGGGTAGTGCTGCTGCTGCTGCGTGAAGAGGTGTTGCATTTGCTGCATCTGTCGCTGCGGTCGCTGCGGTTGGGCTGAGTGTTGCGGTGAGGATAGGTGCGATCGATGGATAGAAGTAATATGTAGCTGAAGGAAGCTGGTGCCTGCGGTTGTGAGTGGAAGAGCGGTGAATGGCGCGGTTTTGTGTGAGTGCGTCCAGTCAGTTACTCGAGAGAGGAGGTTCGCAGACGTGGGGGACCTCTTGGCGCGCAAGTGCGGGAGCTCGAGCTTCTACGGAGATCGACGCCGCCCAGATCAAGTGAGTTCATAGGCTAAGCCCTGCAGTAAAGGTGCCAGACACCAGGCATACACTACGACGAAAGCGGGTACCCAAGTGACCTCAAGCTGGCAATATAGGTGCACTTGTATAGCTCGCAAACACACGTTCTAGTCACTTCAATAAACCTTGTATGCCAAATCATTGTTTAGATTGATGAAGCCTAAATGGATCTCGAAACTAGTCAATGTAGCCCAGATCATGCACAATCTTCAAATTACTTCGATTAACACACTATCCCCTTCTCATGAAAAACAAATGATGCTTCACCCAAAACGCCGTGCTCAGAGCCCATCACTTACAGCCGTAGTTGCTCCAGGATGTTTTGTGCCATGCTCTTGTATTGCCAGGTTCCACCATCAACCTTCTTGAACTGCAGGCCGTGTAGTTGTAGAAGTGGTACTTTGACAATCAGAACCTCGAAAACAAGAGGCGCGAGATCGCCTAGATCGCTTTGCACGTGTGTTGTTGTCTCTCCAGCAGCCAGTGCGCGTCCCGCACGGGGTCGGCGTTCGTTTCTCTCGTCACTGTCATCAGAATCGTCGGTGTTAGTGAAGCTATGATCCGCGGGAGACGGTCGAGATCGTGACTTTGGTGTATGAGGAGCGCGGTTCTGCTCTCTGAACTCTTCTCGCTCTTTATCACGGTCGCCGCCGATCAACCCTCCAAAACTAATCTTCCTCCTATGGCTGCCGCTTGGAGGGGATGTTGGCATGTCAGGAGCCTTATTCAGGTCGATGCTGGGAGCATGTCGACACTTGAAACCTCCTTTGATAGGCTGGAAGGTGACTCCAAGTAGTTGGAGCACTCGGATCAGATCGTTTTGTATGAACGACACTGGCTTGCTGCTGGTTGTGGAGACACTGAACAAGCCCTTCAGGAAGACAGGCTTCACGGCGTCAGGGCTTCTGGCCTCCTCAGCTTCAGCTGCAGATTCGGCCAGCTCGGCATCAGTCTCCTCAGGTACGTTCGATTCTCTGGCTTGCTCTCGCTTTGCTCGCCTAGCCTGAATGCTTTCTCTTCGTGCATGGCCCAAAGACTTCGCGCGAGATGCCTGGTTTCTCCGCGGGCTCGATGTAATATCATCGGCCCCAGGATCGTAGCTAGGTCTAGGCTGCTGAGTGCTGAGGTCTGACCTATCTGAGCCACTTGTTGGTGGAGGCTCACGATCGCCCGTGTTTTCTGTTGACCTACCGCGGCGGCTGAGGCGTCGGCGGAAATCGGCGGAATTAACACTGGTCGACCGTCCAAGTACCTTGAGTTTCCGTGCAGTGCTGTTAGTGCTGCCGTGAGGTGACAAGAGCTCTGGCTGATTTGCGGTATTCGAGGGTAGCTGAGACGAAGACCCGGTATCCCTATCACGGGGTCTGCGGATGCTGAAGCTTTTCCTTGGTACAGTCGCAGGCGCTTGAGGCGGCGGCTCTGAAGGGCTCGAAATTGCGACAGCTGGTGTCGGTGGTGTAGGCGGCACATCAGCCTGACCTCTATCGTGTCGGTACTTGCGTGTGCTGAAGCGTCGCAACAATCCTCCAACAGAGCCTTCCCTCTTGGGTTGCTCTACCGGCGGTGTGAGTACAGCTGGCGAGACAGAACCAGGGGGCTTGTTGAGATCCACCCTCTTCAAGCTATCAGTCACCTCATCCTCACCGTGCGTCCTTGCCCGGGGTCGCGACCGTCCACCGGTGGGCTTCTCGCCTGCCATCTCGTAGGTGGCAGCGTTTGTGTACGCTGGCGGTGGTGCAGGGAGGTCGGGCATCTTCAACGGCTTCTCTCCTGGGCTCTGGGGCATGGCTACTGCACCTGGGTTCTCTTCAGCTCGCTCGCGATCTCTCTTCTCCCTGACCAGATAGTAGACTGAGATGAGAGGACTGTAAGCATTGACAGGGTCTAGACCTCTGGACACCTCTTCAGAGGAGGAAGCAGTCAGCTGCTCTCGGCTAGATATCGAGTTTCGTCGCTTGTAGAAGTCGAACATGCCACGTTTTCTCTCAGTCTCCGGTGTTTGAGTTGTAGTCCTCCGTGCAGCAAGGCGCACAGTACGCTGATACTCTTCAGATTGGATGACGTTGGTCAGTTGAGTGGTGATGTATTCGGGGGTACCAAAGTCAAAGCCAGTCATCTTCTCGACAATCTCCGGGTCAAGCGGGAGCTGCAGAGGTTCACGGTGAGGCAGGTAGTTTTCCGGTGGGCTGTTGAATCCTTTGGTCAACCATGGGTGGTTCATGATCTCAGAAAGCGTCATTCGTTGCGTGGGATCCGTCTGCAACATGCGGTGGATCAAGCTCCGGCATTCTGTATTCAGTCAGCGAGCAGCAAAGGAATCTGGTTCACCCATCTTACCCGCAGACAACCATGGAGGGTAATCAACGTGTCCTTTCTTGATCTTTGCGTGCAGCTGTGGCATGCTCTGGTCATCGAACGGTACCTTGCCGCAGACCAAGACGTAGAGGACAATGCCGAAACTCCAGACATCGACCTCAGGACCGGTGTACTGCTTCGCTTGCAGCAACTCAGGAGCGGCGAAGTACAGACTACCACAGAACGTCTTCAGCTGGCTGCGAGGCGAGAACAGATTGCTCAGGCCGAAATCGATGATCTTGATGTCGCCGGTTTTGCTGATGAGGATGTTCTCAATCTTCAGGTCACGGTGGACAATGCTGTTTCTGTGGCAGTAGTCGAGCGCACTGGCGATCTGACGAGCAAACTTGCGGGCCTGCTTCTCCTTAAGACGCCCATGGGAGATGATGTAGTCGAGCATTTGTCCGCCGTTGACGAATTCGAAGAGCATGTACCAGTGGTAGTTGGTCCGTACGACATCTCGCATGCCGCATATGTAAGGGTGGTTGAGCAGACTGACAATAGCAGCCTCTCGTGCAGTCCGGACTTCCTTGGAGTGGTCGGCTCTTTCGCGGTCGGCGGCGCTCTGGTGCTGGTCCTGAGACTGTCGAGGCACTATCTTGACGGCCACCTACAGTAAATTAGCAAACGCCGCTGGCCCTCCTCAGTTGCTAGGAACCTGGGGACCGCACATACCTGCTCACCGCTTTCGTTGTGCTTCGCCAGCTTCACCTTGCCCATGCTGCCCGCACCGATCGTCTTGCCGAGCGCCCATGTTCCTGTGCTTGGGGCTGTGATGGTCGTCCGGCGCTTTGCTGGCACTGGCTGCCCGCCTCTCGTGGTTTCAGTGGCTACGCCGTTTGTAGGCATTGCGCTGGCCGTCGAGGCGTCTGAAGCATACCGCGAATGGCGCCTGCTCGACTCGGTGCGCTGTGGTGGAGCTTCTCGTGATTCGCTGTGTCGCGACGGGGAATAAGCTGCCACGTTGGTCTGCTCGTAGTCGCGGCGTGAGACGTCTTTCAAGTGCTGCGGATGCCCGCTGGGGCGGGTGGTGGTGCTTTGCGAGCGGGTTGGGCGGTCGCTGTGCGGAGGTCGTCGAACAACGGCTGGCGACGATGGGGCTGGCGCCGACATGCTGGCTGCACGCAAGGGCAGCGGGCGCCCTGAGAATGGTCGGCTGCGAGCGTTTTGAGCGGCTGTGGGGACTGGCTGATATCTGGCGATTTGCGGCAGGCTTCAGCGACAAGTGCAAAGTGGTCGCACGTGGTGATGGGGGAAGTGTGCTCAGATTAGGGGCAGCTGTTGATCGTGATTGCGCTGCGACCTAAACTTGGCAGGGTCGAAGACGAATGCGTGCTGGCTGCGACCTTGCATCACGGGGTCAGCTAGGATGTGCAGCAAGAGGGCACAGAGCGCACAGCACTCGGTCGCGGCAGGGAGGGGGACAGTCAGCGAGGATCAAGGTGCGCGATATCTCATGTCTTGGAACTCGTGTTGGAGGCTGGCGCGATAGCTTCAGCAACCAACCCGTAACTGGCAGCTCCACCAATGCGGAAGAGGCACGACGTTATTGGGCTGCGTCGTGGGGTAGTAACACATCAGCGAAGGCTGCGTCACACGTCTCACAGGGCTGTCATGTTTTTGCTTTTTGGTTTGACATTCGACGAGAGCCATCGACTGTTATTTCCTGAGCAGCTCTCTGAATAGTTGCATTGGGATAGTTGCATTGGGATAGTTGCATTGGAATAGTTGCATTGATCCTCAGGGTCTTCCAAGTGACGACCGGACTCAAGCGATAGCCGCTCAACGAACGGTCCCTACATCATAGGTCCCACTTCTGTCTACACGCTAATGTGCAACAGGACCAGGGCATACAAGACAACGATTTTCAGGAACGGCGTCTCCAAGTCCGGAACTGGGCTCGTTTGCCGAAGTGGATGCGTGTGTATGTTTCTCGGGACCACTGAAATGACTTTTGAGATAGATCATAAGAAATCTCGAGTAATGGTCCAATTGCACTGGGTTACGTTTTTGTCGTTGCTTAGTCACATGTACAGAGCAACCTTCGTCGCGTAGACATCACCTCACCTCACCTCACTAGAACTTCCACCAAACAAACAACATGGCGTACAAGCGGCCCCGCGCGACGTCTCCCTCGAACTCACAGAAGCGTGCTCGCGGAGGCCTAAGCTACGTTTCCCTTGGCACCGAGCTGCCAGACGATAAAGACGATGGAGAATTCGTACCCGTGTGGAAGCAGACGGTGACGGATGACCGAGGGCGCAGAAGGCTGCACGGCGCTTTTACTGGGGGCTTCAGTGCAGGGTAAGTTTTAGAACCATCTCTGGCTGAACGCAAGACTTCTTGACTATGCTAAGATACTTCAATTCAGTTGGATCTAAAGAAGGATGGACACCTAAGACGTTCGTTTCCTCGCGGTCAAACCGCAGCAAAGACCAAGCCACAGGGCCGACGCAGCGAGCCGAAGACTTCATGGACGAGGAGGACCTGGCCGAGGCAGCAGAAACACGCCAGCTTGAGACGGCCCAGAACTTTGCCGGCATAGGCGATGCAGATGACGCAGGCAACGATGGCTTCTTTGGTCTCTTCATGAAGCAGGAAGAGGCAATGGGCGTAAAGCTGGCGCAAAAGATGGGCTGGAGGCGCAATCAGGGCATTGGCCGAAAGATTAGTCGGACTGCTCGCTTAGAAGATGGCATCGCTGCCGGCAAGGATGCGACAAGTTATATGTTCGCGCCGGAGGACACCCGAGCTATGCCTATTCCGCGAGAAAAAGTGCATCGCAAAGGCTTGGGTTATCAGTCAGAAGCCCGTCTGGGCGTGGAGCAAGAGAGGGCAGCAGATCGAAAAACATCGCTGGACTTTGAATTTACTGAGAGCTCAAGAAAGCCCTTAGTCGTCAAGAAACCTACGACCAAGAAATCATCTTTCGGCGTGGGTGTGCTGAACGACACCGGCTCAGACGACGAGGACCCGTACGAACTTGGCCCAAAGATCTCTCTCAACAAGACTATCGGCAAGGACAAGAAGGCGAAGAAGCCAAGCAAATTTGCGAAAGCCGGGGCTGGCGAAGGTCCCGTGTTCGTCTCGAAGAAGACATCAACAAAGGCGTTGACTCTGCTGAATCGAGCATCCATGGATGGAAGACCCCCCTTGGCAGGTTTCGTCCTTGCTGCTGATATTGCCGAACTAGCAAGTAAGCCAAAGTACCCGCCGCCCAAGATCCCGCCTGGTTGGAAGTCCTCGAAATCAGCCTCTGTAGATGCAGGCACGCAAGGATACCAGTCTGTGGCAGATGCTGCGAAAGCTTCCACGCTGGATGCCAAAGGTCGTTCTGCGCTGTTGGGAGAGAAGCAATTGCCTGGCAAATCAATCTTCGATTTCATCCCTAAAGATGCACGCGATCGTCTTGCAGGTCTGTCTGGCAAAGCTGATCTGCCTCAAGGTCGAGGAGAATCAGGGCCTGAGGGACATCTGCCCGCAGCCGAAGCGCAACCAAAGGACCTCTGGAGTCTTGTGCCAGCTTTGGACAAGAGCACTGCTGCTGCGGCGTTGGCGAAAGGCGCTACTGGTTGGATGCCATATGCGGAGGACCTGCCCAAGCGTGCGAGATACGTCGGCTTTCTCGAACTACGAGCAGGGTTGAAAGACGATTTGCCAGAGCGCAGCAGTAGTATATCAACATCTGATTGGGTCAAGGAGTTACAAGAGTTTGCTCATGCTGCCCAAGTCTTCAGACCCACGACCGGCATCATGGCGTCACGGTTCACTTCCTCGTCGTCGTCAACGTTAGGTGGTAGTACGGCTGGCACCACAGCCGAGACGCTCGTACGGGAGCCAGCAAAGAAACCTGAGGACCCCGCAGAACAGGCCGCAAAGATGGGCATGCATGGCGCCATGACCAGGACCAGCTTCCCCTTCCACCCATCTAGGTTGCTATGCAAACGCTTCAACGTAAAGCCTCCGCCGGATATGCCTCACGGCGCCGAGTTCGAGGGCGACAACGGGTTCAAAGCGAAGACGGAAGAAGCCGTGTCCAAGGCAGCAATGGACAAGATGCTGCACGAGGTGTTGACAAACGGGCCAGCCTTGCAACGTCCTGCTTGGATGGGTCAGGCACCTCAGGATCCTGTACCTGTGGCTGCACCGCAAGCTACTGGGCATGCAACAGTGGATGTCGAGAAGAACGAGGCGCTGTCTAATGAGCGAGCTTCTGAAGACGTGTTCAAGGCTATCTTCGGTGATGACGACGATGATGATGATGAGTAACGTGACCGGAGACTCGGATCAATGTACAAAGTCCAAATACCACAGTTAAGATCTTCTACAATCTAAGCGAATCCTGATTCAGCTTGACTCATGAGGGACTCTAATGTCCAATGACATGTGCTTACAGTGTAGGTTCCTATGAGTTAGAGAAAAATACCACCTCACTGTGTGCTACCGATGCTCAACCATCGGGAAACCAACAAGAGCCTTCGACGCTGCTTTCCATCTGATTCAAGACCAGCGTGCAGGGCTGGCTTTTGTGGAGCCATCCACAAGAAGAAAGCGCAGTGGGAAGGCGCACGTGCCTAGCGCCTAAACAACACACTAGCTCACCGACCTCGACAACGACAACAACTCCACCGCACTATCGATAATTCTTGCTATCAATCAGTTGGCATCTTTTGGATGAGACACGACTTGCTTTTCTGCGGGCGTTGACCGCTTCCAACGATCCGAGTAAGACATGCCCTACAGCGCAACTTTTTCCAGCCCCATAGCAGCCTAGCCGAGTACTTGGAGCTTAGGGACCAAGTGAAATGGCTGATTCGGGAACTGTCATCTGTCACCTGCAGACTATTCGAGACAGAGTGGAAGTGGTTGAGAATACAATACTTGGACGAAACATCGCCCTCTCACAACATCTTCTCAAGCGTATTGTCTCGGATTGATCCTAGTTCAAAGGCTATCTTACGGCGGCCATAAATACACAATCATACCACTTGAGCCATTCTACGCCTGGCCGAGAGCAGCCGCCAACGTCAGCTCGGCTAAAACACCTCCACTGTCAACACTAACGCAACCAGGATGGATCCTTTCCGTTACCGCAAAGCATATGCGGCGATGCTACAGGCGACACAGCTCATTGAACAACGACTTCAACAGGGTGTCGATTCAGAAGTTGAGCCGCCTGAGCAACATGATGCATCAAGCGCCGCGTTCCAAGATCAGGACCCCGACAGTATGGACTGGACTCCTACAGGTGGCAGGACACCCACTACAGCTGCAGAATGTGGTCCACCACCTTCGTTGTCCGAGAAGTTGCGACCGCTTTTGCCTGGCGCAGGGGAAGGCGACATCCAAGCTTTGGATCGGGGGGACAACGCTGTGCTCCTTCACAAGCTGAAGGAGGGTAAGCTTATGGATGAGTGTATCGACAAACTTGTCCAGGGTCTACCTGATGCGCTCAGCTACAACAACTCTGCATCCTTCACTCCTTCGACGATAGAGGTTTCGAAAGACTTCGGGTTGCAACTATCGATCTCTATCAATCATCACATGGCACAAATAGCAGACCGCAAAGCACTCGAGAAGTATCGACGGTTGCTAGGTCACCGCAAAGATGCGGCAAAGCGTAGGCCTATCAAGCTTGGATTTGATCCTGTCGAGTTGATCAAGAAGCAAGCCGTTACGTTCGCGGAGAACGTTGTATCTCCGAATTACACACTCAACAACGACGTTCACCCCATCTTTCGTCCAGAGAACTGGCATGGATGCCCTGATCACATCTACGAAGTGCTGAAGCCGGGTATGCAGCTTGCGACATTGTTTCTGACATCTCGAGCGACTGCACACTATTGGCATACGCTTGTATTCGGCGAACGAGAGCCATGTGCCAAAACCTCGGAAGCGTATGGTCAGCCATGTCATCGCATTCGAGAAGATGTCCCTTGGTCGGAAGAGCGGCACGTTGCTTTCAACAATTTTCTGAGCAACCAGTTGGATACGGTCTACTTCTGCTTTCACAACGACCCTCTACCGCCAGAAACCGTCTACGCGTCCATGGGATTGGTAAGAGACTACAAGAACGGCCTGATACGCAAGATGAACGATAAATGCCATACATCTCGCATTTGCTTGCACTCAGACTTCTACACCACCGCAAAGAAGCTGAGTCTTTTGCGCTACCGAGAGCCGGCCATGGTTTTGCGGTTCAATCTGTTCCTCGCTATCTGCCTCAGCCACGAGATCGCACACTTCTGCGAGGTGTCGGGCCCACACCACGATCATCCCTTATTATCAGAACCTGAGGTCTTTTGGGGCGACAACATGTGGACGGAGAGCGGTATTGCGTTCGAGACCAAGGTCTTCGGCGGACGTATACATCCGCTTTCGAGCCGCATAGACTGCAGTCTTGGCTTAGCATGTCTCGACTACCCACTCAAGGAGCTCTACGACAAGGACGAAAACGTACTTTACGCCTTATCCATGGACTACATCCTCAAGCTGCAGCAGAACGATACCTGGCAGCAAGACTTCAGCAAAACCGGGTCCGATGTTTTCTTTGTCCCGCGAAACGGCAGCAAGTCAGTGGAGATCAACGGTGCCAATCTGATGATCTGGGAAGACGAGAACGACGCGGACATATCAGACCATATCGATGGAAAAGAGACAGAGTGGAAGCGTATGGACGACGGGTCTATCGCCAAGAACCCCAACTCGAACAATCGCAAGCCTCAGCGACCGCCCATCGTCCAACGCTGGAGCCCATACGGCCACAAGAGGAAGAACACTGCGGGAGGGGTGTCGTGTGTATCAACAGAGGTAGTCAACGAAGTCGACGATACTGCACCAGGAGCACCTGAGCCAGCGGTGACAGCGGATGAGGAGGAGGATATTGAAGACTCCAAAAAGCTCCCAGATCAGGATATGGTCTGATGTGGACGTAGTGGAAGACCGCTCATGACCTGAGAGGTGGACTTGTTGCATGTGCATTCAGCATCAGCGTTTGGATACCATAGCATTGTTTGCGCTGCATAGCGACCGCCTTGTCACTAGGATAACAAACGTCTAGCGAGGCTCACAACAGCCTTTCTGGCGCGCTTTGTCCATATCTTGATAATCGTCCATGTTGAGTGAGGTAACAGCGTCCACGCTCAATGAAATCGCTAGCGCGGTAGTTGCGCACAGTAACTCTTGGCGCTTCCCGGAGACTCACAATTCTCTCCCATCATCAACAACGCCCAACGTCGCAGCCCCGCCCACTCCCACGTCACCGTCTCCCACGTAATACCGACAACATGGCGGATTTCACAAAAGAAGTGACCTTCAAGTCGGTCCAAATCGACGCCCTCGTACGTGCGACCTCTTTTATCGCGAAAACCCCGCCGGCCGCCCCGCTATTGTTCTTTTCGCGATAACACCTTGAGATGCAGCAGTGCGGATAGGAGGCTGACAATGGACTGCAGGTGGCTATCAAGCTCGCTACTGCCAGCGGAAAGTCGTTTCCCAGCGTGGCGACCGGAAGCCTGGTGGGCATGGAGAAGAACGGCATCCTCGAAATCACCAACTCGTTCCCCTTCCCCGAGACAGCCGCCGCTGCGAACGATGGCCAGAGCGACTCTGCCAGCAACCTCGCTGCTTCAGCTCCCCGTGCTAAGCACAACGTCGCATACAGCAACGAGATGATCAAGTTCCTGCGCGAAGTCAATGTGGACGCGAACAACGTCGGCTGGTACACAAGCACAAGCATGGGCAACTTTGTCAACCTGCAGACGATCGAGAACCAGTACTTCTACCAGAACGCCCCCGACGAGAAGACGGTTGCGCTCGTCTACGACGTCAGCAGGAGCTCCGAGGGCGCCATGAATCTGCGCGCATACAGGCTGTCGCCCGCCTTCATGACAGCGTACAAGGAGGGCAAGTTCACAACTGAGAGGTATGAGTGACAGTATCCATGTAAAGACGATAAGAGCTAACAAGCGCAGCCTGCAGAAGAGCGGCCTCAGGTACTCGGACATCCTCCTCGAGCTCCCCGTTACCATTCGCAACTCCCACCTCCTCACCTCCCTTCTCCACCAGCTGCCCACACAGGCACCCAAGGAGGAGCTCGCTTTTCCCCCGAACCTGTCTGCCCTGCTCCAGGACAAGAACACCCCCCAGCCTCCCCTGTACCCCAACTACGACTCGCTCGACCTCTCCATCGATCCCTTCCTTGAGAAGACCTGCGACCTGCTCCTCGAGAGCATCGAGAACCACCACACCGAGCTCAACAACTACCAGTACTACCAGCGCTCGCTCGCCCGCGAGCAGACCAAGATCACCGCATGGCAGCAGAAGCGCAAGGCCGAGAACTCTGCGCGGTCGGCCTCGAAGCAGCCATTGCTCCCAGAGGACGAGTGGCAGAGGCTGTTCAAGCTGCCCCAGGAGCCCAGCAGGCTGGAGACGCTGCTCAACTCGAGGCAGGTCGAGCAGTACTCGAGGCAGGTGGATGGCTTCACCGCAGGCGTCACATCGAAGATGTTCGCGGTCAAGTCGAACCTTCTGCCAGGGGATGCTTGAGTTATTGCGCGTGGCAGGGTCTGTATGTTTCATGATAATGCTTCTCTTGGTCAGGGCATGGCACGGCGTTAGGTACAGTCAAGCAGCTCCAGTTGGAGAAAGCTGCGGAATGTCTTTCATCGATAGTGTTGCGTAGAGAGCGAAACCGAGGGGTCTCGTTAGCGACAGGCGACGGATTCAGCATCGCCACTTAGAGCGTGGTGCTGAATCAGAAAAAGAAAGTAAAGTTAACCACATGCGTCTACCCGTCTTCTACCCGTCCTCTACCCGTCTTTGACCCGTCTTTGACCCGTCTTCGACCAGTCTACGACATTGCTGGTGCTGAATGCCTCCCGCCGCTGTAATAATGAGCTCCCTGTCAACGTCCCGCATGTCCCGCATGTCCCGCATTTCTGGATCAGATCCACTGATGCATCATCTCTCGGCCTGCCTGTGGTTCCTCAGCTAGCGTCATGCAGCAGCCATCGCAGGACCGACTGCACCAACACGCGACGGTGCAGCCGCGAAGCCTCGCAAACCTGCAGCAGGCGCCGGATGGGACCTTCTATAATCCGCAGGACCTGCAGAGCCTCCACGCCAACGAGCTCTTCCACCAGCAGCAACAGCAACAGTATGATGCACTGGGGGGACCCGCGCAGCAGCCCCCACTGCAGCTGTTGCAGGCACCGCTGCTACCACAGGCGCTACACTACGAGCACCATGGTCTGCCGCCGCAGCCATTCCCGCCGCAGGCTTACCAGCAGGTCCAGCGGGTCCAGCATCCTCACCACCATGCGCATGCGACGAGCTCGCCTTTTGCGCTGACGCCTGGTCCGGTGACCGGCCCCGCGCATCACGTCCATACTTCTCACGTCCACACGCCTATCCACACCACCCCGCGCATTGCGCAGCGCCCACTGCAGATACAACAAGCACCTATCCAACGGTCTCCGCAGCAACAGCAGCAGCAGCAGCAGCAGCAGTACAGTTCGCCTCTCGAGAGCGGCCCCAGCGACGATGCCACGCTCGCCAACCATGGCCAGTTCAAAGGCCTCAAGCTTCTTCCAAACCCGCCGCATCTGGACGAGTGGAGGCAGCGGCTCTTCGACGTCGACGACACAATTACCCTGACCGAAGAGCAATTCCAGACCTACTTCCCGCACATCGACAATGTCTACTCGCACCGCTCGACACAGCGGCACAAGCGCAAGAGCTTCGTGTCGCACTACTGGGACTGCCGACTAAAGGGCCGCCCACCAGGCACAAAAAAGTCCACAGACCCAGAAAAAAGAAAGCGCAAACGAGTCGCGCGCGAGCGAGACCTGTGCAATGTCAAGATCAAGATCACCGAGTTCTTCAACCAGGAGGAGTACGAGGAGCAAATGGGCCATCCACCACCTATCATTGAAGAAGAGGGCCCCATGTCCATGACTTCGAATCAGCCTGGAGCAGCAGGTGCAACACCAGACCAGAGCATGTTCTTCCGCCAGCCGCAGATGATGCCGCAACAGCCCATGTCACCGTGGGATATGCAGCCAGACATGGTGCAGCCGGGAACGAGCTTGTATGCGCCTGCGCCGCCGCCGTTATCTGGGCCCCCGCCGAAGAAGTTCTACACCCTTCAAAGAGTCAACGGCAATGGAGGGAATGGGAAAGGAGATGGTGTTGCAGGGCCGCATAAACACACGCTTGAAGAAAGTGATCGCGTGAAGAAGAACATCGTGGTGAGGACTTTTGCGAAGAACGAGATGGAGGTGAAGAAAATGCAGGTAAGTCTACCTCTACTATACTTTTACGCGTCTACTCCCATGCATGTAGTTTGTTCGTTGTTTCTGTGAGCACGACATGTATGCATGAACTCACCTATGACATCATTTTGATGGTGGGATGCAACGCATGATCTTCCGAGGGGTTCTGTTACTCCATTTCATATATCAGCCACCGTGCATCTGCACCATCTTCCATGTATTCACTTCCCAGAATATCGCGGTCTGCTTCTCGACATCTTGCAAAATCGCTTCCAGCTTGCACTCCACTTGCTGCTGGTCCTCATCTTGACACCTTCCCTCTGTGCTTTATCGTACATCCACGACCGCGGTTGTCATCTGTTCGCTTTACATCATCATCGTCCATAATGACCGACATGAATCAGGGTGGAGACTCTTCCAAGAAGACATACCACAAGAAAGCCACGGGTAATGCTTTGACAACTGTCAAGAACCATGCCAAAGAAGAAGATCTCAAGCTGTACGGTAGCTGCTTCTGGTACGTAATGCCTATACTATCCATCAAATATTGTCCCATCATTCATGTTAACACCCTCCAGCCCCTTCGTTCAGCGTGTCTGGATATCTCTGGAACACAAAGCCATACCCTACCAGTATATCGAAGTAGATCCCTACAAGAAACCCCAATCCCTATTAGACGTGAACCCACGCGGCCTCGTCCCCGCCCTCCGTCACGGCCCAACATGGAGCACCCACGAGTCCACCGTCATTATGGAGTACCTCGAGGACCTAAACACTGGCGAGCACCTCCTACCCCCAGACCCACAGACTCGCGCTACAAGCCGCTTATGGTCTGACCACGTCAACCGACACGTGATCCCGATGTTCTACAAGCTCTTGCAGGCCCAGGATCAACATGATCAGGTGGAGTATGCAAAAGAACTCCGCGACCAAATCAACAAACTGGTCTCCGCCACCGACTCCACCGGCCCCTTCTTCCTGGGCCCGCAAATCTCCTTCGTCGATGTGCAGATCGCGCCCTGGGTGCTGCGGCTGCGCCGCGTGCTGGGTCCGTACCGTGGATGGCCGGAGCCCGAGGAGGGGAGCAGGTGGAAGAAGTGGGTTGATGCTATTGATAATGAGCCGAGTGTGAGGGCGACAACGAGTACGGATGAGCTGTATTTGGATAGTTATGAACGGTATGCGGAGAATCGGCCGGGGACTAGTCAGTTGGCTGATGCTGTTAATTCGGGGAGGGGGCTGCCGTAAAAGATTGGCGGTAGCAGAATGATAATTAAAGAGAAGAAGTTGAGTCGATTGGATGAGCACGTATGCCTGACAATGATTTCAAGCTGCTACTTCCACCGCACTGTCTCCAGATCGATAGACTTCCGCACTTGATACAACAGCGTGAAGTCATTCAAGAAAGTCTATTCCTACGAACGATCCTCATCCGAGGACATTATCAAGCACGTTCCATCACTCTCCCAGCCCATCCCGCCTCCTAACCACCGTCCCCTGACTCCCCCCTCCATCCTCCTCTCCACTCTCCCCAGCACCATTCATCCTCTTCCTCAGCGCAAAAAAAACTCATCAAATCCCCTCTATTCCTCTCGATCTACCTCCCCCGCCTATCCCTCTCCCCATCCTCTCGTATCCTCATCTCCTGTCGATACTCATACTTCTCCCACCCGCTTTCCAAAGCGTGGAGAGATTCACGGTCTGATTGTCTCCCCGACTCACTTTCCATCTGCGCAGTCGCCTGCAGAGGAGCCAGCCGAGCGAAGTGTTCGTCAAGCTTGTGCAATAGAAGATAGTACAGTCCGGCATCTGTTTGGTCTTTGACCGATGACCTGATAAGGGTGATGACTGGACTGAGATCCGCTGGCTGGGTATCTTTACCTAACAGGAGGAGAGGCCAAGCGGTTTTCGTGTTCAGAAGGCCGAAGCGCACCAGGATGGTGCTGATGAGTTTCGGTAGGGAAGCTTTGGAGAAGGGAGGAGGTGCTGGTGGCCGTCGCATCGGCACTAGGGGTGTACGTCGAGTTGTAGAGGGATACGAAGGGACAGGAATGAACCTGAGCTTCACTTTGAATTTGGGAATGGGCATTGTGGTGGAGATCTGAAGTGGTGGTTGGAGTTTAGTACGAGGGTGGGCCTGGAGGTATTCGGAGGTTAATATATCCCTTTTGAAAGAGTCAGAGTGTGATTTGGTTTACCGTGGGGAGAAGTGAATTTTCGCTGCGTATATCCTGCGGTCTGAAGATTTGTCTGCAGCACCGTGAGGGGTAGGAGTTTTGGTTGGTTATTCACAGAACCGTGGTTCACTGACCACCTCTAGCATGTACCTGATCTGGAAATGAAGGGCATCCGCAGCACGGAAACCGACAACCAACCCAACGGCCCGGTACCAAAATTGATTAGTCGCGTCACTGTCCAGGCTGCTGGGGATAATAACCCAAACGATGATTACGAAGAAGACAAAGGTGATTTTGTAACCGACGACACGCAATATGTGGCTAACAAGAAGCAGATTGACTGGAAGCAGTACGACAAATGCAAGAGGTGGCTAAGAGAGGTGGAAGGAGACAAATAAAGCGTAAAGGTTCTGTTGGCTGATTTGTGATCTCGTTTGTCTGTTGTATCTAGCCTGGGGTTGGCATCATCGTTGCCAAAGAACGCTCGTGTAGCATCTTTAGACTTATAGAACCGCAATTCGTTATTTTCACACTATTTATATCTTGTGAAGCTACAGCTCTGACATACAACATCCGCGTGTGGTCGAGAAGTTAGGCACCCACGATCGGAACCAGGACTGACTTCCCCTGATCCCAAAACCCTCACCACGAAATATCTCAATAAAAAAAATTCGAGCATGATCACTCTACACCACCATGCCCACAATCACATCACAGAACTCGCACCTGCACGAATTACACCGCTATTTCCGCCCGGCACTCTCAAGACGACAAGGTTGTTCATGCCTCTACCGCGAGCCCATGCCTCAGTCGATGCACCTGGTGTCGTACTGCCGACACACGTCCCTTGACCGCACACATACCACATCGTACCCTCGACAGCGTCGGGTGGCCCTGCACCATCTTCCACTTCCACTCCGACCTTCTTGACAACCTTCAGGCTTCGGAACTCATCGACGAACACCACGACATTAATTCCCTCTCGACTGCCTCCAGGAGTCGAATTACCGGTTGGACAGCGTGGTTCTGCAGAGGGAGAGGGCGAAGGATGAAGGGGAGGGAGACAGTCAAGGTGGGAAGCAGAGCCAAAAGAGACGGGATGATGTTGCAGGCTGCTGAGTAGAGGAAGGAGATGCTACTAGAGAGAGCCAAAGGTTCGTCGAGCACTAGTGCTCCATGGAGACGCTGGTCAAGCAGAAGTTGCAGGGAAAGGAATAGAGTGCAATGTGAGGGCAATAGGAAAGAGAGTGCGCTCAGCTGCTTTAGGGTGCTGTTCTTGAAACCAGACATGGTCATGTTTTTCTCTCATCTCGAGATCGTGGTATGTACAAGTATAAATTCAACAAGAACGCTATGCAAACGTGAACATAAAAAGCCGGTCAAACCACCTCATTACAAGCTCGCCCTCTCACCACCAAGCTTCTTCCCTGTGACAGCCCCAAAGTACTTATTCAACGCATCTGCTGTCCCGCTACCCTCTTCGAGCTTGACAACAACACCAACATACCCATCAGGTCTAACAACCACAACACCACCCTTGTTCTCATCAAGCCCCATCTTCGCGTGCGCCGCGGCCTTCGCATCCGGCACTCTTACATCCCACACATCATCAGCATAGACATGGTCTGCGTAGCGCGCAAGGATCTTGGGCAGCTGCTCATCGATGTGAATCTTTGCGCGAGGCGCATTGAGGACAATGGCGAGCGAGAGGAAGGAAGTGTGCGGGTTGTGCTTCTCATGGTAGCGGTCTGAGGTGTCGACGTCTTTGTAGAGGAAGTTCGAGAAGAAGGATGAGGGGGCGGACATGTGGGATGCAAGATTTTTGAGTGCGGTGGCGGTTTGGCTGAGGGCGCCGCCGAAGACGAAGACACGGTAGGAGCCGTTCAGGGGGATTTCTTGCTCGAGGTCCACGACGTTGGCGTCTACCACGCGTGTCACGGTTGCCGGGATGAGGATGCGTCCCGTCCTGAGTGCGGTGCCCTTCTGGTATTGCAGGATCAGAGGATGCTGGGCGGGGTGCTCGGGGCCCCAGTTGATGGAGTTGGGGTTGTATGCGACGCCGTAGCCTGATGTGAACTCGCAGCTTGCTTTGAATGTCTTGATGAATTCATTCTCCTCACCCTCACCGGAGGATGCGCCGGCAACTTCGCCAGCAGAGGGAATGCGTGCAGAGAAGAGCTTTGCGTACCGCGCGTCGAAGTCAAGCAGTGTTTCGGCGATGAGCTGGCGTTCAGACTCGTAGGTGGAAAGGCTGGAGCGAGGCGCCCATCCAGACTCAACGTGGTGAATCTTCCAGGCGAGGTTCACAGCGTCAAGGAATGCTGTATTCATACCCTGACCAGCCTTTGGCGAATGTGTATGGCAAGCGTCTCCACCCATGAAGACGCGCTCGTCCAGTGTGTACTTCTCAGCGATACCCTGGCCGATGGGGTAGACAGAAAACCACTCAACGCGGTCCCATGTAATCTCGTAGGGCTTCAGAATTGCCTTCGCCTTCTCTTGCACCTCCTCTGCAGTCGCCTGTTTGCGGGGGTTCCAGTCCTTGTCTGTGGAGCTGGCGACCTGGATGTAGAGACGGACCATGTTGTCCTCGCGAGGAATGATCATGATGGATCCAGCGTCAGAATGGATTGTGCATTTCATCTGGTTTTGTTAGTCCTCACTCACGAGTACTCAACGTGGAGAATGACATACCTTGATGTCAGGGAAGTTCGTCCTAACAACACCATCCATGACACCCCAAACATGCGCAATGGGATCCTTGTACCTGATCTTGACACCAAGCTGATCCCTTACAAAACTCCTTGCGCCCTCTCCACTGAAGAGGTACTTCGCTCGTACGGTCTCAGAATGTGTGCCATCAACATGAGCAAGATTGACTTCGACAGGGTATGTGGCATCCTTTCCGTCGTTTTTGAAACCAGTAATCGTCCACGGCCTCTGAACTGTGTTTCCGTTCTTCTCAATGTCCTCAATGAACACTCTCTCAATGAGACCCTGGTGCAGGAGCGTTGTGAACGGGTATCTTGCGTCAATGAACTTCGGGCAGCTAGCCCATGTGCCGGTCTGGACGATGCCACCCTTCGAGCTTGGATCCCAGAAAGCGACTTCGTAGACCTTCGCAGGCTCGTGTGCCATGATCTTGCGCTTCAGACCCATGTTGCGCAGAAGGTCGAGCGATCGGGGTTGGATACCATCTGCACGTCCAGTCGCTGTGGGTTCAGGTCGGTTGTCGATGTGCTTGATCTTGTATCCCCATCTTGACAGACATGTGGAGAGACAGAGACCGACCGGTCCAGCACCGACGATGACGATGTCGTAGTTTTCGACCGCCATTGTACTTGGAATTATATGTGTATATGGGGGCAGGCAGGGTACGAGGCAACCAGCAGAGAAGCGCTTGCGGGTATCAACTGGTGTAGAAGTATACAGTGCTGATCAGCTTGGGAGCAGCGGCGTCGACAGCTTTAAGAAACGCCCGGTAAGGACGCCGCTAGTGTCAGACAGCATCATGGCAAGAAACACGGGACTGGAATCTGGCCGGCAATAAAATCGGTTGTAGGAGATCGCGAAGCTCGACCTAGATGGACGCGCCGAGCAGGCGTACCGTCATGTTGCGGGGAGTGTGGGCGGAATTGCTGCACGGCACTTTGTTGCCAAGACGGTCGCTGCACTGGCCCTTCTTGAGTTTAGATCTGGCCGGATGAGGCTTGGCGCTTGTGTATGAAAGCCGAATCTCTGGACAAGTCACCTGCGCCGCTAAGTCAGCCAACGCTCATGCTTCATGAGGCCAGCCGGTTATCATGCCGCGCGGAGTTAGCTCGTTCTTTGAGTCTCGTCGATCCCCCTCATTCCGACGCTAACATTTCCCGCAATTACCTTCCATGAAGCTGGCGATGTTGCAAAGGGCTCGATTGAGAAGGCCTCGTACGAAGGTCAGATCACGGCGTCAGAATGGATCTGGCGAGGTTGTGCTTCGAGGGCACAATCACCTTGTCATTCAAAGGCGAGGCTGAAGGGCCCAGAAGTTTCTCCGGAAATTGTAGGCTGCTTCTGCTCTGCCTATTATCACCGTCAATCTGTCAAAATGCTGCATGTTGACCACGGAAGCTTTGTGATTTTGAGGAGGCGTAAATCTTGAGTGTCATTACGCAATGCTGTTTCACCAAAGCAAAAACATATGGCCCAACTCCGATTGCAGCAACAGTGCCTACAAGCATAACAGGTCATGGAAGCAAAAGATTTATGTCATCCCCATCAATGGAAATAAACAACCACGTGGTGGTAAAAAGAAACTGGTCACTACGAGGGTCGAACTCGCGACCTTGGCGTATCAAGGATGTGAACTATTAGCACCACGCTCTAACCAACTGAGCTAAGCGACCGATCTGTTGTTTCGATGGAAGACAATGTGACAATAACATTTATAATAGTAGCATATATCCCCTTTGCAGCAACATTGACGCTCTTGAGGAGGGAGATCCAATTGTCAAAGTTGCAAAATTGAGCCAGGGATGCTAATGCTTGCGCTGGTCTGGCGATTGTGGGGTAGCTGCAGAGATTTATTCGATTGGACCCTATTACGGTCTTCATGGTCGAGGTAACTTGGAATCGTCCCCCAAATGCTTCTGATTCACATTGTATTTTGGACCCAGTCAGCGGATGTTCGTCAGTCCCGCTGTCGGCCAAAGTCTACTTGCCAGTCAGTCTTGAGCGTGCAGTGTAACTCACGTCCCCTCCAGCATTCACACTCAGAACACCCCAATTATGACCGTAAGAGACACCCCAAGCATGATCGTAAGGGACACCCACTCGGAACGCCGGAGCTGTCAAACCAGGATCCCACGGCTAAGAGTGGGTATTTGATTGCCATCGCATATGCCGTGCGATCTCACTGCCTCACATCTCACCACACAGCCCCATCCACTCGACATCCTACACCACCCTCAAGATTCTATGGCCAGCGTAGAACCTTCTCCACTCGAATAAGTGGGCGGCCGATCAAGCCCAAACGCCCGTGTGCCACGACCACAGACCATATGTTCGTGTCGCGGTTTTGCAACGCCGGGCTGGGAGCCGAATGGGCTCGCTAATCAGCGTTGGACCAGCGTTTGATTAAGCTTACCGCTGGTGACGATGGTTGGAGGGTCACAGCAGTGGTGATCAGCGGTGAGGCGTTGGCATGTGAACCGGGGGAGTGGATATTCTCCGAAGCAGCTGTTGTGTGGTACTTGGTGATGTTGTAATGGCTGCGTTGTTGAGAATGGTGAGCGGGTGCTGTGGGCAGCGCAGATTGCTTTGTAACAAAATAGGCTGAATATGATCGGCGAGATTGAGTTTCAAGCTGATGCATTTGGTGTGTTAAGAAGTTGCGAGCAATGTGTTGTCGAAGTGGCTGAGTGCCCTTCATGTTCAAGATTCAATGAAGATTACGCGTCTGCTGGCATGGTACCGAAGGAACCGAGAGAACGTTCCGGCTGTTGCACTGGAATGGCGGTGAATCGAATACGAACTGTCAGGACCCGCTCGACTGACGCAACAGACGCATGCTCGTTTCGTGCTCATTGCTTTCCACTGTGCTGGAGTTGATGAGTTAACAACGATGTTGCAGAGTAAGATAATGTCACCTGTGTAGGTCGAGACTGAGCGTGGTCGAACCGAAATGGGTATTGTTGTACGTTTCTTACTGCCAGAACCACCAGCTCCCTCGCTATATGCAGGTATTTCGATCGAACAAAGTAGTTGGGGGATAAGTGTGTATAATCCACAAGAAGGTAGCCAAGAGTGGCGTAGCGAATGCAAAAGAAGAAAACCAGGGGGATATAACGACCGCATAAGCGGCATGCATGCAATAATGTAAAACAATGTTCCGACCGCTAGTGGTACAGATACAGCCTGAAAGATCGTCAGAACTTGGAGAGGATCCATGCACGTGGTGAGCCGCTCTCAACCAAGAAAGTCCGCAAGGTTGGTTTGCCATACTAAGGACTTCTGGCCACCGCCCAAGACAGCATGGCCATGTCACAGATGCGAGCCAAGACTTGCTGTGAGCCTGCACGGCTTTCGTGGCTGATGAAGGACATAGCAACATGAAGCTTGCTTAAGTCGCTGTCCTCGTGTGGGTCCATTAACTGTGGTAGCGCGTTCGGAAAGCCTCCTATCCGCGCTCCGTAGTGTCGGGCAACGGCTATCGAGTAGATGGCGTCTCGCACTTCCTGTACACGCAGCACTGTGCGCATCGTACCAAGAGCAATGTCTGCAGCGCCAGGCGGTGCACGCTCATCGCCAGCATAGCGGACGAAGTCGCCAAGGTTGAGCCAGAAATCAATCTCGTGTTTCTTCTCCTCGTGAATGTCTTCGGGGTATGAGATATCACGTAGAGGATTTATCTCAAGGTTCGAGTTGGTCAGCAAAGCTTCCAGTACATCGAATCGAGCGCGGACTTCTCTCAGCACTGCTTCCTCAGACTGTGCGGGGTGCGCATCGCCCTCCTCAGGCTTGACACCATTGGTAGCCGGTGATGGGAGCTTGCACGACCCTAGCAAGTGCCAGATAAGTCGAGCCTCTTGACTGAAAACGCTTGACATGTCTGCTGCACTGTTCTGCGTCTTGATCGTTTCTGTGAAGAAAGCAGCCTCCTCGTGCAGGGCCTGGTTGGTGAAGATGCGGTGAACGGCGTTGCTGTCCTTCGAAAACCACGTCGTTTGCAGCATGTAGTCGAGACCTTGGACATAGTCGTTGACGAAGATCTGAGAGAACTCCTGGTCAATCTCAGGTGGTGGTGGAGCTGTCCGGGGAGGGACTTCTGGTGGGCTGTGGTTGCAAATGCCAAAGATGTCAGCGATGTTGAGTCGTTTGCCCTTGAGCGGCTCTGGTGGAGGCGGCGGGTGCGCGTAGCTCTGTTGCCTCATTGCAGGGTCCATTGGCACGCCGTTGTACTGTGGTTGACTTGGATGCATTCCAGGTACTGCGGCGGCAGCGAGTGCAGGGTCGATGGCGTTGAAAGCTTGAGGGTCATGGGTAGCACTAGGGGCAGCGGCGGCAGGTGCGTAGCCGGCAGAGGAGGCAGGCGCATACCCTTGAGGGACCTGACTTTGGAAGTTGGCAGGTGCAGGTGGGGCTTGCGCGGGCACGGGTGGAGTCGAGGAATGTGGTGTTGGTGCAGAGTTGGGCGCTGGCTGTATCTGGGCCGGACCGGGCTGCTGCTTAAAGATGGGGTCGTACCCAAGACACTCGCGCTTGCTCTTCTGGCAGTTTCTGCAGGTTGGATGCGCTTCGTCGCACTGCGTTCAGTGAATGTTAGCGCATGTGCAGTTGATGTTGCGAGGTCAGGTTAGAGGTGTCGATAGTTCGGCTCGCTCGCTTCATGGTGGCTCGGTTAGGAGCAACGACCGCTGTCTCTGCGAAGCGACACCTCGCACCTCACGCGTCACGACGCGTCTGCCAATCGCAGGCCATTGAAGTCCGCACTCACCTTGATTCTTCTCTTGCGACATGTGAGGCACCCGGTCTTGGTGCGACGCTTGATCTCTTTCTTATGGCGACCGCCGGACAGCACGCGCTGGTCACCCGGTTGCGGGGGCAGCTGGTAACGCATCGCATTGTACTGCGCGGGCCCCATGTTCATGGTCTGCCCTGGGTGCGCATAGCCCGGCGGGGGGTAGTGCTGCTGCATTGCGTGCTGCGGCGGAGGCAGCGGCGAGCCCATGGGCTGCTGCGGTGGTTGCTGGTGCTGCTGGTGCGGCGGCGGTTGCTGGCCGTCTTGCAGGCGTATCGGCGGCAGATTCAGCGGCGGCAGCGACATGTTCGCTCCAGGCGGTGACCCGCGGTAGGGCTCGCCGCCGGGCTGCCCTGGCGGAGGGTACGAGTACGTGGGCTGCATTGAGGTGGGTGAAGGGTAAGAATGCGGCGAGGCATAGGCACCAGCTTGGGGTTGTTGTTGCGGCTGCTGCTGCGGCTGCTGTTGTTGCGGCTGCTGCTGTCTCGCCTGCTGCTGGTTCAGATCGGCCATACTGGATTGCGAAAAGTGCGATGGGGCGGGCGAGTAGGGCGCCGGGTTGACCTGCAAGGGCACAGAGGAAAAATCGTGTGACATGGGCTAGCAATGGTCGATGCCACCCTCGAAGCAGCGCTGCCTGGGTTTGGGTAGACCTGAGGGAGCACGCAGCCGCAGCTCGCTTGAAAGCTTAAGGGTCGGACGCCAGCAAGAGGGAAGAGGGACGGCTGGACTAGGATCTGTTGGCGAGGCGTGGGCCAACCCGATGGGGAAGCTAGAGGACTAAAAAGTGGCCAGGGGTGCCTCGGTTACCGTCTTGGTCCTCGCTGCAAGTTGACCTGCGTCGCGGGAAGATTAGCAAGAGGTCGTGTCGCCTTGCCCGTCCTATCATCTGAAAGTGCTGCCGGGCGCGCTGGCGATCACAGCAACCCTGGGCCCTGGCGCGCTGGAGGCACTCAAGCGAAGACACCGAAGCGGCGAAGAACCACACGACAAGAATGCGCGCCATGGCTGAAGGGAGGCACAGAAGAGCGGGCTCGCCAATGTCACCAGTACCACCCGCTAGCCGCGTCGGGCAGGTCATAGAGCGTGGCAGTGCGTCGCGAGATGTGCTGATGTGCTGTTGGACGGCAGGCTGGGAACTTACAGATTACAGATTGCTAGTTCGGCTCGCCAAAAATTCGCTTGAGCCCTGGACTCCCGCTGCCACGCTGACTGGCCGCAACAGGCGTTCTGCAGGCTCGGTTAAAGAGGTCGATGCGTTGGTAGCGATACGCGAACAGTGCAGCGCCGGCGATGACGAGGTGCAATGGATAACGATGTGCGCGCAAGAGAAACTCGAAAAGAACTTGGGGCAGGGAAATCCGGGATGGCGCTAACAGATGTAATCACGTGCACCGGTGGGCGATTTCAGGGCTGCAGCGCTGCACCCTTGGGGAGTAGTTCCGTTAATCAAATCAGCATCCAATGCGGCGTACCTCCACCCGGCTCTGACCACCCATTGGGACTGCGCGCTTGCGCTGGGCAGGTACTTGGGCGGGTCCGCAATGCTCATCATCACCCGCGCTGGCAGTTTGGCCTCTCTGCTCATGCAGCACATGCAGCAAGGCGCGTTGACGTTGACGCGTTCTGCTCGTACAAGGCCAGCCGCGTCACCACAGCTTCTCATTGTGTTTGATTCGATCCAAGGCTGATTACCGCGACACAGACATTGAGCCGTCGAAGTCAGTGGGCCCCTGTTGCCTTTTCAGACATTCGACTTTTGTCTGAACCTATCTAAACACTTGGTTGCCAAAACGCCTTTATACTGACCGGACACCGGCTGATCTCTTTCTCGGGCCGGTATCCCTCTTGTCAACAGTCGACACCATACCTATCACACAAGGTGCTGATCATATGGCTCGGCACATGCAGAGTCATCTCCCAGGTCTTTAGCCGTTACAGCCTCAGTCGACAGCCACTGCGAAGACAGCGAGATTTCAAGATTACCGCTCTAGCAACCCATTTGACGATGACGCTAAGCTCAGCCTTCGTATTGGGAGTGACACACTGTGCTACCGAGGGCTACCGACGGATATCTTCCGCAATTGCACCGTTGAAGCCGTTGTTTGGCAGAAGCTGACGATGACAGTCGTACCAATGTCGAGAGAGTGAGAGCCTAACAATTTCCAGCGAGTATCTGCGTCAAATCTATCTACAGTCAATACGAGAGGGCGAATACAAATGCAGCAATCGATCTGCTCATGCTTTCGAGTTTTAAAAATCGTGCATCTGCTTGATTATCTTTATCTGCTTCCATTGAGCATTTTCGAGTTCTTCTCGCTGTTGCACGAGCAAAGGACCCTGAATGCACGAATGATGTCGATCCGGGTTTGTGGAACGCAGAGCATCCGCAGCTGAAAACGATGCCGCTCACTTCCAAGTTTTCAACATGCTTACTGCAGCAGGTAGAATACCGTTTCTATGAACGTGGAGAGGAAGACAGGACTGCAAATTTTGTATGAGGATACAGGTGCTTCGAAGTCGTCCGCCAACTACAATACGAGGTCAAGGATAGCCCCAGCAACACCTCGTTAACCGACAGCATGGAAGGTTACTCACTTTGCGCCGCCAACCGAGCAGCATGTGCATCATCCTTCAGCCCCGCGCTCAGGAACCTCCGTTTAGTGGCGTACACACACACTCGTCTGTGTTGACGTGTCTCTATCCGCCGCGCGGGTCCGCAGTAACCTATGCGTCTCAGTCACAGACACTCCAATATTCGCAGCCGCAGTTCCCGCGCATTTAGGCCTCTGTCGCAACACCAGGCTGTGATACATGGTGGCTGCTTCCGGTCCGACGAGAGTGACACATGCTCGGTTGGCTGCAGGGCACAGCCTTGTATGCAATATGCAGTCACTCACGGGTGTTGACATGTCCTTGTGTGGATCAGGGCAACGCGCAGATCAAGTCACCAAGCGATGATTGCAGCCATCGAGACTTCGCAATTTACTTGAAGTCCAGACCCGAGGCTGGCTTTGGGCTCAGCGCCTCTATGGACAAGATCAAGCTGCTTACAGAATACCTTCCCAGAGCCACAAGCCACGACTTAAACCATTTCACGAAACAGTGCAGTCATGCCGCTCCAAACAAAGCCTGTACCTTGCAATCCAAAAGCTCGAGCTATGAGTGCCGTCTACCTGCCAGAATGACCTTTTTAAGCGCAAGTGCTCAACCGTCCATACATTGACTGAGCTGTATATCTAAAAATGGTCCCATCGCCCAGATGCGTTCTCAACCGTTCCAGAATCAGTTTGAAACCAGCACAATGAGCGATTCGAAGTCGTGCTCAAGAGCACTGATAGAAGGCAGGATGTGGGGCGAAATGGCAGGGGTGGAGCAGAAATTGCGGGAAAAGGAAAGAGCACCACCAATCGCAGCTCACCCTACTGCGCTTTTCAACATTTCATATCTCCCAACCACACGACTCTGGACGGTCATCAACGCTGCTCTTTATGTCGTAACACACGCTACCACCATGGTCACTGCACGAGTGCCAGAACAACACCGCCGCCAGACCATACGAGCGTGAGTCCTCGCCACCCTCTGCTTTTGCGATTGACTGACGGTAAATAGCTGCAACACGTGCAAGAGACGGAAGGAGAGTTGCGATGGGCACTAACCTTGCGCTCGTTGCACACTACGCAGAGGGGGTGATAGCTGTACTTATCTCCAACCAGGTCAACGTGCAAACTTGCCGCTAGAAAGCACCGTCCGCCGGCACAGATCAACTTTCAGCAACCGCTTCTCAACCTCACGAGTAGAGACGACTTCTTCTTTGGTGACACAGCTAGCATCTCCATCCTGCAGCGTGTTCGCTCACTAGTCGTCGCCTCACTTGGACCTTGCCAGCACGTCGAAGAACCACTGCAGGGCTATCTTGCCCACTTTCGCAGCACAGCTGCGAGCTGGGGTGATGAGGTCCAAGCACCAGTAAAGCCTTCCCAGGATGAGGCCGAGAGTCTGCTTAGCTGGACAATGCGAGCCATGGGCAAGATTCTTGGAGTCCATTGTGACACAAACATCGCTCAGGAGGTCCGGGACTGGCCATCACAAGAGGATGTTGATGACGACCCTTACAACGCAATGTTCTGGATCATCTTAGCAGTCGGCGCCCAATCATCCCCTAATGACAGGGACAAGGTGGCCGAAGCATACTTTCGACGCGGTTCTAGCATCTTGACGGCCTCCAAACATGGATCACGCGAACACGTCAAATACATGACGTTGGTCGGTCCTTCTCCGCATTGTACGATCGGTGGTCGTGATGGATAGTCACTGATCGTACAATTCACCCGCACAACGTGTAAAGATGCTTCCGACTCGATTTGGTGCTGTCACGAAAGCAGCATCGCCTACTGTAGAATACAAGTTTTGCACCTCCCCCACACATCCTACAGTCGGTCGGCGAGACATCGCATGGGCAACTCTACATCTGAGGTTTCGTTGCGCTGATCGTACTTGATGTAGTCAAATATGTCTACCAGACCCTGACCTCGCCTCTTCGGAATGTGCCTAGTCCCTTCCTTGCTCGCTTTACTCGACCATGGGAGATCTAAGCTGTGCGTTAACCCGACCTCCAACATTGCGCTAAACGAAAAATATGGTATGGTCACCAAGCTTTACCTTACTACTATCGCAAATAGAGCGACCATAAACCAGTCTTACTAACTAACATAGGCCCTGTTGTGCGTCTTGCACCAAACCGATACAGTATAAACGACGGCGAAGCCGCCAAGTTCATCCTCGGGCACCACAATGCTCTCGATAAGTCGAGTTTTTTTTTCCTCAGTTCGGGCAGCCAGACGAGTACAATCTTTTCTTTGAGCCGAGCATACCTACTCATGCCAAAGCCAGACGCCCGTATGGCGCAGTTGTGTTCGCATACAATCCTTCGCTCGTACGAGCCATTCGTTGACACATGTAACGCCAGGAGGAGTATGCTCAAGAGGGCAAGATACTGGACATCAGTGAGATGATGCAGTTCTACGCTTTCGATGTGATTGGCGAGATTACAGTTGGCTCTCAATTCGGACTCATGGAAGATAGCGGTGACAAATCTGGCATCATTGAAGCCATTGATGAAAGCCTGGAATATGGTGCCATCATAGGTCTGGTACTTGAGTGGCACCGGTGGATAGGCATGACGGCGGACAAGTTGGGACTCGAACCAAATATCAGAAGCAAACTCAACTTCGTGAACCACCGTCTCGACAACCGAGTCTCAGGACGCACCAAATCATCCGAAGACCGCAGTGACTTCCTCGACAAGATGCTGCCTATGGAGCAAGAAGGCAAAGCAACACGCTTTCATACTCAACAAGTTGCCCCTCAGATCATCGCAGCTGGTTCGGATATGACCGTCATCGCCTACCTCGCCATGTATCCCAACACCCTTGTCGTTCTCCGCCACGAGCTCGACTGAGCCACCGCAGCGGGCACCCTCTCCGACCCAGTGACATCTCAAGAAGCTCAGAAACCTTCCTACCTTCAAGCCGTCATCATGGAGACCTTGCGCTGACCCGCGTAGTCGGTCCTCAGGGCCTCCAAATTGCAGGCCAATTATTCCCACCCGGCACCGAAGTAGGCGTCAATGTCTGGGTAATCCACAACAACAAATCCATCTTTGGGCCTGACGCCCACGTCTTCCACCCAAACGCCGGCTCACAGAGAACAAGGAGGAGCACGCGGTGCTGGACAGGAACTTCCTAGCCTTTGGCAATGGACCACGGACGTGCATTGGCAAGAACATCAGTCTTTTAGGGATGAACAAAGTCATCCCGCAGGTTGTCAAGGATTATGATTTGAGATTGTGCCAAACGAGAAGGGGGAGAGGTATACATAGAGGACGAGGTGGGTTTCTAAGCCGAGCTTCAAGGCAGTAGTCAAGAGGAGGGTGCAGAAGGCTGAGTGATTTGATGAGTGTTAAGCACTTCACATTCCAGTGGGTTATTTGGCAGCCTGCATTCAGATGTAAGCTTTTCTGATGCATTTACTGGTAGCATAGCGAATCTCTTCTCTGTTTCAATTTTCAGCCTCGATGATTGATGGTGTACATATCTAGCAATGACATTTCACAGCACTTGTCTTCATCGTCTTCAAGCCAGGACATAACCCGGGCCAGGCTATCTGTACCTCGCACTTCATCGCCCGAACGCGTAAAGCTTGCGATTCTAATCTTGCACACGTAGTAAACGGTCATCAAAGACGTCAAACCCGTCAGGAAAAGAGTCACGAAGCCTGATTTGCAAGCAATGTAACCCCCACAATCGCTCATCTGACCATTGTTGTCCACTTGTAACAGCCGTCCACAACGAACGATTGCATGTCGGACCGAGATACCGCAACGCTTGAGCGAGATTCCGCGACACTTGAAGCCTTCCCGGAGATGTGCCGTCAACCGAACCCCAGTTTTGGGAACAAGGCCTCGCCAATTACGGCAAGCACGGGGACTAGCACTGCATGTGGGGGATCTTCTGTGAACATCTTTCGAAGCCATGTTTGCTGACACTTTCCTCGCACTTTCTTCGCACTTTGCGAGCGTGGGTCAAACGCCCTTTTGTGGCAAGAGACGGCAGTACTAAAGGTGAGGGTTGGTCGTTCCTTCCTCGAGCACGCATTTCGTCATTAATTTCAGTTTTCCGCATCTTCTCTGATTTCACTGCCTCACACTTCCAACACTTCTTTCTGAACTGGGTAACGCTGACCTCAACAGCCTACTTATTACATCTTGTTTGCTGTCCAGACACCACGTGAACCGCAACTTCCACAACCATGACGCTGCATCAGAACGGAGGCTCGTCAACATGTGTTGTCGAGCAGCCAATTGAACTTCAAGATGTTTCCTCTTACCTGCAAAAACCGCAGGAAGCCAAAGAAGTACCAAGTCTCAGAATCTCAAATCGAGCAAGCCAGGATGACGATCCAGTTGGGAGCCTACCATCACCCACCACCCAGGCTGCTGAGAAGCTGGAGCGATGGAATCAGTCAAGAACGAATCTGTGCCGGACCTTTGCTGCTTTCTGGAGTTTCGTCGTTATGGGGAGTAATGACGCTGCATACGGCGCTCTCATTCCATACGTGCGTCTCCTTCAACACCCTAGACATCACTACTAACTCCTCACAGCTGCAAGAATACTACTCCTTAACCTTCATCGTCATCTCTTTAGTCTTTCTCTCGCCCTTGGTCGGCTACACCGCCTCGGCCCTCCTCAACAATACCATTCACCTCAAATTCGGCCAACGCGGCGTCGGCGTCCTTGCCCCCATCTGCCATCTGATTCCCTACATCGTCATTGCTGTGCACCCGCCCTACCCTGCCCTCGTCGTCATCTTCATGATCGCTGGATTTGGCAACGGTCTCGCCGATGCAGCTTGGAACGCGTGGATGGGCAACATGGCGAATCCCAATGAAGTCCTAGGATTTTTGCATGCATTCTACGGCCTGGGCGCAGTGCTTGCTCCCTTGATTGCTACTACGATGATCACCAAGGGCCATCTGCCGTGGTACACGTTCTACTACGTGATGATCAGCATGGCGTTTCTGGAGCTGTGTACTTCGGCTACGGCGTTCTGGAAAGCGGATGGTGCGGCGTTCAGGGCTGCGAATCCGAGAACGGGGAATGGCAAAGACAATCGCATGAAAGAGGCCGTTGTGAGGCTTCCGTACGCCAGGGTGACTTGGCTGTGCGCGATTTTTTTCCTGGGGTATGTGGGCATTGAGGTTGCGCTTGGAGGCTGGATTGTCAAGTTCATGCTTGAAATACGGAAGGGCGGGGACTTCGCGAGCGGTATGACAGCTACCGGTTTTTGGATGGGAATTACTGTTGGAAGACTGGTGTTGGGGTTTGTCACACCAAGAATAGGGGAGAAGCTGGCTATTGCAGTACGTTCCCATCCTACCTTTGGGGGGTTCATATCACTGACGGGGTGTTGCAGATCTACCTACCCATCACCATGGCACTCGAGCTCATCTTCTGGCTCGTGCCGCAGTTCTACGTCTCAGCTGTGGCCGTCGCCTTGCAAGGCTTTTTTCTCGGGCCACTGTTTCCCGCAGCTGTCGTTGCTGCGACGAAGCTGCTCCCTCGACACTTGCATGTCAGTGCAATTGGGTTTGCGGCCGCAATTGGTGGGTCAGGAGCTGCCATCTTCCCCTTCGCGGTCGGTGCGATTGCGCAGGCCAAAGGTGTGCAGGTCTTGCAGCCCATTATTTTGGCGCTTTTGGGTGCGATTCTGGGGGTGTGGCTCTGTCTGCCTAAATTTCATAAGAAGCAGGAGTAGGTCGAAGAGGCGCGAAGTGCAAGGGCGAAGTGCAATGTATGAGAAGTTTGCATTGGTGGGGACAAAGCAACATCAAGATGAGTACACAAGGCTAGAATCTACTACAATTGATGTTTGTCTGCACATTACCCTTTGTGGGTGGGTGCAACACTCAGGGTTCGTGGTGATGGCACGCCTGGGTCGCGATAGGCCTGGCCAAAGGGGACCAGACCCAGCCAAATCGTACGATAACACTTCGATTACAAGAGGCTAGATTTCGCTACTTTCGACGCCCTTCAGTACGGCTGCCTATCCCAGCAGATGAGTGATTGTGCAGGGTACAATCAAGGAGTTTTCAAGGAGATCCAGATGCAGGATAAGTTCAGGGTAACTTGGTAGAAGGTCCGCGGAGGATTGTTTGGAAGATCTGGATCGCGATCTCAGTCTTCGATGAGAGGACTTGGATGTTTCCTAATGCAGTATTGTGAGTTAGGAGGATGGCGAGTAGAGCATGCCCACGATGTTCTATTATTGGGCATGTGCCACGTGGGTAATTGTGAAGTACGTTTGCACGTCCGGTCAAACTCGAAGCATAGTCACCATGTCCGAGACCTATTGGTAGACCTCTAGTAGATGGATAGCGTAGACACAATATGTGCATTCGTAGTTCGTAGATCCTCATGTACAACTAGCATATACCATACATACCATTCCCAGCCAAAGCCCACAACGCCAGACACCTGGAGCAACTGGCTCAACGGGTGCTATGCAAGTCGCGAATCGCTAATAGCATATGTCGCAAGCAAGACTGAATAGTCTTGCAGCATCCACCACCAATGCCTCCCATCGTGCACTGGGTACTTCTTGCCTCGAAGCCACAACAAGCTTTTGCAGCATTGCGTGGCGTGCAGCGTACCTCTTCTCCTTTTCCCATCCCTTAACGTGGTGTTCAGGATTCGGTAGCTTCGACGTCCTCTCTGTCCGTCGAAACGGCCTCAGCCTCGTTCGCCTCGGTCGGCTCATTCGTACCCTCCATAATACGCAATTCCTCGAGACTGATACCCATCTTAGCCGCCAACCTCTCCTCCTCCTTCTTTTGGCGCGCCAACTCGGTCTCCTTGCGCATCGTCTCCAAATTCCACTCATTGCCATCGCCCTCATCGTCTGAGTCGTCATCGCTGCCTGCCCAGTCGCCCTTCTCGAACATAGCGCGTCCAGTGGCTTCTTTGCGCATCTTGGCTTCTTCTTCGGCAGCCTTCTTGTCCAGACGCTCCTTTTTCCATTTCGCAAAGGTCTCGACTGTGACAGGTGTAAGCGTGCCGGTCAGCTTGTGGCGCTCGGATTCGAGGAAGTCTTCGAGGGTGAGTGCGTTGCGGGGGTCGTTGGCTGCGAGGGCTTTCTCGGCTTGGCGCTGTTCGCGGGTTTTGATTATGAAGCTAGAGGACGTTAGTTCTGCGGTTCATTGTAGTAATAGGGAGTGTGAGAACGTACCCAGGCGGTAGCGAGTGCTTGTACATGCACTTGTCGCCTCCATTCGGACATGTCCAGAACCAACCGTACTTCTGGTCCTCGATTGCCTGAATGAAGTATTTGCACACTTTGTCTGTCGTTGTCTTGGGGTTGCCGTGCTTGCTGAGCACAACGTCTCGGAGCTTTTGTTCGTCCCAGTCATCCATGTTGTCCTTCTTCTTGCGCTCCTCTTCCTCCTCCTTCTCCTTGTCTCGGCTGTCTGTGTACAAACTCCTCTTCTCGGTCTTACGCTCGACGTTCAGGTCGTGTGAGAACTTGCATTTCCTGCCCTTCTCGCAGTTGCCCTTCTTAAAAAACTGGCAGAGCACTGTCTTGGGGTCGACACCGAAGGGCACCTTCTGGACCTGAACAGGCTTGAAGAGATCGGCCATCTCCTTCTGAGCAGCCTCAGCAGCCTTCTTCTCTTTCTCCTTCTGCGCCTTCTCTGCAGCCTTACGCTTCTCGTCGGGTGTTCCTCCTGAGGCGGCCGTGGCATGGATCTGCTTGATAGCTTTCTGGGCTGCTCCTCCCTTCTTGTTCTTCATACCGAAGGTCTTGTCGACGGCGACCTTCTTCACCTTGGGCTGCTCGCCCTTGCCTTTAGGAGCCATGCTGGGTAGACGTAAATTTCCTGGGTTGTGTAAAGACTGTGAAGGCGCCCTCGTGGGCTTTTGGCAGACGTGTGTCGCGTGGGCGGTGCGTGGCGGCGCTGTTTGGTACCTGCCTTGGTGGGTTAAAAGTGAGAATGACGATGTGTGGGGTGGGCTGAATTTCGAAGGTGGCGGGCGGGTACTTAGTCTTGGCGCCGCGGCCGACTCGCTCGGGAGCTCAAGGTGGCCTTCACATGAGCTGCAACCATTGATCGACGGTATTGCCTTGACATTTCCGCTTTCGCTTCCAACCCATTCAGAAACTCTACACATAGCTTTGGTATGCTCTGCAGAACTTGATAATCCTAATTGCATTGTCTAACCGCTCCGCAGCAAGCTACAATCGCTCCTTGACCTCTCGCCGACGCGCGTCAACCTCCAAGATGATTACAGACGCCCAACTCTACTCACTGGCTATCTTCCTCGGAAGCGCCGCCATGCTCCTCATCGTTCTCTACCACTTCCTCGAAGTCAACTCCGAAGACCATGCCGCACTCGAGAAGCCAAGGGTCGTAGCCAACAAGGTTAAGGCGTAGGACTCCACGTGGAATGGTGGAACATATGCAAGAGTAAAGGATGGAACGTTTGGGCGGCGAGACATTGATACCATGGTCGAGAGTTGTTGCAAAGGACCAAAAGCGAACAGCGAAGCATCACGGCGTTTGGGCGCATGACTATGCGGAACAGTTGGGTCAAAGTATGAGGCATTGAATCTATTCAAGCTTCATTGTCTGTTTCGAGAGGCGCAATCTCAGTCTTCAATTCTCTGCATCAACGAGTTCCTCTTTTGTCTCGTCAGTGTCGATGAGCCCTCTCCTGCGCTTGTCATTGGCAAGCGTGGCACCTCCGCGGTCCATACCTGGTCCACCCATGCGCCTCTTCTGTGACACCAATCGGTCTTGTGTATCGCGAGCCTCTTGCTCTTGCGCATTCTTTGGCGGGCGACTGCGGCCGCGTGGTGTATGTGCAGAAAGTGGTGGTGGTAAAGGACTACCATCATGAGCAGCAGGGCTTGCTGTAATGCGTGGTGTTACACGACGACCTTGGGCATCGCTGAGGTATGTTTGAAAGTCGTGTGCATCTGGTCAGTCAGCAAGAATTTCAGAATTCGTCCAGGCAGCCACTCAATCTTCCGTACCAGATAGTCCATCAGCTGGTCCATCGCCCTGCTCCCATGCCAGAGGGTCAAAGTGGTTCTGCTGGATGTGCTCATGCCACGCATTCTCGGTCCTAAAAGCGTGAGAAGTGTGTCGCTCAATGCTCATATTGGTCATAGGTTCGAAGCTGGTGACCTCTTTGCCGCAATCGTCCCACAAACACTCCAGAGTGTGGCGCAAAGTCTCCTTCTTGTGGACCTTGAAGACGTGCTTCTTGAGCGTCTCGAGGTTGTGCAGTTCTGCCTTACAGTTTCGCCACTTGCACTTAAACGACTGGTATTGAGGGACACGGTTTGCAACGCTTGGTGACCGAGAGTCGATGCGAATGGGCTCTTCGCCAGTTCTTACGTTGCGCAGCGTACTTGGCTGTTGAGGCTCATACTTTCCTGTATGGCCGTTCAGTCCAGGACGTTGCTGTGTAGCAGCAGATCCATGGGTCGCTTTACGCCAGCCGACCGGGCGATCCTTCTTCTTAGACAGTGGTTTACCATCAGGCCCAAACTCGGTCGCAGAACGGAAAGCAGAGTGCCCAGCGCCAGCAGCAGCAGAAGGTCGCGGAGCACTCGCGCTCATGTTCGCGGAGCTTGTTTGTATATTCGGGGTTGACGGCGTTGTTGTGTTGGGGAGTGAGTGACGCGGTGGTCGACCGCGTTGCTTCTGTTTCATGAACGGATTGGTCGCCTCGGAAAGCGCTTGGACCCTCACGCTTTCCCCGCCAGTCGCGTGTGACGAAGATCCCCGACGCGCCTCTCTTTCCCTATCTTCGTTTTCAGAATCATCCTCGTCATCCGCATCCTCTATCAGAGCTTGAACTCCGTCCTTGAAATAGCCAGGCGGTGGGTTTCCAGGGTCGATCAAACTCCACTTGATGGTACTGAGATCTGACTCGTTCGATATCTGCGGGAAGTGGAGCTTCAGTACGTCAAGATGCTGGTTGAGTGGGCGTTCTGAAGGATGTCGTCCACATGCAAGTAACACGTTTCGAGCAATGGTGGCTGGGTTGTAAGTGTTGCGTCGAAGTGCCTTCTTCTTGTCCAAGGGCTCGACAATTGCCCTGTATCGTAGCTCGCTCGCGGGCATGGGCACCGTCCGAGGGGTTGGCTCGTCCATCACAGGTGCAGGGATGCTTGCTGTTGGGAAATTGTGAACAGGCACAGCATCGACCTCCATAGCGCCGTCGATGTGTGGATGCGGTGAGCCATATGTGTACATCGAGTCTGCGTTGAGCCTTTTCATGGGTAGCCCCATGTCGTCTTCATCATCCAGTTGTGTCAAATCAATTAAGTCACTCAAGTTACGTTTTCTCGCTGCTTCCTCTTTGTTGGCAGGCGGCTTCAATCCTGGCTTGATGGGAATCATCTCGGCAACAGGTATGGGTGATGGTGCCGCCATGGCATCGTTATCTGGAAATGGAGGATACGGTGATCTATTCATCGGTGAAGCCGCTGCAGGAGCGTAACGTGGGCTGGGAGCAACGGGTGTTACAACGGGGTTCTTCATGACCGCTGGTGGGGCGGGATGCTTCATGACTGCGGGTGGTGCGGGAGCCTTTAGTGTGGCAGCTGGAGGGACAGGTTGCAGAGCCGTTTTGCGAGATGCAGAGTTTACATCTGGCACAGCCGAAAGCAGGCTCTTCGCAAAGATCGAACGGTCCAGCTTGAAACCCATTTCCTCCAGTTGCTCGCACAACTCAATGTATGAGGGATTGCTGTTGAGCATCTGGAGGATCTGCCCAGCCTCCAAAGGACGATCTAGGTTCTTTGTTGCGAGGTAATGTGCCGCAGCTTTTGCGAGCTCCAGCTTCATGTCAGGCGGCCAGATGGTGTTTCCTCCTATTCGCAGGGGTGTAGCTGCCGGGGCTCTCGCAGGTACAGCTTGAGCCTGAACAGACGTGGCCGCCTTCGCGCTCGGCGAACTCAGCGACTCTCGTGGGGTCGCCTTCTTTCTCTGGTTCGCAACAGGAGGTGTAGGTACTTGTGCGGGCGGGACGACAGCTGAATGAGGTGCCGGTTTTATCGTGACAGTCGGTAACTTGTTGGGAGCTTTGCTCCCCCTTTCCTCTACCCAAATTCGCGCAAGCAGCTCAGGGTCTTTACCGATGAACTCGCGCACCTTGGCGCGAATCTCTGCTTCTAGCTCTGAGCCGCCAGCTGACGCTTCAGCGGGAGCAGCTGCAGGGATCGCCGCCTGCTTCTGAGCCTTCTCGGCGCTCGTTTTCGGTTGACTGCCTGCAATCTGCGCCTGTCGAGCCTCTTCCTCCGCTTCTTTCTGCTTGCGCTCCTCATCTTCTATGCGTTCTTTCTCCTTGCGAGGAGCCTCCTCCTTCCTTTCCTTCTCAGCACGCTTTGCATCTTTTATCGCTTGCTGTCGTTGGTATTCGGGCCAAGGGTCGTACACAGCTGTGGGATCGACCGTGGTGCTTGACCCAGTGTGGGGCTCAGGTGTGCTTGAAGCAGGCGGCTGGACAATCGGCGCAGGTGGTCGCGGCGCATACGAGGTCGACGGTGGCACGGTATGAGACGATTGCGAGCTGTCTACATAAGGAACTTGTCGACGGCTATAGCCAGCATATTGCTGCGATGTCCTTGCTGGGGCCATAGCGGCATTCCTGCTCGCAGCTACCGCATTGATGTGGCTACTCGTGAAGTTCATATGGCGCAAAACCTCAGCAGTACGACTGTCGTTATCCCTTGTTGTGCGGTAGCTGTCGCCACTGCCACTCCATATACAGTCTTGCGTAGTACCATATCCAGTGCTTGACGTGCTATACGATGGTCCAGAACATGGCAGATAGTATGGAGATTGATTTGTCGCTGCAGAGGGTGGCTGCTGGTACTGTCGCGATAATTGCGCATTGGTGTTCGAGGCCGGCGCAGTCTGATGTGATGAGTACTGCTGCGCAGAGCTCTGTTGGTGGTAAGAATAATTGTATGAGTTGTAGTTGTCCGACATCGTTACGAAGACCTAAAGACCTAGAGACTTTCTGAAAGCGGCAATCCGTGTTAGAGTGGCTTAAAACATAAACCGTAATACCGCATTGGGCAGAGGTGAAATTCGTGGATTGTGGGGTGCACTTCGTGGTGATGACGCGTTCGTTGAGTAAAACAGCGTAAACAACAGTACTGCTGTATAAGCTTCGCAGCCGCTGAACGCGCGAAGAAAGGAAAGACGCGTTGAGGTGGTGACGTTGCTGGGATGGCGATGGAAGATGTGATGCACGCGTTCGTTGGTTGCACCACCCAGCGACGGAGCCAAGCCGTCCGTGCAGCACACTAGTCCGCTCGCTTCGCATTGCTAGGCCACTCCACTCAATATTCGCAGAACTTCTCCAGCGCTGAACTTCAACTTCTCGTTCTACTAACCCCATCTCTCGCCAATCTACAGCAGCAATGGCCAAGATCGTGTCAAGCTCTCGCCGCAACTCGCGAAAGGCGCACTTCAGTGCGCCGAGTAGTGTGCGCCGGGTCATTATGAGCGTATGAGGAGTTGCTTGAACATCGGATGGTCATGTTCTAACAATCTTCAGGCGCCTCTGAGTAAGGAGCTTCGCGAAAAGCACGGTGTGCGCTCGATCCCCATCCGCAAGGATGTAAGTACAGCTATTTCTGCGCGACTGTCAAGGTTTGCTAACGTTTTGCAGGACGAGATCCAGGTCGTCCGTGGCTCCAACAAGGGCCGTGAGGGCAAGGTCAACTCCGTCTACCGCCTCAAATACGTTATTCACGTCAACGGCAGTACGTAGCCACTACTCCGATCGAGTCACACGACCGCCGCTAACCACAATACGCAGTTGTCCGCGAGAAGTCCAACGGCCAGTCCGTCCCCGTCCCCATCGCTCCCTCCAAGGTCGTCATCACCAAGCTTAAGCTCGACAAGGATCGTGAGCAGATCCTCGAGCGCAAGAGCGCTGGCCGCGCCGCCAAGAAGGAGAAGAATTCCGCATAAGCGTTTCACCACCTTTTGTACTTGACGACACATCATGGCTGCGACGCCCCGGAGCAATGGCGCGGGGTGTCTCCTTCCTTTCGAGCGGACGGAATAAAAGTCGGTTCATACCATTTGGGCTGCAAGAATATGGGCGTTATACCGGCTTCTAGCTCGAACAATGGATTTGCCGAACACTCGGCCCTGTCGAAGCTTTCTTCTGCAATGATACCACGAAGGAATTGGGATACGACGACGAATAGAGAATTGTTGATCCAGCCTTCGGTCGTGTGATACTGTGATGCTCCCACTTTCCTTGACACCGCTAGAATATCTGGTCATCAGCTCCTACATAATAGCTGCTTGTACTTATACGACTAGCGAAGAACGAACTCAGATGGCTTAGCCATCGCTCGCCTGCAGACCGCCTTCGAGATGACAATGAAGGAGGTGGTTTGATGGTGACCGACATACCATACAACTGAATACCACTCTTTACCTATTGTTCACCTGTCTTCTTCAACCGCCTATGTCGCGACTCGATGAATACATCCGACACTGTTTGATCCTTCGACAATAACGCAGCAAAGTAAGTGGCTGACCACCAGCCCTCTTTCAACACGGTTCTGACTTAAGATATTTGTCGTCTAAAGTGGAGACTGCAACAAGATGTCAGCGCTCTCCAACCCTACCAAGATCCCTTGTCCAATGTTAAGTCGCTGCCACGGCACAACGGCAGCGTAAGCTTTCCAACGCTTCATAATCTGAATCAGCAGGCTAAAGCCAAGGATCCATCTTGTCAGTAGCACTGCCTCAGTGGAGTACATCACAGCCGAGTTCTGTGCGAGAACATAGAGGTTAATTTTCTTTCTCAAAACAGTCTGTTCCTTCTGCTTCCCAGCATCTGTCTTCTCAATTTTTGTTCTCAGCGACGCATTGATTTTGATTTGCGGTCCGTCAGGTTAAGTCAATCGAGTTGCTGCTCAGTCCTCGAACGGTCAGACGTTGGACTTGTAACGTTCGGACAGAGTGTGGGTCTGCTGGATTTTGTGGCCAATCTTTCTGCTCAATAATCACAGCGTCAGTGATGTAGCATGTCAGATACTGTTGGCTGCGCGTTTATGATACTCGCATTTCTGGGCATGCGTTGGAGCCTGCTCGACTTAAGGGACAGACGGGAGAGACCAAGTGTCATGATGGCGATGGGCATGTGTCGTTGTAGTATCTGGACACACACTCTTATGAGTGCACCTCAGTAGTTTTAGATCCTTATGTGTACTGTGTCGATTGTCCCTCCCTGCTCGCCTTGGACTGTTTGGTAGTTCTAGGCAGTCGAGGTGGCTTTGGACAGATCATTGTCAAGAAGTCAGCACTGCTGCTGTGAACCAATGTAGGCAAAGAGAAGTTAAATACGCAGTGTATTGTTTCCAATGTCTGGGTGCACAGGTTATCTTCGTGTTAAAATCGCTTGCAGCTAGGTTGTATGGTCGATCGATGATAGAGTTAGGGTGGAATGTCCAGAGGCGGAAGAAAAGACGTTCTTGAGTTTGGTTCTTGTGCTTCGAGAATGCTTTGCAAATGCAACTGTATTATGTACTTTAGGTATTTAAGTTAAAAAAATCACGAGATGGAACTCAGAGAGTACGTCAACGGATTGTGGTCGCCCTGGTCAACAAATTCGTAGTCAAAGTTGAGATCTGATACCGCTCAAAGTCATGATGGCACAACCAGCAAAACGAAAAGTCTAGAACCAATGCAACTTGTCCATCTGAGAAGAGGAGAAAGCTCAAATGCCATTCGAGAAGAGCGGTCGTGCAGTTTGTGAGGTCATGTATAGCCAGTGTTGCTAGTGTGAGTAGTGTGTGAAGTGATCTTCACAGCAATTTCATTCCAATTGCCCTTCGTCTGGTACCCACGCTGCCTCAGAGTGCAGACTCATGCTTGCACATCTTGTGCTTCTCGGAAAACGTGATCGCACCGACTATGCAATCGCAGCGTTTCACGTGCTTCCCCAGATGGAAGTATCGACGAACGCATAATGATCGCGGGAGTGACAATGACAGTGAAACGCTCAACGGGAAGCAGATCCTTGCTGTGGCCGGATATCACACCGGAAGTGTTGTGGAAACAATCAGATCGCATGAGCAACAGGTGGGTAGGGTAATTTTCCACGTCTCACAATTGTGGACTGATAAACAGACAGCGGAAGGGAACAAAAGCTCACAGCGATCGTCATGAACAGGTTGACGTCAAACCGGCAGTCGTGAGAAGCAAAGTGTTCAGCATCTCGATGGATGTCAACGAAATCGTGGCAAGTTGTCGTTGGAGTAGTTCGATAGGGTGACCCCAGCTCGTTGTCGCTGAGGAAGGTTTTCGAAGGAAGGGTTCCATGTTCTCAGGCGCCGCAGCCTAGGCCATGCTTCAAATTGATGAGTTGCGATTGTGGCCATTTCGCCGTGATGCCATTGCATTGAGGAAGTCACCGCCTTCTCGTATGCTGCTAGGCTAGTCTCAATACTGACCGTCCGGGACAAAGAGCTGCCGCAAGGCGAGTTGCCAACGAAGCCGTATTGCGTTGGGTCGAATACGGTTGTGGCATGGCCGATGGCTCGTGTAAGAGTTAATTTTGGAGGCATCAATCCTCTGGTCGACAATTGAAAGTGTCGTGAAAGTCGATCATCGCAATTTGCAGAGAGCTGCGATGACGCTGAAGATCGTGAAGGAAGGCTGACTGGAGTGGCAGCTGCGTTCAGCTCACCTCATTGCTAGACCAGCTGGTGTCTGGGCCAATCCCGGTGGGTCGTCACTGCCGGTTTCAACGTCAAGACCGGCTGCAGACTCCGCGCTCCACTCAGCACCAGCGCCCACCGTCTGAGCGCGCGCCTCCGACATTACAATCATCATGCCATCCGTTCACAACTGCGAATCGCTTGGAATGCAGTGTGATTGCAATTGTGACAGCAACTGGCGACTGCCAGCAAGAGCGACTCGCCGTGCGACAACGTCGACAAGCACCTAAACTCGAAGGTCAGATGACACCAGTTCGTATCAGGAAGCATTCGCCAGCACTCCACTTGGGTGCATCCTTCGGCTCCAGCGGTGCGCACACTGACGAACGCTGCCAAGAGGGAACATGTCGACATGCATGCGAAAAGGTTTCAAGTGTGCCTCTGTACGGTATTCAAGATGCCACTGTGCTCCATGCCTTTTGAGGCAAGGCGTTCGCGAATTCAGGCAGAGAGTCAAGCCAGTTTGTGCTGATTCGTGAACTCTTGGAAGAAGCGGAAGGTGATAAACATCCTTGCTCACGCATTCGTGTCGAGGTTTCACGAATGCTGGGACACGAATCGGGCCCAAGAAACGGCACATCAAAAATAAAACTTCACGATGGCTGCGTGGGTCGTGTTCTACGGAAGCAGTTCGCCGTTGACCCGCAGCTGGACTGTTCAGCAGAGTCACCTTCAGCACAGCTGGACCAGGAAGACGTTCCGACAGTCGATGGTGTGTGTTGCTGCAGGGCGAGGAAATGCAGCTAAACGTTAGATCAGGCATGGCAGGGCGCGCCGGACTTTCATTGGGCTGCCTCACTGTTTGCCCCTGAATGGCCCGTCTGCTAGCCTGTTTGAAGGGATGCCCACCGCAGCCACCCTTGCACGACCATGAGCGCGGACGGACCCCTTGTGAGGCCTCTGCGGACTCCTCGTCGTCGTTCAGGCTCACGTCTCTTCCCCAGCCGCTGCAGACGAGTGCCTGAATAGCCTCACCTTAACGACATACTACCGCACACCGCTGGGCTGTGCTGCTTTCCCTCCTTTTCGCACATCACCCGCTCGTATACGCGTACTCTCTTTGACAGAGGGTACTCTCATCGCTCGCTGTGCATTCTTTCAGCTGCCCTGTCTCAGGCCAACGTTCGTTTGAAGGTCACTGTCGCGCTCTATCCTAGTACCTGTCTTCGATTCGAGTACGTGTATCGCAATCCAGGTTGAATCAACAACACTGACTTCGCGTCTTGCTACAGCTTACCTAGCTGACGGCCCTCGGACGCGATCAGACCATCGCAGTACCCGTATCTATTCTCGTATTTTCGCCTCTACCAACGGACTTCGTACCTAGGACAACGCTGTCGGTCCTCATCGCCCTATCGCTTTGTCCGGTCACGACCAGACCAACTGCACTGCCTACTGTTGTCTTGCACACAGCCATCGCTTGTTCAACACTCACGCCAGCTTTCACTTCTTGATCCCTTCATTCGATATGCGCAGCTTGTCTGAATACTAGCCGTTTATCGTTTGCTATCGCTGGTGTCTTGACTTGGTACTCGGGTACCCTGTCCCTTGCTTTCGCCCTACCCTCTTTTGGATACATTAATCAACCGCATGCAACATGAAAAACGGCTACCCAGAACCCGTGTACGACCTTACCGGGCATTGCTCGATCGTATACGATAACACACTTTACGCATACTCATCCGCTGGGTTTCAGTCGCTGGCATTGAAAGAGGGGGCACAATGGGAGAAGCTGCCTATGGACATATCGTTGACAGGAGCCCAGTGTGTGAAGACATCGGATAAGCTTTACATTGTTGGAGGGTCCCCAAACGCAACCGCCGCAGAGTGGAATTACCCTGGATTGATGCACTACACGTTTTCGACGAAGAAGTGGGACTGGCAACGATCAGAAAGCTGGAACACGCAGAACCGACAGAATCATGGCGCAACATATCTTGCTGGATCGGATAAGATTCTTGTCTACTCAGGCTCTCAGAAGACTGGAGACATGGGTGCCTCACCAGAGACCTTCCTATTCTCTACGAAGGAGCCGTTTGCCGTACAGAGTTTTCCTTCAAACGGCGTACCTCCATCTGTAAAGCCTATGCTTATGGCATGGGATACGACCTCTGCTCTGATGATTGGAGGTGGTGCGACAAACGCCGCTGCTTGGACTTTCAGCGAAGAGAAGGGGTGGGAGAACTTGGGCGTCTCATTAGACTCGGGCATTGTGAACCAAAACTCTGTCCAGTGCACTGTTGTTATTGGGACAGATGGAAGCAAGGTTCTGCAAAAGTTCGACATGGGAGTCTCACCCAACAAGGTCGAACGCCTCGTACTCTTAGGCGAAGGTGGAGTCGTGGCTGAGACCGGAACCACCGTTGGTGACAAGGCAAAGCGAAACACCATTGCCGACTGGCCAACCTACAACGCAACTTCCGCTCCCACATACACAAGATCGGATTTCACTGTCGCTCAAGGCGATGACGGAATGACCGTTGCTCTCGGAGGAAACACACAAGACCCATTGTGCCTCTTCAATGCGAAAGAGAACGCATGGATAAATGCGACCACCTTCTTCGGTGGACAAGAAGTGTTGTCTGCATCAGAGACATCCTCAGTCTCGAGTAGTCGCCCCACAGCGACAACGTCATTGACTGCATCTTCCAGCGCCTCTGCCACAGACTCAATGGCGGCAGCTGCAACACCGCCGAACAACAAGTCCAAGATGCTGACTGTCCTCGGTGCGACACTTGGCACCATCTTCGGCATTGCTGCAGTCCTGATCTTGATCTTGTTCTGCTTGAAGTACAGGAAGAACAAGGTCAAGAAGGGACAGCAAACCGGATATGTAGAGCGTGAGAAGGATCGTCTTAGCTTTGCCGACCGTGGCGCAGACTTCATGAAGGAGGCTGGCGGATCGGTAGCAGCCTACAACCTTCCACAGGGCAATGACTCTACTACGTCTCTGGCCATCATTCAGGGCCGAGGAGGCAATGGCCACAAGAAGAACATGGCAAGCGATGCTAGCACAGCAGGCCTCGTTAAGAAACCTAGCCCACTTGCATACTCGCAAGAGCCATACGAGCTGTCCAAATTTGACTTGAAGCCTGAGCCTGTGGAAGAGAAGATGGTACGACAGAACTCTGGTCGAAACCCACCTGTGAACAAGAACAACGAACGAAGTCGAAGCTCTGGATGGAGTCGATACTTCGCTAACAACGAAGCCACCAACCTTGCTATGCCGGTCAACAACGACAACAGGTCCACATTTGCTTCAGACAGGAGTAGCATGCTCAGCCAGTCACAGTACACCAACTCACGAATGCCGAGCCAACATCCTTCGACGTATATTCCCCCGCTTGAGATTCCCAAGTTCGACGGCCAGCGTCTCAGCCGGGTAGCCAGTGGAAGTCCAACACTCGGCAGCATTCAAAGCCAATCCCTTCCACACCAGCCCATGCAAGCAGAGCTCGGCCGTGCCAACTCCAACGGTAGCTCAAGATCTGGTCTTAGCCACAACGAGGAGCACTACTTCCGCAATCCTGTCGAAAGCTGGACACCAGTCGGCGATGTCGGTCGGCCACCTAGCAGTGCATACACTGGCAGCATGATCATCGAGCCGAACAACAACCACAAGTTCGACGGCGCCAGCTCGTACTATCCCGATGACGGCAACTCTTTCTACCCGAAGAGTAACTTCAGCTCGTTCTACCCTGGCCAAGGCAAGAACTCGCTTGATGTGCCCGATGCTCGCGGTAGCACATTCACCATGTTCCCTTCAGGACAAACAACTGCTGCACCAGTTGAGGAGATGCCCAAGAGCAAGTTCAGCTCCATGTACCCTGTACCGCCTCGTCTAGGCCTGACACCGCAGGACCGCGAGAGCACAGTCACCGTCTTCCCAGGCCCACATCAACCTCAGACAGCACAGATTGAAACCATGCCGAGTCCGACGTTCAACTCGTTCCACCCGGGCGTTCCACGCATAGGCCATGACAGCACTGCCACGATGTTCCCAGGAGGCCCACCTGGCGGGCCAAATCCTCCGAACAATAAGGAGGGTGACAATATGTCATGGCTGAACCTGGGCACAAGCCGGTAAAACTGGCACGACCCAACCGTCTATCTATCTTGACAGACACAACGCATATACACAAACGGTTCCGGAAAAGCATTACCATCAGTCAGCGACGGATCACCTATTGCTTGTACAACCAGCTGTTCTCTTCATTGATCGAGCATGCATTCTTAGCGCCGGGCGTCTGCTTTCGTTTGAATTTCTCGCGCCATCGAAGCTCACGCTTCACGACCACCCCGCTGGTCATACAGATACCCGACGCAGTACCTACTTGCATCAAAGCACCTTACCAACCACCACCACCATATCACCGTATCTGTAAATACTCTCCATAGCTTGTCGTCTCTTGTTGACCACCATTTCCTCTTCTCTTCTTGTTTGCTTGAACTGCATTCCATTCACCTGTGCATATAAGTACACATTTCCTTGTCCGAGAGTTGAAGGCGTCGCAAGATGGAAGGCAGATTCTCTGTATGTAGTTAGTAGATGCTGCCCTGTATTGCAGCGATGCGTCCAAGATGGACGAACAATAGTAATGATGAAATCGTGTTGATCAAAGGGTTTCCTCTTTCGCAAAATGACATGCTTCCGTTTCTTAATGGTGGAGGCTCTTGAGAAGATGGTGTCTGGAACCAAGGTGGACAAACGGACGACTGGCGCATGAACGTCATGTTGACATTCTCTCATCTTATGCATCGGCCGAGTCGTTCTCCTAGTCTTGAGGCTCAAACCTCTTGGCTGGAAAAATGCCAACAAGACTTCTCTCTCCAACCAAACCACACCTTTGGGCCTCGGCAATCGGACTGTTGCCCCGAGCGCCGCCATCTAACAGTCGCAGAGCCGCTCACCGACTCAACACGCAACACTGCTAGCGGCCGGCAAATTTCTTCCAGGCGCACGTAGCCATGTATACCGCCGCAAGGTTCGCCGTTTCGAGGCATGTGGGACTCGGGGTTGCGCGTGGTAGTTTTGCGCTTGCGCCTGCACGGGGCGAGTTCGGCCGTGGAGGTGCGAGATGTATAAAAGAGATATCCCCAAAACGTGTGGGCCAGATACGGTATCAGAGTAGTGCTGGTAAGTACTTACAACCGCCCTCCTATATAGTGATCTCTATACCGAGATTACTATACCGTTCCGACTGTATAGCTAATACATCCTAGCATCAGAAACTCAAACCAACACCCAAATCCCTACACCACCCACCACTTCCAAACGACCTCTTTACATCAGGCTTCCAATCGCCCTCGCCCTCACACTCTTCACCTTCGCAGCAGGCTTCACCATGGCCGGCGCTACCGCGATAGAATCGATCCGCGCAATCGCCAATCCTCCCAGCGACGAAGAAACACTCACCCTCTTCACACCCTCCACCGCTGAAGTCGCCGCAATCGAGAAGAGCATATTCACGCACCCTTTCACAAAGCGCCTGCTCGACGACGAAACATACATTGCTTCGCGCCCACACCTCAAGATCCCCGAGCAACTGCGCGCGCAGAACTTGACGGGCGGAACGCTCCTGGGCGCCGACAAGATTGCAGTCCCACCTCTGCAGTTCAGCACCGCAGATGGCAGCAAATTTGTGTCTATCCAGTACCTTGGCTCCGCGCTCTGCGGACACCCGGGGATCGTTCACGGTGGGCTGCTTGGCACATTGCTCGATGAGGGGCTGGCACGGTGCTGTTTCCCTGCGCTGCCGAATAAGGTCGGTGTCACAGCGAGCTTGAACATCACGTATAAGGCGCCGTGCATGGCCAATCAGATTGTAGTGCTTGTGGCGGAGACGACGAACGTTGAGGGGCGCAAGGCTTGGGTTAAGGGGCGGTTGGAGACACTGCCGAAGACGGAGGAGGAGAAGCCGGTTGTGCTAACAGAGGCCGAGGCGCTGTTTATTGAGCCGAGGCAGGCGGCGCAGATGAGGAGGGTTGTCGTCTAGAGAGGAGAGGCGGAGCGGATGGAGGCATTGGGTGGAGTTTGGGAGTGATCGCTGAAGATTACAGCTGGCTGGCCTACAAAGGCACAGCTCTTAGCCCGCTGCAATAGATCTAGATGCACTACTTGTATTCGATATGTATAAGTGTTTTCGCGCTCACTGCCCACGGTCTTGACACTGCCTGCTATCATACGCAGGAAGCAGTCGCCCTTCGCGCATTACATCCCCAAGCCGCTGAACAGCTCCGCACACGACCACTCCTCCAACTCTCAAAACCGAGTCTCCACGCTGTTCCGCACAATAAGACCCCTCAATTCGGAAGGACAACGGGAAAGTGCAGAAAGCAGCGCGCGAAGTGGATAAATCTCATGTTTCCATCCACTTGTCGTTGGCAGACCGCACAGGATGAGGAGGGTGTCGAACCACGGATGCTCATGCTGCCTTGACAATCAGTGTCGCCTAAGAAGGAAGCAATCACGTCCTTCATGTGTATCACTACCTGCCAAGAGACCCTTATTTCCAAGATTAATCGTCCACAGAGCCTTGTTCGATCGAATGTTGTCTAGTAGAACCAACATACACAGAGCAAGCTGACTGCACGGTGCGCGCACGAACCTTACACCATGGTAGGAAAGCATCTAGCAATTAACAAAGCAATACTAGTGCATTTTGCTACCCCACTCGTGGTTCAGAGGAGCTTGTGAACCGCTGATTGTGTGTGGGACGAGGGGTGTTGAGGTTTGGGTCGAGAGTCGCTCTCGAAAGTAGTGTCGTCCGAGAAAGAAGGAAGAAGGTAGTATGGAAGCCTCGAGGGAAGAGATTTGACTGTCAAGCCCAAAGATCAGGGCCTCTAATGTTACGTAGCTTCCTGTCCATGGACTCTGGCGTCAGTGAACCATGGATGCAGCTGGGCATCACTGCCAAAGAAGGAAGGAGCTCTGACAATGTCAAAGGCTGCGGCAAAATTCCCGTGCTGGAGGCGATTTGTATGCCAGTGGTCAGCATGGATGCACGTACAACACGTTGGCTCTCAAAGGATGTTCAACTATGGAGGTAGACAAGCGCCCGAGGAATGTCCCAGCAAAATACGGATGGCCTCTGATACATCATACATGCCTGGACTCATGCAACAATCTCAGCGTAACATCAGTAAGACCAGAATTTGACCAACATCTTGAAGCCAAACCCACGCTCCAACCCAGCAAACCCTCACTGTACGCTCAGAAGAGCAATGTCGCAGCACGGCCAGTAAGACCGGCAAGCACAATCGAGCTGCTGGCGAAGATGTAGAATCTCGTGAACACCTTATTGACCAAGCTCTGGAACAGAGAGTGAACAATTCTCAGTCCAGTGTAGCCCCAAGCAGCGAGGTAAGTGTATTCGTGGTTGTCGCCGAGCAGAGTAAGGGCGATGGCGACAGAGTAGAAGACAGTTGGCTGCTCGTGCAGGTGGTTGTAGTTGTCAGCAATGCGACGAACCTCAATGGGGATCTTGGTCTTCATCTCATCGCTGATGGTCTCCTGGTCGGGGTTGACATTGTACTTCGAGATGGCGGGAAGACGCGTTGCGTACATCCAGGCCTGACTGGTGTCAACAATGTCATAATTCATAGGGCAGTCCCTTTGCAAGCTTACCTCCTGTACAAAGGTCCATCCAGCCAGAACGATAAGCGGCTTCAAGAGCCTAGTACGGTCGAGGCCCACTGCGACAGAAGCCATGTTCGTTGAGATGGTTCTGGAAGCGTTGGACCGATCACGGATTGCGTAGTCGTCTGGCTCGAAAGAGTAGGTATGGTGAGAGGTGTGGAGTGTAGTGAAGAAGTCCAGAGCACCCTGCTAATGAGGGGGCAGCTCAAGCTCCAATCATCCGGGGAAGCCACAGACCGAGGCGCCTTCTCCGCATTCAGCCCAGCATACTCACCGCCTGATTCTGCCTAGCTCCCGCGGCCTGCATCTCCAATCTTTCTCGCGCCTGCGTCATCATCAACATCAACAATCAAGATGGCGGAATACTGGAAGTCAACAGTGAGTGTCGCGTACATGGTGCGCATATTTGAAGCTAACAACAGCCTAGCCAAAGTATTGGTGCAAGTACTGCGAAGTCTTCGTCAAGGATACCAAATTCGAGAAGCAACAGCACGAAGCTACAGGCCGCCACCAAGGCAACATCCGGCGCTCCCTCAAGGGCTTACACCGCGAACAAGAAATCGAAGCGCGCAAACAGGCGCAAGCGAAAGCCGAGGTTACGCGCCTCAATGGCCTTGTTCCTGGAGCAAGCGGCGCAGGTCCATCGGTCGCAGCAGGCGTTGGCGACAAAGCTACATTTGCGAAGAAGGAACCGCAGAAGAAGGCAACAGTTGAAGACAGGAAGAGACAATGGGAACAGCTAGCGGCTATGGGTGTTGCGCTGCCTGAGGAAGCACGGCAAGATATGGGCATGGCAGGAGATTGGAAGGTAGTGACGAAGAAAGTAGTCGGAGAGGTCAATGAGCAGGGCCGGTTCGAGGACAAGCAGCTGAACAAGGGTGTGCATAAGAGGAAGATTGACGAGACCGAGGAAGACCGGATAGCAGCGGAAGGCTTGATCACGAAGAAGAAGGGCTGGGGTCACACATACAAAGCATTCCCTGGAAATAAGGGCAACGACGACGATAACCTAGAAGCGCTGTTCGGGGCGAAAAAGTCTCCAGAGGTCAAAGAAGAGTCTAATGTGAAGAGAGAGGAGCCAGTGAAAGATGAAGAGGCCACAAAGACATTGCAGGACATACCCACAGCAGAAGAAGCAGAAGCAAATGCTGCTACGGCGCCAGTAAAGCAGGAGGAAGACGCACCGGCTGCACCAGCTGTGGTGTTCAAGAAAAGGAAGAAGACCAAGGGTTGAGTTACTGCCATGAGAGAATTCCAAGAACTACACAACAACAACCGCTCGAGATATGCTCTGGAGTTATCATCCGTAGACGAACACCTCCACGCCTTTCTATTGGCGCCGAAATCAGGTTGAAAAGATACTTTGGAGGCACGGTGAACACAGAGTAAAGAGATCAGACCAAACCTCTCACTCGAAGTATGAATGCTCGGGCTGTGTACATATACATCTGGCGAGGCATTGGTCCAAGAAATCAGGGAGGGTCTGTAAGAATGGGCTCAAGATCAAATGTTGATAGTACAGCGAACGTCAGTATTGGAGCATCTTCAACATGGCAGTACACACAACAGCATGCTTCAAGTTAATATGTTATTTGCATGTGAATTTGATGCCCACTTTAAGGATCGACGCATGCACCTAAACCTTAACGGACCCCTGTTTAACGTGCGCCAACCGTGAACCTTGAACTTCGCGTCGCCAACGCCAGACGGCTGTCGCGACCAGCACAAGCCGTGCACAACAACAACAACCACCACGCGCCTCCACCATCCACTTCACGTCCGTCTTTACGTTCATGGTTGCGTAATAGCATGCTGAATCTGCTGGGACTTCATACGCAACCATGCATCTGATCAAGCCGCAGTGGTTGACCCACTCGGGTGAGTCTACCTCCGCATACACAAGCTGCATAGAGCTTTGAAAACACGTTTGGATCCTCTCCTGACCGTTTGCGCGCATTCTAGGCGATCTGAAAGACCACGAAGTATACAGCTGCCATGTCTCTCCTGATGGAAAGCGCCTTGTCACCGCCGCCGGAGGTCCGTACTCCCATGATTGCGGAGCGCGCATACAATGCGCCGCCCTGGACAGCACGACTGACCCGTATCTATAGATGGCTACGTAAGAGTATGGTCCACCGAAGCCATTCTGAACTCGAACAACCACGAGTACACCAAACCGAAGCAGCTCGCAGCTGTCAGCCATCATTCAGGCACGATTCACGCGGTGCGATTCTCCTCGAACAACAAATATCTGGCTTCAGGTGCGGACGACAAGATTGTCTGTGTGTATGCGCTGGACCCCAATGCGCCGACACATGCTACTTTTGGTAGGCAGATAAGCTTTGGAAGCCCAAAAAGCATTGCTAATGACAGGCACAGGTTCGAACGAAGCTCCTCCTGTCGAGAACTGGCGTGTCATTCGCCGTCTCATAGGGCATGACAACGATGTGCAGGACATTGGCTGGTCCTTTGACTCGTCCATTCTGGTATCAGTAGGATTGGATTCGAAAGTGGTGGTCTGGTCTGGACACTCGTTTGAGAAGCTCAAAACGCTATCAAATCACCAGAGTCACGTCAAGGGTGTCACATTCGATCCCGCAAACAAATACTTCGCGACTGCGAGCGACGACCGTACCATCAAAGTCTACCGTTTCAACTCGCCGCCTACGAACGCTACCCAACAGGATCAGGTCAACAACTTCATGCTCGAGCACACCATTACCGCGCCCTTCCAAACCTCGCCGCTCACCACATATTTCCGCCGTTGCTCCTGGTCACCAGATGGGGCTCACATTGCCGCCGCAAACGCAACAAATGGACCTGTCAGCTCTGTCGCCATTCTTGCGCGTGGAACATGGGACGGCGACATCAGTTTGGTCGGTCACGAAGGGCCAGTAGAAGTAGCTGCATTCTCGCCCCGCCTGTTCTACAAAGACCCACCGAAAGAGATCGACGGCACTGTGTACCAGCCGACGGTGACAATTGTGGCATGCGCCGGTCAAGACAAGTGCCTCAGCGTTTGGAATACGAGCTTTCCTAGACCGTTCATGATCTCGCAAGAGTTGGCTGGAAAGTCGATATCAGATCTGGCATGGGCACCTGGTGGAGAAGTCTTGTACGCTACGAGTCTCGATGGCAGCATCCTCACACTCGTGTTCGAGCCTGGAGAGCTCGGCTACCCTGCATCGCTGGATGAGAACGATAAGACCCTTTCAAAGTTTGGTGCAGGTCGAAGAGTTGGGATTGTCGAAGGCACAGACGCTCTGCTACTAGAAGAAAGTGCTAAGAGCGGAGAGCTGAAGGGTGTTCAGGGTCGCATGGGAGCTTTAATGGGTGATGGTGGTGCAGCACAACCTCCGACAATCACCACGAATGGGGCCAACGGCGCAACGACATCAACAGGCCTCACAAATGGAACCACGACACCAGCAGTGCCGGCCGAGCCTCCTGCAGATCAGCGTGTCGAGAAGCTTAAGCAGCGAGTGACCGTGACGAAAGAGGGCAAGAAGCGCATAGCGCCCATGCTCGTTTCTTCGTCTTCTGGTGTTGGTGAATCGTCGTTGCCGCAGACCCAACTTATCTCTGCAGCTGCCACATCAGTTGGCAGGAGCGACAACCCACACAACATCCTCGATCTGTCAAAACCATACGATGGGTTCCCTAAGGGTGGTCTCGCATCAATGCTCGTCGGCAACAAAAGGAAATTCGCAGAAATCGAAGGCGACGAAGACCGACAAGTCGAGCGGAGACTTGCCGCTACAGTTCGACCTGGTGGCGCAGCTATTGTGCTAAACAGCGAGAATGGCCTCGTACCGCCCGCCGCTGCTGCTTCAAAGACTAATGAGCATGAGCCTGCAAGGATTCTGCGACCTGCTATTGTCAACCCGTCACTAAGTGTCAGCCAAGTGCGCCTAGCTGTACCGAAAGTAAGAAGTGTCATTGTCCGCACAATGGACGGCAGCGAACCGCCACAACAGAATGGAGTCGATCCTAACACAGGGAAAGCAGAGTTGACGGAAACTGTCATGCTGGAAGCACGGAACGCCACTGGCCCATCTCGAACAGGCCGGTTCCAAGATCATGACCCTGTCCGGATAAGCTGCACAAAGAAGGGTCAGGCACTATGGCAAGATTACCTGCCCAAGGCTGTCCTGCTGGTAACGGGCAACACAAATTTCTTCGCGGCGGCATGTGAGGATGGCTCCGTATACGCATGGTCTCCAGCTGGCCGAAGGACTCTAAACGCCATGATCCTGGAAGCACAACCCGTCATCATGGACTGCCGTGGCTGGTGGCTGATGGCCATATCAGCAGTCGGCATGTGCTATGTATGGAACCTCAAAGACATGTCCGCACCACACCCTCCCATTTCAGTCGCACCGATCCTAGACATTGCGGCGCATACCCAAGGTCCTCATCTGACCAAATCCCCTGGCATCGTCTTTGCACGCCTCAACACTGAAGGCAGGATTATTGTTGCTATGTCGAATGGTGATGGCTACACATACAACCCCGATATGTACATCTGGCAACGGATATCAGAGCCTTGGTTTGCAGTCGGGAGTCAGTACTGGAACACTACAGACTCATCCCTCGGCAACATTCGGTCAACACAGGACAAGAATGCTCCAAAGGAGAAGGATGACCAAGTTTCATTGGAGAACATTTCAGCGGGCATCATACCGTCGCTAGAACGCAACACGACGAATCAATTCTTGCTACAGGGCCGAGCATTCTACCTCCAGCGGCTCATCAAAGCACTCATCTCTGCTGAGGGTTACGAGACCTTCGAGAGCTGCGTCAGCGTGGCACACCTGGAGAACCGAGTCGCCGCTGCAAAGACGTTAGGCGCACGGGAGGAGTTCAAAATCTACCTTTCCATGTATGTCAAGCGCATTGGAGCGGAGGGTCTCAAGGGCAAGATCGAAGAGCTGCTGCGGAGCTTGTCTGGCGACCTTATCGCCGAGGATGAGGACGAGAGCAAAGAGACTGAGAAGGCAGACGACACTACCTGCGGCTGGAAGAAAGAAGACCTTTTGAAAGAAGCAGTGTTGATTCTTGGTAAGCTCACCACCTTGATATCTCTCAAGCTTTCGACTAACACATGAACAGGTAAACATCGCGACCTCCAGCGCATTACTGTGCCATATGCACGTCTTCTCGGCATTATTCATGAAAACCAGCAGCAGGACGAGGCCATGGTCACGGATTTGTAGGATCGTTCGTCTCATGTAATGCCCTGCTGGCGTTCTTTCTGTGCTTAGCGTTTCTTTGGGTTGGTATTGTATCAAAAGCATGGATAGGCGCGTGAATTGTCCCTGGACTAGATGGATCATGAGCTGCACGGCGTCTGGCGTAATCCCAGGTCAACACGGCCTGATTGGAGGGGTGTACTTGTAGCATGCTTGAACGAAAGAGATGAGTGGAACAGGTCGCACAGGCCAGTTGTACACAAACAACAAAGTGAATACCCCAGACCCAACCCTTAGTCGCGGTTCTTGCGTGCAAAAGCTGTTGCCTGCCAGAGGCGGTTCTTTGGACGCCTGATGGCATACTTACACGTATTCTGTTTTCAGGATGTAAGCTCATCACGAGAAATCATGAGCGCACAACAAACTGCAAATTCAGCTTCTCCAGCCAACTCTTCGGGATATATGTCTTCGATTCTTCACCAACATTCGCCTTGGCTCGGCCAATGGCACGAACAGATGTGGACCCTTCAACACGCAATGCCCGAGTGGATACTGGGGTCGATCGTCCGAAACATTCGATGGCTGCCTCAGGGCTATGTGGGTTCCAGCTTCCGCATCGAGGGAATTACAACGTGTCAATATTGTTACAGATGCCCATAAGGGGAAAGCAGGTACAAAGAATAATCTGAATTCCGACAGTCTCACTGCAACTCTACCATCGCTTTTGATAAGCAGTTGTGCCAACTTTGTCACGTGTCAGTGGCGCGCGCACGGCCATTTCCAAGTCCACACGTCTCATCAACCCAGCCCTTTCCTGTGCATCAATTAGACTACATCGTCAACCCACCCACACCATCACCAACACGCACAGGCTCTCTTGAACATCGTCCGTAAGTCAATCGCTGCCGCCCCGCGCCCCTCCGCGGTCTTTGTATACCTGCACACCACACATCGGCGATCACAGGCGTGAACGACGCTGCATCCTGCAGCAGGCGCTCAATACTGTCCTGCGCCGACAACGCACCTCGACGAGCCTCCCTAACCGTTCTTGACACTCGCCGTCCACATATTGGTCCCTGAGTCTAACTTTCTTGCGCTATAGGTTCGAGAGTCTTTTCACCGCCTCTACACCTTCCCCTTACACACCACACACCCGCCGCCAACATGGGTCTCACATTCTCGAAGCTTTTCGATAAGCTATGGGGAAAGAAGGAGATGCGCATTCTGATGGTCGGTCTCGATGCTGCCGGAAAGACCACAATTCTCTACAAGCTCAAGCTTGGTGAAATCGTCACCACCATCCCCACCATTGGTGCGTTGCTGCCCACTCTAGCGCGACCATGAATAATGCGCTGACAGTCGCCCCAGGTTTCAACGTTGAGACAGTCGAGTACAAGAACATCTCGTTCACCGTGTGGGATGTCGGCGGTCAGGACAAGATCCGTCCTCTCTGGAGGCATTACTTCCAGAACACCCAGGGTATCATCTTCGTCGTCGACAGCAACGATCGCGATCGTGTTGTTGAGGCCCGTGAGGAGCTCCAGAGGATGTTGAATGAGGATGAGCTGAGGGACGCTCTTCTCCTTGTCTTTGCCAACAAGCAGGATTTGCCCGTAAGCACATGCTCCTGCGCAGAATCACTTTTGAGAAGCCTCGGCTGACATCACGATCTAGAATGCCATGAACGCTGCTGAGATCACCGACAAGCTTGGTCTTCACAGTCTCCGACAACGCGCCTGGGTACGTTAGTCCTAAAGTAATATGCAGATCAAGCGCTAAAAAATTACACAGTACATCCAGTCGACTTGCGCTACATCCGGTGACGGTCTGTACGAGGGTCTCGAGTGGTTGTCCAACTCCCTCCGCAAGGCCGGCCACAACTAAGTCCTCTCCACCCGTACGTAGCGACGCGATAATGTCAACGTCAGCAAGCCCAGACATATCACAAATAGTACCTCTCTCCATGACCGTGGCCGAGGTCGGTCTCGGTCATGGCTTCTCTCAGGAATGCGTGCATCGATGTTTAACGAATTGGTGGTGGAGCGGACAAATTTCCCTTTCACCATTGGAGTTTGTGTGAAATGCAATGCGATGCGATGCGGATCTGTTTTGCGTCTCACGGATCGTTGGTGGTGCCAAACGGAAACAGTCTCTCTGGTTACTTTACGTGTTACTATCCAATTTGAGCCTCATTTGCTATAGACATTACGACCCTACGACTGTGATGCGTTTCTGAGATTCGTGCCAAACATCCTTCGCAAGCTGACGACACCAGGGTCAACAAGAACTGGAATCTCCCCGCACTAATTCTAGGGTCTCAGTCTAACAAGGAGGACCTGGTCTAACGAGCCGCAATCACGTAATTACTTCGTTCTACCAAAGCTTGACTGAGCAGCGAGCAAAGACAATTCAGACGAAAGCAGCTGTGTTCATGAGCTCATGTTTCTTCATTGTTCTATGCTATGCATGCTTATATGATTCCAGAACGCCAATCAAACACTCAACATCGCCATACATAAGCAACACGATGCCATGCGGTCACAGACCTCAGTTCCGCCATATCAAACGGCCAACCCTCCATCACCACGTTCCTGCACCGCCGCTTAGGCAGCAGCAGAAACAGCACTCTGGCCTCCCGAGCTTCTAGGAGGGACCTGCTCCGCCTTGGCCGGCGCAGTCAAAAGTCCCTTCTCCGTCCACAAATCGACTAACGGCTGCATAGGCTCAATCTCCTTATCGCCAATAAGCCCAAACAGCCTTCCAACATTAATGAAGTGAATGAAGCATGTGTTCAGCTCCTTGTACGCGCTCACGTTCCAGAACGGCTCCAGCCAGTGTCCGTGGTAAATGTGTGCGTAGCACCGCATCATCTGGCGGTAGATGCTCTTGATGTCGCTCTCAAAGGTCTCAGGGAAGCCGGAGGATTTGCCGAGCCACTCGCGGCCTGCGAGCTGGGAGAGAGGTGCGTTGAGAGAGGATGGGGGGAGCGCTTGGGGAGTTGAGTTCCCTGGGGTCGCCGAGCCGGAAGGGTAGTTTGACGGGTTCAGGTTTATGGGGGTGGTGTCTGTGGGGAAGATGGAGGGGTCGTTGATCTTGCCGACGATCCATTTTTGCACCAAGTTGATGTATTGGATGGCAGGGATTTTGATGGGTTTCTTGTTGTTGTCGAGCCAGGTATATGTGTGACTGAGTAGTGTCAGCGATGCCGATGTTCAAGTTCAAACATGCATGATCTTACCCGCTAGCTGACATGGTTGGGCAGACATCTGGGTTGCAGATTGGCTTGCCTGTTCGGTCGTCGATAACTTTGATGACTTCAACCATCTGTTCGAGTAGTCGGTATTGTTCGACAACTGGTCACATGGTCAGCTGAGCCCAACAACTAACTTAACAGATTTAGCACAAACCTTGATGTGCGAGCCATTCACCCTCCTCAACAAGCTTTGGCTTAGCAGCCAGGGTCATGAAGTTGCCCTTGACGATCAAGTTGGAGTACTCTTCACGGAAGAAGAAAGGCGGTCTGCGGTTGCCAGACTGAGCGGAACTTTCCGCACCAGCATCGAATGACATGGAGGCCGACATTGCTGGAGAGTGAGGCATAGGAGGTTGAGGAGTCTGCTGCGATGTGGGCGATTGAGAGTACTGTCCAGTGGGTGGAGGTGTGCCGCCTTTGCCTGATTGCTGTTGCTGATTGCCCTTGTTGGATCGACCAGCTAGCCCTTGGCGTCTGGTGGTGTACGTTAGAAAAGGAACTACACAATTCCGAGACCGGACTTCTTCAGTATGGAGGATGGAAAGAATATCAAAAGAAAGACATGCGAGAGAGACTGTGAGTATGAAACATAAGCAACGCGGTGCCTGTATCAGATACGTATACGAGCCCCAAATATGGGAGGAGACCAGGAGCATTTGGGGAAGGGAGCAGCGCCAAGAACTTACACGCTGGAGAAAAAGGAAGCCATATTCAGCTGCAGAGGGGTATGCTGTGAACCTGAGGGCGCACGGGGCTGTCTGTAGCGGGCTGACGGGCAGACAAGTGCGTTATGCAGAAGATCGAGGGGCGTTGGTGTTGGTGATACACGTATCGTTGTCTCGAGCGGCCAGCTTTTTGGGCCCGCAGCATCGAGAAGGGGCCGACACGCTATTTCACTCTGGGCAAGCGCGGTTCTCATTGTCGCCCGGAGCTCTGAACTTTGTTCACCTCAAGCCATCGATTCAACGACGCGTATCTCAGCTTTCGACTTCTCCTGCATTTCGAGCGCTGCACCTTCACGATCGCCAATCCAGCTTTACACTACGTCTACACTTACACCACGATTTGCGTATCAGAACGCTTTATCGACTGCGACCATGTCTGACGCGGGTAGTGATGCCGCGAAGGGCCTCTCAGATGATGAGGTTGGCGGTACAGTTGTGCCAGTAGAGAGCGGAAGCGGAGAAACGCCACGCGACACAGTTGAAGAGAACGGTCTGGATGACGACGAGGATGATCTGTTCGGTGATGGCGGAGATGCAGATGAAGAGCCGGCAGTGTAGGTTGCAGCCATTGTAGAGAAAGGATCGAAGGTCTAACAATATCAAAGAGAGCAGCGCAAGCTCGACGATGAGGAGCTTGACTCCGGCGATGATGAGGGACGTGATGATCGGGCACCACAAGCTGTCGAGTACGAACAGGAGCAGCAGACACTGTCCTTCATGGAAACAGATCTTGCGCGACATGCAATTCCAGAGCCCAGCGACGGCGAATTATACCTCCTGAAAGTACCGCAATTCCTGGCGTTCGAGCCAACTGCTTTCAACCATAAGATTTTCCAGCCGCCAACAACAGACCACCACTCGAAGTTCGCTGCGACCGAACACTTCTCCGCATACGATACCGCTATGTCTACCATCCGATGGCGACGGTCGCCCTCAAATCACGCTGAGCTTCAGTCCAATGCGCGCGTCTTGCGCTGGTCTGATGGCTCATTGACCCTCCAGTTCGCCAACGATCCTACTACACAGTTCGACATCGACGCAAATGCGCTCGCCCCACCGCAGGTCAACCCCAAGATTCCCACGCCGACCTCGATGAAGAGGAGTGCCAAGGGCGATAAGGAGAGCTACACATATCTTGTTGCCCCCTATGAGGAGGCTCAGATTATGCGCGTGACCAACAAGTTTACGACCGCCCTTAATGTTGTTCCTGCAGCAAACTTGAAAGACGCTGCGCTGGAGAAGTTACAGAACGACTTGGCAGCTGCAGCAACCCGTGGCCGAGATGAGGCTGATCAAGCCATCTCCTTTGTTAATGTCGACGAAGACCCCGACCTTATCAGACAGCGAGAAGAGGCAACTTTCAAAGAGAGGCAGCGACAAGCCAGGGCGAGGGAGAAGCACGCCGAGCGCCAAGCTGAGCGCGCAAATCGTGGAGCTGTAGGCCGCGGTGGACTACGCACGGCCGGTCTCAGCATTGGCGACCTGGAAGATGACGAGGGCGCACCACGGACAAAGAAACCACGTGCGAAGACTGGCCTACGACGAGACTGGAGCGACGACGAAGATTACGGTCGTGGTGCTGGCAGGAACCGTGAGGACGATTATGATGAGGAGGACGATTTCATCGCTGCCAGTGACGAGGAGCCAGAAATTGTCGAAGATGATGACGATCCAGATGAGGGCATCATGGCGAGTCCCAAGAGGAAGAGCGGTGGTAACGATGAAGATGACGACGATGAGGTGGTTCCCAGCAACCGCACAAAACGGAGACGAGTCGTGGACGATGATGAAGACGATGAGTAGACAACGCCAAACCACCATGTTGGCTTGCCTTGTCAGGACCAAGATACATCATTTATCCCATCTTTGAATATCAGCATAGCCTGGCGTTGTGGCATTTGACTTATGGACAAACCTAGCACGCAGAAACACCCTCTCAATCTTCGCTCAAACGATCGCTCTTTGTGATGTGTACTTGGGAAGATGTTACGGGAGGCCGCGATAATGGCGGGCCCTCGGAGAAAATGGCCTAGCTCACGAATCCCGTTGTAGGAGGCATGCAGTGCTACCTAAAGGGGTCCATTCCTTCCCTCCAGTTTTACTTCCTTCTTCCTATCTAGACAGTGAAATGAGGTATGTGAAGGACGACGATCTGTCCTTCTCTTCCTACGCTCGTTCGCACTCCTCCGCAATTGGGCAGCGCGGTTGCACTCGAAGATTTAAATCGTTCAACCACAAGACTCAAGCGACAAGTATTTGTGCACAGCAGTTCAGCGTTTCGTTGTTCCTGATGAATGAGTGTGGCCACGGTCTAAAGCAATCAGCCTTCTCACTACACAACGCCCTATCGTGCGCTTTGATGCTGTTTCTTTGGTCAATCGTCCCGCACTCTTTTACCGCAACAGTTAAGCAGCTCCTGCTCATATAGATACGAAATTTCCCTTAGTCATCATCGAATTGTAGACTGCAACTACCACGACCTAACTCCAACACTACACCTACACTACTCTACTCTACAACTCTGTTCTACAACCCTACATCATGAGCTCCAAGTCCTCGCCAACCAAGCCCTACCGCTTCATTGACGGTCTCTTCGGAGACCGGATTTAGCAAGCTGAAGACCTCCGAGTCAAGAATGTGGTAAACGAGCAGTCTTCCCCGAGTCGCATTGCGGAACCAGCTCTAGAAAAGGCCAGCCGTGGGGTGCAAATTTCTCCTAGCGGAGGGTAAGCACCATGGTCGGGGGCCTGGCACTCCATGATTCTTTTGGGAAAGATACTTCAGAGGGGTTCTCGCTACCGTAAAGTATCAGTTCTATAGATGTTAGACAATATATCTAAATCGAGGATCTGCTGTAGAGCGGCGTATTGCAACATCTTCACTGTGTAAGACAACTGCATTTACTCACTCTCGCTAACACCAATCTACAACACTTCGTTATGTGGCCTTTCACCATGCAGCCCAGATGGTCCTGATCTATATAAATACTGTATTTCCCCTTGTACCCACCTATCTATACGCACTACAGCCACCTCGCAACACACCACACTCAGATCATGAAGTTTAACCCCCGCGCGACAAAGCCATACACCGTCATGCACGACCTCCTCAAGGACTCCATCTCAGACGCCGAGTCCCTCCGTACCAAGATCATCTCCACGGCCCGCGAGCAATCCACCCGGCCTTACCAGCACCGCCCTCACGCGAACGACAAGTGCTACATCCAGCACTTCAAGCAAGCCGGAGGATCGTGGTACATCGCACGTGCTATCGCTTACCCACCTTTGGAAAATGGCGGGTATGAGAACTATCAGATTGTGCTTGGGACGGGTACCAGCGAAGAGGGAGTGCTTGGGGCGCTGGAGAACTCGGAGAGGGTGTTTGAGGATCGGGAGAGGGAGTATCAGGGGCAGTTGGAGGCGCTTATGCCGCAGGCGCGGATTGAGGAGTAGGATTGAAACGCAACGTCAAGACTAGTCATTGCGCATGTAAATCGTGGACAGGCATTGATTTGGTCGTAGGCAGGATAGTCACAAGCGCGGTCGTCTTGCAGACTTAACACAAGGCCCATTCTTTCCTTAGCAATTTCTCTCACAAAATCTTTGCTTCTGGAGTTTCCAAGGTCAAATTGGCTGACCACGTGCGCCTTGACCTCGTTGTTCGTATTCATCATGACATTTGAAAAAGTATACGCTGTATGCTTCTTTGAACTGTGTCAGATCATTGCCAGGTTTGAGTTTGCTGTAAGTTGGGGCAATCGCAAAGGTAAGCTACAAACCGAGCCTCATAACCAACAAAGAAGACTTCTGAGCAGGCTGAAGATAATCTAAAAGGCCACATTGTCATCCGAGAAAGCTGACATTGTTTAATACCATATCCCACAGCGAAGACAACATGCTGTCTCCAGATCCGCCTACGCGGAACATCACGCAGATAAAGAATTTCCAAGATGTGATCATACGTAAACAATCGAAGATTTCCATGCATCGCTTGAACTCTTTGACAGGTTAGCTGGCTCTTCTTAATGATGAGCCAATCGATGAACTCGAGATCTTCTTGTGCAAAGGCAAACCAAAATATCATGCAGTAGCTATTGTAAACGAGGAGGACACGGCAAAGCAGCTCCGCGATGGCACAAGCCAAGTTGGTTATATGGAAGCGTTGGAGGAACTCTGGTATCAGATCCAAGGGAGGCGTGGAAGAAGGCTTGAGGCAATACTCGCTTTTCAGAAGTGGAGGGCCTGTGGGATCCTTCATAAGAAAACAGTCAGAGATTGGTGGAGGGCCTGTTGGATACGTACCTATGATCGCGATGCTCACGTCATGGAGTCTTGAGCTGTTAAGCCAGTTGAAGTTCATGTCAGTGACTGTACTGACCTTAAATAACTATATTCGCTGCATGCAGAATGTACCTTACATTACTCTTCTTCTCTTTGCGAAAAAAAGGCGTCATTCGAGACTAGCGTCACGTTGCAAAGTTTGCGTCAAAAGCACTCCGGCGTGTATGATGACTTCGTCACGCAGACAGACCTACAAACAAGGCAATGCAGAAATAGCTTGGAGGACCTTCTTGACATGTCGACACTTTGACTTCTTCCAGGGTTCCCTATCGCCGAACATGGAAGATTTCCCTCCGGAAGAAATGAACTTGGCAGCAAGTCCGAAAGAGACAATCCTCGGTAAGTCAGAGTCTCTTCTCGCGGCTTGCAGTGACTAATTACACAATCAGCTCATGTCCAAACTATCTACAGTTCAAAGATGGGCGGTAGTGGTTGGGAGAAGTTTGACGTGGCTGTCTATCAAGTTGGTCAGTCTTACGTCGGCCCCATCATTGCACACAGTCAGGCAGAGGGTTGGCCAGGTTACTATGATGGATGGACCTGTTTGATGAAAAGCGACGATCAGTCTAGTCCCTTCGCCGCACAGAAAGATCTGTGGATCAGGTTCGTAGAACGATACCTAGAAGCGAGAAGGTGAGTATCCAGGTGATGTATAAGAAATACCGAAGCTGATAGGCAAGTTGAAATGCCAGATAGCAGGGACACTTCGACTGTACCTTCTAGTTCAGATTGATGCAGTCGGGGGGCTGAGTAGTCACTCCAGTCTGATTGCTAGGAGAACGGTCAGATGTCGTTGGTAAATGAATAGACTCCCATGTTGCAGAAGAGCTCGAACGCAGCAGTAGCTGTCCCTTATTCTAATAGTGAAGTCTAGGGCCTCAATCGCGATCAGGCAGTAGTCTATTACTGGCAAAATTACCTATAGTTGTGTGTGTCCTCATCAGCTGGCGAAAGTTGGACAAGGCTATCCTGAGAGCCTCCCAATATTAGAGAATTGAGATATTTGTGTTCAACTTTCCTCGCAACATGCAAGATAGAATCGTAGATGATCCTGGCAGTTTTTTCCGGCCACTCAGCCTTGACCGGGATGTTCCTGCGAAGTACGATGCTCAGCCCTATGGTGGCCGGAGTCAAGTGTGCATTCCCTTTCCGGCGGAAAAGTATCCGGACACTGTTTCTCAACAGCATCAAGCTCCACAACTTTGTGCTTCTAGCGCAGGGTTGTACGTTGAGACTCGAGTTTGTGGCTGCTCGTGCCCTTTTCTCGAATTTTCCCGCCCGCGGAGTGTTTGACAGGGCGCCGTGCGTGCGTACACACGTGAATACAGGTCGGCGGCAGTTACCCCGATGGGTTTGCAAGATCGAGATATTCAGAAACATCAGGCGCCCTTCTTCTGCTTTGAAGATTGAGAGAATTCTCTTCATGCAGACTGATGTTCGAAAAATGCACTATTGGTCATGGTCCGTTCAGACGCGCGCGGATATTCAAGTTGTGCTCGTAACACAGTGTTAAGCCGGGCTTTGCCGCTACCTCGAGACCTTTTCCTCACTCCAAGCGGATGAGTGGACTTGAGCTTAGACGAACGGTTGTCCGTGAAAGCTGTGTCCAAGAAGGAGATCAAGTTGCATAGCTGGTATCGAGTCGAGCGTAGTAAGCGAGTACGAGAGAGGACCCTTGGCTGTCATATCGAAGACAAAGATGTGTCGCAATGGTCGAGTCGTCAAGATCCAACGTGCCGGTGCAGTCTTGCAAAGCTACAATGTGGAGGGCCAGGCTATTGTACGGACCGCCTCCGACTGCAAATCACAACTAGTCTCATCGGTGGACGTTGAGTCGGAGAGTGCGACCCCGAGGAATGATGCTGTGATGATCATTGAGGAGCGGCCTGATTGTCAGCTTCACTACATGTCCAAACCTGCTGTGAACCTGCTGTACTCAGCCTGGCCGCCTACATTCGGCGAGCCAAGCTGACTGTATACAGATTGCTTGCAGGGCAGCTGATCGATCGACGGTGTATGATGCGCTGAGCTTTGACTTTCAAAGATGTGTTGGTGTCTGCATTTAGTTTAGGTAAACGGCGAGGACTTTTCTCGGAGAAGGGGAAACGTGAGTTCCAGGTGTGCCCAGGTGGATTCAAGCGTGGGTTTTGTGGATGTGGGGTTGCCCCTGACCATCTCCCCCGCATGGTTCGTGTGGGTGACTTGACGTTTTAGCACCTCCATCCAGTCCCAAGTTCTGGTTATTGGTCCGACTGCCCAGACCTCACGATCTGTCAAATACCGCCAATGCTGAGCCTCTCTCTCGCCACCCAGTCTTTTACCAAAATTCAAACAATGAAATGTCACTGACGAAGCGGTCAGCAGCCATCAGAGCTTTTTAGTGAAGGAAAACGGCATCCACCGCTAAACACTCATATCCGGGGCGCAGTGCGTCGGAGGAGTGGACCCCTCCGATCGAACGCTGAGCGCAAAAAGCCGCAATTTCACGACCTCAAGCCGTGTTAGTGCGTCACGTGTATGAAAGACCGGCTACGAGGTCGGCTGTTTGGTCAGAGACGTCTAGTCTCTCCGTGGGCATTCCGCACTTCTGACACGAATCATGTTATAGCAAGGATTCCATTTCCGCACTCTTACCAGCGAAGATCAGCTCCAGACTCAATGACCAAAGCTATCAAGACACGCCAGGCGTGAATCGATGTCATGGGCTGCTCCACAGCGCGCCTGATTCAATCCTCCAAGTCGAAACACAATGCCATAAACATGCGCAACATGCAGGGCAGGAAGGGACCGGCTTTGGCAAAATCAGAGAACCGCGGCATTTTTCACGTGTGTTCGAATCTGGCAGCTGCTGACGAGTCGGAGCGCGTCTCGCCCTCAGGCTTGTGCTTTGCCCCGAGGCCATCCGAGAAGCACCTGTGCTCTCCAAGCGCCAAGGATGAGCGCCGGCCATCCGCATCTGGGGACTGGGGTACTCATCAATGATCCCCGGTGGGGACGGACGAGGCGTCATGAGGGTCAAGGGCACTACGATGAATTACGGCTTGTCTGCATGCCCTGAGCACACGACTAGCCCAGGCGTGAAACCCACTTTTGTGGAATTTGGAGTACATAATCGTGGCCCTTCCCCGGACCCCTCGCGCGCGGATAGTCGTGATCATTTCATCCTCTAACATTCACGGTATTGACAATTGTCAAGAGTCGACAACCGATTGCAGCCATGTCCGACTACTCTGGCTCACCGTCCGACCACATGGAGTCCCAGCCACCGAAACGCAAAGCTACCACAGCCGGCCTTGATGGAAACACAACTGGACGTTCAGTGAAACGAAGAGCTTCGAAAGCATGTCAATGTTGTCGAGCTCGAAAAGTTCGGTGCAACGTCACAGAGCATGGCGCACCCTGCACGAACTGCCGATTGGACGAAGTCGACTGCATCGTGTCTGAGAGCAGGCGTAAGAAGTCAGTCACCCATCCCGTGCAGCATCCGACAACCCCTCCTACGAGCACAAATCTACACAGTTACACATTACGAGTGGAATATCCCGCACCTTATTGATTGTCGTCATTCGAGAGTTGGATCGGTGTTCGCTCCTGTTGAACTAGCCACTTGCGGTGCACCCAACCCCGTCACGTTCATCTAGGCTTTTAGCCTACACACCACAATCTCCATTTCAGCCACGATCGAACTATATGCTAAATCCTGCAGGAAATGGAACAAAGACGACGAACCACAGACAGAGACTACAACCACAACAACAAATGTAACTCGCAAGCTCGCATCGCGTGATGCTCTCGACAGCGGACAGTCACTCAACCCTGCTTCGTTGCGGGGATCGCAAGATGTAGAGACTCGCATGAATGAGCATGTTCCTCACTCCATATGTGCGTAGTGACGATTTTGGCTGCATCGCGAAAGCTGACAAGAGGCCAGATCAAAGTCATGGACACCGCAACTTCTCCGTTCCTAATATCTCGGATTTACACCGCCGCATGTCTGTAACTTCACAAATCAACGGTCTGCCAACGTTTCCTTTCACACCCTTCTCGAACGATGACGGGAAACCATTTCTCAGTAACTTTGGTCAAAAGCTTCCTTCGGGGCAACTCCCTCGATTCATCAAGCCGTTGCCAGCCAAGATTGGACCTGAAGAGATTTCCTATCTGGAGACGAAGGGTGCCTTGACTGTACCCAAAGGAACCTTGCGCAGTGAGATGCTCCGAGCTTATGTTGAATTTGTTCACCCGTACATGCCACTTCTGGATCTGCACGACTTCTTGAGAGTAATCGACCGATCAGATGGAAGCAAAGGAAAGGTTAGCTTGATTCTGTTTCAAGCAGTCATGTTTGCAGGTTCAGCATTCGTCGATATGTCACATTTGCGTTCTGCAGGCTACGCTACTCGAAAAGAGGCTCGCAAGGATTTCTTCCAAAAGACTAGAGTAAGTAGACCGCACTCCTTGGCAGGTACCCAAGTTTTAACACTTCGGCCGAGAGTGGCTTCGGACCTCCGATGCTCCTCCACATTCGGCTCACATGTCAACATGTGAAACTGTTCCAGAAGCTTTGACTTCCGATTGAATAAGTAGATGGCTAACCATTACGACAGATCTTGTACGACTTCGATTACGAATCTGACCGGGTTTCATTAGTCCAGGCCCTACTTCTCCTGACTTACTACTATGAAACACCTGACGACCAGAAAGACACATGGCACTGGATGGGTGTAGCTACATCCGTAGCGCACACCATCGGACTCCACCGCAACCCAGACAACACCAATCTGGACTGCAAGCGCGTCAAGCTATGGAAGCGTATTTGGTGGTCGACTTACATGCGCGACCGTCTCATTGCCCTTGGCATGCGGCGACCCACACGCATAAAGCCCGAGGACTTCGACGTACCTATGCTGACGTTGGATGATTTCGAAATTGCACCGATCCCTGACTCGATCACATGCATACCAGCCGACTGCAAGGTAGCCAGAGATGTTGATGTTCAGCGTAAATTGGCTATCATGTGTATCGAGAAGGCACGACTCTGCCTTTGCATCTCACATGTTTTGTCGAAGCAGTACTGCGTCCTCAACAACAACCACGGTCTTCAGAATGACCGAACCACGATGATGCTGCTTCCGAAGAAGCTTGATCCTGCCACAAGCGAGGTCAAGACCTGCGATGAAGAGCTTCAAAAGTGGGTAAACGAACTGCACGAAGAGGCGAAGTACACAGACAAGGCCTCAGGCGAGGCAGCCATCGATCTGGCGCGCTCACTGCTACACATGGTCTTCTTCACTACACTGTCAGCCTTACATCGACCCCAGGTTCTACCAAACTCGCAAGGTGGACCAGCCAGTGCACCGTCCAGGACTGACGTGGAATCCGATATCCTCGATGCCTCACGACGCAATGTTCGCCGCGCCGCATCAGCAATCACATCAATAGCACAGCGCCTCGATACCAGCGGATTGGTCAAGTATCTGCCAACCACTGGCGTTACAGTACTTCTCCCTGCCATCATTATCCATCTTCTCGACATCAAGGCACCCGAGGAAGAGACACGCCGTAGTTCACTTCGTGGTTTCTGCCAGTGCATGGCCGTGATGGGCAAGCTGCGTGACCTCTACACTGCTGCCGACTACTCTGTCGCCTTCCTTGAAGCCGCGATCCGCAAAGCCGGCATCCACGTCGCGCCTACCTCTATTCAGGCCTCGCCGATGCCAAAGGCTAACCCCGTGACTTCCGTCGAAGACCTCGTCGACGCCGGCCGCCGTCTTGACATGGTCAACACGACCACCGCCTCCCACCAACAGCAGCGCTCGACCCTCACACCGCCTCCCGATGCCGGCACAACGAACATGGCAACCCTCGAGAAATTGCCCGGCCACGAGCCAAACGTCACCGATGAGGAAGTCGCCCGCCGCCTCGAGACCTTCCTCGCCTCCACACCGCCAGATTCGGACCACGAGCACCACGACCACACCATGACATCTATTACAATTTCGCAAGATACACCCCTCACCCTCGCCACTGCACCTAAAGACGTTTCCTCGCACAACCACAACTCCATGGGCGCATTCAACAAGTGGAGCATGCTCGACCTTCCGCCGAACCCCTTTCCGAACATTAACCACCACCAAGACAATGAGACTTTGTTCTCTAGTCTGCCACTAAACAACGAAATCGACGATGGCGATTTTGATTCTCTTTTGAACCTGGATGCTGTGGGCGAGGCATTTACTTTCGACGACGGAGTGCTTGATCATGGCGCGAGTTTGACTGCAGAGTTGGGGGATGTTGACTGGCTCGACACCACATATGGACTTGCTGTTGACGCATAAATATTTAATGACCGGCGTTTGGTTGGAATGTGGGCAAGGATGGGAAGGGAAAAGCTTGGGTTTCTAATAACGATTCGTTGCAAGATTGCTTCAGTGCGATGATATCCACGAAACTTCGGACGTGTATACGTTTATGACACGGCCTATGATTTCTACTAGGCCAGATATTGGGGAAACGGACCGATGAGACTGTTACATGGATTCCCAGGTATGCAGATATGAAATGAAAGTAATGTGCGCACTGAGCAACTTGGTCTAACTCATCTTGCACTCCTTCCACACTACCCATGACCTCCTGCTTTCCGGGCCACACAGGGGGTAGGTCAGCCTACTTTTGGCCATGGGACCCATCTGTCAGCTTAAAGAAGTCACTAAGGTCAACAGGAGCAGTGAACATCCTTTCAGTCTTGCTCTGCAGGTCTTTAAGTGCTCCCACACAGCCCTCATCGCTGAGACCGTGATAAAGCTCTTTGCAGCCAACACGCTTATTGATTGTTGTTGTCGCCTGGTACAATGACATGCAAAATGTACGGACTACCCTCTTCTTAGTACACTAGCCCTCAAAGCCACACAAAGACACACTGTCAAAGCCACCTGAATTCGGTCAAGGAGCAGGTAGGGGGAGGTACGGGCGGTCTACCTGTGATATGTGTGCGGGTCTCGCACTATGACGAGGTAGATGACGTTACCTTTCATCCGTGGGATCCGTGAGAGGCTGCCTAGGTCTGGTTCAGGGTCTGTGAAGGTATGGCCCAGGGTCCTGGGCACGTCAGAGAACATGTACATAGGGGTCAGGTCTCCCCCACATACTACACGAGTACCTCTGGCCACTCAGAGTAACCATTTTGCCTGTCAAATGTGAGTGACAGGCTATGGCTACCATGGGAGGGGTGGTCCGCAGATTTCGCCAGCCACCGAAATTTCGGCACCCCGGAACTCGGTGGAGGATGACGTCGACTTTGCAGGTATAGCAACGTTGAACCTGCGCTGCATGGTGTCAGTCATTGTGAGACTGTTGAGAAGCGCTCATGTGTTGATGCACTTATAGGTGACGAGGTTCTTGAAGTCGGTGACCTAGCCGCGAGTGAAGCCGCGAGTGAAGCCGCTCATGCTGATAAAATGGTGTTGCTTCGTGTTTCTGAATTCTGAGGAGCTGTTGAGCAAGAAGTAGAGCTTCGTAACGGCAGAAGTATGTGAGTCTGTTTGCTCTCGTATGTACGCCATCCTTTGTGAAGCTTGAGAACCGTCGTGTCGCTTCCCTTAAAGCACAAGTACCCAGGTTGCAGTCTCTGTCCGTTAGTAGATTTAAGCTCAAAATGACCAAATGGAAGATGTTCGAAAACACGATTCGAAATTTCTCCACACTGGAAACAGTAATGACAACGCCAAGAATAGTGATTGCGAAGTTTGCTGACTGCTTATCTTTTCACAAGCTTTCCGCTCTCCGCACAGGTCTCATGTTGCTGTTTGCATTGTTCTCTGAGCAGTCAGCAGTCGAGGTAACCTTCATGATCTTGTGCTGATTTAAGAACAGTTCTCTTTCCAGAAGCCTCACAGACTTGTAGCCCCATTACCAGAGTAGAAGGTCTGTGGCGGCAAAGGAAGGACGGCACCGGGAAAGGGAGCAGAAGGAAGAATCATGATGAGAGGACTCGTTTTCCGCAAATCAATAATCTGCAAGTATCATAAAGAGTAGAAGTAATAGTACAATGATTATCAAAATGTACGAGACTGCCGGGAGCAGAAACCGCCAGAGTGGTCCACACGTCCCTGCACGCTCTGTACATATGTAATAAACATGCCCGGATCAGTCTACTGCTGTATGCCTTGTCTTCGTATGTTAAAGTCCAGTCTGGAACGAACGAGGACAGATCAAGTTCCTGTCCTGTGCTGCTTTGAATACTGACGTTCTCTGTCTTGATACTAACGTTTTTTTCCTAATACCGACATGGTTCAGGACCTCGAGCCATGCGGTCTGCTTGATCACCTGGACTGCAGTGGCCTCAATCACCGTCTCAATTGGCTATGTGTAGTCCACAACCATTGCGTTTTCGTATCGATCGCGAGCGAGGTCGAGCATGCCGTAGACTTTATCGCGTAGATCAGTGGCGTCGCAAGTGTTTCTGAAATAGCTTAAGACGTATGGTAGAGAGCCATTCCGCTTCATGCCGTCCATTCTGGTCAGGTTATGGAAGAAACTATGCACTCCCTTGCTCTCAGGTAAATTCATAAAGCTCTAACAGCACATGCTGCCGGATACGTGGGCATAGTAATGGCTTATAGCCTGTAGCACAGCTTGGCTATCAAGCTGATAGAATACATGCTGGAAGATTGCATGCTGAGAAATCAACCATTCCTGGCGTGACCACCATGGGTCGCCGAAGAATAGCTTGAGCCCCTCCAGGATCTCTGGAGAAAGGATATTCTTTCCTTCCACTTCAACACATGGTCCTGATGCAGGGTTAATATGCAGACTCTCGTCGCTGCTCAAATACGCCAGATACCTCATGGTAAGGCCGCATTCTTCTTTAGCGTTCGGACCCAGTCACATTATTGTACTGGTAGCTCCTTCATAAATTTTGCGCATCAGTGGTACCTGGGGCATGCGCTCATCGAGACTGTCCTGATCAATGTAAAGCGCATCGATTCACATAACCCGTTCTTGAGAGCCGTGGTGGAGATATCGCAACGCATGGTACAGGTTTACTGTGACCTTCTTTGGTAATCATTCGATGTAGATAGGGTCGTGATGAGTGTCGAGGCCCCAGACATGAGACAGAGCTTCGTAGAGAGTTTCCCGTGGGTCGGCTTCAGGATAATCGTCATGTGGGAGAATCGTACTGAGGTGGCAGTGGTTAGGGTCAGTGTGTCGTAAGGCTGACCGGATATGGAGCCTGATCTCAAATTCAGTCGTACTTAGGGCGTGGCACCTCAGCCTCGACTTTCTTCGCTCTTTCTTCGTCGCCGTAGTGTATCGACTTCGTTTGACACTGAGAGGCATCGTCGTTTCTCTTGGCCGTGGGCTTCTATGACTGTCACCACCACCTCGTACACTTGTTACCTGTTAGGGATACCTGTACTTGATCGTGTTGACGGGCTGCGAATGACGTATACCTATGTATGTGCGCACCAACGGCTGATCGAGCCTTCAGCCACAGCCTTGCAACCAGCAATGCAAGGTCGATCTGAGGTGCACGGGGAGTTGTTGGTAGTAAGGCTAAAGAAATTTGTGGCCAGAAGGTGTGTGTGCAGTTTCTCACTTGAGGAAGGTACTACCCAGGCGTCGACCGCAAAATAACTGACGCAACGCAGCAACGTATTTAAACGAGACAGGTCAGTGAGAAACGAAGGTGGTTGCTGTGGTATTAAACGTAGTATAAATTGGAGTATGAAAAGTGCTCTTCTGATGAAGTAGGCACGGTATGCACGACGTCTGGCGCCTTTGACTGACATGTTGAATCGCTCGCTTATTCCCAACGCCCGCATGACCAATGTATCCAGCTCTCCTATGCACATCCCTTTAATCGTCTTTCGCCCATATTTGTTCTCGCTCTGGCATCGCCTCTCCTGACCTCTCTCGCTCGCCGCTGACCTCTCGTTTCCATGCGAAGTACTCGCCGAGCCTGATTTCGGCATAATTTGCGTAGTCGAAGTCTATGAGCGAGATTTGTGCCTGGATCAGCGCCCAGATACCCCAGTAGAAACCTGGTACTCCTCGAAACCTATCGACCTGGTCGAACAGCTCCTCAACTTCTGCCTCGGTGTGTGTTCGGTTTAGGTGTATGCTGATGCTGCGGAGGTACTCGCGGAGGAAAGAGCGGCGTACGCGACGCGTAGGCAAAACGCTGTAGTCGCAATCGAAACCACCCCACTCGGCGAAGTGGTTTGCAATGTCGAAGGCGGCGGGTGCAGGCGTGGAGTATTCGTAATCAATGAAGGATACTGACGCTGCCGCCGTCTCGGGCTCCTCAGACCCGTTGGAGGAACTAGAACGACGTGAGTTCGAAGCGGACGACGGTGAAGGCTCGATGATCACGTTGCCGGAGAGGAGATCGCAATGAGCGAAGACGAAGGAGTTTGAGCCGCCAACGCCAGGCGTGTTACCCAGCAGTTTGGTCAAGGAAGCGAGTTCGATAGTGAGTTGCTCTCGGCGTGTCGTTTGCGCGGTGGTGCTTGTTGGGAGCGCATCGATCCATTTTTGCATAGTTGTCCACACGTTCGGGATAGGCTTGCCGGGTGTGAGCTGGGCCATAGCCACCAAGGAAGCACGCTTGTTGTTGGTAGCAAGTTGAGATGGAGCTGGACATGTGCTGCTGATACTCGATATTGGTAATGTGGCATGCCATTCCCCCAATCTTTGAGCTATTCCGCGCCATACATCTGGTCGTCGCAGGTCAGCAGGTGAGCACACGCTGCCTGGAACGTATTTGTAAAGGAGACCGTTCTCAAACCGGGCGTAGAGCGAGGGTGCGAGGCCATGGCGGGCAAGGAGGCAGTGTGACCGTGTCTCTTCTGCGCGATTATTAGTCTGTGCCTCAAGCCGTGATGTATGCGTGTAACTTACTCTCGCGGTCTATGAGCACATCTGTGCCCTTGCCATATGCGCGCAGTAGAATCGCATCCTCGTCCACCTCTGCTTTCGACAATCCTGGCAGCTTGTTCACCGCCTTCAGCAGTGTGTTTGTGATGCCATCTGTGAATCGCACAAACTCGATTGTGTCCTTGGCCTCTCGCCAGTCGGGCCGTAATGCAAGTATAAGGTGGAGCGCCGAGTTCTGGGAATTTGAGTTGTCGTAGTACTCCAAAATGTGCGGTAGCGAATCGTATGGCGACTGTGGCTTATTCATGGTGCTGTTTCAGTAACGCTGTCAGTGAGTGATCTTAAACATTGCGGTGTGCAATTTTACAGTCGCAGAACTGTGGAAAATTGGTGCTTCGAAGCATGTGACAGTCGAGGTGCTGGAAGTTCATGATGAGGGACAAATGGTGCCAATTGGAGTACTTACAGCACGATTTTAAGGTTGTAGGGTCTCTATCTTAAATCAAGCAAATCGCATTGAAAAGAGAGACAGGAGTGCAGCGCAGAACAGGAAGGAACATCACTGCCCTGTCGCGTGGTCCGTTCCTTTTCAAGCGGCACCTTCTCCCCCTGTTCTAGCCTTAGCCCCAGAGCCCCGCACACGAGCCACACACGAAAGACCCTGGCATCCACTTTTTGCGCGACAGCCACACAGCCTTTTCACCTCCCTGATGGTCCCTCCTCCGCGGCTCTGCAACGTCACCCTGAAGTCTCTTTGTGCGACACCAACTCAACGAGCTTATTTGCTCAGACGGCAAGGTCGGCTCTGCCACTGCTGTGGCTTGTCATGCGCAAGCACACGACACACGACCTGCAAAGCGTCGTCATCTTCTCCCAAGCTTCGATTCATGCACTTCTTCTGCCGATTGGCTCGGTAACCCCCTTTGACAGCAAAGCAGCACGTGATGATTGACATCGAGGTACGCAATGACGGCGTGGCTTTTCTGGAGTGTCGAAACGTTCACAAGCTCCAGAACATTGGTAAGGTGTTGTGAACAGTCAGAGAACTTGACATTTAGTGCATCCACCCATATGCTACATTACATAGAGACAAGGTATAGTCAAATGGTCCACCAGAAGAGAAGTCTAGAAAGAGAGAAACAAGTGGTATAGGGCGAACCAAACGCTAGAGCAGAAACGAAGTCTCAGCTAAAGAACGCATTCATCACGCACGATGCGCCCAATCAGCAAGCTGATTCGCAGAGTCCATCGACTCTTGATTCTTCTCGTGGTGGCTGGTAATGGCCATGCCAGCACCATTGTGATGCAGCGAGTGCATCGACATACCCTCATCAACATCGTCATCTGGGACCTTCAGCTCGCGTGTGAGCTCGACGTAGTCGTATGCGAATTCGCCGATTTCGACATCATCAATACCCAGAGCCTCCTCTTCCTCGGTGGCGCGCAGACGGAATGCAGGCAGGAACTTGCCAATGAAGTCGAGTGCACCGAGGATCAGGCAGGTGCCGATGAACGAGTATGCGCCGCCGGCGAGGGAGTCGGCAAGCTGGTAACCGAGTTGCACCCAGTTGTGGTTCAGCCAGCCACCGGGGATGACAGTGTAGCCGTCGAGGTGAGCAATGTAGTCACTGAATGTTGTTAGTCGTGCACATCGAGCGAAGAGATCAGCGACTTACGCAGCAAAGAATGCGGTAAGGATGTTGCCAACGAAACCACCAACACCGTGGACGGCGAAGATGTCAAGAGCATCATCACAACGAAGGAAATACTTCAGCTTGGTCGCGTAGTTGCAAACAACACCACCAACAGCACCGAAGACGACCGCTGCCCAGGCAGGTACATATCCGGAACCAGGTGTAATCGCGACTAAGCCAGCGATCACGCCCGAGCAGAATCCAACTGTTGACCACTTGCGTTCCAGACGGTAATCAACAAGACACCACGTGATGCCACCAACACAGGCGGCCAGGTTGGTGCACACAGCCGCCATGATGGCACGCAGATTCGCAGCAAGTGCCGAACCGGCGTTGAAGCCGAACCATCCAACCCAGAGGAAGACGGTGCCAATAACGATATGGGTAACGTTGTGAGGACGGTAGTTCAGTTCCTGGGTACCGTGGCCGCTACGCTTGCCCAGCATGTACGAGTACGCGAGAGCAGCAGTTCCGGAAGCGATATGCACGGGCGTGCCACCAGCAAAGTCCAGTCCGCCCATCTGGAAGACCCAGCCAGAAGAATTCCAGGTCCAGCAGGCAATGGGGTCGTAGATGAGCGTTGACCAGATGAACATGTAGATGATGCACGGCAGCATGCGACCACGCTCTGCTACGGCTCCAACAGCAAGAGCAACACTGTTTTCAACGTCAGCACTCCCTGAAGTTGACGTAGGGACTGAACAGAACATACGTGATAGCAGCAAACATGCCCTGGTACACGCAAAACATCAAGTCTGGGATCCTCGAACTTCCAACTGACGGAGCACCGAGCACATCCATCAATCCAAAGTTATCAAGATTACCAATGTATTTTCCCGCACTATGCGAGAAAGCCAGCGAGTAACCCCAGAAGAACCACTGGAAGCTGATGACGGCCGTAGCCATAACACTCAGCCATAATAGCGAAAGCGCAGACTTTCTCCTCGCAAGACCAGAGTAGAAGAAACTATCATCTCGTCAACCCTTGTATCTTGAAATGTTTCGTAGTGATACATACCCAACCCCCGGGATCATAAGCAGCACAAGTGCAGTGCTCGTAATCATCCAAGCGATATCGCCCGCCTAGTTGCATTAGCCCCGCGTGCTCAACACCTCACACGACCAACTCACATCGTAGAAAACATTGAGATTGTACAACCTCGAGTCACCTCCCGTCGCAATCGTAGCATTGTTAAACGCTTCTAGCGGCGTGGTAGGGTCCGCTCCAGAGGACACAGGGTCCATGTTTGCCGATCCTTGGTGGTAGTAGTAGTCGTGACTCCACGCAGTTTACGGTGATTCGGCACGTGTGGGGTACCGCGAACGGGCTGGAGGGCGTACGTATGTGGAATGTAGTACGGGATATATACAATATGTACAGAGATTAAGGGCGTCGTAAAGGAAGGAACGAAGTGGGTAGACGACAAGATGTATCGGTCGGCGATCTCCAATCGACTAGGATCTCGGAGTAGGCAGTGACGCTTGGCGGGCTTATAGACAGGCAAAAGCAAAGCCAAATACTCCCAAACCGGTCCTCGCACAAGGGCGTCGTGAGGCGTCTTCGGTCAAAGAAACGAAAAGATCGATATAGATATATGTATAATGGTAGAACCGCTAACGATAAAGCGCACCGCAACGCACGTCCGAGGGGCGCATATAACTATAAACGGGCGAGCGTTGCTATCATTCCACTTTCATGTCTCGTCCCGCGAAGCTCGGATGCGATTGTTCAAGCATCAGCCCCAGAAGAAGCCATAAGCCACTCGGTGGGGTGTCAGATAGGTGAAGGTGAGGTTAGCCAATGCGCGGCAATTTCGGGGCTGGTGTTACGCAGGGCGAGGACGCTAAACCGACTCCGTGGGATGCGGCTTCGCGGACTCGAAATTCGCTACATACTGATACAGGTCGAACATGTTCTAGCATGAAGGTTCCAAAATTGCGAGAATGAGGGCTGCAGCGGGCACACGCAGATGCAGACGTGAACTGACAAGCGTGTTGGAAAAACAATGTTTAAGAAGGTGTTGACGAATCAGAGGTGCGGATTCCTTATCTTTACACCCCTGCCGCCAATTCCGCCCATGTCGCTTCGGAACATCGGTCGAGGCCACCTCGCTCTGGGCGCGCCTCTTTTGGACAACGATCGAAGCAGTCTTTGTGTGTTTGGAAGAAGTACTTGAGCCCAGGACACCCTTCCCCAACATGTGTGAAAATCGGGAGTTGCCCAGAGGCCTTGGACGTTCACTACACCAGGGCAAGCACCGATCTCATGGAGAAAAGATGGCCGACGGCTTCACTGAAGTCTTATCAGTACCCTCGAGATATTCCAAACTCAATATCCCAATCCAACCACCAAGTAACAAGCCATCCCGCGGCCGGACCGCAGCTTCAACGGGCGAGCTCACAGATCCTGCCGGCTTCGTATCCTCATACCTTCATGTCCAGGATGCTGTTCCTGCTGCAGGAGCCGGGCACGGTGGCGATGGCTGTTAGAAACATCGAAGCATGTTTACTTTTTGGGTTGCCCCCGACATTGTCGAATCTAACGTGCTGACGACCTGGGCAGCTACTTCAGGGGCCTGTCGTGCTGTAGATATCTTGCCGTGTCTGCATCTTCAGGTGTTTCGGTTCCGGATGTCTGGAGTATTGTACCGTGATATCTCCGTGGCATGAAGCATCCGGATGGACCGGACATACTGCTGGCTGATCTCTGAACGTGCGTGATCGGTCTGGTCTTTGTGAGGTATTCTCCCTACTCGCTGACCCCTGAATATGCATGCTACTAAATTCAACGTACACAGTGAGCACCGAGATGGTATACTTTAGAGGCTATAAGATAGTATTGACATATGTGGATGCTTTGGTGAATATTCCATCGTGCAAACCTTACGCCCTGCAGTACCCAAACCTGGAATGAGCACTTTGCTCGTGTTGTGACTGCTTTCAAAGCAGCGATGTCGAGCACCACTACAATGATCACCGGAAGAAAGTGAGGTTGTTCCCGGGTGCAGCGCTGTTCGACATTAAATCGAGGTCGACGCTCCTTCCTTCATATAAGGTCCATGTGTTCTTGCGCGGGCGTGGTGAAGACAGCGCGACTCTAGATGATTCTACAACGGAGCATGTTCGTACTGCATCAACGCCCGCGAATACCGTTCGTGGTGCGAGGTACGCAGGCGGACCTGCCACAACGCCTAGACTTCGACCTACGACGGAGGGGAATGAAATAGTGCAAGCAATGCTTTTAGTTGAACGTGGGTATGATGCTAGAAAGCAATTCCCGTCTTCAAGGGTGCAAGGGTGTATTTGACCCAGCAGGTGTGCTTCCACCTGGCGTTGCAGTGTCAGTCCCTGCTTTTCTCTTCTTCTTCTTCTTCTTGGGAATGAGAGCAGGCGGATTGGTTAGAGCGGCGCGCAATGAGAGATAAGACCCGCAAGTGAGGCATAAGTTGTCTGGCAGGTTAGGGTTGCAGAAGACTACATACAGTCAGTGATCAGGTCAGCATGAGGAAGTAGGGTCACTTACTACTCAGGCACACGCTGCAAACGTAGCCAATGTCTACCACATTTCTGTGACAGAAACAAGCTGCGCGGAAATCGACACCACCTGCACTTGGAACTACCAGGCTTGCACGTGCTGTTGCGTCTGGTAAGAACGCCATCATCAGGTATTGTAGCAGTCCTTCCGGTCGGTCTGGCTTCATGTATACACCGCCTGTTGCATCACTCGCCTGCTGCAACAAAACTGTATCGCCAGCGAGCTTCAGGATGTCGATTGGGATCTTCTTCCGTTGTGCGGCGAAGATCGAGTTCATGACCGGGATGTATTGATTAGCGAGATCTCCAGATACCGAGACGATGAGAATGCGAGACGTGAGGGGCACGCGATCGACGTGAACATTTTCAGCGTCCGCAAGGGCAGCCATAGAGTTCTCAGTGCCGGAGGTGACAGGCGCATGCAGAAGAGTCGACTTCGAGATATATGTGAGGGCTAGTGACAACGCGCCACCAATGAGTGTAGTTGGTGTCGCTGCAAGATGCTTCTCACTTGTCTCATCTAACAGCTTTGCGAAGTTTTGCAGGATAGTGCTCTCCACAACGGCAAAGGGGCGGTATTTGTTAGGGCTCTCTTTGTGTGATCTCCCAGCTCTATCGCCGATCATATCGACGTCACCGTTCGTTTTGCCATTCTGTTGGGGTTGTGAGGGTGTCTTGGTCGGATACAGGAAGCTCGTCTTGTGCGAGTGCGAGGCTATGACTGCTACTTCGTTCGCATTGCCGGACGCCAGGTGTGCATTGATGAATATGAGGATGTTGGCTAGGGCCGCTGAAAGGGACAGCGTCGATGAGAGATGTGCCCAAGCGTGAGGGTTTGTGTCAAGTACAATCGCGAGCAGAGACGGCGGTGGTGCTACCTACAGTTAGCCAAAGAACGATAAGACGTGGCTTCAGACAATTTGACCTTCTTCCGTCTTCAAGTGACGATCTGAGCCGTCGATATTGTTCATTCTGACCGTCTGGGGACGACCTGCTCAAAGGTGTTGGTGACGAGCAGCTACGGAACAACCCGCAACATGATACACGACCAAAGTTGGCACCGATGTGAGGGGCGTTGGCGTTGTAGCTTCCAGGGTTGCTGATGCCTTGTCTTGATCAACGGAATCGCGACCAAGCTACACTTTTTGGCCGTGCGCAATGCGAGCGCACTTGCGTGACGCGTCTGCACGTGGCGATGCATTTCGCGTTATTGGCGTTCAATGTCAGCACCTTGGGCAGCTGAACTGCAACGTAGCCTCACATAACAGCTTTCTCCTGAAACAAGAGCAAGGAAAAGACACACTCAAGTCGCCTTCACGAACCACCAACAGGTTGCTGCATCAGCAACTCGTCAAAGTAGTGCAACAGCATATCGACCGGGGGCTGCCAGCACACAAAGAACAAGCGCCGAACAGAACGCTTGTCGTGCGGGCATGCAGATACATGACTGCTGCAGCCTTCACAGGCTCACCATGATGATTCTTGAACATGCCCTGGAGGTATCCGGAGCCTTACAAAAGCTACACTGCTCACAGTCAAGTAGCTTCAAGACTTCATACGTGAGCTCCCGATGAGCGCTGGACGAGCACACATGTCAAATGCCGATCAGTTCTCGGGCTCAGATATTCGAGTTCCATGATGGCAATCAGCAAGGCGAGCTGAGTGAGGAGATATGATGCGAGATGGTCGAGTCGGCGCGAATAACCGAGGCACAAGGAAGCTCCTGGCTACGCGTCTCCTCACAAACGGACCCTGAGCGATATCGACGGCGCGGTCATCGAGGCATGCTTCGCTTTTCCGCACGCGACATTCGTGCTCCGCGATCCAGACAGCCGCAGATTTAAGCAAGCTGGTGCTACACAAGCTTTGATCCTTGCAGCTGCTTCATATTTACAGGAACAGTAAGGCGTCCTGCTCACAACATATTACCCGCCTACACTCTCACCTCCAGGGCCAAACCTTTCGATCCATTCCCTACCACCGAGGGTCGGTAAAGTTCGACGAAATCCCAACATGATTTCAGAGACCATCCGCCGTGTGAACGGATACGAGCACGATGCATACACATACTACCCGGTCATCATCATCGGTGCTGGGGCTTCCGGCATTGCTATGGCTTGCCAGCTAAAGCAGCAGCTTGGGTTCGATCAATTCCGCATATTCGAGAGGCAGGCTGGTATTGGAGGAACGTGGTGGATCAACAGATATCCTGGTGTTGCTTGGTAGGTGCCTGGCCCACACGTTCATAAGCAACGACGACCATAGCAAGCGTACGCACAGCTAGAGGCGTTGCTGCTGAGTTCCCATACGCATCAGAATACCACCGATTGGCTATTGCCCGGCCACAGAAAGCAAACATGGCTAATATCCAGCAGTGACGTACCAGCAGTCTTCTACTCGTTCTCATTTGCGCAAAACCCCGAATGGAGCTCGCTTCACCCTCCTGGCCGCGAGATCGTCAAGTACTACCACGAAGTATGCCAGAAGTATCGAATCACGGACAAGATCGAATGCAACACAGACGTCGAGGGTTGCAGATGGCTGGAGGACGAGCAGCTGTGGGAAGTCACAATACGTCGAATGGTAGCAGGCATGGGAGATCTCTCGTCTAAGGACCGCGCGAAGGTCGTAGAAGAGAAGGGCGAACACGCCGTGTACTCCGAGACTGAGACCGTCAAGGCGAAGGTCGTCGTCAGCTGTGTAGGTGGCATTGTCGAGCCCAGGGGCTGGCCTGATGAGATTCCTGGTCTCGACAAGTTCAAGGGGAAGGTCTTCCATTCTGCTCGATGGGACGAAACTGTTGACCTCCAGAACAAGAACGTGGTCGTCGTTGGCACAGGGTGTAGCTCTGCACAGATTGTTCCGAGGTTGCCAAACGAACCATATAATGCGAAGTCGGTCACTCAGCTTATGCGGTCACCACCCTGGGTGGTGCCTGCAGTGAGCATTCCCGGAGGCGACAAGTGGTGGGAGGAGAACAGCCCGAAGATCTTGAAGTCCATCCCCGGGCTCAAGGAGTTTCTGCGATTCTTGATCTTCATTGGCGCTGAAGGAGAATTCTTGAAGCTCTTTCCGAACACTCCATACGCAGAGAAGCACCGCAAGCTTTACGAAGAGAGGACCCTGGAGTGGGTGAAGAAGACCGTACCTGAGAAGTACCTTGAGATTCTGACTCCAGATTATGGAGTCGGTTGCAAGAGGAGGATCTTCGACAAGCGTTGGCTCAAGAGCCTGAATGATGCCAAGATTGAGCTTACGACTATGCCCTTGACGCGCTTGACGGAGGATAGCGTCATACTTGGTCCAGGCGCCACATACCCCAAGAATGCGAAAGAGGAAGACTACCCTGAGCGAGAGGTACCTGCCGATGTCATCGTCCTTGCTAACGGCTTCGATGTTACTCGATGGCTCCACCCTCTGCGAGTCGTAGGCAAGGGAGGCAAGGATCTGGTCGGGCTCATGGAAGAGCGAGGCGGAGCTCAAGCATACCAAGGCACAGCCATGGACGGTTTCCCCAACCTGTTTCTGATCTTTGGTCCTAACACAGCAACCGGTCACTCATCAGTCGTCATGGCCAGTGAGAACATGGTCAACTACAGTCTCAACTTCATCAAACTCGTCCTCAACGGAGAAGCGAGGACTGTGGACGTCAAGAAGGAAGCCGAGATCGCATACACGAACGAGATGCAGGAAGCTCTCAAGGACACTGTTTGGCGAAGCGGCTGTGTGTCCTGGTACTATACAAAGGACGGGTGGAACTCTACTGTCTACCCGTACACCCAGATCGACTTTTGGCGACGATGTGCGTTTCCCAAGTACAACGACTGGAACATCGCATACACAAGTAAGGGTATCTCGAAGATAAGACGAACAAGAGCACTGCGGCTACTCAGCGTTACTCTGGCTATCATTGGCGTGTACCGCTGGCGCAGGAGTGGATTGGGTGTCAAGGATATCAGAGCTATACTGCAGAAAGTTTTCCAGGACGTGTTGACGACGGCTGTACAGGCTTGGACCTTGTTGAAGGACCAGGCTCATCTTTGAGGTAGTGAGAGAGTTTGCTATGAATTTCGAAGTACCATAGTGCTGTACTTCCCCAATGGAGGTTTCTTATAGCTGTCGAACAAGGTGAAGTTCAAGTTACCTTTAACAGCGCTCTAGCACCAAACAACATCTCAATAAGACCTCAAACCAATCAATCAATCAAACCAGACAACACCGACAGTATTCCTCGGAGCAAAGACGTGTTTTCAAAAGCAGACACATCTTGCGTGATGCCGAAACTACCAGATCGGCCTGCTCGGACATGATTTGTCGGAGATTGGCGCGGACCGCCTAGCTCGCACCTCCGCATAGGAGGCGAAGGCCTTCATTCACCAGCTTTCCCCCACTCGCCGCCTAACCGCAGCACGCATCTGCAGGACCCTGACTTCGACACCAGACCGTGCATACCGAGACATCGCACCCAGCACAGCACAACGACATCCTCCCGCGCCCATTGCACGCAGCGCCAACACCCACGATTGACACAAGGTAGTGGATTACAGGACCCACCCGGAAGCGATAGCCGTGCGTCTCAAGGACGTCATTTGAAAAGGGAATTGCCTAGCATTTGCTACTCAGCACGACCACAATGCCTGAAGCCACACGCAGACTGCTCTACCAACTCAACAGCCGCTGGATCTACGGCAAGATAGTGAGCGACCTCCTTTTCTCATCTCTTGCACCCGGTAGCTGTCGTCACGCGCACGAGTCTGCGCATTCTTGCTCTCATCACTCGTCATCTCTAGCTGCTAACATGGTTTCTCACAGCCACTCCTGCACACGACCGTCTTCCTCCTCCAGATCATGGCTGTCTCGCTCATCGCCCGCAAGTACAATAGCTACTATGGCCAGCGACCAGTGCTCACCACCATGATCACCAACGCGGTATGTGTCCCCGTCGCACAGGGTCATCACCGCTCGCAGATGATATTCTGCATTGCACGCACAGTTGGACAACGACTGACGATTATCCAGGTGCTTGGTGGCATTGCAGACACAGTAGCCCAGACTCTGACCGCCGTCCGCGAGCGCGCAAACCGCAAAGGCGGCGCAGGCAAGGACGACTTCCTCGCAATCGAAATCCACGACCTCGACCGCCGCAACCCGTGGCCCGCACACGACATCATCCCCGACTCGAGGAAGCTGCCGCCTCCCTTCGACTTCGAGCGCACAATCCGCTTCATGTCCTACGGTTTCCTTATGTCGCCCATTCAGCACCGCTGGTTCGGTTTCCTCTCCAAGACATTCCCTATCACAAAGATCGGCAGCGCGTGGATACCGGCGCTCAAGCGTGTTGCATTTGATCAGTTTCTCTTTGCGCCAGCCGGTCTTGCGGCGTTCTTCACGTACATGACGATTGCAGAGGGTGGTGGAAAGCGCGCTGTGCAGCGCAAGTTCCAGGACGTCTACGTTCCAGCGCTGAAGGCCAACTTCTTGATCTGGCCGACTGTGCAGATCATCAACTTCAGGGTCATGCCCATCCAGTTCCAGATTGTACGTTTCCTGACTCTCTTCTCGCAAATCTTGCTAACATTGTCTCGAGCCCTTTGTTTCCACCGTCGGTATCGCCTGGACCGCATACCTCTCTCTGACCAATTCCGCCGAGGAGGCGTAAACGTTTCCTACATTGAACGACTTCCCTTGTATATGTATCCTTGGTTCGCATACCGTCGGGTCATGGCCATGGTCGCGACATCGTAGGATACCCCTTAACTTCTGTTCTGAGCGCTTCTGCATAGGATTGGCTGGGTTAAGACAGTTTGGCGTTTTGGCATCTTTGCGGCGTTTTGTCTGTATGCTCTTCAGAGAAGCTTACGCATATGTTCCTAGGTCCTTCGTTTTTACGTCGCAATCACATATCTCTAGACAAGTGACTGCACGTGCGGTGACGAGAATGTGCTTGGTTACCGCTCATAGAATCCAACCTGCAGATCGAGAGCCGCAAGCCAACAATCATACGACTTACTTCGGCGTAGCATACTTACTCCGGATACTCGGAATGCTTTGGTTCAGTACACCGCCATCTTCAAGGAACGGACACACGACAAGACCACTCGACCACTTCCACGGACAAGTTTGCCAATCGAAGCAGCAATCCAGCTATCACGCGAGCTTGCTCATTAGACCTCACAATGATGTGTATCGCCTCTTCGACGAGCATTTCCTACCTTGAACCGAAACCCACACATAATCAGGAGACGAGTTACTTCAACCCAGCATGACCCAAACCCTCCAAGAGATCCGCAACGACGTCCTCGGCCTCCCTCCCTCCCACATCGCCCGCACCCACAACCTCAAATCCATGATCATATGTACTCTCTCCCCCAAAAATCAATCACCACCACCTAACCACCTCACAGCTCAGCTCCAAGGCATGTGTTTCCACCACGCCGAACAATCCTCCTTCGACGTGCTACACTATACTCAAGATGCGCATTTTGTCACCGTGGCTGTAGCATGCAGAAAGGACGGTGCGATGTTTGAGCGCTTGGCAGAGTATAGTAGTAAGCGGAATGTGCTAGGTGCGCTGGAGAAGATGTGGATTGCTTGTTTGAAGGCGATGGGGGTTTGGATGGATGTTGTGGAGAGGCATCATGGGGAGGGGTGCAGAGGTTTTAGGGAATTGGTGAGATGGTATGTCGATTTGTTTGGTGTGGGGGAGGCGGTTCGTTTCCAATGGTTGTTCAGGAGAGCCGATCTGGACTCCTCGTCCGCGACAGGTCATCAACTGACAAGTTCCAGATGATCAGTGAAATCACTCCAGGGCAATCAGTTTGCTAGAATCGGTCTTTACAGTCAGCGAGGCTATCACTATCGACATTCAGATCGAGCACATGCAAAAGCAGATAGCCGAGCAGATAGGCGTGGGTATGAATCATCCACACGCGTCCGGCAGGTTCGACATCGTGCACTTCAAGAAAAAGTCCACATACGTTTCTCAGCTAAACCACTAACCTTCGTTGCTTGATTCTGATGGGTTTGTTGACAAACCTAAGATTGCTGGGAAGAGAAAGAAGTGAGATAGATATCGTTGATTATTTGCAAGCTTTGCTGCATTATGTGGACCCGACGAGGAGGGAATACAGGAATAAGATGTGGCGATGACTGAGCTGTAGGTAGAAGCCTGCGAGGCGCGATAGGTGCTCAGATGTTGATGTCTGATGTTTTCGACCTAGCATTTTCGTGGATAGCGTCTCTTCTCTTCGAATGCAAGGTTCTTTCCTCCACGATCACTCTTCCTCTTCACTCATGTATGAGTTGGGGGAGCAGGGCTATTCGGCCTCCAGCCATGCTGTTGTTGTTATGCAAACGCGATGTGATTGTCTCGACATAGGTATTCGCTATTGACCTTGATCAAAGGTCAGTGTCACCACACGGTGGAGGCACTGCTCGTAGTTCAGGGTTCAGCAACGCAGATCATGCAGAACCTCACCTCGGCCCACCTGGCCTAGACTTATCGTTCACAGCTGATGAGCAGAAAAAGAACATTCTCTCGGCCGCGGGAGTGATGTTTTGGCCAAGCTACTCGCCGGTTTCGTAGCAATCTCAGAGAGCCCCTCACTAGTGGGGTGATGGCACGCCAAAACGTCACTAAAGCTTTCGGAGGGGTCGTGCATTCGCGGCGCTCAACAACAAATACTCAGCCTGAGCCCGCGCATTGAGATCTTTACACTCTACCTGCCAAAAAGTACGTGAACTGTCATTTCTCGATACCTACAAGTTGTTGTTGTGTACTTTTGCTTGTTCAATCGAAATCTGTAAGCTATAGAACAGCTCCGCTGACCCCGCTGCCACTATAGTACTCACAACACAACCATGTCTCTCTCCAACAAGCTCTCTATTGCCGATGTCGACCTCAAGGGCAAGCGCGTCTTGATTCGCGTAAGTGAAAATCAACGACACTCAATGCGTGATCAATCATTAACGAACAGCTCTACAGGTCGACTTCAACGTCCCCCTCGACTCCGATAAGAAGATCACCAACAACCAGCGCATCGTCGGTGCTCTCCCCACCATCAAGCATGCCGTCGACAACGGAGCCAAGGCCGTCATCCTCATGTCCCACCTCGGCCGCCCGGATGGCAAGCCGAACCCGAAGTACAGTCTCAAGCCGGTTGTTCCCGAGCTCGAGAAGCTGCTCAGCAAGAGCGTGACCTTCACAGACGACTGCGTTGGCAAGCAGGTCGAGGAGACCGTGAACAGCGCCAAGGACGGACAGGTCATTCTCCTTGAGAACCTGCGCTTCCACGCCGAGGAGGAGGGCAGCTACAAGGATGACGAGGGCAAGAAGCAGAAGGTCGACAAGGCCAAGGTTGAGGAGTTCCGCAAAGGCCTGACTGCCCTTGGTGATGTCTACATCAGTGAGTGCTGTTGCTCTTGAGACCCGGGCCTTCCTATACTAATCGTGCACAGACGACGCTTTCGGTACTGCCCACCGCGCTCACAGCTCCATGGTCGGTGTCGACCTCCCCCAGAAGGCTTCCGGCTTCCTCGTCAAGAAGGAGCTCGACTACTTCGCTCAGGCGCTTGAGGAGCCCAAGAGGCCCTTCCTCGCCATCCTCGGTGGTGCTAAGGTCTCCGACAAGATCCAGCTCATCGACAACCTGCTCGGCAAGGTCAACAGCCTGATCATCTGCGGTGGAATGTCCTTCACATTCAAGAAGACCCTCGAGGGCGTCAAGATTGGTGACTCTCTGTTCGACGAGGCCGGCAGCAAGACCGTCAAGGACCTTGTCGAGAAGGCCAAGAAGAACAACGTTAAGATTGTCCTCCCCGTTGACTACATCACCGCCGATAAGTTCTCCAAGGATGCCGAAGTAGGGTACGCTGAGGACAAGGACGGCATTCCAGATGGCTGGATGGGTCTTGACTGCGGAGAGAAGTCGATCAAACTCTACAAGGAGGCTATCGGTGAGGCCCAGACCATTCTCTGGAACGGTCCCGCTGGTGTCTTCGAGTTCGACAAGTTCGCTACCGGCACAAAGGCCACACTCGATGCCGCTGTCGAGGCCGCGCAGAGCGGCAAAATTGTTATTATCGGTGGAGGTGACACAGCCACAGTTGCCGCCAAGTACGGCGTAGAGGACAAGCTGTCCCACGTCTCCACTGGTGGTGGTGCGTCGCTCGAGCTGCTCGAGGGCAAGGACCTGCCTGGTGTGTCTGCTCTGTCAAGTAAGTAAGCCACTTGCTGCAGGGAGACCAAGCTCAGATTCGGAAGGTATATCTCCGAAGTTATGATTGATGTAGTTTAATTAATTCCCATCTCAAGACAGCTTGATGTCTGTTATTGACTTCCAAATCGTGCTCTATGATCGTGATGCTCGTAATGCTACAGATGCACTCTGCGCGATCGTGATGATCCTCGGTTCTTCCACAGCATCTTTCGCCTTCGCACGCTTGTTGCGAGGCCTATGAACTATCATCGTCTCGTCGTAAGGCTAGGTGCTTCATTTGCCCAGCTTCTTCAGCTCGTCCCTACCAGTTGTTAGACCTTGCCTCTCAGCTATCAACCCAGCCGCAACTCCACTCACCTCAGCTGGTTCGCGAATTCCTCAGTTGTGTCATCATCGTCCCAGCTCTCTTCCCACAGGTGCGTCTTGTCACCGTGGGTCTGTGTCTCCTCCTCGCCCCAGTCTAGGCTCTTCGTTAGCACACGCTCCCTTGACTCCTGTGGTTCCTGGTAATGCGTACCCTCGACAGGAAAGTCCTCGAACTCGTCATCTTCCTCCAGCTGAGGCGCGGGCTTTGCGGAGACGGCGGCCGGTTGCCCGTTCGGTGCGTCGCTGACGGCTTTTGTTGTGGGAGCTCCTCCTTGTGCGGCGCCGGACATCTTGGGTGTAAGTGGAGATGTAGTGTACGGTTTGGCGGTGGTTGCAGGCGGAGGTGGGTATGGCGGTTCGTTGTGGTTGTGAGATGGCGATGTTGTTTCACGAGCTATCGATGCGGCTCCAAAGACCGCCGCAACAAAGCAGTCACGTGCACGTGGGGTCACGCATCGTCCCTGCACTCTCTCCGCCGATCATACAAGCATTACTAGAGCTTGGCCTTGACGTGTGTATTTCGTCTCGTTACCTTTCGAACGCTGTTCGTAGTGCGCACTTGTGCTCGCATATTCGTTTTCGTTCGAACCTTGAGGCCGCCGCGGGATTCATGACGTCGTCAGCTTCGTCCGTCAGCTCCGCTTTCTCCATACGCGCATTACGGTTGGAGCTCGCTATCTCTAGTCCCGCTCCGCCTTGACCGGAGTTTTGAATATACTCGATTGCTCTTGCCTCCACTCCCCTTTCTTCTATTCCTCTCTCTTTCTCTTGTCGTGCCTCATCTCTATATAGTATCTTTGTTTGAAGACTCGGTAGTCAGCATGGTTCTAGGGTGGCTTGGTGGCAAGGGCAAGGCCCCCGCCCATACCAGAAGCTTAACAGCAATTGATGAGCTTGCTCAGAGTGTGTACAGTATAATTCATTGAACGAAAGACACTGACGTGAGACAGTTCAGGATGCCATGAGCGGTACGATTTCCGCAGTCTAAGATCCTGAACCCCAACTAATGGCACGCGAGCAGCTGTCACCCATATCATGGCCGATGACATCGATAGTGCTGAAGAGCATCTCCGAAAGGGTCACTCGCCATTCCACCAGGTGTGCACCACCCACGATAGGCCGCCAGGGGCCAGCATGGAAGCTCACAAATGTATAGCTGGGAGTCGGTGTCTGCATGTTCATGCGAGCAACCTTGGGATTCGAGCAAGATGTTATGCGTGAAGGTCTGGGTCTCAAATCTAGGATACTACGCAGGTCTAGTACTGATTTGACGTAGCCAACGACATGCTCTATACTGCCGAGACTGGCGCATACGAAAGCCAGCGAAGAGTCACCAAGGACGCAAACTCGTTTCGCTCGAACATCTACCCTCCAGGAACCGAATATGCCGTATGTCAGGCGGAGGCACAGTTGATGAGCGCTGTTGTCGGGGTGCTGAACGAAAGCTTGACCGAAGCTCTCAAGAGTTTCTATAAGCTACGAAAGGCGTACATTACGTTGGAAAGTGTGATGGAGGCGGAAAGAACATTCCTACGTACAAAGAGTTCAAGCAGTCTGAACTCAGCAACGACCTCGCGCACGACTTCGAGACCGGCGTCCATTCGATCTACAGGCGGAAGCACGCTCAAGAAGACACTTTCCAAGACACCCTCGCTCCGCAAGTCCACGAACCCCTCGACCACAAGCTTGGAGCAGACCGGAGCAAAGCCCACAACAGTACAAACAAAGAACAACAATGGCGATAGCGATAACGAGTTCGACTTCGTTGATGCTGAGCAAGAGCGAGGTGCTCAGACGCCGTTGGAATACACAGGTCATCTCAACCTACCCGTTCAAGGGGGGTCGGTCGCATTGAACAATGCGCAAAAAGAGGTGGACGTCAATGCAAGCTCCGCACCAGGTCTGCCTGCCGGGAACTCGCAAGATACTTCTGTCCCAGACCCGATCGCCGAATTCGAGAACCTCGTGTTGAAGGACGACAATGGAGTGGCCAGTGTATCAGAATTCACCGAGCATCCCATTGATGAATTCATCATCTCTGGAGCTAGCTTCTGCTTTGGCATTCTGCTGGTGATCGTGTCAATGGTTCCGCCGGCCTTCGCATCCGTGCTCAAAGTTATCGGCTTCAAGGGAGACAAGGATCGTGGTCTTCGGATGCTTTGGCAGGCAACCAAGTTCAACAATATACACGGTGCCATGGCTGGCGTTGTGCTGATGGGCTTCTTCAATGGTTTCGTCGGCTTCTGCGACATCATCCCGCAGACCGGCGAGGGTGCATACCCAGAGAGAAGATGCAAAGCACTTATGGCGGAGATGAGAAGGAGGTACCCGAAGAGTCATCTGTGGCTACTTGAGGAGGCTCGCATGATATCTAGGGAGAAAGAGCTGGAACGCTCTGTTCAATTCTTGGAAGACATCGGCAAGTCGCCTTTCAAGCAGCTTGAGGCCTTGAGCTGGTTCGAACGCTCCCTGGATCTTATGTACATGCACGACTATGTAAAGACCAGTACCGCCTTCCAGACTTGCATCACGCTCAACAACTGGAGTCACGGACTGTACTACTACATTTGCGGAGCTTCCTACGTTGAGCTATACCGACGAGCCAAGGTTACGGACCCGAAAGCTGCACAGGCCTACGCAGACCAGGCAAACGAGTATTTCAAGCAGGTCATTCCCAACATTGGCAAGAAGAAGTTCATGGGTCGTCAGTTACCATTCGACACATTTGTCAACCGCAAGATCTCGAGGTGGGAGGCACGTGCGAAGGAATGGAACTGTCCCTTCATCGACGCTATTGGTGTTTCGCCCATCGAGGAGATGATCTACTTTTGGAACGGCTACAAGCGCATGCGTCCTGAGCATTTGCAGCACTCGCTCGAGAATCTCGCATGGAGCGAATCGTCCGCGAATCCTCACTGGGCAAAGGAAGACTTGAACGAGAAAGCCATCCTTTCCACGCTCCGCGCCGTAACATTACGCACTTTGGGCCAAACGGCCGAAGCTAAGGAGATCTTGCAGAAGGAGGTCATCGTCCATGATGCCACGGCATTTGCAGGCGCTTTGAAGGATGATTGGATGCCCCCAGTTGCGCGATACGAGATGGCGGCGTGCATGTGGCAAGAAGCCGATGCCGATGGTAACCCACAGGCACACCAGGACCAGCTGAACCAATGTAAGACGTGGCTCGAGGCTGCAGGTAGCTGGGGTGGATATGTCTTGGATGCAAGGTGAGTTGTATACTTTTCAGGTTATGCGCAAAGACTGACAGCAAACATAGAATCGGTATGAAGATTACGACAGGAAAGGGGACCCTGAGGAGATTTGGCGTTCTCATCTGAGCATGGTGCAACAACTATACAGCACTTTGGCGAATGCAAGAGTTGGATTTGGAACGTTCTATCTGATGATGAAGCTATGGAAGAATACAACATTGAAATAGGGAGTGAAACAAGATACGAAAGTATACCTTGAAGCCTACGACAGGCTATAACCCTGTACCAGAAATCTGAAATACAAGCACGACGAATACAACACCTTAAATCTAAAGGACACTATACCCACTTCCAAGCGAATTCACCTGCGACCCCCTGTCCACCAACACCGACCCATCACCTTTCTGCTCCCGGACATAAAACCCCTCCTCCGGTTCCTCCACGCTTTCATACCCCGAATCACTCCTAGCACCAAGCTCATCCGCATAAGCAGTGTCCATATTCTTTCTCCTTCCCACCACCTTTTCCCACTTATACTGATTCATCTCCCTCTTATTCTGGCGGGGAGGAAGATCATCCGGTACGACATCCACTTTCTTAATGGTGACTTTCCTGGGACCGAAACCAGGCGGTGCCGTTATACCCAAGCAGGAAGGATTGGGATTGCGAGTTATTTCTTCTTCGTCTCTCGCGATTTTCTTGTCAGGCCACATTGTGTCGTCTGTGACATAACCGCGATGATGGTGGATCTGGCCTGGTGTTGTGTCGCCGTTGGTGAATCTGTCGGGGAGGGGATGCGTTTCCTTGCTCCTGGGATCGCGATGGGGAGGGGTGTGTTGTTTGGCGCGCGCGCGTCGCGGTGCTGCCTTGAGAAGGGTGCCTATTTGAGTCTTGTAGGGCCTTTGGTGGAGACCATGTTGTAGTCTTGAAAGTTTATCTTGGTAGTAGCTTTTTGAATTCCGATGTTTGCCTTGGAGAGTAGATGTAAAGTGGAAGCCAAAGCTGTGTATAGCTGGTGTGCCGTGTAGAAGATTCCAGTGGGGTTGTGGATGGGTGAAGATGGAAGGCAGGGATGGCTTGGGGAGATTTTATACCCGGTGCATTAATTCAGTAAAGTTTGAAGAACGGTTCGCAAGTTCGTAGAACTATAGTTGTGAGGTGTGAATATTGTTGATTGGAGTTGGTCAACCTTGATTGAAGTCGGCCCAGGCCTACAGATGAATCCAATGACCCTGTCAACCATCTCAACAACTAACAACGAACCATGATCGTAAACATAAAAATCTTCTACACATTCCTACGCTCGGTAACAGCGTTCTTCTGCTCCGGGTCAACAGCAAATTCCTCGTGCTCAATGTGCTTCTTCTCCAGCTCAGCGCCGCCATCGATGTGGTTGGCTCCACCGAACATGGCGTCCATCTCCTCGAGACCGACCTTCTTGGTCTCGGGAACGAAGAACCATACAAAGGCAGCTAAAAGGATGTTGATAGCTGCGAACATGTAGAAAGCGTAGAAACCCTCGTTCTGGAGGAAGAGAGGGAAGAATTGTTGGACGATCGAGTTGGCGACGTTCTGAGTCTGCGAGCACATGCCGACAGCCTGAGCGCGGACGTTCATGGAGAAAATTTCGGCGGTGTAGATCCAGACGGTGGCACCCCACGAAGGCTTGTCTGTTAATGCATTAGTAAGGGCTCGAGGGTGATAGGAATGGGTGATGACCTACAGAAGAAGGCGAACAAGAACATAAGGAACACAATCGCGATACCGACAGGCTGCGACTTGGCGCCATCGTAAGTCGGGGTCTGAGTCTCAACTGAAGCAGCGATGACCATGCAAACACCCATGCCAATACCACCGACAATGAACAAGAACTTGCGACCAAAGCGGTCGACAGTCCAGGTAGCGTTGAGGGTGAATAGAATACCGAATGTAGCGTTGAGGGCATTGATGAGCGCAATGGTGTCGGCAGCCTTGAAGACCTTCTTGTAGATGATGGTGGAGTAAGAGTTGAGGGTTCCCTGTCCGGTGATCTGCTGGCCAGCGTTGATGATCATCGCAATGTACATGCGCTTGCGGACGGACTTGTCCTTCCAGAGAGCAGAGTAACCGCTGGAGATAGCCTCAGCCTCGAACTCGATAGCCTCGCGGATGATGAGGAGCTCGTCTTCGACTTCCTGCTCGGTGTCTCGCACAAGCATCAAAGAGGCCTTGGCGGACTCGTAGTTCTTGCTCTTCTGAATGTACCAACGGGGCGATTCAGGGATGAAGAAGATCTGAGAGAGGATGATGATAGGCATGAGAATCTGGAATATGACAACCATCTTCCAGTCCCACTCGCCGAGCTTCTGAGGGTGCTTGGAGCATGCGAAGTTGACCCAGTATGCGATGAAGGAACCGACCGAGTAGAACATCTGCCAGAAGGACATGATCATACCACGGATCTCAGGAGGTGCGAGTTCACCAATGTAGATAGGGCCAGCAGCTGAGAGTGCGTTAGTGGTTATTTTTCAGCGTCAAAATAAGAGACCTACTCAATGCGAGGCCTTGACCCAGACCGATGATGACACGACCAGCAATGAAGACACCGATACTTCCGCGGGGTGCAAATGTTTGCATGAAGGTGGCGATGATGACGAGAACGGATCCAGTGGCCATGCCGATGCGACGTCCAGCGTAATCAGCGAGAGGTCCACCGAGGAAGAAACCAGCTACGACAGCTCCGACGGTGTATGCAGTGTTGATGGCTCCGATGGTGTTGGCATCGGGGTGGTTGAAGTAGTTAATCCAGTTCTTCGAACCCTGAACGGCGTTGAAGACTGAGGCATCGTATCCGTAGAGCACCATGCAAGATGCTGCAACGAGGGAGATGTACCTGATGGATGTTAGTCTTGTTCATTATGAAGACAGTGTTCGTGATTTACCAGTTGTACGCTCTCTTAGCAGACACCATGATTGCGGTTGCTGCCCTGCTCTGTAGTGGTTCGAAGTGGTGACTCTTGTCAAGGCTACTGTCGACTAGAACTCCGCAAAGGCCACAGCGAGTGTTCGTAGTTGTCAGGGAGGGGACTATCCCTATACAATATATACAACACTGCACAGCACGGAGCGCGCACCCGTCCCATGTCAACCCCATGGAGTCGGTACGCCTTCACCATGTGCTAGGATCCATTAACTGACGCCTCCAGCATTATCACACGAATCAAAGTGCCAAAGCAGCCGCAAAAGCTTGCTCTAGAGCCAACTAGCCCCCAGGACCCCATACCGACTGAATCTGGGGCCCCGTCCTACCCTCATCTTATCAGTCGATACTCCACATAACGGATGGAGAGCCTGTGCTTTGTTCTTCCACGAATGAGAGCCAAGACTGGAGGCTGAATGAGCTTGACCTGCGCAGGTGTGACATCGAAGCGATGTCTAGCATGCCGGCTAGCCAAAACATGGTTAGAGAGAGCGGAGAAGTGCACCCGATGGAGCAGCATTTCCTCCCGTGGCTCCCACGCAAGCCTTGCCAGGGCACGAATGCGGCGGAAGAAAGCTTTTGGCGGATGTCTGGGCTCCTTGTTTCCAGCTCCTCGCATCAAAGGATATTCTGTCGTCGTCAGCATCAAACGTATTTTACCGCGTGTATCTTGCAGTACGCGACATCCTCAAGTCGTAGACAATTGAGTTTGAAAGTTGAATCTCGAATTCAATGTTGGTGCGCTGCAAAAGTGGAGCCTCCCGATAAACTGGGGCGTTGAGGCGTTGGTATCGTGAAGGGTAGCATCGTGCGCCATTCCCTCAACGTGATAGACAAACCGGGAACCGGCACTTGATGAGCATATGCTGATGCACCAAAACGATCATTGGGAAGACCGCGGAGCTTTGGAACCAAAAAACTGAATGCACATGCTCGACGACGTGCAGCAGATGTCAGGCATGGAGAAAGCGCCGAATCCCGAGATGAGCGGTGATGAAGAGGCTCACCTGCATGAACCGAAGATTGCACCTTCCAATGTTCCATGCAAGTTAACGTTGACAATCCTGAGCGAGACCACAGTGACATTCGACTTCAAACAACCATTTGCTGCAAACAGATGAAGTCCAAATACGAGCCTCGTGATTGCGCACTCGAGATGGTCACGTGAAGCTGTCAGCTCCGCCGAGTGGGCTTTTCCTGGTCTTCGAGACCCCTCCCGTAGAATCTCACCGCCCGCCACTAACTAGCCGCATCCACGCCTCCGAGCAAAATATCGCGAGTTCACAATTCCCTAAGCCTACGTGTTAGCAGATATTCAAAATGCCTTCAGGACAGGGAGGTGAGTGCCGCCAAGCAGCCGCGACTTGGCTTGCTCTTTGTAGCGCAACTCCAGAATGACATGTGCTGACCATAAGCAGCCGGTACAAACCCCATCCACAACAAGAAGCCCAAGAAGAAGCCCGCTCAAGACCTCGACGAGGAGGACCTTGCCTTCAAGGCCAAGCAGCAAGCCGGTGCGTAGCCCTCCTTCGCGCATGCCCCGCATCGACCCTCCTGTTGCCGCTCAGCCTTGTCTCACCACCTCGATCCATAACCCTCATAACATGATACATACTACGTTGAAGGAGGCATACTGACGATCACACAGACAAGAAGGCCCGCGAGGAAATGGCCGGCAAGGCCAAGGGCAAGGGCCCCATGAACACCGGGCAGCAGGGCATCAAGAAGTCCGGCAAGAAATAAGCAGCTCACCCACCGAGAGCGAGGGACAGAGCGACACAGAGATACCATGGGATTGGAGTCATGATTTGGAAGACGTTCTTCGAACAGACACAGAGCACATAGACAGTCACGAATGCACGGGAAATGACCATCAAACCATGAGCCTGCAAAACGGGCAATATGTGGGGCACTACTGAACAGTGTTAGGAATGATGAAAGCCTCGACAGTCATCGTACTACGCGAGCACAACATGCTGACTAGGCTGTGCAAGCGTCTTGATATTCGCGTTGTATGGCCCCAGCTGCGCGCTCGATCTCTTGAACAGCTGCTCCGCATTCCTGCAAGCCAATTTCTCCCACTCTTCATCAGTCAAGAACCCGCTTTCTTTTAGCTCCATCATCATGTCGCGCCCTCGCTCTTCCAGCGGATAGTTGCTGGCGTACAGTACGCGGTCCATGGGGATCTGCTCCAGTAGTGTGCGCATACTTGACAGGTCAAGGATGTCGGCTGTGGTCAGGTAAAAGTTGTGCTGCCAGACATCGAGGAAGCTGCGCTTGGGTTTGTCGGCGGCAGGTATGCTGTCAAGGACGATGTCGATGCGCGGGAGGAGCGAGGGTAGTGAGCTTGGATGAGCGATGACCAATCGCAGGTTCGGGTATCTGTCGAAGACGCCGTTAAGGTAAAGGCGCAGGATTAGCATTGGAGACGCGGCGTGTGCGTTGTGTAAGTGTGTGACTAGCGGAGCAACGACGGTGTTGGGCAGGTCCTGAGTGTACTCTGCGATCTGCACTGGTCAACATTCCGCTTGGTTCGACCATGATTGCTTTCCTCCAGCAGTTGGCCCGCAACAAACCTGATCATCAGTCGGACATCCTTCTCTCAGTACAATCGGTACGCCGAATCTCTGCGCTATGTTCCAAACCTCCTCAAAGCTCCTGTCTTCCAATCCACTCCCCACTGCAACAACACCGCCCACGAACTTCAGCTTGGTGACACACCTCTGCAACTCTCCCGCCGCTTCTCTCCCTTCACCCTTTCCACTGGGAAGCAATGCCAGCGCTACCATCTTGTCATTCTGCATCCGCGTCCCTGTGTCCAGCGCGTCGTTAAGCTTCATGCATATTTGCGGCGTAGCGGAAACGGGTATGTGTGAGAGAATCTGTGTAGTCTGGCCGAGGGCGCGCATATCGCGTGAACGTGGATGACCAAGGTTTCTGAGCTTTGAAAGGGTGGCTGGTGGTAGAAGTTGGAGCGCAGGCGAAGAAGGCGCCGCTTGGATGTTTAACGTTGGTGAGAGGAAAGATTCGAGACATGCGATTAGGGGAGGTGCTGTAGATGTTGGAGTGCTCATCTCGGTTCTGGTCTTAAAATATTGAAAAGGGAGGGCTAGGTGGATCGATGTTTAGGTGGGCAGCTGTGTAAACAGTCGAGGGCAGGGAAAGGAGGACAAGGGAAAATCATCTAGAATGGAGACGCACGTTCGTGGTCGCGTGGTCGTCACGTGGAAGCAGGGCAGGGAGAAAGTGCAGACCAAGCGAGATGATTGTGAGGGAAGGTACGTTGGTCATCACGACCGTTCTCTGAAAGTGACGTGTGTTGGATATTGCGTTGTACAGTATGTATGCCATAGAGTCGGCATCATCTTCGTTCTCTCCCATTACTCCAAGTCGCCGCTCAGTTCAGCACAGAAGAACATTCGCACGTATACATATGCCATTGCCAGTGCAGATAGATTTGGCACGGCGTTAGGAGTGTGGCGCACGCTCAGCAGTAGCGTCAATGGGCCCTAATAGGCCGTAGTAATAACAATAGGCGATTCTCTTCCAACGCTTGGTCGAGTAGTCGCAAATCCAAGTCGCTTGTTGGCATGTCGTGTCGTATCATATCATAAAAGTCGTAAGAGTTTGGCGCAGTTGATGCGCATCGCTGAGCACCTCTTCAGGTTGCCCGGCGCACCTTCTTGCTTCCAAGGGTGAATGCACGGCGTCTGATCGAGCCTAGGTGGCTCTCATGATGGGTGGGACGTGTCGGGCTCTGCGCGCTTTCGCTTCCAGATCGGCCGTTGCTGTTGGATGACTCTGATGATTGAGAAGAGGACCTCTTGCGACCTTCTTCGGCGAGGATGTCTTCCAGACTGACATTGAGGTGGGGGTGTGTGATTGGGACCTCTTCGAGGTTCTCGACGAATTTGGAGGCCATTGCTGGTAAGTTGTTGTTGATGTTCGGTAAAGGTTTGGTGATGGTAAAAATGACGAAGTCGTTTATTGCGATTTGGTTGACTCGAGGATTATAGTCGAGTAAACAAGTAAGGGACTTGATGTACTCGTACTATGTCACTGTAGGGGTGTCGAGCGATGCTTTCAGGGGCAAGGTGGTGCAGTGGTCTGGGCTCGTAGGTTCGCGTGGTATGAATATAGAGTAGTGGTACAAGACGGTGAGGCCTGCAACGATATGTAGTGACACTTGGGGTTCGAGCGAACGAATACTTGAGCGAACGGATATAGCTTTATTGGAAATAACGAAATAGAAGCCTTGAACGACCGGGGCGGCGCAGATTTTTAACTTTACCTTGCACGCGGCATGTCCAGACGACGAGCATGCGGACACAGTGTGTAAAGGCTTGAACAGGGTCTCTGGGCGCTGATCGCTCAGGTCTCGACGCCTAACGGGTTAAGCTAAGGGCAGGGATGACGACAGCGGGGCCCTTCAAGGGCCCAGACGGCCTGCATTTTGGCAGACCCTGGGACACGTTGGGTGCCCGAAATAGCTGCGAACATATCCATGGACGTCTGAGACTCTTTTGTTTTGTTGCCACCCTTCGCCTGCAAGGCGCTCTGCAGACGTCCATTCAGTCGGAGACCGAACCCAACGCAGTACCTCGTCGCGAAGGCTTGGAGATAGAAAGGATCATCCGGTTGTTGCAAAGCACACGCGCAAGCCTCTCGCCACAGTCTGGTGAGTCAATCTCAGAGCAGCGTGGCAGCATGCGCGAGATCAGCGCGATCAACACCTTCTCCGCAAAACAGCTATGCTCGTCTATCCTTACTTTATCAGATTGCAGACTCGCTATCTAAAGAGTTCCACAAACCTTCTCCGCACTCACACATACTTTTCAATTCGTTCTCTCTCACCGTTGGTGTTGTGCACGAGGACATTCCCGTGTTCGCAGCCAATGACGTAGGACAGGAGACCACCATTTCACAGCCTCCACACACCTTGGCTTCCAATACTTCTGTTTCGGTCTAACAGTTGCGGTCTGCCGGCTCCCACTACTAGCGACTACAGTGAACGCCAAATCTGCGACAACCGACCGAGGCCGGGAATGTAATTACGGTGTATTTCCATATCGTGCAGCATCGCGTCCGGCAGTGTGCCGAGAACGACATCATCGAGCAGGGTCTTCATCCTTCATGCAGACCCTGGACCCATGACGGTGACACCAAACTGCGCCATCCGTCATGTCAAGATGCAAGGGAACGATAAAACTTGAGGTGTGGAGTCGCTAACGGGCACTAGCCACGTACGCTGCGCAAGGCTTCAGTCGATTGAGATTTGGGCACAGATGTTGTCGCAACAGGATACGCAGCCGCTTGTGTAGGGTTTGAGTCGTTGTCAATATCGAAATCGTCACCAGCGCCCACGACCGCGTCCTCTTCCACCACCGTGACCTCGTCCGCGACCACCGCCGCGACCACCGCGACCTCTGTGACCGCCTCTACTTCCGCCTCTTCCGCCTCTACCAGATCGTTGCTCCTCTGGCCTAGGACCGGCCTGCATGCGCTGTGCTCGTTCCTCTTCTGACGCGTGGAAAGTATTCGGGATCTGCAGCAAATCACAGAAAGCTTGCGTGTGCGGGTTGTCGTATTCTTGCGGCTGTTCTTGAACGTGGATGCCTTGAGACGGATTATAGACAGGTGCGGTCTGTGCGAAGTCATGCGGTATGGTCATCTTCCCTGCTTTGACGATATTCTCTTCGACCCAAGCAACTTGCTCTTCGATGAGAGGCCTGTAGTAGGCGTCACCTTTGTCTGCAGGTACTTGCGCGTCTGGGTCACCGACTTGCAGATCGCCAGCGAAGACACGCGTGATAGCGAGCCATTCGGTGTCATACTCCAACTGCAGTGGCCTTTGAAGATTACTGGGTGAGTGAGGTGTGACTTCTAACAGTTGCAAGAAATGTCTCTTCGGTAAGCACTTGTCAAGTGCCAAGAACTTAGTCGTTTTGTTTGTGATGTCTGCAGGGAACGGCAATGTCTCTGCTTTCTCGAAGTTTGAGCGCGCGAAGGAGGCCGGTAGCAGATCTCTCATTTCATCAGGAACCACTGTTTGCCCATTGGTCTGCTCAGGTTCCTCAGGCTTGACTGGTGCTGCATCATCATCATCATCGCCCATGTCAAGATCGATTTCAGCGTCGTTCTTAGGCGCTTCTGTCGGTGTATGGTCCTCAATGTCTAGGTCGATCTCGCCGTCGTTCTTTACTATCGCAGAAGGCTCGCTCGCAACAGTCTCGGGTACTGCTGGCTCTGGTCCACCTTCATGCTGCCAAACGCCACTGAACTTGCAGTGCATGTGCGCACTGAACCAGTGTGGGGGTCGTAGCCGCTCCAGAACAGTTGTAGCTGCAACGCTCCCGAGCGTGCCATCCTTAGCTTCCTGCGCAAAGTCTGGCTTCCACTTGAACAGCTGTCGGTAGTCGCCTTTCCATTCCATACTGCGCGGCCAGTCATGACTCAAGCCAACATCGACTTGTGTCCTGATCTGCAGCAGCTTACGCACATCTAGTTCGCGAACGTGGTATATGCTTCTTACGTCGTCACTGTTATACGGCAATCGCTCGTAGTGCGGCTTTTTGTAGTTGTAGCCTTTCCATATGCCTGACAGACCAGCGATACGAAGAGATCCCAGCCTGACAACGTTCGCAGCGCCCATGTAGTAGATCTTGGGTGCAGCCCAGCCGCCGTAGTATAGCTCCCACGAGTAGTTGCTGGCTTCGTGGTTTCCTCCAATGAAGATAGTCAGGTATGGCGCGGCGCGAGTGCCTGCGTAGTATTCGTGGAAATCGTGCATAGCGTAGTATTTTGAAGGCATAGAGACGGCTTTGAGGTCGGATGCATTGCGAACGGCCTACATTGTCAGTTCGATACCAAGTATAAGTACCATAAGCGCGTACCTGGAAGTCTCCTCCAATGATGAGAAGGTCGACATCTGGCCAGCCTCTCAGCTCGCAAGATTTTGCAACCGAAGCATAGATCTCATTCAAGACTCCGTGCCCACAGCCCTCTACTGCTATGCGCAGGCCTTGCTGCTCGATCAGTGTCGGTGCAGCCATGCTGATACTGACTGATGCTTAAGATTAGCAATGTGTTAGCAAGCTGACTGCAGTGCTCTCAATCAATTGCGCATCATTGGCGCAGATAGCTGCGACTAAAGGTGGAGTAGTCGCGAGCAGTGAGGCAAAGCTCGAGGGACCACTAGCGCCGGAAGTCTTCACGAAGTCCGCACGCGAGACCTTGATGGTCCACTGACAGCTCTTCGCGTCCATCTCCCACCAACAAACAGACACAGTCATGGAATCGACAGACCTCGTGGAGCGAAGGTCGAACTTTCTTCGGGAAGCTGCGCACTTGCTGGCGATTTCGTCACCGACCACTTCAGCATTTCTTGGTTCGGCGCAGGACAGGCTCATCGAAGACGCAGAGATAGATCTGCAGCAGAAAGAAGTTGATGCACTTCGGAGACGGTTCTGCGGTGCCTGCGGCAACCTGCTGATAGCAGGATGGTCTTGCAGGGTTGTTCATCAGACTGAGACGAAGAGGGCGCGAAAGGAGAAGAAGACATGTAAAGACTCGACACCGCCGGCCAAACACATTGTATACACCTGCTTGAGATGTGAACGACAGACAATACAGTCGTTACAGGCGAGACCGTCGAAACCTGTCAGGAAAATGACAGCTCCAAAAGCCTCTCAGCCATTGCCAGAGCCCAAACAGCAGGCCCAAGAGGCCAGTAAAGTGGTCAAATCAGTCAATGCGAGCAGCAAAGAGAGGAGAAAAGCTCGAAAAGGTGGTCTTGCGGCGATGCTCGAGAAAAACAAGTCCCTAAACTCCAGTCAAGGCGGATTCGACTTGATGGACTTTGGTATGTAAGCAGCTCTCGTAGGGCTGCAGAATGACTAGGGTCCAGGAGAAGGTTCCAGGTACCCCGCCACTGTCCGCCATAATTTCTAACTTGGAGAATTTCGTCACACTACCGCTGCCCCGCGCCGACTGCTGCAACTTTTCTACGGCTTTACCAACACAACCACCTTTACTGCATACGAACAGAGATAACGCAAATGGCCGAACACAAGAGTCTCGCGAAGGACCTCTTCGAGGATATGGGGCGCAAGGTCGCCGACGCGAGCGCACAGCAAGAAGAGGACGACTCTCGGGTTGTTGACGAGATTGAGAGTCTGTGTATGAACTGCCACGAAAACGTACGTCCGCCAGTAATAGCAGGATGGATACGTAGCTGACAGTCCTCAGGGTACTACACGCCTCCTTTTGACAAGAATTCCCTTCTTCCGCGAGATCGTCATCATGTCCTTCGAGTGCCCGCACTGCCACTTCCGAAACTCTGAGATCCAGCCCGCTGGTGAAATCCAGCAGCGCGGTATCAAGTTCACAGTACGAGTCGACACCGTAGACGACCTCAGCAAGCAGGTCGTCAAGAGCGACACTGCGATATTCCGGGTTGAGGAGATTGACTTGGAAATTCCCCCTGGTCGTGGACAGCTCACGAACATTGAGGGCATCCTCTCTATGGTCGCGCAAGATTTGGACCAGAAGCAGGACGAGCGAAGAGAGAAGATGCCGGAGGTCGCGCCGCAGATCCAAAAGGTTATCGATACACTCAAGGAGATGGCGAGTGGTGAGAAGCTGCCTTTCAAGGTCACAATCGATGACCCGGCCGGCAACTCCTCGATCGAACCTCCCAACCAGCTCTCCGCTGGAAAGTACTCTCGTCACGAGTACGCACGAACTGCTGCGCAGAACGAAGCGCTTGGCCTGGGTGACAGCAGTGGGCAGAAGGAGGCGCCCCTCAACGTGGAGGCACCAGCCACCGAGATCCGTCCCGAGTACCACGCTACTCAGATGTACCCTGAGATGCCCTCTGCTCACCAGCCTATGGTGAACAACGTGGACGAAGACATTGTTGAAGACCAGGTTTACTCCTTCCCAGCAAGCTGCCCAGGATGCACTTTGTCGTGCACGACAAACATGAAGATGGTCAACATTCCCCACTTCAAGCAGGTTGTCCTCATGTCTACTGTTTGCGAGCACTGTGGATACCGAAGCAACGAAGTCAAGACCGGAGGCGAAGTACCGGAGAAGGGTCGCCGCATTACAGTCAACATCCAGAACAGGGAGGACATGTCGCGAGACATCCTCAAGGCTGAATCCTGCGCAATGTCCTGCCCCGAGCTCAACCTCAGTGTTGAGCCTGGTACATTGGGCGGCAGGTTTACCACAGTCGAGGGTCTTTTGACACAAGTCCGCGACGACCTCCGCTCTTCCATCTTCGACGTTGGTGATGGCGGTGACTCGATGGACTCTGCGTCGAAGAGCAAGTGGAACACCTTCTTCGACCAGTTGGGCTCTGCCATCGATGGCAACGAGAAGTTCACGGTCATCCTTGAGGACCCTCTTGCCAGCAGCTACGTCCAGAGCTTTACTGCGCCAGAGCCTGACCCGCAGATCAAGGTCGAGGACTACGACCGCACAGAGGAAGAGGAGGAGGAGCTAGGTCTGAAGGACATGAAGACGGAGGGTTACGAGGAGGAGCACGCTGCAGAGCAGGCGGCCACCAACGGCGCATGAGCTGTTGCATGAAAATTTCGTAGATTTTTGTTCTCTTGCATTTGGGACGGGGCATCCTTAGATACCAGGGCTTCGCCAGCCACAATGAAGCATTATGACCGTGATCTTCCTTCCATGTTTGAGTCTCTTCACCCAGTTGCTCATAGTCACCCTGGCGTCCCTCTGGTGGCTCGCAAGCTTTCTCTGGTCGCTTCTCGTGTGCGTCCATGCGTAGATGTTTGGGGTCAGGTCTTCACTTCCCATCTCTTCAGCCAGCCAGAGGATTCGCGTGGATCGTAACCTTCTCGATCACGATCTTCTCCTGCGGCCTTGACTTCTTGTCCACCGGCACCTTCTCAATCTCATCCAACACCTCCTGCCCTTCCAACACCTTCCCAAACACCGTGTTCTTCCCGTCCAGATGTGGCGCAGGCGCAAACGTGATGAAGAACTGGCTACCGTTCATATTCGGACCCTTGTTCGCCATGCTCAAGGTCCCTCGTGCGTTGTGCCTCAGCGCGGGCGAGAATTCATCTTCGAACAGAGCGCCGTCGTTGAAGATGGATGTACTGGACTTGGATTTTGGGTCGGACGCGGGGCTGCCGCCCTGCACCATGAAGTTTGGGATCAGACGGTGGAAGGGCGAGCCGTTGTAGAAGGAGGAGGCGCAGAGAGCGAGGAAGTTTTCGGCGGTCCTGGGGGTGGATTCGCAGAAGAGCTCGAGCTTGATGTCGCCCTTGGTGGTGTGCAGCTGCGGATAGTCTCAGCAGGGCCGGTATAAAAGAGACGCAGTGTGACGACGACGACGACGACGACGACGACGACGATGACGGCGACGGCGACGAAAGGGTCCAGATGCGCCTGTCAGACGGGGAAGGAGCGGACGGGGCACTCACAGTTACGGACATGGTGATGGGGCTGCTGGGAGAGCTGAGCGAGCCAAGCGTCGCTCAGCTTCAGACCCCACAGGTGCTTAGACGGGCGAGCTGCCAATGGATGGCGGACGTTCTCGGAGTGCTGCGCCGCTTACCTGCACGCTCCGTGTGCCATTGTCGACGACGCGCGAGCACCGTGTCCTGGATACGCTCAGAGACGCTCAGATACGGACTGTAGTAAACTGTGCAACGAGCCTTGAAGGTCGAGTCCGGCGCCCGTCAAAGCTAAGGTGGACCCTCCGCTCGTCACCAGCAGCCCTACCGTGCAGTGGACCTGGCCCCGACATCACCGCGCATCGCTGCTCCAACATCACCGGCGCATCGCTACCCCCAACCAACATCACCGCCCAGACACCCGCTGCCTGCCCGCGACTGCAGCAATCGCCTCCACCCACCCGTTCCTCCGTCCCATCGGCGAGGTCGCGCCCGCTCCATTCGCACCTCTGCGCGCGCCGCAACCCCCACATTGTCCCGCAGAAGGCTACCTACCTACCTGCACAGCTTCCCAGCACATCGTCTTGGCGCAACCCGCCCACGTCGTCGAGCGCGGTCACCAGCGACTGCAGCACGCCCGTCCGCCCGCCCGTCCGCCCGCCCGTCCGCCCATGCGGCGCCTCTCTCATGTCCAGGCCTGCGCCGCTTCATGCTAGAGAAATGTCGGCTTTCGTCAGGGTGTCGGGCCCGCCCAACTCCAACTTCCTGGTCGGCTACCCAGGCATATCCGCAACGCTGCCGCGCATAGAGGGCAAGGTCGAGATCCGGCCCCTCGTCGGCGTCTCGGCGCCGGTCAACATCTCCCTCGTCACCATTGCCCTCCACCGCCGCGAGACCATCCACCCGTCAGCCGACTCGGTCACCAAGAAGCACCTCGCCGCGCCGCGAAAGGACATCACCGACCTGGTCGGCAAGGAGATGCTGTTGTTCCGCTGCTCGGCGGGGCGCGAGCACGAGAGCATACTGTGCATGGACCTGCCTTTCGTCATCTTCATACCCTACGGCCGCGGCGGCGAGGAAGTCGCGCGCCGTGTCCCACCCGCCAGTCTCCAGCTGCCCTCGCGCACGGCAGAGACCTTCTACGAGCTCGTCGTCACCGTCCAGCAGGGTCACAGCGAGCAGAAGAAATACCCCTTCCCCGTACCTGTCCAGCGCTACGACACACTATCTACATTCGGCATGTACAACCGCCCCGAGAGCGCAGAGCGCGTCACAGATCATCTCGTCACTCTTGGCATAAGTCTCCCGCGGTGGAGCTACGGACCGCTGGATCCAGTCTCGGTCTACATCAAACTATCGCCCAATCCGGATTGGCTCTCAAAAGCGAAGAAGGTCACAATAAAGCAAATCACAGTAGGGATAGACGAGGAGATCATCTTCAACCACGAGGGCGACGAGCCAACCCGGAAAGTGAAGACACTGGCCAAGACTACCCAAGCAGTGGGCGTCAAGATGCCAGAGGCAGGGTACTTTACGAATCTGGGATTAGTGTTTCCGGCAAAGGACTTGAGGGACAGCGATGGCATAATACCAAGGGGGAAGAAGGAGTTCCCGATGTATGCGGTCAACGGCTTCACAACGACTGGTACTCTTTATAAGATTGAGTACTATCTCACGGTGAAGGTATGTTCTCACCACTCCGTTACACATGCGCTCCTCTGTTGACAAAGATGCAGGCACAAATGAGCTCAGCGCGCGACATCTTACTGAGACAGCCGATCGTCGTATGCCCTTTCGACCACGCTGGATGTAAAGAAGAGATGGAAGCCATTGAGCAAGCGGCGAAAGACGCAGCACATGTTGCGCCAGACAATCCGATGCTGCCAGCGAGCCACATTGTGAGGGCGAACGATCCAAACGGGTTGGCCGCGTTGGGAATTGCGATTGTTGGGGGCGTGAGGAAACCGTTGATCGAATGAGCGACCCACTCGGGACTATTTGTCTGAACGAACGAGTACAAGCTCCGACCCCACCTGGAGCCAGCAGCAAAGATTCGCAGGCTGTCCAACGAGGACCATCGATGAGGCCAAGAGCGATCAAGTTGCTCCAATCCACAAGAGCGATCAAGTTGCTCCAATCCACAAGACCGAGCGGCAAGTGGTCGCGGTCGACGAGTATCACAGCCCTAGCCATGGAGATCGTGTAGCAAACACTATGCAGGCCTGGACAGCGAATCACAATGCTCGAAAGCAGGGCTACGCACCACTAGCCTCGAAGCAGAGCTTGGCGTCCGGGGCTGAGGGGCCGTACTATAATTACAGAGGCCCACATATTGCATCAGTCGGCGCTCAGGAGGAGCGTGAAGCTTGTCACCATTTTTGTCAGTCTGTTTGTATTTGCACATGATACCTTTGAGTCGCTCTCTTCACTTCATAGTATACATAGTCCATAGTATTGGCAAAGGTTTGCTGAAAACACGAAATGACTAGACTAGAAGAGATGGAGGCCCTGGCGGCTCAAGAAGCGTTCCAGATGAGGGTAGTGGAGAAATTGGATGAGGGTAAAAGGGAGAAGCAGGGCCACGGAGACGTAGAGCGCAGGGGCAATCGAACCCACATATCTATCCAGAACCCCTCTTCCATTTACCGAAACGAACAACTTACTCAGTATCGAAGAATGACACCTGCAGATCGAACCACCGATCGACACAATACCATATCTCATCTCATGCCCCTCGCCCAGAATCTTTGGCTATCTATATCCGCGGGACCGCTGTCACTGCCACAACAGGAAGGAAGAGTAAAAAGGTGTCGAAAGTAGGTGCAACGATCGCCGATCGCAACACACAATCTCCACCGTGGACCAGATGATGAACACGAATAGAACCACGAGGCTTGCTGGCTTTTTGCTGAAACTAGTAGTGACATAGAGCATCGAGGACGGACACCTGCAGATCGAACCACTGATACAGACTCTACCATCCCTCGATCTCCTCTTCGCGCCCAGAGCTTGAGTTCGAGGCTTCCGCGGAGAAACACTGCCACAACAAGGAAGAAGAGTGAAGAGCGTGGAAAGCAGACAGGGAGATCGCCGATCATAATGAGAAAATGAACCCTGAGACCCAAGATGCCATCAACCTGAGTTGCCAAAGCAGACAGGAGCAAGAGGACCATCGATCACGGATGGATATAAGCGGCAGAATCAGCTTGTAGATACCTTGGGTCTTGGATGGCGAGGGACATGTAGCCTCACAAAATTGCTGGACCGGTGATGTGGACCCAGACTTTGAACAAAATCGGGCACAATTCACTGCAGGGTCCCTTACAACGTACCAAAGTTCTTTGACCCCTAACGACCATCTGCCCGACATCGTCCGGGCGGAGGTTTGGGTTGGATCAACTCCACTGGGTGCCACGTATCGTTGTGTGTCAACTTCTCGAACAGGAAGGACGAACGAAAGGGTGTTGAAAGCAGATGCAGGGACCTTGCATCGTTTCCAACTTTCTCATCTTCGTCGCCATAACTTTGTATAGCTCCAAGCTCGTTCCAGAGAACTTAGCCTTGGGTACACGCCACTCCATCCCCATTTCCTTCCAACGTATGTATTCCGATAGGAAGAAGTGGAGAGCGTTGAATGCAGCTGCAGGGCTCACCTCACCGTACCGAGGTTCTGATTCTCCCCTCTTAGTCTCAATGCTTTCGGGAAAGATCATGGACTGGCCTTACTCCACTTCTCCGCACATCTACACAGTTTTACGTGCCACTATCAGACACATGTCAAGGTTGAGGTGTCTCCTTGCGGTCGGCTGCATAGGCGCTTATCTGCTGATTGGTTGCTACGTCGCACGACTACATGTTAACAGCTACACGACATCAACGTAGACATTTCCTTATGTATAGCTCCACTCCGTAGCATGTAGAATAGTCAGTTCAATCCTTCCATTCTTCCCACATGCGTACTGTCCACGCTCCCCGACAACACATCGGTCAAAAACGGTTGATAGCACACGCAGGGACCTTACATCACACTTGGCTTCACAAAATATTTGTCCAGACTTGACAGCCTTCTAGTCTCATCAATGAGTGAGGGTCCCGGATGGCCCGAAGCATTGCACGATCGAAGATGCCGAAATAGGAAGGATGGTTGGAAGGCGTGGAAAGTAGACGTGGAAATCCGTTTATTGTGCCAAACCCGACTTTCCGCACTTCGACTGCTAGAATCATCTCGCCTCTACTATGCCCCACACTTTCCCAGCCCCGCGATCGTGCCTGCTGACTTGGGAAAGAAAGATGTAGGCGCAGAGAGTCGCGGAAGGATTGTCGCTTTTCCCGCTCTCTGTGGGACTATCGGTCGAGCTGAGTCTTGGTAGCAAAGTGCGCCAGGTCGAAGAGAGTCTAATTCTTCACTTCACCACAGCGTAGCCACGGCCCTGGAAAGGTATGTGTGTAGGTATAGTTTGCGTACATAGGAGTCATTGGAAGAATGCTACCTGTGTATGCCGAGTTGGTGACTGCACGATATTGGTATACGCCAGCGTCAGCAGACCCGTTACGGCCGCCAGTCCAGGCAAACTCGACCTTCGGCCAAGAGACAATTGGAACACGAGAGGTGAGCCTTTGCTGAGAGGTGGTGACCACAACCGTGAGACTTCCCGGGTAATTGCGGAAAGAGGCAAGCACCTAAACTAGCCCAACATCTGAACACAAAATGGTCCAGATGACATACCATATAGCCAGGGCGATGACAATGGATGTCCAAGCCTTTCTCAAAACTTCCCAGTTGAAGAAGCAAGCAGGATTCGCGAGTAAACCCATAATGTCATCGATACCACTTACGGAGATGGGGCGGCTACGTGGCACTCTCCAATAGTGCTGTTGATACGACATAGCTGCGCTAGCTATGAGACGCGCCTTCGCGAGAAATGCAAGACCGGTTCCAATTCGAACGGCCCATCCCTAGCTAAATCTTGCGACTGGTTGGCCATCTAAAGAGTTGTAGTAGAAGTGATGTACTATTGCAAAAGCGATGCCGAGAAGCATGAACAAAATCATCCCGGAGGGGACCCGAAACGAAACACGCCAGCGGTCAGCCTTTGTCGGAACACCAGTGTCATATTCTAGAATGATCTAGCGGCGTAGATCCACGTGGAGTACTCGAGGTGAAGATGATTTCCTACTACCGATTTGGTCAACAGACGACGAAGGAAAGCTTAAGTCATAGCGAAGGTTGCGCAGTATTGACACCGGTAGCTCATTACTCGTGCGCAATCAAGATACAGGAGGACAATCGTTCGGACTAATTCGGGCTGTTGCCTGTGCTAAAATCGACCGGTGGCTACACCAGATGCACATTCGTTGTCAACCAAGTGTGCCCAGGCGCGAAACAAAGTCGCAGTAACCTTGGAAAAGTGCCGGCGAGAACACGCATATCCAGACCGCACTGATAGGGAAACTGCCCTGCCTCTAGATTAGCATGAGCTGACACTTTTTGATTTGTAGCTGTACTCACCTTCAGAATTCGAGGGGCTCCTTCTTGAACTTCTCAGTCAACTGCTTCTGGGTATGGCTCCAGAGCGCCTCAAGCGCCTCGATGACATTCTCGCGTCCTCTGCCGCGCAACAAAGTCTCATATCCGCCAAGATCCTTGACATAGCCGACTGCAACCGCAGCGAACTGGGCTTCGCACTTGTAGTGGATGACGTCGAACGCGTCGAACTTGGGGCAAAGAGCTGAGTTATGGATAGCGCGTAGTTGAGCTAAGACAGTGTGAGCGGCTGAATATCTACCTTTCAGAAACAGCTGTACTTACACTTGATCATGCTGGTCAGATTCTTCGCCATGTTGATCTTGTCTCGGGGGAGGCCGTCCATCATGGTATCGTGGAAAATTCGAAACGTGAATGGCAGGTGGTGGTGAGCAAAAAAAAATATCATGAGCGAACGCAAGGTTTCTGCAGAGATTGAGAACTATGTAGGCTCGTTCCAGAAGCATCTAGCGGGTTGTCCTGTTGTGATGCATCTCGAGGTGAAAGCAACTTTTGTTTGTGGAAGTGGGGTGAGCACCACGATCGTACGCGCTATCAGGTGGTATTAGTTGTCTCAACAGTCGGGATGGCGTCCAGCGCAGGTCACTTCTTGAAGTGTGTCTTGATCGTATCGCAAACATTCGCGTATATCTGCGCAGTATCGTACTTTTTCACTCCGTATTGCAATGAATCCTAATCCATAGTAGACCATACGATCTGGGCAATGGCAATGAAGACTGTCTGATACTGATGCTGCCAGTGAGGATCCTGAAACGCCTTCTGGAAGTTGACTGTATCTTCGAGTGGCTCGATCATGTCCCTGGTGATAGATGGCCCGAAGGCTTTGGCGAGTATGGGCATCGTGTCCTTGATGGTAGGAGGCGGAAGTATGGCAGACCATCGTCGTCGTCGACTCCTGACTCCTTGATTTCGATCTCCAAGATCTATGCGGGGTTAGCAATGATACGTAAACCGGAAAGTGACTTACTATATCGAAGAGGGCCTGAGAGCAGAACATGCGATTCTGCAGGCTTTGCTGAAGCTTCTTTGCAGACCTCAGATACGCTCGGTACTTGTACGAATTTGGAGGGACACTAGGGAGGACCCAATCGGATGGCAGAGCCTCAGTGGTTCGTCCGTCATGGAACATTATGGTGTGACATTTGCGGTCGACAACTTTCTGCTCTGCCGCAGATGGCCCAGTAAGAAGCTCATCATGTCTCGACTGGTGCCAGAGTCTGTGCTGCGAAAGCAGCTGCGCCGAGGTAGCCTTGCTGTGCTGGAAAGCGTGCCAGGTTGTTGCTCAGGAACGAAGCAGGACATGCAACGAGATAAGGGTGCGGTCAGCGAGGGTCTGGTGGGAGGAAGCCATGTCGGCGGATGCTAGCAAAGTTGAGGAGTGTCAAGTAGAAAAGCACAACCTCGATTATGGAGTAATTAAGCCAGGTTGCAAGAGAAAGTCTACTTCACCCAGACTTGGATTTACTCTATACAAGTGAGAGTGGATCGGAGGACCCAGTATTTATACAGGTGCTTCCGATAGTTTCACGCGTGTCGTCGTTCGTAAGCAATATGCGTAAGAGCATGACCGTCGTCGACCAGACATCTTGGTTTGGAGGATAAACGTGAAGGCTTTGCTGATTCTGAAGGTCTTCATGAAATTGAGAGTCGTGCATGAGGGTACTGGTCAGATCAAGCGTGCCGGCAGTTCGATAGAGATATACGAATGCGCTCGAGTTTTCTGATCGCTAGGTCTAACATCCAGGAGGGCTCCAAATGAGATTGTAACTATGACGGCGAACAACATCATGAGACCGAAAGGCACCATAGTCTCCAAGTGCCGTTTAGCGAATTTGTAAGTGTTTACAAGTTTCTTAAGGCCACCCGTGAGTTCCTACAGGGTCTTCAAAGGGAAGCGCCCAAAAGGTATGAGCTCTTTCGTAGTACAGGACTAATCGCGTGCTGCAAAGCACCCAGCTCAGATAATGAAAAACCGCTATACAGTACGGTGACAGCCGAGTGCGGTTACCGCCATTTCTAAGCTTACAAAGCCTGGGGGCTTTCAGTGAATCTTAGAAAATTGTCTTGTATGAGCATAATACGCTGTTTCATCTCCACACTTTTAAGCCTGTAAGTTTCCGTCTTTTCCTTGCAACACAAGTTCCACAACGCGGCTTATTCGGATATCAGAGTCTAAAGGGGTGTATAGCATTGCGCGAGTCCTTATGCGATCGAGTGTGAGATGCAATTACTCTGTAGAAAGAACATAGGGAAACGGACATGATTGGGTTCACACTGACCTGTAAAGCTAGTAAAAGGCCGCCCCTTGAACCGAAGAACCAGCCATATCTGCGCGCGATTTCCATCTCTTAAAGATTCTTTCAAGGTGGGGCCAGAGAATGTGATGTTATTCGATGCCCCGCACCGCACAAAAGTCGCGCTTAAGCATACAGCCCACCATAATGCCGCGTCGTCAGCTTTTTTGTTTGCTTTATATATTGTGCCAACGCTTTGTCATTCATCAAATCCACACAACTGGAGCAGGGTGAGGTGGCCGAGTTGGGTAAGTTCCACTCAGATGTCACCACCAAGTTCACTTTCCCTAACAAATCATAGTTATGGCGCCAGGTTAAGGTCTCTCCTTAGCATTGCTGAGCAATCAGCTTCCTGGTCACGAAAGTGGCGCGGGTTCGAGTCCCGTCCTCATCAGCATTCGTTCGACAGTAGTCGAGCACTCCAGGATATCTTTTTTTGCGCTGGCGTGGTGCTGGTGGGGTAGGTGGATGGTGGAGGTGCTAAGCGAGGGGACCGGAAACGTCAGTCTTTTTGACGGTAAAGGGAAGCTTCAACAGGCAGGACGCAAGTGCTGAATGGTTGGATTGATTGGTACTTGTGATGAAGTAGGTCGAAGCTTAGCATATCCTCTCATGCGGCTCCCTCCACGGCACCCCAAGAATCTCAAAGATCTTCTTCTCACTCCTCCCTTCGACGAATGTCCCCTCATTCAACTTCTCCCCTCTCCTGCCGCGCTTCACATCCTTGTACAACCCCTTCTGATTGAGTCGCATACCCTTCTTCCTGGCCAGCAGCCTTATACTTCGATTAAAAATGTCATTACCAGTAAAGTAAATCAACGCTGCACCCATCTCGTACTCCGGCACCACCAGAAAGTCCATGCGTCGCCAGGTCTTCGATCCGGGAAGGCAGGATGCGCCATGCCATTTCGTCCCACTGGCATCGTTGGAGCGCATTGTTGCGAGTGAGACTTTCAGAAAGTCTGCATTGAAGAGATGTGGGACGAGTATGTCGAAGACGATGGTGCGGATCTGTGAGAGCGACATGCCAGGCCGTGTGATGATCATGTCGATGTCGCCTGAGTCTTTGGCTCCCCGGCGGTAGCTACCCATGACTGTTGCTTCGAATCTGGGATCGAGCTTCTTTAGAGCTTTGATGACAACTGCACCGTGTGCGGCTACTTCTGCGCGTGGGATGCGTGTGTTGAAGTCTGAGTAGTGCTCGAGGCCGACTTTTTGACTGTCGGTGAGCCTTGCTCTGGTGAGTAGGTCTTCCAGCGTACGGTGGCCGGCTTGTATCCATTTGTTGGCCTGGACGAGACCGGCGCCGTATACGCCTAGGAAAAGGCGAAGGACTTGGTCGAGTGAGTCGTCCTTGATGTTGTCGAGCTTGCGCAGTCGGTTCGTCAATACAATCTCCTCAATCTTTCTAGCCAGCCTAGGGCCGATGAAGGGTAAAGCTGCGGCTTGCTTCGCAGTACTGATCTTTGTGGTCTGCTTCTTCAGTGTAGTGACACCTCGACGGTAGGCTAGTGTATGCCACTGATCTTGCATTTGGTCGTAGTGTCTGCCCATCTCTTCGAGGATCTGAATGGTGCAAGCGTTCGGGTTCTGAGAGGAGTATCCGCCAGTACTTGGGTCCATGCACTGAAAGCCACTCTGATCGAAGTCTTTCTTTGTTGTCCGAGTGGCTGCAGACTTGCTTGAGCTTGCGTAAGATGTCTTTCGAGACTTCGTAGGCATCTCCAGGAGCTCGTCGTCAGTACCTGAATCACCATCTTCCACACCAATAACGCTCTGAGTAGGAGACTCTTCGTCTTCATCGTCGTCAATAGGTAGATGCGCAATTGTTTTCATCTCGCGTATAGCTTGCAGAAGCTCGTCTCCGAAGGAAGCGTCGGGTATCGTGGCTTCTGGGGGATCTTCACTAATCTCTGATGAAGGCATCACAAAGCTGTCTTCGACCCTCGCCTGCAAAGGATTTTCGGGGACCTTCTCGACAGCGATCTGACTTGGAGTGCCTTCTGCTAGAACAGAACCTGTCTTTTGAGATGACACTGCATCTTTCTGCTTTCTCGTTTGTTTGATCTGCAGCGACGTCTGCGATTCGCCTGACCTCTCGAAAACATTTACTGGCGTGTCTGGCATCTGACTTGCTTGGTCTTGCTGGGGCGCACCCTTGACGCTGAAACGGGTAGCGGACGGGTCCATGAGCGTGCCGAATTGTATACACTGTGGAATATAAGGATCAAATTTGGCTAGCACTACCTTCTTCTGCTTCTTGTCAGCAGGATCAGTTTGGTTATTACGGAGGACGCACTGGAAAACCGGCTCGATTGAGATGTCGTAGCAATTGTGTGTATGTGTGATTTGCATCGTCGACCAGGACGTGTGTGACATCCTCTCTCCACTTGTTTACCCAGGCTGCTCCAAGCTGTATCACCTTGTGAATTCGCGTCCGCCGCACCATGCTGATATCGTCGTTGGGATAGAAGTAGACAATCTTGCCACTCAGTAGCTGTTGGGATTCTGGCACAAGCTTGATGTTGTCTGCTGGCTTGATGTTCTTCCCGTTCTTGAGCTCTCGCGGAACCACACCCATCTGCTGGTAGAAGGGCGTTTGATCGAGCTCGGTCATATTGGGCAGAGATGTGACGCGCTTCATCTTACTGTTCGCCTCGCCTTCGGCATTCGACAATTGGCGTGCTCGTGGCTTAGTGACAGAAAAGCTCTTTGTCAATTCCATCTCAGGCGCTGTCGCCGAGCGAGTCAGGATCTTAGTCTCATCTCGCATGACTGCACGCCGCCGTGTCGTATATGCTTCGAAGTCGGCTTTCACTTCCTTTGATGTCGGACCGAGAAAGTTGCTCGTCTGTCGTGCGAGCTTTGGTGGAGGCATTTCGGCCATCGCACACCCGATCTTGTCTGCAACCTCGTCATTGCAACTTGACTCGTCGTCTGTAATATCTAACAGCTTTTGCTCCTCGAAATATGCTTGTTTAGCGGCCAGCTCATTGTCCGACATGATGAATAAGGTCTTCGTTGACTGCTGTCATTAGTCTGGATCAATATATGAAGCTTGCGAAAGCTATGTTCTCGCCAATAGTATGTGGGAACAACATTCCGAGTCTTTGTGTTGGTGTGAAGGAAAGGCAGCAGCGCGTCCGAGGTCAACGCGGAAGCACGTCAGCACGTGGCACTCAACCCGCATCGAGCGCTAGTGTCAAGCTCACTTTCACCAGTCGCAAAGTTCCAATTGATCGCACCGCAATCGATACATCACCATGTTACAACCGAAGATATCAGCGCCTATACGGCGAGCCCTTTTCAATCCATCGACCGTATGCCTACGATGCGAAACCCGCTCCGCATTCCGTCCCTTCGCACAGCAACTTTCTCGAACCCTCACCACCTCGCGCGCCCCCAAACAAGCCGTACCCAAGCAGGCCGTCCCCGAACCTTCGAGAACACAACAACCACCACCTCCACCAAAAGACGACGATGTCTTTGTTCCTAAGCCCCTCGGCCGCCCGATTGGCTTTCCCGATCCTCCACAAGCCGGCGAAAACACCGGCAACGTGAAGGTCAAGAAAGACTACTCCGGGATGACAATGTCGCAACGCAACCTAGCAAAACGCGCCGATCTAGTCGAGAAATGGGGCACAAACTACTTCCGCGACTTCAAAAACATCCGCAAGTACCGGTCGGGCAAGACATTCATGGCGAACCCGCGGATCTTCAAGGCAGAAGCCGCATTGTACTTCCCCAACTTTCATGGCGAGACGTTGGCGGAGAGCGAGGCGGATACGACGGATGTGTTGAAGGGGAGGGTGAGTGTGGTGAATGTATATTCGAGTCAGTGGGGAGAGAGCCAGGCGAGGACGTTTACGGGAAGTAAGGAGAACCTGGAGCTGCAGGAGATACTCAGGAAGCATGCAGGGGTGGCGCAGATGGTGGATATCAATATCGAGGAGAACAGTATGAAGGCGTGGATTATTGCGCTGTTCAAGTGGCAATTGAAGGCTAAGAGGAGCCAGGAGGAGTGGGGGAGGTATTTCGTTGTGAGGAAGGGGGTTAGTGAGAAGATTCGGGAGACGATTGGGTTGCTGAACGGGAGGGTCGGGTATGTGTATGTTGTGGATGAGGAGTGTAGGATCAGATGGGCGGGGAGTGGAGATGCGGAAGGGACGGAGATGCAGGATATGAACAAGGGGTTTAAGAAGTTGGTGGAGACAAGCAAGGCTTCGGTATGAGGTGGTGGTTGGAGGCTCGGTCAGAGCTGTAAGCATAACTGTACATCATAAGGCGCAAATGCCCGTCATTACATAGGCTTGTATGCCTAGCGCCTGCCGTGCGCAAAGAACCATGGATATCCGCGCCGCTCGAACGCCAAAAGAAGTCATGCCGGCTCGAATGATTACCAGAACCATAGGAGCATCAGAAAGCAGAACGCAATGAAGCTCCCTAATATGATTCCATCTCGCCTCTTCTTTGACCCGATCCTTGCCATTAAACTGTTGATGCCCGGTACTTGGCTTGCAGCACCTACTATTCTCCGTTGGATGCTTGTCAGCGTCTCCCTCTGCATCCTGAAGTTCTCGTTCACGGCATAGGCTTGGCTGAGCACCGAATCGGCGACATTGTGTGAGTTGTCAATGCGGCTCCGTTCGTCCAGCATGTAGTCTGCCTCTGGATTCGCAGAGCGGTATTGATCGATATCGTCTCTGACATTGGAGAGGAGGTTCGCTCGGTTTCGCGCATCCGTGATGGTGGACTTTATGCGGGAGAGTTCGCGACGGTGGTCTGACAGAATCTCGCGGTGCCGGGCGAGGTTATTCAGCTTTACAGCGGAGGAAGAGGCCTCCGAGTCCAACAGCCTCGACAGCTGGCCCACCAGTGCTTCCCTCTTCTCGAGTAGCTCTTGCAGGTTTGTCTCGGTTCGCAGCTCGTCTTCGGACGGTTTCTGGGGGATGTTCGGTGCCGAGGCGAATTGTGAGTATGTGTGGAACAGCGTCTCTGTCTGGCGGCCCTCGTTAGCATTGCGCTGTCCAAGACAGCCAGATCTCAAAGGGATGCACAGGGAGCTCACCTGCTGTTCGAGAGCACGCGCTTGCTGGCGCAGTTGCGCCCATCCTCCGCCGGTGGAAGACATGACGCAAAGCAGTGAAGCTGAAGGAGGTGCCAGCTATCGACGGGGCCTCAGTTGCTGGATGCAAGTATTGAGAGCGGTGCGTTAAAGATGCACAAACGAGGAATCTTGTGCTAGGTTACCGGATGTGTGCGCAAGGTGCAAATGAAGAGGAGAACAATCCCTTGCTCATTCCGGATTCGAGACGTGAATAATTGCTGAGGCTTGAGATGGAGATACAGCGGTGTTCTGGCATCATAGCCGCGGTCGCACCTGCCTGGTTGCGCTAACCGCATCAGGACTAAGCCGCTCCGACCTTTCGCCAAGGGCCACTGTGGGCGCTCGTCTCGCTCGAAATTCAACCTTTCAAGATTGACGACACGCGAGACCCCATCAACAACACCCGGTCATACTAACGGAACAGTCAAAATGGTACGTGGACGCTCTCGATTTTTGGAGGATGCCCGGCACACGCATTGCGAAAAAAGGAGGAAGGGAGTGGTGGAGAGGTTGTGCAATTGCTTGCATCCCTCCGCCAGGCGTGTCGCAAATTTGCTGTCTCAGCATGTTGAATTGAAGAAGCACTGCTAACATGCCACCACAGTCTCAGTCCAAGGTCGTACGTACACCCTCACACTCGCTCGCTCCGTCCGCACCGCTCGACCGCATACTCACAGCCACCGCAGAAGACCGCCCAGCTCTGGAACAAGTCCAAGGATGAGCTTGCGACTCAGCTCGCCGACCTCAAGTCGTACGTCGCAGCGCAGGAACACGCACAACACGGAACAGGATGCTGACAAGCACAAGGGAGTTGATCTCGCTCAGGACTGCCAAGGTTGCCGGAGGTTCCTCCACTAAGCTCACCCGCATCCATGACGTCCGCAAGGGTATCGCTAAGGTCCTTACCGTCATCAACGCCAACCAGCGCGCCCAGCTGAGGCTCTTCTACAAGGGCAAGAAGTGCGTCTAGGCCGAAATTCACCACACCGCGAACCCTCTAACAGCGAGCAGGTACCTTCCCCTCGACCTCCGATCCAAGCAGACCCGTGCCATCCGCCGAAGGCTCACCAAGCACGAGTCGTCGCTCGTCACCGAGAAGCAGAAGAAGAAGAACATCCACTTCCCTCAGCGCAAGTATGCCGTCAAGGCATAAGTGTGCTTCAGCGGTGGTGTTTTCCTTTCTTCATTTGTCTATCACGAAGCATTGCATTGCCGGGGCTTTTCCAGCTAGCGACACACCAATGTACCTTTAGTCACCATCTACCAGGGGCAAGGGAGGTGATGTGGCAGGTCAGGGATGGACGGAGCGATCTTCAACGGGAATGGGGGCGTCCATGTCAAGATCAATATGAATCAAAAAGTTCAGACAATGAATGGAATGGTCTGTGACGAAGTATGACAGAACTGAATCGATGGTATACCCGGAATGTTCAAAAGCCGTTCATTTGCAATCCGCACATGGTGAACACCTTGTACACCCAACTAATCACTCGAAACCGTGATCATGACTGCGACCAAAACGCCAACGCGTAAGCTAGATTCATATCGAGACACATTTCGTTATCGCACGTATCTATGTCCGTCCGTCAGTAACGTTGGTAATCAAACCCTAACATCGTATTGCACAGCTACGCGTGTTCTTGATATTTCGCATACGTTAGGTCTTTCTTCCTTCCTCAGGTCAGTCGAAAATGCAGGAACAAATTCCTACCCCAGCCATACAACGCTGACAGGTACTTGGGAAATTTCAACATCACAGCTGGTGTCTTGGGCCCGCTCAGCACGTTAAATTAATATCAAGAAGCATACTCGACAGATCAGTGATTCGCGCTTGACCATTAACGCCGTCAGCGTCTTATATACGTGACTACCAGTGATTGCACCAATCTCCCAATGTCACCGTTACGAGTACATCAAGGACACCGAGCTGTGGTGTTTGTTCTCATGTATCTACATAACAACCCTCCGTTGAAAAACAAACAACGCTATTTTATACGTTTGCCAACCTTTACATGATTCTTACCATATCCTTTAGGTAGTCCACTCCTTGTACAAGCTCAACTCTTCTCTCTTCACACCGACCATCTCCTCTCTGACATCCACAGTACCAACTCTCCCAATCTTCGGACCCTCGGCCGCAACATCGTCAGCCTTGTACTCGCTCAACCTCTGCTTCAAAATCGCCAACACATCCTCCTTGTTCTCGACAAGCAAGACAATAGCATCGAACCCGCCCGCTCCCGGCACAACTCCACCAACGACTCCATCAAGCTTGGTGCAGTAGTCCAACAGCGCAGTCTGCTGTGGTGGTTCAATCGGCACGCCAGACTTCTCGCCCATATCTCTGATGGCCACCCTGTTCTCCTCAATAATAACGCCCAACTTCGCAAACCGTCCCTTATCATCATCCTCCTGCTTCTCCTCCGCAAGTGTCGTAAGCTCAGCAGCCAGCGCCTCATTCCCGCCCTGCAGACGCTGCCAAATGCCCTCCGCCTCCGTGGCATTCTCCTCCCGCCACTTGAGCACCTGCTTCACCATGCCCGGTGTTTCAGAGCCGCAGTCCACGTCGCACATGACCAATCTCAGACCCAGAGGCATCTTGATCGCCGCTTTGGCAATCTCAGTGTCCCAGGCTCCTTCGACTAGGGCGCGGAGCTGCGTGCCGAAGCCGGGCTGGCCAGGGGCAGGGAGCGACGAGAGGAGAGAGGGACTGAAGCGCTTGTATAAACATGAGCCGAAGACGGCGCTGGCGATGTCGAAGCCCGAACCTACTTTGCCTTGGGCATGGGAATGACTCGCTTGTGCTAGGTTGTGCAGGATCGTTAGGCCGCGCTCGGACTCGATATCGAAGAGGTCTTTGGACAGGTAAAAAGACAGGACTGCCGCTGTGAAGCTGGTGACGAGGGCGGCTGAGGAGCCGAGGCCGGTCTTGTGAGATTCTTTGAGGGAGACGCCGAAGTCGAGGAAACGCGAGGAGGAGAGGGGGGTGCCCGGGTTGGAGTAGTAGGCTTGGTCTGCGAGGATGCGGATGGACGCTGGGGAAATTATGCGGTCGGGGGTGAGGCTCCAGATGTAGGTTAGGGCATAGGTGAGGGCGGTTTCAATGAATGGATTGCGGGAGAGGACTTGGTTGTGGCCGCTGGTTTAATCGGTTAGTGTTTGCTGATGAGGTGTGAGGGTGAAGTTGAAATGATTCGAGAAGAACAAGAGAACGAAAATTCAAAGCAAGTGGCGATATGGCAGAACAGAACAGGGTTGTGCCAACGAAAGAAAGCTCGGAATCGGGATTCAATGCTGCTCTCGCTCCAAGGCGTAAGGGGCGAAGCCAGTTGTGAGCAGTCATTCGAATGGAGTCTCCAAGGCATATGCCAGTCACCCTAGCTTTCCAATGCCATCGATACTTTAAACAACCATCCCTTTGATACCTAACTGATGAAAGTACAGGGCGCCCAGCGCACTTGGTATTCGAGATAGGTGTGATTGGACAGAGCATACGCGTATTGGCCGAATTAGGAAGGAATGTGTAGAGATCCCACGGAAAGTGCATTGCAACGTCATGGTACCAGAGAGGTAAAGCAAAAGCAGAGCGACATGTAGAACAACTGCAAGTACTTACACGCTCAATGTATGCACGCTCATACCGCCATCAGCCTCCTTCGCCCTGTACCCATACTCCCAGATGGCATCACGGAACTGCGGGCTCTTCACGACAATCTCACTGATTGAAACTCCAGAAGTTGATTTTATCGGCTCGACAACACAATGGATTCTTGCATCCAGGCCAAAGACCAGGCCTGTGTAGTTGCGGTCGAGCACGAGGTAGCCTCCGGCAACTAGTACCTTTGCCGGACAAGAGACGGCGGTTGGGATCAACGGCGCCTCCATGTGGTAGAGGTTGGCTTGAGCACTTATGTGGAAGTGAATTGTGGGCGCGGTTGGGTTTGTAAGGATGTTGATTCGAGGAGGGATGTGCGCGGAACGAGGGGTCTAATTGATGGTGGTGACGGTGATCTGTGCGAAGAGTGCAATTGCAGGCGAGTGCGCACAGCGACGCACCTTGTGGGTCGCGCCTGCTTCAGCGAAGCCAGCCAGAACGACATTGCAGCTGAAGGTCCTCACCGACACAAGCAACCCTTGAACTGTGATCTGCATCCTTCGACATCACGATAACAAATTTGTAGCATCACGTGCACCGGACCGATCTCCCAGGCAGCAAGATTCGAGACGTTCATCGCATTCCAGTTTCTGGTCCCGGCGTTAAGGATTCTGCACATCAGGTGCTGCTCCCTTCTGGTTTCTTTCCTCTTGCGTGCAAGGCTGAGGCAGGGTGCAGCCGTGCAGTGCCGCTGCGCTGCCGTTGCTTTCTCGTCCCGCTGACTGAGTCACCTAGTGCTCCTAGACGAGCTCGGTGACAGCAAAGACGCCGCCACCGACATCTGAATGGCACGCCTCCCGATTCGCCCGGAGGCTCCCTCAATCTCCCCGTGACGGGTCATATTTGAGTGTTTCGAGCTGAGCCACAGGATCCGCTTGACCGGACGCGGTACAGCGTACTACTGCACGAGAAAAGTTAGGGAGCTTAGCGCGTTGTCGCGTCGGCCTTTCTTACCCTCCCATGACGAGTACGATCTGAGTGCTCGAATCTTCGACTCTTGCCTGTGACTCCCGCTAACGACTTGCCTTCGTGGCTGATATTACTTCCTTCTGGCCTCAGCGAGCCTCTCGTTTACTTGTTACTTCCATTTTACCCAATCGATCTGTTGTTGTCGACATACACGATACGGGTCTGCAGTAGAGCTTAGTGAGCTTTACCCAGGTCTCCACCCAACACACATTCCTTAAAATTCCCTTGCAGCGCGTTTGTTTGGCGGTCGTCGTCAAATGAACCTGCAACATCGCCGGGCGATCTTGAGGATACCAGTACGTATTCCTGACAGTATTTGTGGAATTGCTTCGACTTTGAGGAATGCGCACGCGAGCGATATGTTGTTGCCTAGACACCAGAACTCTGGCAACTTTCGCGAGTGGACTCGAGAATCAATCGCAACGTCTTCATCATTGACTGTCCATCTCAATTGTATATACTGACTTCAATCAGTCTCACCTTCACAATTGAAGGGCTGCTCCACCTCCTAAATGGTCTTTAAGAGCTTCTCCCTCGCGCGTACGAGTCTTGCGAAAGGCTTCACCCATGGTTACGCTCAGTCCGTAGTCGCTGGTGTCTCCCAGAACAACCCTCTCGCCACTCTCCAACACGACCGATACCGTAAAGGTCACAAGCAGCAGTATGCTTTCGCCTCGAACTCTACTACGAGCGCAATAAAGGCGCTCGACACCGCACGCGCACACGAGCACCAGGATTCCGGACTTGCTGCTTACTACACAGCATGGCAGAAGACGCAAAAGACAGAAGACAAGGAATGGTCACAGTATCAGTTCCGCAAGCTTATCGAGTACGACCCTAAGCATGCATCCAAGGAAGCAGCCGATGCGAAAGCGGCGGAAGCTGCGGTTGAAGAGGCATTAGAGCCCACTCCTACCCGTGCTGTGGTCAATCGCGCATACAGCACGAGCCAGATAGAGGATTTCAGGAAGGCTGTGGGCGATGAGCAAGCAGAACAGATTGCGCTTGCTCAGGTAGATGAGGCGATCGCGCAAGAGGCGGCTAAGATCAAGGCAGTCAACGAGGCAATCAAAGACGCGGAGACACAACTATCGCCAATCCAGGAGACACGGTCAGAAACACCTGCACAACTCTCGGACGCTGCCAACTCGACAACCCTTAACTACACTCCACCATCATCGCTTCTTCCCAGTCCCTTCGACGAGATCGAGGAGTACACAGCGCAGCTTGAGAAGCTCGCAGCAAACCGCAAGTATGCTGAGGTACCAGCCGTCTTCGAGGCTATGCTCCTTGATGGAGTCAAGCCATCCGTCGCTGCTTACAACATCCTCCTCTCGGCTGCGATCAATCTGCCGCGCACAAAGCACCAGGTTGTGCCCAAGGCCCTTGATGTCTATTCAGACATGCTTCGTCGACGTGTCGCACCTGACACAGCGACTTACACAGCCCTTATCGAGCTTCTTTCCATGCGATCGCTGGAGGTCGTCTCAATGAGCCAGGTCTACGAGGAGAAGCGTCTCCGTTACGGTGGCCTGGAAGAGGAGGGCAAGTTCATGCTCCAGTCGAATGAAACTGACTACGCCATCCTTGCTGAAGATGGCTCGCTCTCCGTTGCCGTGAAGCTGTTCGATGCAGCTATAAAGGTCGAGGCTGGCCAGAAGTTTTCCGAAAAGACGTACCGTCTGCTTGTCACAGCTTGTGCTGAGGGCGAGCGCGTGGAGGACATGGTTCGAATCTATTCGCACATGGAATCGCGTAAAGTGACACCGCCTGCGGACATGTTCGTGCCCATGATCCACGCTTTTGGCAAGTCTGGTGATCTGAGGAGCGCTGTTGAGTGCTTTGACGAGTACAAGGCCCTTGCAGTTGCGAACGACAACGGTAGCATTCAGCTCGTCCGAAAGGATAAGGATGTATATGCTGCTTTGATCAAGGCTTACGCCATCTGCGATCGCATGGAGAGTGGCCAGAAGTTCTTGTCCAAGGTCGAGGCCGCACTTGCCACCCCTGAGGATGTCACATCCCTCCGTGACATTGTCGGTCTGAAGGCTCTTCTGCCGACCTGGCTGAAGAAGGGCTCATTCCAGGAGGCGTACGTCCACGCCATCGAGTCTTTGAGCCCTCAGGCACAGCACATCGCCATGGCTGCTATTTGTATCAAGGCTGCGGACTGCAATGTCATAGATGTCGCTACCGAAGCATTTGATGCTCTTCCTGCTGAAGTCGATCTCGCTCGCCCGGCGATGGCCATGGGCGCTATGCACACCCGCAATGGAAACATTGAAGCTGCTGAGATCTTCTGGAGGATGCTCGAGCTCTCGCCTACCAAGCCCGAATTCATCGAGCCCACTGCTATGCACAGCATTGCTCTCATTGGTGGCGGTCAGGCTGAGCGTGGTCTCCGCCAAGGTCGTCAGATGTTTGATCGCATCCGCGACACACAGTCAGGATCTCAGGCAAAGATGGAGGTCGTCGAGCACATCGACGAGGCTATTGAGGTTATGGGTCAGTTCATGATGAAGCGTGGCATCTTCCTTCCGCCGCGGGCCAGCATGGAGCTGATGTGGACGATGATTGAGAACGGTGGCCTAGTCACCCCAGTTGCTCACCATTTATTATCTGGAATGGGACCTGAGGCTATCGCGCAACTCAACTTCGACGACGTCACGCTTCTGATGCAGGTTCAATCTGGAATCATCCTCCAGAGTGCGGAAGTCGACGCTGCCCATGCTGCTCGGTTCGCCCATCTTCTCGAGGTCATCACCTCTGTCGGCACGCCTGTCAACAAGACTACATCAGGTCTTGTCGAAAAGGCGCTTGCCACGCTTGACCGTGGTGACCTTCAGCACCGATGGTACAGCTACAAGCACCCAGCACCTGAGTCGATGTACTCTCCTGCTCCGTTTGCTGCTTACCCTGCCCAGGCGCCTGTCGCACCTGCTGTGCCAACCTTTGAGGATCAGTACGATCCGTACGCTGCATCCACCGACAACAAGGGCTCTGTCGCCATCACTGAGCTGCTCGAGAAGACCTACGGTCGCACCGCGTCTCACCTCAACGAGGCTTTGATGAAGTTCAAGAACATGCGTCGAGCTGGTCGCCACCCACGGTTCTTCACATACGCTAAGCTCATTACTGCTGCTGCGAAGGAGGACCGCCTGACCTTGGCTCACGACATCCTCAACCTTGCTAAACAGGATGTTCCACTCCTCCCCCAGTACCGCATTGTGCGCTATGGCTGGGTTACCATTCTTGATGCCATGGTTGCTGCATGCCTCACTTGCAGTCAGCGCGACCTTGCCGGTCGATACCACCAGGACCTGCTCGACATGGGTGCTGCACCTACTGCCAACACCTTCGGTCTCTACATCACTACGCTTAAGGAGTCTACTAAAACCTTCGACGAGGCCACCGAGGCTGTCAAGATCTTCCTCCGCGCCAAGGCTGAGGGCGTTGAGCCATCATCTTTCCTCTACAATGCACTCATTGGCAAGCTTGGAAAGGCTCGTCGCATCGACGACTGCCTCTTCTATTTCTCAGAGATGCGCAACCTCGGTATCCGCCCTACCTCCGTTACATATGGCACCATCGTCAACGCTCTCTGCCGAGTCAGCGACGAGAAGTTCGCCGAGGAGCTTTTCGAGGAGATGGAGAGTATGCCCAACTACAAGCCACGTCCTGCCCCTTACCACAGCATGATGCAGTTCTTCCTCACTACCAAGCACGACCGCAGCAAGGTCCTCGCCTACTACGAGCGCATGCGCTCCAAGCGCATCGAGCCCACCACACACACCTACAAGCTCCTCATTGACACCTACGCCACCCTCGAGCCCGTCGACATGGACGCCGCCGAGTCTGTGCTTGAGCAAGTCCGCACCGCCGGCGCCGTACCAGAAGCAGTCCACTACTCCTCGCTCATACACGCCAAGGGCTGTGTCGCGCACGACATGGAAGGCGCACGCCGCCTGTTCCACACCGTGCTCGCCGATGCCCGCATCAGGCCGCAAGCGTGTTTGTACCAAGCGCTCTTCGAGTCCATGGTCGCCAATCACCAGATCGCCGACACCGACACTGTGCTCGCGGACATGCGCGCGCGTCGTGTCGAGATGACGCCGTACATTGCCAACAGCCTTATCCACGGCTGGGCGCTGGCGCAGGATATTGAGAAGGCAAAGGCTATCTACGAGTCTGTCCCCGAGTCGAAGCGTGAGCCTAGCACCTACGAGGCTATGACGCGCGCTTACATGGCTGTTGAGGACCGCACTGCTGCTATGGCTGTTGTCAATGAGGGTCTTTCTCGAGGGTACCCGGCGGCCGTTGCTGGCAAGATTCTTGAGCTTGTTGGTGGTGGTAGGCAGCCTGCTGAGATAGCTGCGTAAGCTGCGTTAGCTGCTTCAGTGCAGAGTGTAGTGTTTGTGTCTTCGCTTCTTTCGCCCTGGATTATTCCACAATCGGGGTTGGGTTCAGAACATACTTCTTTTATTACCCTTTCCGCGACGGCCTAAAAGACTCTTCAAAACGCCCCCACCTTCCACGGTGCGGCTGGGCACATCACAATTTCTGTTTTATTTCAAATCGCTTATACTTTGCAAGCGCGGCGTTTGTTTTCGAGCGAGATATCTATAGGGCGGACGGCGTACTCGTGACTGCTTCGGCAGTCGCGATGGTGTGCTACTGTACATGTTTGTCAGCGATGGTATCTCTTGGGCATATTTCTGCGACCGTTTTCGTTAGCTGTAAAATACCCTGGATTTACCACTCCTCTCTAGACGGTTGGGCGGGGTGGAAGGTTGCATGGCATAGAGTACGGCCTGCATAATCAAAAAGTTAAATACCAACGTTGCAATCTCGATGTGATGTGACAATCTGTGTCTTGCCTTGTTGCGTTGGAAACAGAGCGGAAGGAGATGTTCAAGGTGATGGTTCAAGGTGATGGTTCAAGGTGATGGCTGATCGCTATCATATGTTCGTTGTTCTGATGATGCTATATATCAATGGTATCGTCTACTTTTCTTGAAGATGCTCTAGACAAGCAAGTAATGCTGCAATATTGCCAAAGCAAGAATCTCCATCCTCAACCCGATTCAAAATGCATGGAAGCTAGCCGACTGAACCTCTGCCCTTCTTTCGACTCATCTTCCCTGTACCTTCATCCCCATTCCTCTTATGCCACTCATCAATCTCTCTTCGTACGCTCTCTCTGTACGACTTGTACTCCTCGCTTGCCTCGACCAGCAGCTCCGGACAATGACCGGAGCGGCGTAGATGCCGCTTGAGATTCTCCCAGCGGCAGTCGGGCTTGAATGTGCAGTTGGTGTGAGGGCAGCGGTACGGGCGCAGAGTCTACAAAATGTTAGTCTGGCGGATGGAAAGGAGGGGATTGTAGTGGCATACCTGATGCGTCCTCTCATGCTTACTTAAATTACTGCTATCCGCACAGGTAAACTCACAAAACCGGCATTTATGTGGTTTCTTTCCCTCGTGCAACGCACTAATATGCGTCTGTAACTGCGTATGCGTCGTCGTCGTATACCCGCATCGATCACACACATACGGTCTTTCTCCCGTATGCGTACGCTCATGGTTATCCTTTGCTTGGTTCGTGGCGAACGTCTTGTCGCAGCCTGCGTAGCTGCATGCGTAGGGCCGGTAGCCTGCGTGTCCGAGCAAGTGACGCGAGAGCTTGGAGCGCTGCTTGAAGTCTTTGGCGGACGCGTCGCAGCCTTCCCACTGGCAGTAGCAGGATGTGCAGTTGTCCACGTGTGCGGTTTTGATGTGCTTGTGCAGGGCGGAGGCGGAGGGGAAGACGGCGAGACAGAGGAGGGCGGGGGCGTGTTGCCATTTGCAGACGCAGTTTGAGTCGCCTGATGGTGTGCTGGAGTGTGTTGGAGTGTCGAGGATTGAGGTAGTGTCTATTAAGGGTGTGGTGGTGAGAGAGTTCATGGGACTCATTATCTCGTTTTGGATGGCCGAGGCTAGGAAGTCCAGTTTGCTAGCACCCATGCCGTTGGGAAAGTTGTTTCCGAAAGAGGAGTCAGGGAGCATCCAAGTGTTGTTGCTAAAGCCCATCATCGAGTTGTCGAACTGGTTGTTGAACATGTCTCTGTTCGACATTCCACTCATCGTTACCGGTGAGGTGGGATGACTATGGAGGCCAAAGTTCATGAAGCCATTCGACAGTCCATTGCCCTGAGATATAGAGGTGTTCCACAAGTCGAGGTTTTGCTGAGACGCCGAAGGGCGGTCTCCACATGCTCTGCTTGGTCCATGACAGCAGGAGTTGCCGATGTGGCAGTGATCTCCACTAATGTTGAGGAAGCAGTTGTTAGCGAAGGCAGCCTGCCCAGGTGCTGGAGAAGGTTCGCTGGTGAAAGCACTCTCAAGTGAGGTGTAGTTGCTGGGCGATAGCAGAGGTGTAGGCGCGGTAGAGGCGTGTGTTGAGGCACTGTCTCCGGTGAGATGTGTGTGGGCTTGAGAGAAGCACGGGTAGGTCTCGTATGCTGCAAGCGAACCGGTGTGGCCCAGGTACTGCTCTTGGAAGTGACAAGGTGCGTTGTCGTAGCAGTATATGGTACCAGCACCAGTAGGCGCTGAGTGTGCGAAGTGACAGTCGTTGTTCGGATCACCTAAAGGACAAGGCTGAGCATCGCACTTCTGGCAGAAGCACGGTTGGTCCGGACATGACAGCTTGGTACACTCAGGGTCGACACAGCCGTCTGAGCATTGCTTGGGACTCTGTGAGCAGTGAGGATCGAAGCAGGCATCGTCCGGCGTGCAGACAGCATCACAGACGTCTTCGCCAGGACACGCCAGCTCGCAGTCCGGCGGACAAGTAGCATCGAAGTTGCACTCCTGGCAGAATTTCTCGAAGCAGTCGTCTGGGAACTGCTGGTCTGTGCCAATGGGTGGGTGCGACTCTGCCGTCAGATTGTGAAACTCGCCAACCTTGTGCGCTGAAGCCCTGCGCTTAGACGGGCGCACTTCCGGGCAGTGACTGCAACACAAAACTTGTGGATTGACGTGTTCAGCTGGGTACTCCCTCTGGCCCGTAGCCGTCGCCTGGGACAGCGATTGGCTTTGGGCGTCATCACCGCTCATGACGGCCGCATCTCGCTTTGATCCAGCGAGCGGGGCAGCTAGGGAAGTGAACATGGAATCAAAGAAACCCTCGTCGAGATCAGGGTCTGGAGAACCGTTAGTCGGAGCCATGATGGCATGCGGAAGATTGTCGGGGACGTACGTCGTCGGTATAGAAAGGTGATATCTCAGTCCTTCACGTGCCAAGACTTGTGACATTTGAGGACATTCGGGTACTCAGTTGTAAATATGCGCTGCGCCGGTTCGCTGGAAAGAGAGGGGCATGAGCGTCGAAGAAGAAGTAGCGGGGCAAGTGCAATCACACCATTGAGCACAGCGTCTCGTTGAGAGCTTCTGTGCTTCAACGGCAGCACGAGAGTTGTTCCGGCGCAAAAAGAGCCATGTGCTCAGAAGAGTGAATAGCGTGGTGATGGTGATCCACTTTGTAAGCGATTCTGCCGTGTGGTCATTGGCTTCGACCCTTGTCGCGCCCGAAGAAACGATCTGTTGCTCGTTCGCCGAACTGAACAGTTGCAGGTGCATCGACAGTTGATGTTCGAGTCGCTGTTAAGCACAGCGAGACCCTGTGAAGGAGCCTCAAATCCACAGCCTCGTCAGACAAAGTAGTTGCGCACGTGACAGAGGGGCACAAAAGGCCTCGAGCTCGAGCGCTGTCAAACAGCCAGCGTCAAACATCACACAGTTGTCTCACTTAACGGATGTTCGCAACCATGGATCACCTCCACACAACAGCAAGAGTCCTTGTTGAAATGTCTCTCAGTCCAAGGCATCCAGCCATCTTGACCTGCTGCATCCAAGAACCAGGTCCTTGGCACCTCTCTTCCCAGCTCACGGCACGCACAGCCACTCCCCCACCACATGAGGAACCACGAGGCTGACCTCCGCACTACGCCTCAGCTCCATTCGCTGTTCCACCTCCACACTTCTCCTGACCTCAAACACTCAATTTACACCTGCGACACCGATGGGTAACCTCTGCGGCAAACAGTCCAAAGACGGCTTCGACGGCCCCGGCCGAACCCTGGGATCGGCCCCCGCGCCTGCAACGAAGGCCTCGGTCCCAGTGACTGCGAATGCAGGGTCAACACAAAAGCGCACTGTTGGAGGACCGCCGAGGACACTGGGAGAGAGCAATTCGGGGAGCGATCCCAGATCGGCGGCGGCCGCTGCTGCAGAGGTGCGTACACTGAAGAAGAGTGGGGGAAGAAGGACGGCGTTGATGAGGGCGTACATGTGATTGAGCGGTGGTGGTGCGTGGTATCAGCTCTGCGACGACTCGATTCGGCCAAGCGATGTTCAGATGAATGACTGGAGGGTTCGCGCCGAGTCTTGTGCAAGGAGCTGGTACCGCGCAGTACGCATTGCGCTGCACATGTACGATCGAAGCGCATAGCTAACATCACAGCCCAGGCACGCGCAAACAAGAACTCCACCGGCGACCTCCAGAAGAAGCTCGATGCGCAGAAGAAATTGACGCCAACAAAGCAGCTGCAGGCTGCAGCGAAGGAGAATCTCGCATACCGCGACGCTGATGCAAATACCAAAGCAAGTCAGCACCACTGAAGAGGTTCAGGGAAATCATTGTGTGATTTCGGGGGACATGTAGAGAAAATGACGTCCAGCTCCTGAAGCGTCTGAGAGGACCTGTTGCTATATTTCTGCGCATAGAGCAAGGCGTTTGGGAGTCGCCATGTGCCACTTGACTGTATGCTCATCGTTCGCTCAGATACAGAAATAGACGTTAGCAATGCAGCTTTTTATCAACTCACTGACAAAGTAGAGTCAAGAACTCTATTTGTTACACCACGAACCCTACCTCGTACCTTGTCCATCCTCTCTCCGCCACTTCTCCAACCCCTCCCTATACCTTACCGTAATCGGATGTCCCTCCCCCAACACCCTCACATGCCCCTCATAGCAATTCTCCATCAACTTGAACGCCTTCTCAACCCACCCCTGCCGATGATACGTAACCGCCAGATTCCCCATACTGCCCAACGTACTCGGATGCGCTTCCCCCAACGTCTCCTTCCTCAGTTTGAGCACAACTTCCTCCAGTTGTTGCGCATCTTTAAATCGCCCTTGGTCCCTATATGTGGATGCGAGATTCGCTTTATTATCCACCGTCAGTGGATGCTCGTCTCCTAGTTTCGCTGTTCGGATCTTGAGGACTTCAAGAGTGAGAGCTTCGGATTCTTCATAACGTTCGAGACTCCAGTATGTTGCTGCGAGACTGCATTTAGTGTCCAGTGTCGACGGATGCTCTTCTCCGAGTGTTGCCTTACGAAGGTCTAAGAGTTGAAGTTGCAGCGCTTCGGCTTCTGAGAAGCGGCCTTGTGTCCAGTATATCCCGGCTAGGTTGCCCATGGCGTAGAACGTATCCGGGTGAACCGGGCCGAGTTTGGTTTTGCTTGTGCTCATGACTTCCAGTTGAAGATTTTCGGCTTCGGTCCAGCGGCCTTGGGCTTTGTAGATGGAAGCCAGATGAGCCTTAGTGACGAGTATCTCTGTTTCTGCGTGGAGGTTCAGTCCGCGGACTTTGAGGACCTGGAGATATAGTTCCTCGGCCTCGTTGAAGCGCCCTTGGTGGCTGTACGTGGAGGCTAGGTTGCATTTCACGGTCAGGGTTGTGGGATGGTCGGTTCCAAGTTCTGTCTCACGGGCCTTCAGGACTTGGAGCCCTAGTTCTGCTGCTTTCACGGAGCGGCCTAGCTTACTATGCGTGGTTGCGAGGGTTGTAAGCGTAGACAGTGTCAAGCAGCGACCTGCCTCGGACTCCGTCTTTCTGACCACCTCCAGAACCTGCTGGAGTAGCTTTTCAGCGCCCGTCCAGTGCCCTTGGTCGTTGTATAGACTTGCAAGGTTGAGCATGCTGGTGAGTGTATCAAGATGATCCGCACCAAGTACTCGTTCTTTCGCTTCCACCGCCCTTTGGTACATCGTCTTTGCTTCCTCGTATCGGCCTAATCTGCTCAACGCCACCCCAACGCTGTTGAGGCTATCGAATATATCTGGATCTTCCGGCCATAGTAGTATCTCCCGGACGTCGAGAGAGTCAAGAGCATGTTTATACGCCTTGCTATACTCCCCCATCTCGCCCATATACCCAGCCGCTTTCAAGGATATCGATGCCCACGCCTCTAACGCATCCGCGTCGAATGGATGATTATCCAGCGCAGCTTGAGTATGCGGGAACAATGTCTGGCAGATGGACCAATTCTCCGGTCGTCCCACTGGAAAGCTCTTGTCTATGAGTGCTACGTATATCTCCTTCCAGTATTCCAGCTCATTATTTAGCTCAAGCCACTTCTTCATAGAGAATTGCACGAGCCCATGCATTTCGAAGCTGCTTTCATCCGCGCTTGCTTTGACGAGGCAAAAGCTAGTCAGCATGTACATGTCGTGTTCAAAGTCTAGGCTCCCATGCTCATGCTCTGCATACTTGCCCTGAAGAATCGATTTAGGAATTCCCTGCCGGTCAAAAAGACACATCAGCGACAGCAGCCGAGCAGCCGTCGAAGACCGCTCACGTATGTAGTCGAATGAAATTTGCCATGTCGTCATGATTGAGTTCGATGCCTGAACATCCCTGCGGATATCTATTAAGGCTTTGTCCAGCAGGCGTGCTCGGTTGTGATCAATTTCTTTCAAATACCTCGAGATGCTCATGCGTGGGGTCCGATTGATGAAGGCCGCTGCTTGAGTGAGTGCGAGGGGCATGTGATCGAGGGCACTGATCAACGCATCAGCTTCATCTCTTTGCACAGCGAATGTAAACTTCTTTTGGAGAAGAGCAAATGCTTCCTGATCGTTCATCGGGCCAACCTCAACAATGTTGGTTTCGGCGCCTGTAAGCTTATAAGCAACCTCGTGGCTGCGCGAAGTAATGAGGACCGAGCCGGTTGATGGTTGTGGCAGGAAAGAAGAAAACAATGGCTCCATCGTTGTTGATGCGGTGATGGAGACCGCACGAGATGCTGGAGTGTCGTGGAGGAATACACTCGCATCATCGGCGCTGTCAATCACCATTACCCATCTTCCATTTGCTTCATTGCGCAGCCAAGTGCTCACAAGTTGCATGACGTTCGCCTTGGGATCATTCCAGCCGTCCATTTTGGTCTTCTTGGCGATCTCAAGGTATCCTTCATTGATCCTCTCCTGTGTTTCTGCGTGTACCCAGAACACCCATGTATCAGGCGACTCATTAAGCACCTGATAGGCATACTCAATGGCAATTTGAGATTTTCTGTCCTTGTAGTCAGCACTATCTGTGAGGTCGAGAGTCGATACTACTCACCCAACACCCCCAAGACCAACAAGGGCTGCACGAGCTGTAGGCCTTGTGCACATACGGCGTACAGCGCCCAGAGTGTCGCGGGAAATGAAGTCGTCATCACGCTGAAATGGCACTGTGGACTTCAACATACGTCTCGCTTGGCAATCCTGGTCGATAGGGGCCACATGAGTTTTGGCGATCTCGTCTAGAAGTCGCCTTAAAGCTTTATCATATCCTTCGTCATAAATGAAAGGTAGGCTGACGCCGAATATGCCGAGCAGTGCGTACACTTCATCCTCTTCGCGGGTGGTCTGGCGTTCTACTGCCCAGGACAGTCTTTCATCTATGCCGAACTCGTCCAAGGAAGCTCCACACAGAGCACGTGATGGGATATCCGTGATATCGTGGATTTGTTGCTTCAACTTGAGACGGTCGCCCAAGTACACGCCTTCTCGTGAGAAGAACTCTACCACAGCCGGAGCCAGTAGCTCCTGAAGAGTCCAGCCTCGAGTGAACCAACGACTCTTCGCAAAGGCCAATTGCCAAGCAGGAGACTCGCTATTCTCTTTTCGTCCAGCTATTGACACATCCGATAAGAAGACGTAGCACTTAGCTGCATCTCTGTACCAACTGAACATGGAATTGATAGCTTTCTGTAGCTCGGCGAGGTTCTTCTTGTCAATGCAACAAGTGTCCACCCAGAAATAGCGCAGCCCATCACGCTTCGCTTGCCTTGCACAGAATTGAAGCTTGTAATAGCCCTTTTTGCCGGGACGTGGTCGTAATCGGAGAGAAGCACGCAGCTTGCTGTACCTGTTTTTGTTGTCTTCGACTATGTCGTCAAAGGTTACTTCTTGGTCTGCGTCCCAGGTATGCGAAAGTATAGCGTAAGCAGGAACCTCATCCTTGCGAAGAAAGTCCTTCGTTAGGTTGTACGTGCGGCCGTCGGTCGTTTCTAGAAGCCGCATCTCTCGGCGAAGCACTTCCAATATCGGACGATAGAAAGCCGAAGAATTTGAAAACGCATTCAAGCTCGATAGTCTGATGTGTTGATCGTCTCGCCCGTCCGGATGACTTCTTGTTGGTCAGATATTGTAGGCATATATTGTAGGCAATTTGATCTTCGAGCGCTAGTGCTGAGAGCACGAGGCTTTGAGGCTCAGACAATCAAGAGGGTTGCACGCAGCTGCCCAAGCTCAACTGCAGGAAGGCGCTAATACTGCGTAAACGATTGGACACAAGGAGAACCGTCCCAGCTGTGACGCTCCCAAAAGAGTAATTGCTTTCAACACGGAAGCAATAGAGTCCAGCTTGAGATGAGGTCAGGTCTTCTCAGCCGCCGTCAGAGGCATGTCGTAGTTCTGTCTCTTCTGAATAAGTGCTCGAGTGACTGCTGCGCACAGGCATATTGGGTTTTGCTCTCGAATCCATATCGTCGAGATGTCAACATTCAGGTGTTCCCGTTGCACGTCCTGATTGCAGACAGTGAACGGGGTTTTCAAGCCGCAAGTCCTGTCACCAGCAGTCATGAAGAATTGCGATCCTGAGCAGAGTTTCGTCCTGGACTCGTCAAGTAAGTTCGGCCTGAGTCGTAAGGCTCAGTTCGCGGGTGGTGGAGGCTGCGATGGAACAAGATGTCAAAGTTAGAGCTCAGGATTCGAGAAAGCGTCGCAGCGTCAACCACAGTCGACTTGTGCATTGTACAGTTCATGCTGGATAATGTGCAAGCGATGATCGTCATGGGGCAAAGTTTGGTTCAGGGACCAGTGCACCTGGGCAAGCGCGGAGCGGGACGGCACCAGCAGGGAAGGCGGCGCCGTTGCTGTGTAACGATGCTGAACCGGCAGATCAACAGATGCTGGGACCTACAGCATCGCTAACAGCCCTGTGAAACATGTTACATGCACACGTAGACCTTTGTTCGACTGCTACCACATGGCTGTTGTGCGCCTAAGGTCAAGTGAGGAAATCCAAAGACGCGTTGCTAAACGGTAATGAAGCGCTAGATGGCATATACCGTTTACCGGTGCGTTTGACCAAAGGTGAAGCTGGTGGGATATCTGAATGCATCTTATCAGGCACAACGCAGACTTCATGCAGTGTTTGCGACCACAGCAATGGAAACTGAGTAGAGAATATGAGGCTCGTCTGAAGTTGGCAGGTGCTCTGATGGATGCCGGCAAGCGTTGTCTTGCTTGCTGGCGTGGTCTGTGTAGCGTTCGCACCAGCAAGGACATCTGCTCGCTCCCGACGCGAGGTGACACGAGGCCATCAACTGTAACTTCAGAGTTCATCATCAGTTGACAGCTGTCCATCATCCTGCATTAAGAGCTGCAATCGAGGCAGCTGCAGCAACGTGAGACGGGTCTGAGGCTTTCGGAGAGATTATTTTAGCTGGACCTCATTTCGGCGCGCATGGGTCTGTCCAATCATGCCTCACAAGGCATATCGGCCTAGTCCCTGCACGAATTGTTAGTGGGCCGTAGCCGTGCAGCGTCTCTTCGCGGACTGCTCCCCCATGTTCCTCTTCCTTCAAGGCTCACGCCCGTCGCAGCTCCCCACTCGATACGCTCTTTCTCTGTTGCGGTAGAGCCCGGCTCTTTCCCTTCGTAGCCCTCGAGAACATCATTTCTCGCGGTCTCCAATTTAGTAATCTACTTTGCATACACGTTAGCCCCCATACGCCCTATCTACGCTACCTCGGATGGACTCGTGAAGCTGCGCGTCTGCTATTGACCGTACCTCGTCGCCGTCAACACCTCACCGCTGCCCCACGACCCCGGATCTGCCTTGCGCAGGCAAATTGGGCGGACGCGCGACAATAGCTCGACATGTCTCACAGCCACCGCGATCACGCTCTACAATGTCCATCGACCCACAAGCCTCGCCAATCGAATAGAATACCTCGTCGACCGAAGCAATTGCGCACTACGTCCGGCTCTCTCACCCTTCTCGCTCTCGCCGCGTCTGTAACAACAACAATGGCCCAAGCAAACTGCGTCTCGCTGCAAGGCTCGTCGACATGTCCAGCTTTTAGCGCGGCATCAATCAGCACGAATTTGACGGGAGACTTGTATGTTGGATCAGGTCAAACTTGATTGGAGCATCAATTGACGTGAAGCAGCTCCTTCCTGTCATTTGTGTCAGACGTACAGACATTCGACAATCAATTGCGATCTTATATCTCGACCACTTACACACAACGACAGTGAGTTCAATGTCTTTCAAACTTTAATATATCGCCGGTGATCCAGTACTTATAGCTGTACAGATATCAAAATATTCTAGGTTGCTCCAGCGTCGACCTCAGTAACACTACCGACCTGTATGCTCGCTACACGACCACAGTGCTTTGTAACGCCATCGTACAGAACTCAAGAGAGCCATGTGGTCTAAGTGACGCCGCTTCGACACCACTTTGTGCAAGTGCCTGTGTATGTATGGTTTCTCACAGGTGTCGTAGCGTTGTGACCTAACAGTTTGCAGGCCGATTTTGCGACCAGTGAGCAAGAGGTAGTGTCGACACCAGAACTGTGTGGTACCCCTGGCAGCAACGCAAACTCTCAAATACGGGCCGATTTCACCCGCTGCTCATTACCGGCCAACTCACTCAGTGGCAGCTGTATCGAAGCAGTGCGTAACGAACCCAGCGAATGCGGCTATGGTTCGAATTTGCAAGGGTTGTGCTCCTACTGCGCTGACAGCACTGTCAACTCGACCAGCTCGTGTTGTATCAACTCGAATGTCGAAGCACGTTGCGTGGGTGTTGAATTACCAACAACGGTGTCGATGCCGCCGCTGTTCCCTACCAGCAATTCGACGGCTGCCCCAACTGCCTCGAATGGAGCTGCGTCAGATGGGTCTCAGTCCGGACTTTCTGGAGGTGCTATTGCGGGTATTGCTGTCGGTGTAGTCATAGGAGTAGCACTGGTCCTTGCAGCCCTTATATACTTCTGCTGCCGCGCACGTAGGAGGAAGGAAAGCCAAACTGGCAGCATTCTAAACACGCCGTCACCATCACGACACTCTGCGAAAGGACCACCCATGAGCTACGGAGGTGATGGTCAGCTTCCACCAGCGGTCGTGCCCGGTGCCCGTGTACAACGTATGTCTGCTCTGGAAGGCTCGTCATCTTCAGATCACCACAGCGACAGAGATATGGCTATGACAGCGTTTGGCAGCTCCCAGAGTGCCTACGACTCGCCAGATTCGAGACACCACCACTTCGCTGGTGCCACAGCTTTTCCCAAGCGTCAAGGGTCCCTATCAAGTCGTTCGGCCCTCGAGTCGAGCACCAACTCGCCTCAGTCCGGATCGGATGGACGCAACTTTTCGAGCCCTGATGGCGTTGCCTCTGGGCAGTCCGAGCAATTGCAATTCTTCAAGGACTACTACTCACAAGACGACATTCACCCCAATGACACCGTTGCCACCCTGTGGGCCTACCAACCACGCGCCGGCGACGAGTTCGAGTTGGAGCGTGGAGACATGCTCAAGGTCGTTGGCATCTGGGACGATGGTTGGGCGACCGGAGTCAGGCTAGCCGAATCAGCAGAACAGTGGGAGGCAAGGAAGGCTGAACAACGCGACTCAGGCGTTAGCAACGGTAGCCGACGATCGCAGACTGAGATTGATAGCGACATTAAAGCCTTCCCGCTGGTCTGCGTATGCTTGCCACAGCACTGGCGCAAGACAATCGAAGGGGACAGCACGGATAGTGGACATGGGCCTGGAGGTGATAAAGGATCTCCCAGCTCCTAGGCCATCCCAGTCCATGCAGTTCGTTAACTTCTTCTAGTCTTGTCGTCTTTGCCTGCATCTCCGGACACATTCTTCTCGACCCTGCCCGAAATTTCCACGCCGTCGACTCGATTCGGTTATGACGGACCTCGTGCAGACGTTTCCTCAGCACTGACATCGTCTAAACCATCGAAAGCTAAGAAGAAGACCTCGATACCACGACCGTCTTACATGCGAACACCAGGCATGAAGTCTTCAGGGTCGAGCACACTCATCAACACCTCTCCAGAGAAACCGTAACGCCGCCATGACAATGCCCCCCTCCCCCCGGAATCGGCACGATCTTCAGTTCTCATTTGCGACCTTTGATACCCACCGCGGACTTTTGTATACGCACAAACAACACAAACCATCACACCACCCCATACCTCAAACAGATGCCACCGCTGCAGCATCTTTTATGATTTGACGGCCGAAGCCTAGTGTCTAATACGCTCCTTTGCTACGCTTCTTACCATGGTTTCCATCATACAACACAACACCAAATACCAGTACTCGCCATTCCGTAGGCTGATCAACGCTTTTGTTCTATACCCTGTCGCGTTTTGTTCGCGATTGAATTCTTTCTCTTCTCGTACAGTGGAGGTGGAACGGCGGCACTGTACATAACATTATGCCGCGCCTTGTCTGGGAAAGGATAATTATATCTTATCACATTCTACGATACCCTTGCTGTTGGATACAAGGCAAAAGGGGGGTTGAAGGATTGATAGTTGCACATTCAGTGAAGGTTTGGATACGGGGGCGAAGGATAGGCAGGAAGATGTTGTATGAAGGATAGGTACTCATGGGAATGCATATTGGATATCTCAGCCTTTGCTCTCACCACGAACCCTCTACACGACTGCACAAGATCACAATTAAGAGCTTGTCGACAAAGTATGAGGTGTGCACATGTAAGAAAACGTTGATTTCGCTATCTAGTCCCTTCCACCTGTATGAGGAGTACTGATATAATCGTGTAGTTTACACACTCTCGTAACGCCGCACCATGTTCATGAGAACAGTATGTACCGTAAACCCCAGAAGACTGGAAAACGTGAACGCCGTCGTATGCCACCCGAGGTTACCTGAGACGGAACAACTTACTTTAACTTGTTACCAGGACGCGTCAGAGGAACACCGTGACGGTAGCTTTGAGCTCATCTCGGACCTTCTGAGCAGACCAAGGGTCGTCGGCATGAGCGAGGATCCAGGCGAAGAATTCGCCGAACACGCTCTTGCCCTTCTTGAAGGTTGAGATCGTACATTGGTTGTTGACCTGAACTTGAATGTCGTACATGACCGGTTCACCTGCACGAGCGATGACCTCTTGGCTGTCTAGGCGGAAGTTCTGGTGAGGTCGATCCTCCCAGATGGTGCCATGGTCGCGGATGCCACCCTCGAGCTCGTTGTCGGGGATGTTATCGATCCACGCACGGAGGGTCTTGGTAGGTCTCATGATGTTACTTGACGAAGTCGTTGATTATGTACTGATGGGGATGTACGGTTGAGCAGCTGTCGGGAGCTTGTCGTGGTGGCCAGCAAGAACCTGGGCTGTTCACGATCTTACGAGGGAGGGGGCCCATGGTGGTAGGGTGGCTGGCTGACGGTTCAGCCGTCACATTGAGGACTCGAGGCAGTGAAGCATCCATTCCAAGTTCCGACATTGTGACCTAGTAGTCAACGTGATACATTCACCGTTTGTCTTGCGCGCGGACTACACGCTTTCTCCTACTTAAAAGCTTTCGTCTGCTCCAGCTCCATCTGCCCATTCAACACACAAACAACCAACACCAATACCATGAATCCAACATTGCTCCAACCAATCACAAAGATAATGGACAATCCAATAACTGCCTACCTACGATGGACGATCAGGCTGCCCTGGGATGGCAGTACGACTGGTTCGGAAATTTAGAGATAGTGTGGGTGAAGGAGCCCGATACCCAGGCCATCGGACGAATCGTCCGTCGCGAGCTCAACATCTAGATGAAACATATTGTGTGGCGACTCTCCTAGCGGAAGGGGCTTTCAACAAGGTGTATATTGTGCAGTGTAGCGCGGATGCACACTACATTATGCGCATCCCCGTGCCGGTGCAACCACAGTTCAAAACGTTGAGCGAGGTCACCACCATTGAGTACGTTTAACGACATACTGACATCCCGACTCCCTCTGTGCTCAAATTCAAAGCACCACACAATAATAAACTCGGTTTTGAGTGGATGATTATGAACCATGTGCCTGGTCCAAAGCTCAACGAGCGCTGGCGGTCCATGTCCTGGTTGAAGAAGGAACTTCTAGTGCGCAAGATCATCTCCTACATTGGACAACTCTTCCAGAAGCGCTTCAATTATTTGGGAAATCTGTACACAACCTCTCACCTCCGACAACTTCCTCCAGCAGACGCTGCGAAAACTGTGTTGCTCGCCCATGAACACTTCAGCCCAGAGAACGAGTTCTGCCTAGGAAAGATTGTTGACCAACCATTCTTCTGGGGGAATCATTCAAAGTTCGAGGTGAGTCGAGGACTGTCGGAGGGAGTGAAGGTATCCACCAATCGCCATCACATGATAGGCTAGCATCTATTGAAATATGATCTTGGTTAAATGTGTTTCTTGTCTATATTCGAAAAACCTGGGTCAGAGACCGCCCATACAAGCTATTGACCCTAGTCCCAATCAGAACGATAAACAACCCAAATACTCCTGCCCTATATCACCGGAGAGCCCCTTCCATATAATCGAGCCTCTGCTCAGCCACAATACAACACACTTTCCACCCACTTCAACAAGGACCTTTCGAGAGCATCCAAGATTGGCTCCGTACATGCCTTCGCTTGTACTTCCTGGCTACTGACGACCCAGTCACAGCCATAGAGGATTCAGAAGGCTTAGATTCGGACTCAGACGATGTGCCAAACCCATATTGTACCCCGAAGCCACCAAGGCCCGAGTCCAGCGTCTACTGGAGCTACTTTCTACAATCTATCCTGCCAATGTGCCCGAAGCTTTTGTGTTGCGCCACCATGATCTGCACGCAAACAACATCTTCATCGAGGAAAATCACGAACTATCTGGTATCATGGACTGGGAATGCGTGCCAACCGTACCTTTCTGGGCCTCGTGCGAAATACCCAAACTCTTGCAGACAAAACTGGATTGACATCTATGTCCTGGCCCTGACGAGTATATGAAGGACGTACTGGACAATGGGCCAGAAGGGCTTAATACCCTGTACTACGAACATTTGGAAGAGTATGAGAAGACACAACTGCGGGAGTTCTTTTTGGAGGAGATGCAGCGTACCTGTCCAGAGTAGAAGGCTGCCGGTAGCCTAGAAGAGAATATCGAATAGACTTTCACATCATATCACCATCTCAATAGTTCTTGGAAGACTTGTCGTTGCTTGACTGCGCTGCGCATGTGTGACTGCGGATTGCGGTGTGGAGGTACAAAAATAAGCATTCAGGTGGTGGCTGACTGACGCGAGGAACAAGGGTCCAACATGACGGCTTGTCGCTGCCAGACTCTCTTACTCCTCCACCACGTTCGTTGGCTCTCGAATAACCAAACAGCTCACGCTGCATTACCTACCATGACCGCAGAACCGCCGAAGGAGTGATGCATCGCGAGGCAGGCCACTCACGATGCGAATAGAAAATGTGGCTGTACGATCTGGTCTTCCATCTCCGTCTTGTCGAGCTCTTGCTTCACGAGAGTGCTTTTGGCAAGATCGATTCCACGTTCTGCACAAACTTCGTCAATCAGGCCTACCAGGAACCACTTCATCAGGCAGATTCACAGCAGAAACACGGCATCGCAAGGCGAACTGCCTCCCCCATCGAATCACGTCGTTTCTGTCATTTCGTTTAGCGCACGTGGCTGTGCGCACGTTCATTGTGGAGTTCATTGCTCAAGCACAAGTCTGAACGTTGCGAGCATCCCCCGGATGGAAATGTTCAATCTTTTGCTGTTCGTGAGGACAATGACCGCAAACGGAAAGTTGTCGATTGAGCAGCCGATTTGACATCCATGGTGTCACGAGCTGAACAGTCACTCAGCCGCGCAGATGGATTCGGCAAACGCACATAATGTGGCTCGCACGAGTAGCTTTGAGACAATGTGACTGGTTCGTCACATGCAGGCTCGCGTTCTGACAATGCAATGGCGACTTTGGGGCCTTTAGCTCTGAGCCTGAGCCACCGCCATGCGGTAGGCTCCTTTCCTTGCATCTGCACCAAGTCCTCCAATACTTGTCCACAGTTTCTTGGCTATTTCAAACCCACATGGGAGAAAGTAGGGGCGCAAATGGCGTTCAAGTTGTCATGAATCGAACGGCCCACTTCCCCATAGGTGCTGAGGCTGAGCCCTCGCTACTTCAGACCAAGATGAGCAAGGTTGGGCGCCTGCCTCAAGATGCATCACCACGATCAGGACGCAACGGGCCCATGCACCGTTTGTCTCATTTCATGGAAAGATATATCTCCTGCCTGACGGTCAGACATCAATCTTACTTTTCAGCAACTACTCAGAAGCAACAACAACAGGTCGATCTCAATACCGGACTTTGAAGCTGTTTCAGCTCTGCATGGCGTAATTAACCTCTTGTGCTACATCAATTACGCCATTCAGTCTCCAATACACTTCTTATATAACAACTTTCCGGACTTTGAACATCCTGCTCCAGCAACTCCTGCGGACTATCCTCCCATCATTCTTATCGTCCACGACCTCCGCTATGGCTCCCACACCGGTGGACAACAACCTTTCCGCCGAGCCTTCGTCTACATCGAAGCCTGAGGCAAACTACTGGCAACCCGCCAACATCGCTTTCACAACAGTCGCCAGTGCCCTCGCCCTTGGCGTCATCCTTGCTACGATAGCCTTCTTCGTCTACAGACACCGACAACACAAGAAGATCGGCCAGACAACACCCGCAAAAGAAAGCCTCTTGGAAGGTGACGAGCGCAAATCAAGCATGTTCAGCCGCGAGAGAGTCAGCAGTGTCACGGTGTACGTCGATAACGCAGACACGAATACAGCATACAAGCGTGTCAGCCAAGAACCCGCACCGCTTGTGCCTCTGCACATCAACACACAGACACCAAAACCGGCCGCAAGCGTAGGCAGCGACATCAGTGCGGTGAGCAGAAACAGCAACAGCACGTTCAGCACAATGATGTTGAGCCCGGTCTCGGAGGGCTCAAGACCAGCGGGCAGGCAACGAAGCACAAGCACATCGAGCATTCGCTACTATGCCGTGACACCTACCGACAACACAATACCGGTGCCGAAGATCGTTCGTACATCATCGGACTAAGGATGGGAGAATGGAGGGGGTAGATTGTGGTGGGCCCTCAGTCATTGTCACTTGCTTGTTCGTACTATGTATTTACCTTTACTTTTCCTCACTATACCCATTCTTGCTTCTGCATTATGCGCGCATGCAAACAAATCCTTCAATACACTATCAAAAGCATGCTTTCAGAATTCATTGTCCATTTCCCGCTCCCTGTGAATTGGTAGTGCTTTGGTGGTTGAGTGCATTTACAAGATCTGGGTAATGTTGATTGTCAAAAAATGTGCAGGGGTAGGAAATATTAAGGCGAGAAGGAAGACAATGTTTTCACTTAGTCGATCGATGGACGTTCTTAGGGTCGTTTGACTCACATCAACCGTCATCGGCTCCAAATGGATCGATGGTAGACTGAATAAGCGTCATCCGATGCTTCCTCCCCTCAAGAAGACAAAACAACCAGCCCTTAACGAGGTTCTGGTACATGCCGTTATCTGCATACGCGATAGCAAGCATGATATCGCGGTGAGTGGACTCTTCATTGTACGTCTGAATCCACTACGGATTCACGCGCGCCATTTCCTCCGGAAAGAACTTCCTCAGTTGCGTAGCCTCATAGTCATGAACCAGATCATTGTGGTCCCCAATTGCTCGCTCGTCCTTCTGCTCTTCCTCAGTCAGTGGTTCAGCCACGCGGTTTTATCCGCCCCGTCTATGAACATTGATATCTGAACGGTTTTCCAACGAGGAGCAGCAATGATGACCTCCCAGTAGATGACACCGACGAGACCCGCAGTATCGTCTACGAGGATGTTGTTGGCGCTTAGGTCATCGTGGTAGATATATGTTGCTCTGTGCCGCTGTCGGGGAAGAGCTTGGGAATGACAGCTTGGAGCTTGTCGTAGATGGCTTGCATTCCTTCAGCTTGCTCCTAATAGTCTTCGTCCTCGGAAAGACGCCGTTTGGAAACGTCTTGGAGCAGGAATTGCGTGCGAGCAGAGACAAACTCGAAGGTCTAGCTGAATGTGTTCTCCCCTGAAGAACTCGCTTTGAACGGTCCCGCCAACGACGTACTCGGGGTTTGGGAAGTTCCCTGGAGGTGGCTGCTAAGGTGGTACTGGTAGACGCTGCCGATCCCGGTGAGATTCAGATGAGACAGCTCATCTATGAACTTCACCATCTTCTGGACTAGCAAGCCCTTCTTGAGCCACAATAGTTCATACCGGCGCTCCTGCAGTAGAAGGCCGTTGATGTGTTCTACTAGTACCCACTTAAACTTTAGTTCGTTGTTCAGGCCAGCATTGTACGCAACGACTTGAGGTACAGGTATGCTAGTCTTTGCGCGGATAAGTGACATCGTCGTGACTTCGCTCAGCGTTTTGACCCTTGGAGCGAGGGGGAGTGCGACCCTGGAGATGAAGGTTCCCTTGCTGCCAGAAACTGTGTAGACTTTGTTGAAAGCTCCTTGCAAGAAATGCTACGGTGCATTTGCACTGGAGTTGCTGGCCGGCAATGTTTGCGATGATGTCGATGGAAAGTTCTTTGGTCTGCTTGGGAGAAGCGTCAAAGAGGTCATATTCCCTTTTCCAGGCCGGGTTGCTTGACGGTGCGCATGGTTTTCGATGTTTGGTGTGGGGTGAAGGAGAGAATTTGTTGGGTGACACTGTTGCTTTTGTATTACAATTGGAAGGGGCGATCGTCAACAAATAACGACGTACCACTTTCACCTACCTATATTGTCCCGAAAACAGTAGCGTATACAACACGCATCTACACGAATAATCCAAAAGTTCTTTGCCTAACCGCAAGTGTTTCTGCTTCAAGATCGAAAAAGTCTGCCGTCAACATATGTCGCAATGTCTGTAGAGCCTGTAAAATGTCGAGGCTCTAGGTCTACAGATGTGACCTCGGGTCTTATCAAACCAGGGAGAACATATAGGAGGTATGGCAGGTAGCTGAACGACCCGGTGCTCGTTTTTTCTGAGCAATTCACCGTTACAAAAGCCGTAGCGGTACACGGCATTTCCGGACCTCTCCTTCACACCGCGAAGCATTCACTGCGCAGTCCGAGTTCCTGTTCTGACAAAAGTATCTTCGCGCAGCCATGGAAGATCACTACTCACAGTAAGCAACCACTCAACTACAGTACGGAGAAGCACGAATGCAACATGGGTCAAAAGCTCCGCGAACTGGCCTTGGACTTTGTCGACAGATCCCAGACCTCTAGCTTCTGAGCAGCTTTCCTACCAAGAGCAACACCTGTATCTACTTCGGCAAAGAACTTTCGCCTCGACATGCAGACTGTAAGCAAATGTGCTAAGGATGGTGAGGATCGCCATGAGCTGACTACTTCCATAGGTGACCACCGGACCCCTAAGACCTGGAACATCCAGGTTCAGGCCAACAGCAACGCAAAAGGCAAACCTGTCAAGCGTTCTGCGAAGCATTTCAAGGGCTGCCGCAGCGGGAGGCGGCAGTTTCGGCAAGATCGAGGTGCCTTGTGATAATCCTTGGTCGCCGGCTGTCATCAAAGAGGAGCTCAAAGAGTCGATCACGAACTACGGGACTACCTCAGGTCAATACTAAGGTTCCCACGGTTCTTACGAAGGTTTCGCCCCAGGTGTACATTTCATGACTTAGCGGCAAACGATGACGTTCACGGTTCTCGGTTTTCATTTTGGTTTGGTGGTATACCCGATTTCATGAGCATGGCATGGCGTCACGGTTGTGTGTAGACAACACGAAAGACTACGCGGTTATAATAGTACTATGCATAGACACGAAGGGAAGCAGATTCAATCTACAGATCCACGGATTCCTACCTTAGTGTCCTCGTAAGCCCTGCATTTGTGACCATAACCGAGCACCATGTCTCAAGATCTTTCATTACTGTTCAATTGTCAGTAAATGTACACAATACAGTTTGGGCACTCCATAAAAGGCAACCCCGTAGTCGTTCTTGCACTGTAGTCGAACAGCATCTGCACACTTCCCCCCGTACATATTTCCTACCACAGATGCGCAGCTTCTCTTACCAACGAATCATCCACCAGAAAAACGAAACCCAAACAAAACTTCAACATGACAAACTCATTCAGAGCCTACGAACTCAAGTCCTGGATCGACAAAATCCCCTCCTCCTTCCTCAACACGCCCTTCCCCACCACGCACCCGATCTTTGCTGATGCCAATTATCGGCTTGTAGTTCAGGAGGTCACCCGTGATATGCCCATTCGTTACATCCTTCGCGTTCAGGTCCACAATAACTGCCCTGATCCTGTTCTCGCGGCATTCAAGCAAGAGGAGCCAGGTGCGGTACCGGCGTGGTGCGCGGTGTCTCAAGATGAATCAGTGACGGCTGAGGCGCTTCGCATTGCTTTGAAGGCTACTATGGAAAGCTGATGCGGGGCGAAGCTTCGAGGATTGTGTTGTAGGCTTATGGATTTTCGTCTTCGTTAGACTGTAACTATCATTTTTGAACTATGATCATTACCTCGACCCGATCAAGGTGATGTGTGTGACTCTGAGCTGTTGGCTATAGCTGTGGGCGATATCAAGGTCGACACCCTGTCTAGAGAGTCAGCGGCACAAGGTTAGGGAGACATACATCGGTACAAGTATAGTATCTCCGTTTGATAGTGGCGGTAGCCTTGGCCTAATGCTTCGATATTTCTCCACCTTTTGATATAACAAAGTAACCACCCAACCCCACAGCAATTATATGTTGTAATGCTGATAACGCCGATAAATGCAGTGACTGATATGTGACAAAGAGATGCAACCGACCGCTTCCCCGCGAAGCCTGGTACCGGAAATCCAACCCATTTATCCTCTAAGTCCACCTTCTCTAGTTTAGGAACAAGTTCTCCTTCTTCCACTGCTCTTGGAACACACTGATGATGCCCGCAGCTTCCTTGCATCGCTCAGGCGCACGCGCTGGCACATCGACGACCGCACGCCTCAGCACACCGCGAGCCTGTACGCCGTAGAAGCCAAGGAACTTCTTGTAAAAGTCTCGCAGCAGGCCGTTGAGAATGGCGAAGTGTCCGGGGTAAAGGTTTTCAGGAGGCGTATTGCAGACATGTACGAGGACACGCCAGTACTCAGACATTGGCAAGGCGGGCACTGTCTTGAACGCTCGTAACGACATCGCCGCGAACCCAGCTGACAGCCCGCGGATGCGCTGCATGTAGATTTCGCCGGTGGGAGGCTGCTTGTCAATGGGCATCCAGCCTAGTCGCTTCTGCCCCTCCACGGTGTTCATGGTGCCTCGTACGCCAAAGAGGATGGGGCAGATGTGGTGCATCTTTGCCAGTAGGACGTCGATGAGCGAGATGCCCTTCCACATGTACTTCTGGTCGGCGAAAAGACTTGCAGCGATCAGGCCAATTTCCTGGATGATACGTCCGTCTTCGTTCGATGCCTCTTTTTCGAACTGCTTGAGCAGGAACTTCTCGAACATGATCCACATGTACAACAGGAAGGCTGGGTATTGCGCTTCGGCCTCGTTGGCGAGGGGCGGTATTGTTTGGTTGACTAGGAAGGGGCGAATGTCGATTGTTGCGCCAGGGGTGTTGAGTGCGACGTCGAATGAGTCTGCTCGCAAGCTCTTGATTGCCGCCTGACTGGTTGCGCGTGCGACATTGATCTGGCCAAGCTTGAGGCGCATGTTTCGACGAGCATTGCCAATGGGCTCCTTGAGCGGTTGGCCAACCTTCTTGTTCTGGTTCCAGAAGGTTACCCTAAATTCCTTCATCCGCTTGTGTAGCTCCAGATATTTTGCATGTATGCTATTGATGGCATCATTGGGTGCTTGTGCTGCGACTGCAGCTTGCGCAGCGGTCGTGGGTTGTGCTGGAACGGCGGGTGCAGCTTGTGCTAGTGGTTGTTGTGCGGCTTGTTGAGTGACTTGTTGAGCGGCTTGCTGTACTCGAGCATTTTCTGCGGCGTCTGCAGTCTCCTTAGCTTTCCGGTCTGCCACCTCTTTTTCTCTCCTTTGTCGTTCGGCAGCTGCTTGTTGCTCCTTGTGTGCCTTTTGACGTGCCTCCGCCTCCTGGAGCTTCTTTTGGTGTTCGGCAGCTTGTTTCGCAATCTCTTCCTCTCGCCGTTGTGCTTCAAGCTGCCGCCTATGCGCCTCTGCTTGCTGCTGTGCTTTCTCTTTCTGCAGTTGCTCGATCGCCCTTTGCTGTTCCTCCTGACTTCGCAGACGCGCCTTTTCCTCCTCCAAGGACAGCCTCTGCAGCTCCAGTTCTGCGCCCCTCAACACTTTCGCATGCTCCTCCGCAGCTCGCGCCAGCTGTTCTTCGTGTAGCCTCGCGCGTTCTGCAGCAGCTTGGTCGAGTTGCTCATTGAAGTTCCGGTCGGATATGCTGAGCTTCAAGTTGAATTCGAGCTGCATTTGCCGGGAGGGGCTTTCGTATGGATCCCGTGTGACTGATGCTCGGTTGTTGCGGACGCCATTTCTTGTGGGTGATTGCCGTATTGGCGAACTCTCAATGATGCTGGAACCAAAAGACGCCTGAGTGTGCATGCTTGAAGATGACGTGCCCAATCTGGTGGGCATTGCGCAGGTGGGGGTCGAGGTTTCGAAAAACGGACGTGGGCACGTAAAAGGCGTGGTTGGTCTTGTGAAAGACGCGCCAAAGATTCCCGAAGCAAAGCTCCGAAATCGTGCACGTGATACGGCGTACCCCCCTGTAAGTACCCGGCGCTGGTCAACAAAGCGGCCCGCGTCCGCAGTTCGCTGTTCTTGTCTCAAGGTCTCTGTTGTGCAAGAAACACTCTGTTCCCTTTTTGAATTACCCAGTCACACACTCGTGCATGATCGTGAGAGCTTACAGAGCCTCGATACGAGATACGATGTGAGAGTACTTCACGATGTCTTCGCTGTTCAGCACGCGCCAAGCACATGCTTTCAAAGGATTGAGGCTCAGGACAGCTGGTGAGACGGCCTGCTGCCAAAGATACGACTTCCATAAGCTAGACAGCGTCGGTACGGACGATTGAGGACACTAACGTCGTTTCTGCCACAGGCTGCGACGCAAACGAGTCATCAATAGTTAGTTCGTTAGCCCTGGACGCGTCCCGTCGTGAGTGTGATGGGCAGGTTGTAGCGACTGCAACTGCCTAGGCAGGTTCATCGATCGATCCATCACATCGAACGTGCAAACCGCACTGTTCATGAGTGATTGATTGATCGATTGATTGGTTTAACGTCCTATCTGAGTCTAAGACTATGGAAGAGGAGAGGGCAGTAGCTCCTCTGGTAGTGCAAAGATTTAGTTACAAGAGGTTGAGTTCAATGAGTGTACAAGGGATGGTGAGGGCTCAGGCCCAAAACAGCACTGTTCATGAGCCAACGTTATGAGAACGTCTTCCCTTGACAAGGTTGCCTGGCCGTTATTTCGCAGCTAGGTCGACGTCAAGGCTACTGGCGCGCTGGTCCGAGCAGAGCAGACATGAACGTTCTTGCGCCATGAATCCCCCAGACTCGTGGGCGTGCTACGGTGGCTTGGTCGTGTTGGTGAGGGCTCTTCTGAGCTGCTTTTGAAACATGTATACCACAACGTTGCTTCACATCACCACTCTGCGACGGTAGAGACTGCCTGCACATATAGAGTCGCAGCTGGCTACGCGTCTCCCGCCGACGCCTCCTCCCTGCTCCCCATTCACTATTGATTCCAAGTATTATTCCTCGGCGCTGCTGGACTCTGCGCAGGTGACGTGACGTACGTCCGTGTTAGCACTCGTTTGCGGACTGGACAAGCCGATCGCTTCTATTTGGGACCGGCCCCAGCTGTCCAGCCATAGCCCTCACCCTCCCGCAGCATCTCACGGCTGCTCTCTCACAACCTTCTCTTTCCCCTCTGCGCCCGATCGCTCCCTCCTTCGAGCATTCACTCCTCCCCCCATTACTGTCACTCGTGACATACAGCCCTACTCCCAGGGAAACCGCGCTCCTTGAACTAGTCGAAGTCCGCCCCTGCATCTCGATCCTTATCACCCAGACCAGGCTTTTGTCTGCACACACTCCACCACCCGCAGTCTCTGTCAATCTCTTGCAGAGCTTACCTGTCCGACAGCATCGACTACTCGAAGCATTGCATTGCCTGTGCCCACGGCCTCTTCTCGCACGCCATTCCAGCATGTAAGTGTGCTCCCCACTAGCTCCCAAGCACTCGACCCTGCATTTCACCCACGGCTCCCCCGCCCAGTATGCAGCATGCAGCATGCAGCCTCTGCCACCTGCCTCATGGACAGCAAAAACAACCATGGAGCTTCGTTGTTGACGTGTGCTAGATAACCCCACAAATACTTTTCCGAGACCCATTCGTGTCCTCAACGGCCTCGACTGGTTCGACCGTCACTTCTGTGAACAGCACATACACCTTTGCAGCAGGCCTTGAGCCACCTACACAACACTTTTAACCATGGATCAGCAGCAGCAGCAGCAGCAGCAGCAAGGTCAGCAAGGGCCAATGGGTCCTGCCGGCCGTCGTCTGCACATTGCTCACCGCCGCAGCCCCTCTGAGCTAACACCGCTGATGAGTTCGTGCTCCCACACCTTTACTATGACCTTGGCTGACACACCCGTGCAGTGGAACAGCTTGCTATTGCACAGCAGATTGAGGTCCTGCAGCAGCAGCAACAGCAGATCGCCGCAACGCATCAGCAGTATGTGAACATGGGCATGATCCAGCCACAGCAGCAGCTTGGCAACTTTCAGATGCAGCCCGGTCAGATGGCGAACCTGTCCCCCCAGGTGAACAACTACCAGTTCCCCCAGCAGATGGGCCAGCAACACCTCGGTGTTCCCATGCACGCTCCCGCCCAGCCCTCGGCCCACCGCCGCAACCAATCCGCCCTGCCCAATGTTGGTATGGGCCCACCCCCAGCTCCCTCATCCGGCGCATCTGGCTTCAGTGAATTTGGCCAGCAGGGCAACCAGGGCCGAGAGAACATCAACCCTCGCGGCCGAGGTGGCGGTGCCGCTGGCTCGGGACACACAAGAAGACACTCTTTGGCACTTTCTGATGCTAAGAAGGCGGCAGAGCTGGCAGAATCGAAGAGAAAGACTTCAGGCTTCCAGTTCCCTCTGCCTTCTGCCGGCGGAAGCTCCAACCGTGACGCAAGTCCCGGTGGTGCCAGCTCCGGCGAGCAGCCTTCCGCTCGTGGCGGCCGCGGCGGCCATGGACGCAGCCAGAGTATGGCTGTTGGACGCGGCGGTGGCAGTGCTGGCCGCGGTGGGCCAGCCTTCTCCTTCCCACAAGTACCAGCCGACTCGAGCACGTCGAGCAACAACAACAACAACAACAACAACACCGCCCAAAGCGGTCAATCTGACTTCCAGCGCCGTGGTAGCTCAGGCCACGGCCGAAGCGCATCGCGCAACTTCGAGGGCAACTGGAGGCAGCCCCAGAACAACACCCCACAGCAGTCTACCCAGGAGAACCAGGCCCAGAACATGGGCAACTTCAACATGAACCAGACCGCCAATGCCGCTCCTTTCCAGCCCGGACACCGTACTCGCGGTTCAGTTAACCAGTCTGTCGGCGCTCTCGGCAACTTCCAGTACCCAGGCCAGCCTCAGCTGGTCCAGCTACCCCAGGGACAGGTCCTCGTCCCACAACAGATGCTCGGCCAGGGACTCAACCCTCTTCAGATCGCCCACCTTCAGGCGTTGCAGGCGCAGCAATTGCAGGGTGGAGGCTTTGGAGGCCTTGGTGTCAGCCAGCACGCCCAACCCCAGATGGGCATGCAGCAACAGCAGCAGCAGCGCAAGACTTTGTTCACCCCTTACCTTCCGCAGGCTACTTTGCCTGCACTACTCAGCGACGGCCAGCTTGTTGCCGGTATTCTCCGTGTTAACAAGAAGAACCGAAGCGATGCTTACGTCACTACCACTGACTTGGACGCCGACATCTTCATTTGCGGTAGCAAGGACAGGAACCGTGCTTTGGAGGGAGATTTAGTCGCCATTGAGCTTCTCGACGTCGATGAAGTGTGGGGCCAGAAACGCGAGAAAGAAGAGAAGAAGAAGAGGAAGGACAATGCGGACCCTCGCGGTGGTAGTATCGCTGTGAACGACGCCACCACTCAGCCTGAGACGGCTGGCGAAGGTGGCATCCGCCGGCGTGGAAGTCTGCGCCAGCGACCCACACAGAAGAAGAACGATGATGTAGAGGTTGAGGGTCAGAGCTTGCTTCTTATGGAAGAGGAGGAGATCAACGATGAGCTGAAGCCTCTGTATGCCGGTCACGTTGTCGCAGTTATAGAGCGTGTTGCCGGACAGATGTTCTCTGGTTCTCTCGGACTTCTGCGCCCTAGCAGTCAAGCCACAAAGGAGAAGCAAGAGGCTGAGCGCCAGGCTCGCGAGGGCAGCAACAGCCGTCCTCAACCCGAGCGCCAGGACAAGCCTAAGATCGTGTGGTTCAAGCCTACCGACAAGCGTGTGCCTTTGATCGCTATCCCTACCGAGCAAGCACCTAGGGACTTCGTTGAGAAGCATCAAGATTACGCCGACCGCATCTTTGTTGCATGCATCAAGCGATGGCCCATCACCTCGCTGCATCCTTTCGGAACGCTCGTTGAGCAGCTTGGTGTCATGGGTGACCCCAAGGTTGAGACTGATGCTTTGCTGCGCGACAACAACTTCGGTCCTGATGACTTCTCCGATGCGGTCATCAAGAACATCGGTTTCGAGGACTGGTCGGTTGCTAACGACGGTGAGGAGGTTTTCGAGACACGCCGTGACCTTCGCAGCGAGGAGACCTTCACCATCGATCCTAACGGCAGCAAGGAACTTGACGATGCCATCCACTTCAAGTACCTCGACGATGGCCGTGTTGAGATTGGTGTGCACGTTGCTGATGTCGCACACTTTATCAAGCCGAACTCGCTTGTTGACCGCGAGGCCAAGAAGCGCGGAACCGGTGTTTACCTGATGGACCGCTCCGTCAACATGCTGCCACCGCGCTTGTCCAACGAGATTTGCTGCCTGAGCCCCGGCGAGGACCGCTACACCGTCAGTGTTGTCTTCAAGGTCGACCCTAAGACTGGTCGTGTCTCAGACGACGAGACTTGGGTTGGCAAGTCTATCATCAAGAGCTCCGGCAAGCTGTCGTACGATGAGGTCGACTTCGTTATTAGCGGACGCGATGGTGAGGTTACAGCGGCTCGTGCTAAGGACATCAAGACGCTCCACCAGATCACGCAACGATTCCGCCAGGCTCGTTTCGGCGACCGTACCGCCGACATCCAGCCTCTGCGCCTCATGTACCAGCTCGATGACGAGAACGTTCCTGTTGAGGCGAACATCTTCGACTCTTCGCCGGCCCATGAATGCATCGAGGAGCTCAGCCACCTTGCGAACAGCTTCGTTGCCAAAAAAATCCTTGCTGGTCTACCAGAGAAGGCGCTCCTTCGTCGCCAGGCTCCTCCTAACCCCCGTCGTTTGACCACGATTGCCGAGCGTATGAGCGCAATTGGCTACGACATCGACACTGAGAGCAGTGGTACACTGCAGAACAGTCTGTTCCAGGTTGAGGATAGCGACATCCGCAAGGGTATGGAGACGCTTGTCATCAAGTCTATGCCTCGCGCGAAGTACTTTGTGGCTGGCAAGGTTCCAGAGGACCAGTACGCTCACTACGCCCTTAACCTTCCGGTTTACACTCACTTCATGAACCCATCCCGTCGTTACGCCGACATCGTTGTCCACCGCCAGTTGGAGGCTGCTCTTTCGAACGGTGCTATCGAGTTCACCGAGGACATTGAGGTGTTGGCCAAGACTGCCGAGATGTGCAACACCAAGAAAGACTCCGCTCATGCTGCTCAGGAGCAGAGTGTACACATTGAGGCCTGTCGCAAGATGGACAGGCTCAGCCAAGAGATTGGCGGCGACCTAATCGCTGAGGGTATTGTCATCTGTGTTTACGAGTCGGCCTTCGACGTTCTGATCCCTGAATGGGGCTTCGAGAAGCGTGTTCACTGCGATCAGCTTCCTCTCAAGAAGGCTGAGTTTGACAAGAACAAGCGCCTTCTCGAGCTCTACTGGGAGAAGGGCGTTCCCTCTTCTGCTTTCGTTCCTGAGGATGAGAGGCCGAAGCACGGTTCATTCCGAGTATCCAACGCCGCGGCTGCTGCGCGTCACGCTGAGGCGGCTAAGCAGCGTGCTAAGGAACAGGAAGAGGCTCAGCGTCGTCAGATGGACACTGGAACAATGTCGACCAATGAGGTTGATGCCTTGTTCGACGATGATGACGATGATTCGAGCGACCTGAACTCTACCATGGCCGGCGTGTCATTGAACCCATCCGGTGCTGATCGACCCACTCAGAGCATGCCCCCTTCGCCAACCAGGGGACTCTCCGGCCAAGCACCACAGCGTACGAACTCGGACTCGAAGCTGTCGAAGAGTGCTAGCGAGGCACCCGAGGCCAAGCTGTCGAACAAGGAGAAGTACCTCAGCTGGTTTGCCCTGCGTGAGCAGAACGGCGACTACATCCAGGATGTGCGTGAGATGACACGCGTACCTGTCATCCTTAAGACGGATCTGACCAAGAGTCCTCCGTAAGTTGCAACCATCGTCCATCAATAGCGCATTTTCCTAACATACCTCGTAGTTGTTTGACCATCCGATCTTTGAACCCGTACGCTTTGTAAGCGCAATCGGTCACCACTTCCACGATACTCGACAACGACGCATGTACACTAGCTTCGTTCGGAAGCGCGAACTGTACTGTATCGCTTCAAAGTAGTCTCGGGCCGCTGCCAACATTACTTGATGGGAATTTGCATAGCGTGGATATAGTTTAAGTCGTGTTGGTGCAGATGAGATGGATGACGAATTTGTATTGTTCATGTGTATGGGGTACGCGACCGTCACCGGATATATACAGTAGGTCTAATCAAACCGTTCGTAGTGTGTTAATGTATTGTTCGAGCGCGCCGTCAGTTAAAATCGATAATTTTTGTTGTTCATCTTTTGCGTTCGGCGTCATGCATGACAGCTGCATGAGATTCACGTCCTGTTCGTTTGCGCTGGCTGACACTTGATGGGTCCATCGTGTAGGTGTTTAATAGCAGTCCATTGGCCTTACAGAAGTGAAACAGCTCGGATGTACTGCAGACTCCGGCATCTACAGCACCCTGGGGCGAGTGCCACATTCGGCTGCTGAGGAATGAAATTCTGCCGGCATCTGCGCCGCACGTTGATGGTTTTGGTCCTGCTCGAGCTGATTTGCAACCCTTTGGGAACAAGGATCCTTGGTAGAACCTACCCGCAAAGCTTGTACTGGCAATCGTTTTTTCCAGCCAATGCATTGCCTGAGGCATGAGGACCGTTATAACAGTGGCGATCAATGGTGTCTGCCAAGTGTCTTGTGGTGATTTGGCCGTGCGCGGCGCTCACCACATCTTCCTCTTCCACCAACTTCACCACTCCAGCTTCTCCCACTCGATATCACAGTGCATTCCTTCCTACATACTCTTCATCATGAATGCGCAGGATATGTTCACACAGACCGTCGAGAGCACGTTTTGAAACGTTTCAAAGGCGCTATCACCGCCGCAGCACGAATCGCACCCACCAGCCTGAAAAGTTGAATGCCTCACGCAACTGCTGGTGAGCCACACATGAAGCCCTTCGGATAGGCTAGTCGCCGCCATTGATGGCTATGCGCTACTGGGTGAATCCAGGATTCGTCATGAGCGGCTTTGTCGCCTCCGTGCAGCCAAGTGTGTTATGTTGGTACTCACACAGTTTCATCGCGAAGCTTTCGCGTCGCAGCCCCCCGGACCTGCTACACCTCACGCGTCCAACACCAATCCCAACACAGCCATCCGGATAGTTCAGCGGTTGCTACAGTACGAGCAAGCAGTTCCCTGACGATCAATGGGCCGGCGAGCCAAGGCTGAAAGCTTGAATGGTCACGGATCTGGCCAGTGCGTGGACGGGATCGCTCTGCCCGCCCCTCTACCACGAGCTCTGCATCCGTCCTCCGAATTTACTATGGCGTCTCAGGTTTGCCAGGAGCTGCAGTGTCTTGTATAAGGATCATTCGCTGCCCATCTCTGTTTCTGCCGAACGTTTCTGTTGGACATTAACTGCAAGGCTTCCATATCTCTGTACCTAATACTTTACGACATTCCTTACGGTCTTCTTCTACCTCGTCCCTGGCTGGACTTTAAGAGATATATTTAATATTCGAATTCAAAGCGAGACTTTGCTGGCCGTCGATACTTACGAATCTATCTTCTCAACAACAACAACAACAACAACAACCACTACTTAATTCACCAACATGCCGAGCGTATCAACAATCCTCAAGGGCCTCTTCGTCCTGGCGCCTCTCGCGGCTGCCGCTCCCGCTCACCTTCATGCTCGTCAGGAGGCCTCCTCTTCAGCAGCTTCCTCTGCAGCTTCCTCTGCAGCCTCTTCTGCAGCCTCTTCTACGGCGTCAGGAACATCGGCTGCACCAGCAGCGATGGCGACCTTGAGCGATGTCGATATTCTTCAATTGTAAGTACTACAGTCATATCGACACAATTACGAGTGCTAACAAACCTAGTGCTCTGACCGCTGAGCACCTTGAGTCGACATTCTACAAGCAGGGGTTCGCGAAGTTTCCCATGAGCGACTTCCAGGCTCTTGGTCTCACCGATGGCCAGATCAAGTCCCTCATGGGCGTTGGTCAGACTGAGGCTACTCACGTCACCACCTTAATGGCTGCCATCACCGGCGCCGGCGCCAAGCCCGTCGAGCCCTGCGACTACAACTTCGACGCTGCGCTCGCCAGCGCCGACTCCATGGTCAAAACCGCCCGTGTCCTCGAGGCCGTCGGTGTCTCCGCCTACCTCGGTGCCGCACCCATGGTCAACTCCTCCGACGTCCTCGCTGCCGCTGCATCTATCGTCACCGTCGAGGCTCGTCACCAGGCTTTCATCCGTGTCGCTTCTGGCGCTGAGCCCGTTCCTGCTGCCTTCGATACTTCCCTTCAGCCCCGTGCCGTCTTCACCCTGGCTGCCCAGTTCATCAAGTCTTGCCCCCAGGGCTCCAACCTGAACATCCAGGCCTTCCCCGCCATCGCCCTTCAGAACCCAGAGCAGGCTACTGTTGGTCAGAACCTTAAGCTTGCTGACCCTGCGTCGCCTGCTGGTGCTTCCTTCTGCGCTTTCGTTGCTCCGTAAGTCATCCTGAATTCACAGTGTGTTGAGTGTGTTACTGATGTAAGATAGTGGTGGCAACCAGTTCTCTCAGATCAAGGACGGCAACTGCATGGTCCCGCAGAACCTGCAGGGTGAAGTCTACATGATGATCACCAAGTCCGAGTCTGTCGCCGACGACCAGGTGCTCGCCGGTCCCTCCGTCATCCAGCCCTCGTAGATGACTTGACCGAACGGAGCATAGCTCAGCACCCATCACCCTCCTAACATAAGATAAGACTACGGATGTGTCAGGGCGAGCGCGTTGCGAAGAAAACAAACAAAGGAGACAACATGAGAGCCAAGTACGTTACAAATACAAGTGTTGATCCACCAATTTCCTTTCTGTAGATGTTTTTTCCGTATGAGATTATCGTCACGTTGTATGGTACAGAGATATGCTAGGTAGAAAGAAGGCTGCATCCCGATGTCCGCAGATACCCCCAGATACGAGTCCATACCCCGCTTGATGTGAGGAGATGGCAGTAATTAATCATGAAACCCCCAAACTTCTCAACTCGTGACTTGCCTTCTATGTGAACACGTGTTCGCATTAGTCTTTTCACACCACATCTGTGAAGATCAGTACTTTGATGCAACTGCAATTTGACGTCGAGCCTGTCTTGTTGTTTCCGCGCGCATGAGCGACGTGGTATGAACCTGCCGCTGATCTGTGCAATGGAAAGTCACGATCATAGATGGGATACATTCTCACAGGTCTGTTCACGGAGCTATCATATCACTTGGGTATTGCACCGCAGCCAGACAAGGTTTGAAAGTTTCATGAAATCGTCATTGGTATACTACAGCATCAATCTCTCAGCCCTAACCTAGGTGTAGTGCGGCACCTGCGCTTTGTCCCCCTCAGTACCGTTGGCAATAGATTTCAGCCCATTGTCAATTTTCTGCCCCGGCTTCAGCTTAAAATGCGGCTTCAGAGGCTCCCAGCTCTCTGCATTATAATCCTCCTGCACCTTCTGGCACTTCTTCAGCCCCCAGTCCGTCACCCCAATCATCAAGCAACTCTCAAACATAAACGCCATACTGCCCTCACCTACCTTATGCGGCGCCAGCTCCGCATTCGACGCCTTTTCATGTGTGGAAGCGTCGGGGCCGTGGCCGGACATCACGTTGTGCAATGATGCGCCGGCGGGCTGGAAACCACCCCCTGTTTTGGCATCGTATTGTCCGTGGATTAGGCCCATGAATTCGGACATCGTGTTGCGGTGGTACCAGGGTGGGCGGAAAGTGTCTTCCGCGACGAGCCAGCGAGGGGGGAAGATGACGAAGTCTGCGATTGCGGTTCCCGGAGAGGCGCTCTGGCATGTCAGGACCGTGTAGATGGAGGGGTCGGGGTGGTCATAGGATACGCTGCCCATGGTGTTGAAGCGGCCAAGATCGTACTTGTAAGGGTAGTAGAGGCCATGCCAGGCGACGACGTCGAAGGGTGTGTGGTCCTGTTTTGCTGCGTACAGGTGGCCGGCGAATTTGGCCAGTATGGTCCAGGAGTTGTTGGTGTCTTCGTCGAAGTCGGCGACGGGCGCTTGGAAGTCGCGCGCATTGGCTAGACAGTTGGAGCCGATGGGACCGAGTTCGGGCAGCTCGAAGTGGCCCTCGTAGAGCTCGAGGATGTAGCCTCGGACAGGGCCGTCGGGGAGTGTGACGCGGTACCTGATGCCGCGGGGGATCACGCAGATCTCGTTGGGGCGGACGACGAGGCGGCCCAGTTCGGTCTGGATATCGAGGACGCCGTGCTGGGGGACGATGAGGAAGTCACCATCTGCGGAGTAGAACGCTTCGTTTGCTGCCATGTCTTTGCCTGCTGCGTAGATGAAGTAACCAACGCCAGTCTTCATGGTGGGATCTCCAGCACCAGCAACGAGGTGCAACGAGTGGACCCAGTCTACTGTCTCGTCAAGGTCGAAGGGGTCCCATCGTAGTTGGTTGGGGATGAAGTGGATTTCCTCCCATGGCTTGTTCTCTGGGTTGGTGTTGAAAGTGCTTGACTCTCGCGCCTCGAAATTGCTATGACCGCATGAGGGCAGTATGCGATAGAGCCATGACTGCTGGTTCTTGTGTCGTGGAGCTGTGAAGGCTGTGCCTGAGAGCTTCTCGGCGTAGAGCCCTAGTGGAGGCTTCTGTGGTGAGTTCGCGCCAACGGGCAGCGCGCCCTCCACTGCTTCTGATCTGACTTTATGTGAGCAACAATTGTCAGGATCTGGGTCGGTAAGACTCACTCATGGTAGGAGGCGAAGCCATTCTGATATCTGTACCTTTCTTTGAAGTTGAATTGTGTGGAGGGCATGACGACGGTCTGTAGGCTTAGCGTCGTTGGTGTGATAGCTAAACTTCAATTTTTGGAGATTGCTCTCTATCAAAGGAAGAACGTTTTTCGACCTTGTCGTAAACTCCCTGAATATATGCAGCAAGCTCCTGGAACGGCCCGGAGGTTTGCGGTAGCTATAATGGGGGATGTAGTCTGCGACAAGCCTGGTCTTAGACAACATTGCTTAGTGACTGCGGCAATGGGCGGCTCGAAATTCCGTTGTTGCGTTCGCGGCATGAAGCTGAGCGAAGGCGGGGAGCTTCTGGCTGACCCAAAGTGGTATCGTGTTCGGCTTACCCCACACTCTGCCCCTGCGTCCGCTTTCTCGCGGAATGAAAACCGCACTCCGTCGTCATCCTCTCCATCAGTAGCCGTCACGTTTCTGTGATCACGACATGGGGGGCTGCGACACAATCGGAACGCGTTTTCCGAGTTTGTTGATTCTCAGAGCGCCTGCTCGGAACTGGAGAGTACATTGAGCGTTGCAGTCGCAACAAAAGAGCATCACACCACCTTGTTTTCGACGAGCATTGCGCCCCGCGAATCTCACAAAGCCCGGCAATCCCAGGCTCTCCAGAACGAGCAGCAACATCGCAAGTACAGCGCCCAGCATGACTTCTCTAAGATCGTGGTTCAGCATTCCTCGAGGGTCTCACTTCTCACTCGCGAACATTCCCTTTGGAATCATCTCGACGACGTCATCGACAGCACCGCGAGTAGCTGTTGCTATTGGAGATCACGCGTTGGACCTTGAAGTCTTCGCAGCGAACAATGGCTTTTCAGGGTTGTCCACCATTCAGCCACACCAATCTGTCTTCTCGCAACCATCACTGAATGCCTTCGCAGCGCTTGGACGACCAATACACTCAATTGTGCGCAAATACATTCAGAGCGTGTTCACTGAGAGCACAGAGTTCCCAGATGTATTGAAGAACAACGAGTCGTTGCAGAAGCAGGCTTTGATTCCACTACAAGATGTGAAGAAGCACCTGCCTTTCAAAATTGGCGATTACACAGACTTCTTCGCTGGCATGAATCACGCTTACAACTGTGGAGTGATCTTCCGTGGGCCGCAAAACGCTCTGCAACCAAATTATAAGCATCTTCCGGTCGGCTACCACGGGCGCGCATCATCGGTCGTACCATCAGGGTCACCAATTCGTCGACCAAACGGCCAAATCCTGCTGAACCCTAACGCCGAGAAGAAGGAACCAACCTTCTCGCCTTGCAAGAAGCTTGATATCGAGCTGGAACTGGGTGCATTCGTATGCGGTTCGAACGAACAAGGAATACCTATACCGATCGATAAGGCTGCAGACAATATCTTCGGTGTCGTTTTGATGAACGACTGGTCAGCGCGAGACATCCAAGCCTGGGAGTACGTACCTCTAGGACCATTCAACGCAAAGAACTTTGGCACGACTATTAGCACTTGGGTAGTCCTCGCAGAAGCGCTCGAGCCTTTCAAGGTCAAGGGTCTGGAGAACGATGGCAATGTATTGCCGTATCTCAAAGAGAAGGATGAGAAGTCAGTGTACGACATCAATCTTCAGGTGGATGTGAAGAGTAAGATTTCCATTGCATTTCGCATTACAAAGACTAATCAAGACAGCATCGTCCGGTCACAACACCACAATCTCAAAGGTGAACGCACGAAACCTACTATGGTCCTTCCCACAGATGCTCGCCCACCATACCATCACTGGCTGTCCTTTCCAGCCTGGAGACCTGCTCGGCTCCGGTACAATAAGCGGCGACTCTCCTGCTGAATATGGAAGCTTCATAGAAAAGAGCCAGAACGGCAAGGAACCCATCAGGCTTAGCGGCGGTGACGTGAGGACGTTCTTGGAGGACGGTGATGAGATCACAATCAAAGGTGTATGTGGCGAGGACGAGGAAGCACTGGTAGGGTTTGGGGAATGTGTAGGGAAGATTGAGCCCGCATTGGAGCTCAACTTTAATTGAGATACACCGCAAAAAGCATGGATTTAAGGGCCATGACCGCACTGGTGCCACCACTGTGATCCGGGAACCCGAGTGAATCAAAACTACTGACGATGATCTAATGCCATCACCAGAGTAATTGACGACAGATGGAGTTACATACATTCACTCTGGATTGACTCAGTATTTTGTGCGTATGTACACCTCCTTCCTCCCTGTCTGCGCATTGTACTGGGAGATTTCACTGACATGTACTCAGACAGGCGTTGACAGCATTAGCCTACGATGATGGACTTTTCAATTATATATACTATCATGACCATAAATCTCGGCACAACGCGTACCGAAGCAACGACCTACGTACCTGTTTTACAAACAACGAGATCGCTTGGAGAACCCAGGTCCACCTTGGTGAGGAAGCATTCCGCCGTTCATCATCGCTGTCCCACAACGTACGAAGCATGCATTGTAACAACACCTTCATAGTGGAGATCGAGATCATCAGCCGTGTGATCAATATCCAAAATCAATCTCCGTGCGATACGTGCAAAGCCGTAATGCAGCTAGCTCATGATCTCACCCCACAGCGCAGCTCCCCGCACCGCGCTAGTGGTTGCACCTCAAGCAACACCAGCGGTCGAATTCCGCATACACCTTTCCAGACGACCGCTTCTTCGACAGTGGACACCGCGCTATTGCCCCGCTTTACTGCGTTCAGCAAGTCGCAGACATGTCGGATCGCGCATCCAGTGAAGCGATACGCGTTCTTGCTGAGACAGGCGTCCAGGATGTGGTTAGGTGCGGATTCTTGGAGTGAACTACGCTGGACCGCGATGCGTGGGCCAGGTAGACGAGTGTTGGTATAAGTGCAGCTACCTCCTGTAAGGTCTGGTCTACCAAGCTTCAGCTCTTCTCACATCAGCAGTCTGGACAGTCAGCAGCATGTCGATACCAATCTACGGCGCCGTCGCTGTTGTCGTCGGCATCTTCTTATATAGATTCCTGTATGGCACCGATACACCACACATTAAGGGCCTTCCAGAGGTTCCTGGCCTACCTCTTTTCGGTAGCTTGTATGAGCTCGGTACGAATCATGCAAAGGTAGCACAAGGATGGGCGAAAAAGTACGGGCCAGTGTTCCAGGTTCGAATGGGCAACAAGGTAAGTAACCACATATCCGTACTCAAAGAACCATAAGCTCAGAAATTTTAAAGAGAGTTGTCTTCGCCAACTCCTTCGAATCCGTTCGCCATCTCTGGATCACAAACCAATCCGCCCTAATATCCCGCCCCATGCTCCACACCTTCCACAAAGTCGTCTCCTCATCCCAAGGCTTCACAATCGGCACCTCCCCCTGGGACGAGTCGTGCAAGAACCGCCGCAAAGCCGCTGCCACCGCCTTGAATCGGCCCGCTGTGCAATCCTACATGCCGCTCATCGACCTCGAATCAACCGTGTCCATCAAAGAACTCCTCTCCGACAGCAAGGGCGGCGAAATCGACCTCGACCCGCGCGCATACTGGCAGCGCTACGCGCTCAACACAAGTCTGACGCTGAATTACGGATACCGCATCGACGGTAATAAGGACGCGCCGCTGCTGAAGGAGATTGTCGACGTGGAGCGCGGCGTGGGAAATTTCCGGTCCACGAGCAACAATTGGCAGGACTATGTGCCGCTGCTGCGCCTGTTCCCGAGTCAGAGCAACGAGGCGATCAAGTTCAAGAACAGGCGTGATGTGTACATGGACAAGCTTCTCAATACTCTGGAAGAGAAGATCAAGAACGGAACAGATAAGCCGTGCATCACAGGTAATATTATGAAAGACCCCGAGGCGAAGCTGAACAGAGGTATGTCGTCTCCCTCCCAACCCACCTCCAATTCTCCATACTAACACCCCCGAGCCGAGATTAAATCCATCTGCCTAACCATGGTCTCCGCGGGTCTTGACACCGTCCCGGGTAACCTAATCATGGGCATCGCCTACCTCGCGACCCCGGCAGGCCAAAAAATCCAAGCACGCGCTTATCGCGAAATAATGGCCGCCTACCCCTCCGGCGACGCATGGGAGCGGTGTCTGCACGAAGAGAAGATCCCGTACATCACGGCTCTATACAAGGAAATCCTGCGCTACTGGACCGTGATTCCGATCTGCCTGCCCAGGGTATCGATCAAGCCGATTGAGTGGAACGGGGTGGTTATCCCGCCGGGCACGACGTTTTATATGAATGCTTATGCGGCGGATTACGATGCTGAGCACTTTAAGAATCCGGAAAAGTTTGATCCGGAAAGGTACTTGAATGTTCCTGATGGCGCGGGGACACCGCACTACGGATACGGCGCGGGAAGCAGGATGTGTGTGGGCAGTCATTTGGCGAATAGAGAACTGTTCACTGCGTTTGTGAGATTGATCAGTGCGTTTGAGTTTACGCCGCCAAAGGATCCGAGGGATGAGGCGGTGATGGATTGTTTGGATGCGAACGATATTCCCACAAGTTTGACCATGGAGCCAAAGTATTTCAAGGTTGGGTTCAAGTCGAGAGACCGCCATAAGCTAGATCAGTGGATCAGGGAGAGCGAGGAGAGGACGAAGGAGCTGATGTAGAAGTATCATTGATATTGGATTATTATACGTGGGCGTTGTTCGATAAGCATTTGGCTTGCCGCCGTTTGATTGAATCAAAACTACTTGAGTATGTTCAATATATCGATCAAGATAAGCCATGTGAGATCTCCAAACGCTTCAAATATGTATATATATCCAGTCTCATTGCTCCAAGCTGATATGCCATGATAGATGCTCCCTGTGTCATGCGTCGTTCAATATCTCCAAAGCGCCAGAAAGTTGTACTAATCTTCTGAGTCGCTGTCGCAGGACTCGTCAAACTCATCAGGCTCGGCGGCCCAAAGGATGAAAGGCCCGTTGTAATCGCGCTGTTCAAGGTTAGTCTTGATTGAACTTTCACTTATGTCCTCCAGGTTAGCACTTACATCGAAATCGACGGTCTCCGAAGCGAACCACCAGCGGCCAACGATGATGCGACCTCCGGGCAGAACTACACCCTCGTACGCCCAGAGATTGTCAGAGTCAACGTCGTCGAGGTCCTCAGCGAAGTGCTTCATGAACGTAATGCGTTGCCAGCCGGGTATGCCGCACTGATCTGGGAGAGCATTGAGCCATCCTATAGCCTGGAAATCATCTTCTAGGTCCATGCCGGTGCCCATAAATTGCAGGTTAGCTTTCATAGTGTCCTTCATCTTGCTGCGGCCTTGCGTCTTTGGGGGCGCATCAGCCTCAGGGACCTCACGCAAGGAGTTCAGGCGTTCCTCGAACACTTTTGGCCATTTGAGTTGGCGATCTGGGTCGAAGTCGAGCTCAAGAGACTGTTTCTGTTAGTGGAGGATTACGCCACAGAGCGCACTTGTTCATGACATACCTGGATTTTGCCCTCATCGATGTTCTTGTCGCTAAAGTAGATGTCACTATCATGGTCATCTGGGAGAGCTCGAAGCTTGCGTTGTTCGTTAGGGTCCAGGAAAGAGTATGTGCCCTTCCAATGCTTGCTCAAGGGATAGGCACCCTGTTTCAAGGGCTCTTGCCAGGCTGTTGGCTTCTGCAAGGCAGACAGATCCTCCATCGCATCGCTCAGTGTCATGGTCTCTCGATTCATCATGTGATAGCGAAAGAAGTCGAGACACTTCATGATCCACTCCATGTTGACGTCAGTGTAGTTTAAGCCTTCGTAGATCGGAGCTTTGTTTGTCACAGCATATGCAGCGCGTTGGAGTTGTTCGATGGCGAAGATGTGGTGCTTGAGGTCCTCATGCTCGAACAGGAGAGGCGAGCACATGATCTTGACAGCGGTAAGCATAGGGTTGATCTCCTTTTTTTCGTTCTTCTCCGACCTGGTGCGTTGGTCTGGCGGGCGTCGATCGTTGAGAAGGATCTTGGAGTTCAAGATGAACTCCAACAGGCGGTCTTGATTCTTGCAGTGAGGTCGACCATACTCGTCGAAGTCTACAGTACCTTGAAATGATTCTGGGAAATGTCAGATTAGTGTGAAACCATACGTGATTGCGACAAAGGAATGTGCAGTGACAACGCGTTGCAGCACAGCATAAAAGGGGGGACTTACCGACTATCAGATCCCTGAGCACTTCGATAACATCCTGCTCACGCTTCTTGTATCCACGGAAGAAGTCGTAACCAGTGCCTCGTCGAAGCATCTTGCTGCGCCGTTGATATGCCCTTCTTAACTCCTTGTTGGTAGGACCCTCCTTGGAGGCGTACTTCTCGCGGAACCTGTAGCGCCAGAAGGATCCATGATCGGCGTCGATAGCATCATTCGTACCCCGGCAGACTAAGCGGAAGGAGATAATGTCATTGTCGGTGTCTAGATGATGAGCGATGGCCTTGTTGAGCTAGACTGTGTTAGTATATTCTACCGGGTATAGTGTTTGCTGGGGAGCCTACTTCAATAGGTAGTGAGTTGAATGCCGTGTGCGTAGAGTGTGCATCAAGAGACATGTTGAGACGTTGTACGCGAAATCAACTTGATCCAAGGTCTCTGTAGACCGCAAGGCCAAGGTGATTGGGGAACGGAGAGGTGTTCTTCAAAATTTCCGAGCAAGTTATAGGCCGGGGGTCCAGTCAGGCGCAACCTTAGGTGAGGGAGCCCTAGCGTTCAGTCATGAGTGAAGGCGATAGAAGGTAGCCAGTCCCTGAGGCGTGAGAGAAGTCGAAGTGAAACCAGGCTGCGGTCTGCTGTAATCACCTAACCAGCTCCAGGCCGAGTGCGACCTCAACGGCGTTCCCAAAATGCTTCCAACGAGGGATTTCGACGTAGCGAGCGACAAACGATAGTGGTGAGTATCGATCGATGCGGCTGACAGCGCTGATCGCAAGTGGCTGTGCATAGGCGTTGAGCAAAAGAACGACGTGTGCAATACCAAAGAGCAAATGCAGTAGATCCTTGTTCGTGCTTTGGAGGGTGCAGGAGCGTAGGAACTGAAAGCTTGGCTGCTAAAGTGCAAACGGAAAGCACCAACGGCGTGATGCAGCTACGGTCAACCTATGCGTTTGCACCTCCCTGCGCATCCGAATGTGAAACAAGAAGATCTGCGAAGTGAATGCAAAATGAATGTTCTGTGATTCGCACCTACATATCGATCATCTATAGAGCAACCGTGTGTTCTTAATGCGGCGAATCACACTTAAAGTACTAATACAACCACCGCTGCACCCACCACCCAAAAACTTGCATCCTTCCGACTCTTCATGACAGCGGTATTGCTACTTCCAGTTGGTGAGGGCGCGCCCGAGGTGCCAGTGCCGTTCGTCTGCGAGCCCACCTCGCTGACGCTGTTCACACCACTGCCATCTTCCCTGGTGATGACATAGATCTCTCCGGTCGCATCACTGCTGAAGAACAAGCGGCCCTGGTTGTCCCATGCCAGGCCTGCAGGACGGAAGCAGCCATTAGGGCACTGGGTGAGATCCGGGTTGGAAACAATGTCGACTGTTGCGGTCGTGGTATTTGCTGCAGCGGTTGGTGAACCGTTGCCGTCGAACTGGATGAAGCTGACTTTGTAGCCGATGGGGTCTTCGCGGTTCCTAGGGTACTGTTAGTGATCTTGTCGGCGTACTTGAGGAGGGTATTCACCATGACCCGCGAAATGACACCCATGCGCCGGTACCGTTGGTGTTGAACTTGATGTCGATGGGAGCCATGTGAGCTTGGAAAGCCAGTCTGGGGGCGATGTGCGCATCCCGGCAATTTTTGTCGTTGACAGTGTCGTTCTGACTACCAATAGCGAATTGCGAACCTACAGTGATGCCTTCTTTGTCTGGAATCTCAGACAGGTTCCAGGCTGCATAGCATGTTGGATAGCCGTAGTTACCGCCTTGTTGCTCATATTGGGTCCCGTTCAGATATCCATGATAGTTCAACTCCTCTCCAGGATTATTCTCGCTGATGAGCTCAGTGCCTCGTTGGAAGTTGTCGACACTGTTCTCGACCGAGTAGATACCTCCAGTCACTGGCTCCTCGGCTACACCGACACTGTTCCTCAGCCCCCACCCAAGGAGAAGGCCATTACTGATATAACTGTAGCCCTCTGAAGTGGCGTTGGTAATATTGAAGGCCTTGATGGTAGAGATCGCTGTTGACCTGTCGAGCGCACGGAGGTCGACATTCGGTCCGCTTCCTCGACTCACCAGCAGCATGCCAGGAGCATTTTGACTGAGAAGGAGCGTCCTGGTCACATGTCCGTCTGTAGGACCGAAGTCGCCTACGACTTGGCGAGAGTCAGATGTCGTTTGACCCTGTGAAGCATCATAGTCCCAGGCATAGACAGCACTTGCTGAGGAGGCGTAGAGTGTTCGACTATCTTCGGAAAGCGCCAGACCATGATTCAGCTATTGGCTATTAGTCCTCTGCACCTGACACGAATTACGATATGAACAAACGCATATGCACTCACGTTCGTATTGTCAGTCACGTTTTGGATACCCCCTTCTTGCCTCACACAACTCCCATTACCAGTAAGTCTGATTCTCCTGACACCCTGAGTCTGCTCCACCACCAATAAAGCACCTTCCGAATCGAACTGAATGCTCCGGGGACGGGTCAGATTGTTAGCGACGACCTCGACACGGAAACCAGGTGCCACCGAAGGAGCCGCATTCTGTGGGGCAATTGTGCTCGAGCAAGCACTTGGTGCAGTAGACTGAGCACTGGCTGCGTAGGCAATCGAAAACAGGGTTGTTAGGCGCCTCAATGCCATCTTGCAGAATTGGAGATAGTAGGGCTGACGTGAGAGGCCACGGATACGAAAGCGAGCAAGTGGGGAACTATGCAGGTACGGGACGGATCAGATCGTTCGGTTCGTGAAAGTCAGTGAGTTCGCAGATGATCAGCTTGAGCATGTTGGTGCGAAACAGCGATCAGATGGCATTTGGAAGGAATGGAGCCGATTTGTACCCCTCAGTGGCGATGCTACATTGATAAACGTGATCAACAACGGTTTCGATGTGATGCATTCCCAAGGTGGTAACGCTTGGCTTCCAAGACCAGCGGACGTCATTATATGTGGAGATGTCAGCGCAGTGCAGAGCTTGCCAAACCTTCACAGCCTCAGGGAGACGTTGCACATTAACGAGCGAGGCGTGAACCGCTGGTCTGGTGGTCTACATGACTTGTGTTGAATCTGACAGGTGCGTTCGGTGATGTGCCGAGACCAAGGGACGGGAGCATTGCGGGGCGTCCTGCGGACAGCAACTTCCCGCTGACGGACGAAGCTGCAAAGCACTCACGAGCTCCAAGCTTCCAAGACATAGAAGTCACGGACATATGAAAGCTAACAATCAAGAGAGGAGCTGTAGAAACAGGTATATGCAAGCAGGTAATAGTTCTGCTGCAGCAATGAGACCGGTTCGAAGTAGCGTCGGCAATGTGGCTGGGAAAGGACATTTGTTTATTGCCGCCAGGATCGCAAAACAAACAGCAACCTTGCTCGTCAACGTGAGAACTCGACTGCTTTCATATCGCGCAAATTGCTGCAAAGATGATCCATGAATTGTTTTTGTACGACTGGGATCTCACGATGAGCTAGAGTCAACCAATGGCTCTCTCTGTGGTACCTTTGTACGCCGGTGTATGAGATGCCCAGACAGATGGTCTGATGGCTTCAAGCTAGCAGATCTAGTAGATGCCATGAACGCCATACGGCCCTTAGCAAGCGTTTAGTAAGATAGCAGGCGAAAGGCGGCGTGAGCGAATAAGACACGGCTGATTGAAGCCGGCGGAAACTCACTGGAAACTGTTGAACTGCAAGTGGAGAACTGGATGGCCTCATGTTTGCTCTGAACTTTATCGGTATCCAGTTCCGCATGTGCAGGGCTGGAGGTACTCACGCAACTGTTACGTGTGATCATATGTGCACGGTTATAAGATGTGATCCGTCGCAGGCGTTCCCGCCTTCCTGCTTCGTTCGTGTTAGTGCGGGAGAACCAAGGATCGTCACGATGAAGCCGAGGAACAGCGGTTAAGACATGTTCAATGTTTTGTATTCAGGTCTCGCAAGACAGATGCCGGCCGTCGAATATCGATATTGATTCCTAGGCGTTCACGGTTATTCAAACCAAAACGAGGAGATCGAGACAGCAAGAGAAGTAGGAAAAGGAAATCCAGCCCGCTTTTGTACATGATCCGTCGTACTCCGTGAAGGTTATGAAAAGAAGCTCGCAAAGCGCGTGGCGTAGTCTTCCTGGGGTCAACCAGCTGGGGCCCTGAAGAGACAGAAAGATATTATGTTCCCATGTCCAACCAGGAAATCTTCTTTGATCAAAATGCCTGCCATGCTCTTCTTTCACAAGCACTCCGTCCTCTTCGTCCGCGTGTATCCCAGGACATGCTGCACCCTATGCAAAAGAGAAACAGGGAATATGCGGCTTCGCTCCAAATGCAAAATGCTGACCAGGCAGTGGTAGCCAATAGTAACATAAAAATTACAGGTGTTGAATCCGTGGTGGACTCAAAATCGCTCGAACGCTCTGATCCAAAGTTGGAAAATATCCGGAAGAAATCTTTTTGCTCCCGCCTGAGGAGTCCCTGCTGATCGTGATCTGCTTGTGATCATTCGGGTCCTACGTGTGTCAAGCGGTGCTGGGTGGGTAACCAGTATGCTCGTAAATCCGTTACATCGTCGAAAACTGTGACCTTACATAACTGTCATTAGTTTCATGTGCGATGCGAGCTCCGCGTCCTGTTGGAAAGGACTCATTGCAAATGGAGGCTCTTCGTGCTGTGGGCTGGTGGTTGGACTGTAGTAGAGTCCTTCTGCGTCCCTGATTGTGTCTTTCACTTTGCGTGTTAATGTGCTGACGTATGGAACGATACGTCGCAGTGTAGCAGTGTCGAACGGCACCTTCTTGGGTGAAGGTGTGGGCGGTGCATTTGCAGGAGATTCGAAGACGCTTCTCTTAGTCTGCAGTGCTTCGATTACTGATCGTGCTTTTGCTTCTGAATCTTTGCGAGGGCGCGTAATAATAGGCCTGGATTCTGGTGTTGCTGGCGCTTCGTATTTCGGCTTCGGTGGTACGGGAGAAGTTTGGGGGCCAAAGATTCGGTCGTTTGGCGGTAAGATGGATTTCCTGGGGCGCACGGTTTGGTGGTTCTTGCTGCTAAGATCGTCATTCGGCGACCCCGACTTGCGCCTTCCGCGACCAACATTGGGACTCGCAGACACGTCATCAAAAGCATCTTCATCAAATCCTGGCGACGAAGGGGGAGATGCGCGAGGAACTTCTTCATGCTCCGCCTCTTGATCAGCGAGATCAATCATAGCATCCACTTCTTCCCACATTCCTGAGTGCGGCCCTTCTATAATGCCAAGGGAGATGGCGCGGATCCTGTGCTCTTTGAGTTCTTCGATGAGAAGGCCCCATTCGCGTAGGAGACTAATGTTTGCCAGTACATTGTTTTGCTGCTCTTGAATGCTTTTAGGTACCACCATGGCTGAGCCACTGTCGATACGTTGTGATCCGGCTACGCTCTTGGGAGTGGGTTCCTCGGGAAGCTCAGAGAAATCGAAGTCGTCATTCCAATCCTCAGTAACACCTTTGCTGCCTATGCCCCAAGTGCCGAACTTGTTAGTGACCACTGTGTTACACTTGCCAACCACATCTGGAACCACAGGCACACTCTGGCTGCGTGCGTGCAACCCGCTAGGGGCACGCCTGCCAACCGATCGACTGTCCCTTCGGTTTGCATCCTTTTTGCCGTGAACTGTTCGAGGACGTGGCGGTGTCCGGTTGCCCGAGCTCTTGTCCGCAGGCTGCTGTTCAGACCAATCGAAAATGCTGCTGCGAGCGTCTCGGTCGACGTGGTCAAGTACAAGATGTTGCGGAGTTGATGGCTTCGAGTTTGGGACCGAAGCAAGCAAGTGCGGATTCGAGCGCCGCAGGGTGATTGGCGTAGCGAGGTGGCTGGCTGGTGGATGGTCAACCCAAGGGTCCTCACCTTCCTGTTCGTCAAGTAACCACCTACCGCTCCTGTCATCGTCGAATTCCAGCGTTCCAAGGGAGAGCGGCTTGGGCATGCTCGGGGGCGACGAAGGTATCAGGCTGGGGAACACGGTCGTGCTGTTCGGTCGCGAGAAGCTGACTGCTTCTTGCAGGTGGTGCTCTGGTCGTACTGTGCGCACCGGTGTTGTGATGCTCTCATCGTCCTCGGCAATGCTGCGGTCGCCAGAGGTACCATTAGTTAGGTTGTCTCCAAAAGCGCCGGCAGGAAGCAAATCTCGCAGGGCTGTAATCCTGACCTTGGCAGGGGGAGATTCGTCAAATATGGTCTCAATGCGAGGCCCTCGAGCACCGCCAGACACGCTCCTGGTCGCGCCGGTGCGCAGCGAATCATAGAGAGTTTCGCTTCGAAAATCGGCGTCGTCTTCGTCGACGGAGCCTACGGCGCGAACTTCATTATCAGACGAGCCGACCAATGTCGATGCTTGTTCTGAGGGAGCGATGGAATGACACGACGGGCGAACGCCCGCTTGCGCTAGGGCCGAGGGCGATGGTGGGGTCTGATTGGTGGCTGGCGCGGCTGAGGCAATAGCCTCAAGCTGAGGCATTGACGCCAACCTGTTTCCAGGGACTGTCATCGCGCGACGGAGCGGTGGTAGCGCGGACAAGGGCGACGTCGAAGAGTCCCCAGGCGCTCCATTGCAGTAGTTGCTGGACTCGGCGATTCCGGTAGTTGTAGAAATGTCACGTTTCGAAGGCGCTGGGTCGGTCAAATTGCGTCGTCCTGGCAGCTCGCCGTGCGGGGTGTTGGAGCGCTTGCCCATCGTTGGTAATACGGGATCAGAGCTGACGCGCTGGCTTGACCCACGGGTCAGTTTCATCCCGGGTTGTTTGGCGAGCCGCTGTTTCTTGGCACTAGATCCAGAGGGGAGGAGGTCAGCAATCGAGAAAGAGCGCCTACGCCGCGACGCATCCTCAGAAACAACGGTGGAAGAAACTCCAGTAGAGGGTCGTATGTGCGTGTTTTCGGTGAAGTGTGGAGCCCCAAGTTTGGGTGCTGCGACAGCCGCCGTGTAGCTCAGTGGGGTGCCTGGCCTGCTCACGTAAAACACACTTTCACCTGCTTCACTTGCCGACTCTTCCAGCTCCTCGGCACTTGCTGTGACTGCTCTTGCCAGGACCAATGTCGGTCGATGTTTCTCGTCTGGGAAAATCCGCTTGACTTTGGTTGGGTTTGGATTGAGTCGTCTCGACAACGTCCTGCCTCGCAACGACTTCGCAGTGAAGAACTGTGTGTACTCAGCCTCACTGTCAGTGCTCGCCGAGGATGGCTTGACTTCCAGTGATGGTGATTCTCTCGTGACCGGCAACAAGGAGTGGTAGTTCTGCAGGGTTGCAGACCGTTGGTGGCTGGTGGCAGGACGGCGAAACGAAGGGCGAAGGGAACCAGAACCATGGGCAGAGTATATATCACGCGGAGCACGCACTGACGAGGTCCGTTTTACGAGCTTGTTCGGCGGTAATTGAGGTGGGCTCTGCCTGCCTATCATCGGCACAGTCGAGCCGTCGTGGGAGAAGGCTACAGAGCCATTCGAGCAAGACACAGAGGGAGACAATGGTGCAGGGCTATGGTTTCTACTCGAGTGTTGCGAGACTGAGATGGTCGACAGGCGCTTCATCCACGAGGCTCTCCTCGACGACACGTGGGTGCCAGCCTCCGATTCGTTTGCACCGTGCTCACTGGGAACAAAGCCATTGACCACAGTACTTGGCGGCCGCATAGTCGCATCGCCGCTCGTCATCCTTCTCATAATTGGACGTCTCTGGGGACGACCATCCTGAGGCCGAGTCGCAATCGGGATGCGCGAGGTAGGGACGACCGGTATAGGGGCATTGAAGGGGGCGACGGTGGTCGTTGTCGCAGAGGATGTTTGGGTGGTAGCGGACATCGAGCCGGGTTCCAGCTCTTGTGCTGGGGTGGCTTTCCTCTTGTTTGAGTTCGAGGAGTCGAGGGGAGGTCCGCGTCCAAAAGACAGGCCGACCGCAGATGCACCAACGACAGTGGCAGTAGCACAAAGCTGTGTGACGAGGATGCGTCAGTCATTGCCCTCAGTGCGACTCGGACATGAGGTATAACGAAGCGAAACAGGCAAGCAGCCGTGCTCGGATGCAGGAGAGGCGTTGAGACATATCAAAACAAGCAAGGGCCTCGATGAAGGGTGCATGTAGACATGCAGACGCAACATTGAAGCTTTGCAGACGGAGGAAATGGCAGGATATTTACCGTTGGAACCGTTTTCATTCTCTTGAGAGACCACACCGCCGGGGAAGACTCGCTCGGCGAAGCACTTGTGACGACGCGAGCATTCTGGCACGTCAAGCCTCAGTGAACCATGGATCGCAAATGCACGACAGGTATACGGGGGAGGAATGGAGGGTTCAATTAGACGCCGGGAAAAGCGAAATGTATCAAAGAACAGGGCGACGTAAGGGCGGAAAGAGCACCCGGCAGCGGGCTGAAGCAGAGAGGTGGAGCTTCGAGGGAGAGCGGACGGAGGACTGAAGAAATCCGCTGGCTTGCTTGCTTGCTTGTTGCTTCTGGGATCGACGAACAGGGCTACCCAGCACGCTTGGGATTAGCGAGATGTCGCCGATGAATTGGGCTGATAGCGGCATGTCGAAACACAACACGGAGTCGACACAGACCTCATGCCTCGCTGAGCGCCGGCCATGCTGTCATAGCTCCTCCGGCTCTTTGCTGCCTTGAAGCAGCGCTGTTCACGCTGCATCTGAGTGCATCTGAGGTGCCTCTTGGCCCCTCCCGCCGTTCTACAGTGCGGGCCAGCTGCAGCACGACGCGGTATCACAACGTTTGAGCGAAGCAGCGCTGGCAATAGCGCCGAGTAACCGTCAATGACGCTCAGGGACGCTGCGCAGAGGCTGGCCATGGCGGCTCCAGCGAGTCCACAGGTGAGAACCACCCCTCGCTGCTAAGAGCCAACTATTTTGGGGCCCACGATACCATCCCGGGCACTTGTAACGCTGCGCAGTGATTCGCGAGTGCCCGACAGCAGTTCCCTGCAAGCGAGTGGAGATTGTTTGCTGATCGCGGTGTCGCGGCGCTCATGTACGTACATATCAGCCAGTTTCTGAGGCTTGCTGGTAGTGTGGTAATTCGGTAGAGCGTGCCTTAGCAGCCTCCGCCACAGCGCACCAGGCCACATTCACCCAAGACCGTTCCAGCAAACGGTGCTGTAATCAGCGTGAGGGCGTGTCACGCTAGGGTCAGCCGAAGGAATGCGGATGAAGAACTTCAAGGCACGAATGCATGATCCTTCGTGAGTATTGCTGTTTCGGCACGCAGGTGCTCACCAATGACATGGCCGGCCCAGGGCTCCTCGGAGGCAGCCTCAGCAGCCAAAACAGAGAGCACGTCAGCCCCAGGACGGGAAACTGGGAGAGAACGGGACAAGACGAGCAAGAATAACAGGGATTTGAAGGTATGGCGGGATCGGAAGTCAGCGAGCAAATTCAAATTCGTGGCAGGCTTCCCATGGCACGCGCGCCGTGATGAGTGCGGTCGCCCGTTGCTCAGAAAGCCATAAAGGCAGTTCGATGTCACAGGTGCATCGTGAACGATGTTGACGACAAGGCATGGATTGACAGTTATAGGCAGGCATGCTTGATCAACAGTGGAGGCGGCGCTGTGTTAATCATTCTGGGGGAACGGCGACGGCATGTATCATTCTTTCTGGCAGCGGGCTTGCTGGGCGAGCGGTTCAGAGCCTGGATGAGGTTACGGTGCGATCAGTGATGTTCAGCGGAAACACAGAGACGCGGCAGAGGATGTGCGTAGCCGGGAATCCTGGAGCAAATCCAACCCATGTGCAGCAGAGGCGTGCCCCAGACTGGTCGTGCAGGCCCGCCAGCTTCGCTCAAAAACGCGCCGAGAGAAATGAGCGCCGCCGTTTGGCGTGTTTGCGCTTGCCCCGTGCTGATTGGCCACCGCCGTTCCTTCCAGAATTGACTGCCGCCCCACTTTAGGTTTCTTCATCAATTTGCCTTGAGCTCTGGGCGACCTGCTGTGGCACGAATATCGTACGCACAAACACCGTTCCGCTCCGCCAATACACCTGCATCCGATTGAACACAGCGAGACGTGCTCTTGTGTGCCTGCCGACCTCGCCAGCGCCACCATTGGATTTTGACTTCAGACAGCAACCGCCTGCGTGGGACAAGGACTTATCCCCGTATTCTCTACGCCAGCCAACAGCCATGGAAGCTGAGATCAGAACCCAGATCCCTAGCATCGATCCCATCCTGTCAGAGTACTCGGTGGGGTACTTGACCCATGCCGCCAATTCGTTTTCTTCCGACTCGGACCCCAATGCCCCTTCCCCGCTCGAAGAAGCTGCCGCTACTGTAGCTGCCCTGCTTCTATCTGCTTCTGGAAACCTGTCAAAAGAAAATGAGACAGCCATCACGAATCTGGTTGAGAAGTTCATCTCACGCCTCAATGCAGCAAACGGCACAGACGGCGAACGCCGTCAGATGGCTCCCTCGGCAAAGAAGCTTGACCAAGCAGTCCACGTGGGCTCCTCAAAGAACATGTCCGCGACCCTGGGTCTGTCAGGCGGCACTGTTGATCTTGAGTCAGCCAACACACGTAAGGTAGAGTCGAGGGTCGACCGAAAGAAGCTCGAGAAAGCCGAACGTAAACTGCGTGCCAAGCAAGACCGCAAAGAGTTCAAGAACGTCGAATATGAGGCATCCAAGTTGCTCGACATTCCCAATGAGACTCAGAGCTATGAAGAGTTTTACATGGCTGTCAATCCTCTGCAGGTGGGTAGTGACTCTGCCAACAAGAGTAAGGATATCAAGATTGACAGCTTTGACGTCTCTATGCCTGGTCTGCGTATCCTGACTGATGCCTCTCTGACATTGGCGTATGGTCGACGATATGGTCTGGTCGGTCAGAACGGTATCGGTAAATCTACGTTGCTTCGAGCTCTTGCTCGACGTGAAGTCTCGATTCCTACACATATCTCCATTCTCCACGTAGAGCAAGAGGTAAGTTCGATCCATGTTTACTACTCGAGTCTTGTGGACTAACATTGACCCAGATCACTGGTGATGACACTCCTGCCCTCCAAGCTGTCTTGGATGCAGACGTCTGGCGAAAGCACCTTCTTAAGGAGCAAGAGAAAATCACCAAAGAACTCAATGAGTTGGAAGCAGAACGCTCTTCAATGGCAGACACATCTGCAGACGCCGCAAGGCTTGACAAGCAGCGTGAAGGTCTCGACACAACTCTCAGCGATGTCCACGCCAAGCTTGCGGAGATGGAATCTGACAAAGCAGAGTCCAGAGCGGCAAGTATCCTCGCTGGTCTTGGTTTCTCAACCGAGCGTCAACAGTATGCCACAAAGACCTTCTCTGGAGGATGGAGGATGCGTTTGGCTTTGGCAAGAGCTCTGTTCTGCGAGCCCGACTTGCTACTCCTCGATGAACCGTCTAACATGTTGGACGTCCCATCTATCACCTTCTTGGCGAACTACCTCCAGGACTACCCGAGCACAGTGTTGGTCGTATCCCACGACAGAGCTTTCCTCAACGAGGTCGCCACCGACATCATCCACCAACACTCCGAGCGACTCGACTACTACAAGGGTGGTAACTTCGACTCCTTCTATGCCACCAAGGAAGAGCGACGCAAGACTGCGAAGCGCGAGTATGAGAAGCAAATGGCAGAACGTGCGCATTTGCAAGCTTTCATCGACAAGTTCAGGTACAATGCTGCCAAATCTTCTGAGGCTCAATCCAGAATCAAGAAGCTGGAACGTATGCCGGTCCTGCAGGCACCAGAAGCGGAGTACACGGTCCACTTCAAGTTCCCTGAAGTGGAGAAGTTGTCGCCTCCTATCATTCAAATGAGCGGTGTTTCTTTCGGTTACAGCAAGGACAACATCCTCCTGAAAAACGTCGATCTCGACGTGCAGCTCGACTCACGTATCGGCATTGTCGGTCCCAATGGTGCTGGAAAGACAACAGCTTTGAAGCTGCTCATTGGCGCACTGACGCCTACATCTGGTCTGATCTCGCAGAACCCTCGACTTCGAGTAGGCTTCTTCGCCCAGCACCACGTCGATGCTTTGGACTTGAACAATAGTGCTGTAGGATTCATGGCCAAGCAATACCCTGGCAAGCCGGATGAAGAGTACCGTCGTCACCTGGGCGCTTTCGGTATCACCGGTATGACGGGCCTCCAGAAGATGGCGCTGCTGTCCGGAGGTCAAAAGTCGCGTGTTGCTTTCGCCTGCCTCGCCTTGACCAACCCACACATTCTCGTTCTGGACGAGCCTTCCAACCACTTGGATATCGAAGCTATGGACGCTCTGTCAGAAGCGCTGCAGAAGTTCCAGGGTGGTGTGCTGATGGTTAGTCACGATGTCACGATGTTGCAGAACGTATGCACAAGCTTGTGGGTGTGTGACAATGGTACGATTGAGCACTTCGACGGTTCGGTGCAGGCGTACAAGCGCAGAATCACAGCACAGGCCAACGAGGCTGGTGTTGTAGCAAAGCACTGAGCATGCATAGAAACACTTATAGCAAGCCCGATATGAATTGATCAATTCCATATCGGCACAGCCCTATATCTCTTCATTGTGACAATTGCCGATCGTGAAGCTTTGACATTGTGTTGTGACCTCTCATCGTACCCTCCTGGACAGTTAATTAGCAGCTGCGCTAGGCCCAAACCAATGACGCTCATGCAAGCTCCAGGCCATGCCCACCTCACCACACGCGCCCAAAGACGATCACCTCCGTCTGCCTCGAAACGGCTTGCAATTCTTTCGACTGCCTCCCTGTTCAATGCGCCCTGCCAGTTGGTGATTTGCACACACACGCAATCGATTGACTGACTCCCGCGGCGGTTAGCGCCCTTGCCCCTTCGAGGCCTTATTTGCGTCAACAGACACAGCACACCGGCGCCTTGTCGCGAACGCAGGCTTCCAGATCAGACGGCTTGTCCGTATCCACTCTTTTGTCCCCAAACTCCAGCGACAGCGACACGTCCCGCCCACCGTACACAGTCACAGCACCCGCGAGGGACGCCGCAGTATTGACGACAGCTGGCGAATCACCGTACCCCCCTTCCTTCTCGTCTCTCTTCTTCCCCTCTGAGGATCCCGTCGAGGCGCGCAACAAGCCCAACGAACCCACACAGCGCAAGGCACCGCCTGCGTTTGCACCAGCACCTTCATTCACCGAGTCGGCATCCTCAGCAGCCACCGTTGCAGCGACCAAAGCAGTCCTACCGCGCGATACCAAAGCCGGCTCTAGCAACAAAGATATCGACGACGGAGAACCGCCGCCGCCCTACACCGAAGGAACCAGCCCGCTTGATTCATTCACTTACGTCATGGCTTCAGCAGGAGGTCCCGCGAGTATCATTACTCAAGTCTCCCAGACAAGTCAAGGGCCCCCAATCAATGCCTTGGGTGGAGGTTCAGATGAGAACATCACTCTGGAGTTGAGGTGTGTAGTATGAATAGTTGTGCTGCACATGTGCTGACTATCTTTGCAGAGGAACACGCTTCACCTTGTCGCGCGATGAGCTCCTGACTCTGCCCGAATTCGTCCTCCTCTCCCTGTTCCCCAACGGTCTCCTCCCTGATGGCCACATGAACTCGTACCATGATGGCGATGTGTATCCTGTCGACGTGGGTAAACCTGATTCCTCCCCTCCTCCCCACCTCCCCATGGGCACACTAGCCAAGATCATGTTCCACCTCTCCAATCCCGCGATATATTTATCTGACAATCTCTATCCTTCACAGTACGACCCAAACTCCCTCCAGTACATGCTCGAGTTCTTCCGCAATGTAGCCCAGACGATCCCTGCGTCGCCTCCTTCGCCGACTGCTGCCCCCGACCACGCTGCTGAAGCAGTGCCCATCGAGCCCATGCACGGTTCCGCAAGAGACATGCTGCAAGATCGCGCTGGTATCATCGTTCTCCGTGAGGACCTAGACTTCTACGTTATCCCTCCCCACCGCGACATTGCCCAACCAGAAATGATTGAGGTTAAGCGCGCCGCAGGAGAGGCTCTGTTGGGACAAGAGGGTATCTTCTCCGGTCTTAGGAAGAGCGAGGAGCCTGGAACCACAGAACAGCACCTCATCGAGATGCTGACTGCAGGGTACGTCATGTTACTAGGAAGTAACGATACTTGCTAACACACTCTTAGCGGCTTCAACCACGACGATCACTGGGGCCACCGCGCTGGTGAGCCCAACAAGGCTGTCATCTGCAGTATTGCTCTTGCGCGCCTAAGGACCGACATCAAGGGTAACGATTTCGCCAATAGCAACGCCGTTGGTATGGCACAGAAGCTGTTGCTCTTCTGGAGGAAGCCCGCTCGCCGATGCTGGTGGGAAGGTGTTGAGCTTGATAACGTCAGAGGTGTAGAAGGCAAGCTCAAAGTCTGGATAAGAAGGGTTTGGACGCTCGAGATGGTACGTTGACCCCCTACATATGCACCCATCACGCTTGCTAAAGATCGACAGAGCGTCATCGGTCTGCGTTAACCGACCGTCATAACTATCTCATTTGTTCTCCCCAGCGGCGTTTCCTCCCTCCCTGCACTCTTGTTCGACATATTCGCCGCGCCATCTTCACCGGAAAAGCACGACTGGCTTTGTGGGTTCCATTCAAGGGGCATAATTAGCGGCTCTGTCTCGTCTTTACTGTTCTGATACCTCTCTGCATTGTCTATTGCTACAGATAGGCAGATGTAAGTCACCCATAGCGAGCGTTGTCATAGGTTCACATATTGTTTGCCGCAGGTGTAAGTGGCACAGTACATATGCTTGCTTAGCAACTTGCGACATAAGTTTTTCAAATTGTACTTTAATGCTCCTAATTTGATGCCCTAAATTTTAGAGTTATCGGTACTGTGGTCCATCATGCACCGGAGTACACGCCGTTAAGGTTCGAATATGTCGGTACCAGCCCCTTGATCTTGCATACCCGAAAGCCATCGTTCCTCGGCTTCGACATCCATCCATTTCCATGCAATGGCTATCTACACTTCAACGCCGCCTTGCTCCGTCAGTAGCTCATCCGCCTGCGAACCTACGTTAATCACTCCACTTTTCACATTTCAAATCGCCCCTTCGTGCATCTGCATCAGGACCCGCCGGCTGATATATCGGACCGGACTTAGTCTGAAGTGAGGCTATTGATATGCAGCATCCTTGTAAGAGTTTACAGGAACTTCCCGATTGACCTCTGCAGATGCAAGAGCATCGGCCCGCGCTGCCTATGCTAGGTAGGTTTTCTAGTGATGTTACAGCAGCTTTGACAACAACGGCCCGCATAGACATCAACGTCACTCAGCAGATCGTGTAGGTACACTTTTTGTCTTCGATGCGGTGCGTTTTCACGGTCCTGTTCTGGAAAGCCTCATCCCCGACTTTGTTCCCTTCTCAATGCCCGACGTGATGCAGATGCATCTCGATGGATCTTGTCAGCTTGTCAGGCCAGCCACGATGCAAGCACCCGAATACCTGGATTCCCTGGGTTCCCAGCAAGGGAGGGGATGATGACCGTTGTGAAGAGCCCCTGATTTTGGAGGGACTTGTTGTCGTGGTACAAGATCCACTGTTTCGTGGCGGGCTGCATGGACACTCGAGATCCTTGAAATACATTAGACCATTCAGATGATGCTTCAGTGCATCGATGTCGTCTTAATCTTGGTTCGAACCATCAACCAAAGTTCGACGATGACGCGGTAATTTCAGTTCTTCTCAATCATGGTTCACGTCGACAACATGGTGCCAGTACATTCCCGTACTGTCCTTAAGGTCACCTGAGACCCACCTTCACATCTGCAATACAACACAACACTACACATCTGCTCACACGACAGCACTTGCCCCGCCGTCAGTCGTCGCTGCAGGTACAAGGTTTTCTTTTTCTTCCCCGGTATCAGCTACCCTGACGAACAGGTTTCAGATTGCCAGCTACCTGCTGTGACCCAGGGACCGGGAAACCACAGCACCCTTGATCTTGTCCTCACGTAGATACTAGGCTGGGGCTCGTGTACCTCGTCTGCCTCGCCAGGCTCAACTCTCGCACCGCATGCGCCGTGGCGAGACGTGGAACACAAGGTCCTCTTCCATCCGTATCTGGCAAGTAGGACAGGCGCGAAATAGCGGGGGTCAGTGGGGTGGACGAGAATAGATGATGCAAGGGAGCTGTCCGTTCTGTTCTTCTTAGCCGATCTGAAACAATGGGATGCATACGGTGCCGCTGTAAGGGCGTGCATGATGCAAGGTAGTGGCCCGAAATAAAAGTGTGTATATGTGAGGTTGAGACAAGGCGTATGGACATCTGCGGAGGCAGGTTGTGCGGCAGCTGAACGAAAGGTTTGGCGGTCACGGCAGATGTTGTATGAGTAGATGAAGCTGGCTTTGTGATACGGACACGTCAATGCTGCCAAAATCGCCGAGGACAGCATCGTGTGCGTCGATGGGCATGTTGTGTTGCGGGAAAATGTGATGAGGCTTGCAGACGATAACAGGTACATACATCAAGAAGATGTGAGGAAGCAGCGATACATCACCCAGGTAGGGACTCAATATTGTTGACGTCAAGCCGATGAAGGCTGACCAAATCTCTTCATTCAGGACAACGGCTCAAGCTGCTGGACCATTACTACATATTGATTGCGTGTGGAGACGCACTGTCTTAACCCATATCGCACTCTTACAGTGTATCACCTCTATGCTTGACCGTGGTTGAAGGGTCAAGAAGATGATATGCAAACAACGCCTTTTGAACGACCAAAGAGTCCCTGACTCTTGAAATGCTATGCCGTTGAAGACAAAGAACTTTTCCAAGTGGTATCATCCCAGTTCATGACGTCGTGTTGAAACTGCTCAAACTCAAACAAAGCGAAGAAGAAAGAAATCTAGTAGCGGTAGATGTCGCTCTTGAAAGGACCCTCGACGGGGAGACCAAGGTACTCGGCCTGGACCTCGGTGAGCTTGGAGAGCTCAGCGTTGACGTGGGCAAGGTGGAGAAGGGCGACCTGCTCGTCAAGGATCTTGGGGAGAACGTAGACACCGACGTCGAGCTTGCCGGTCTTGCCGAACTCGATGTACTTGTTGCCAAACTCCTCATCGGCAGCCTTGTACAGCATGATCTGGGCAAGGACCTGGTTGGTGAAAGAGCAGGACATGACGAAGGAAGAGTGGCCAGTGGCACATCCCAAGTTGACGAGACGGCCCTCAGCGAGGAGGATGATGTGGCGGCCGTTCTTCATGAGGAAGCGGTCGACCTGGGGCTTGATGCTGGTGACCGACTGAGCGTTCTTCTTGAGCCAGGCAACGTCGATTTCGATGTCGAAGTGACCGATGTTGCAGACAATGGCATCGTTTGGCATCTGCTCGAAGTGCTCGCCAGTAAGAATGTCACGGCAACCAGTGGTGGTGACGAAGATCTGGCCCTGGGAAGCAGCCTTCTCCATGGTGGTGACCTGGAAGCCAGAAACGGCAGCCTGGAGAGCGTTGATGGGGTCGATCTCAGTAACGATGACGCGGGCACCCATGGAGTGGAGAGCCTGAGCGCAACCCTTACCGACATCACCGAAACCGGCGACAACGGCGACCTTGCCAGCAATCATGACATCGGTAGCACGCTTGATACCGTCGACAAGGGACTCACGGCAGCCGTAAAGGTTGTCGAACTTGGACTTGGTCACAGAGTCGTTGACGTTGATGGCGGGGATAAGGAGACCCTTGCCCTTGAGCATACGGTAGAGGTGGTGGACACCAGTGGTGGTCTCCTCAGAGACACCGTAGCAGTCCTTGAGCATCTCAGGGTACTTCTTGTGAACGAGAGCAGTGAGGTCACCACCGTCGTCGAGGATCAAGTTCAGGGACTTGCCGTCCTTGAAAGCAGTAAGCTGCTGCTCAAGGCACCACTCGTACTCCTCCTCGGTCTCACCCTTCCAGGCGAAGACAGGGACACCGGCGGCGGCGATGGCAGCAGCGGCGTGGTCCTGGGTGGAGAAAATGTTGCAGGAGGACCAGGTGAGCTCGGCACCGAGGGATGTGAGGGTCTCGATGAGAACGGCGGTCTGGATGGCTGTGATGAAGTTAGCAGAGTTCGATTGCTAATGAACTTTCGAATCCAAAGAGAACTCGACATCATGGACGTTTGGATAGTGATTCAAGTATATGGTTCGAGTGATCGTTCCAGATAGGCAGGGATTGCCCCAAGGAGGCAGGGACAACGTACTCATGTGAAGACATCCAGCAATGCGGGCACCCTTGAGGGGCTGGTCCTCAGCGTACTTCCTGCGGGTCTCCATGAGACCAGGCATCTCATTCTCGGCGAGCTCGATCTCTCTGGCTTCGAATTAGCAAAGTCCCTCGCAAGGATGCTGAGGGGCAGCATACCGGCGACCGAAAGCGGCCAGCGAGATATCGGCAACCTTGAACTTGTGGGCGGGGGCAGACATGGTGATATGTGTTATGAGAGGTGAATTGAGGGAGGGAGGAAAGAGTGGGAGTGGTGAGATGAGAGCTGCGGAACAGCGAGGTTTTAGTTGCCCCGCGCTGTTACATTTTACTGCCGCTCACCGCCCTCACGCGTGGCTTCGGCAGTTGTGATTCGTTGCTACTGAAGACCCTTTCATGCACGACAACACTAGCATATCTCTTTCCAGGGCTCTCCTGATCCTTGCGCTGAGGACATTGTTGGCTTCGTCATGGTTCACGTCGAATCTTCGTGACTTTTAGGACTCGTTGGAGTATGCATACGTTCACTGGCCTCGATGTCGCTTCCCAGTTCCAGAATACCTTGTTGGGCGCGTAAAACTTCATCTACGCGTCATGACAACTTGGTCGTTTTAAAGCAGTTTGGTCTTTTTTCCGGCACTGACCGAGCTACAGCACTCAACGCCAGCATTCGATTTCAGTATTATCTGTTTTGCCCATGAAGATGAGAATAGATTCTTGACGGCTATCTTGAAGTATCTAATTCTCCTCCAATCTCTTCAAATACTTTCACGCCCTTCCTTCCAAGTGCAGTGCCCACAGCCACTGCCGCTGCACCAACCGCTCGCATCCTCTTGTATCCAGCTGCATCCTCTACACCACCCACGCCAATGATCTGGATATGCTCCAGTTCCTTGTGCTGGAAGAGGACCCCTTTGATGGTGTACACGTTTCCTAGGGCAAGAGGATGTAGCGGCGCGCCAGCAAGTCCTCCAATGCCCGTCCTTGTTACTGATTCAAGGGTACGATGAAACACTTCATGCGATTGTCCGCCTGCAAAGCCCTCAAGTTGAGGTGACAAGAGGAGTGAGGATCCGAGTGTATTACAAGAGGTGATGAACGTAATAGGACAAGGGAGATGTTCTGGCTCTGCAAGAGCGGAATCTTTCAATGCCTTGATCAGGCCATTGTACTGGTCCTGATATGTGTATGGGGGTGTCTTGATGCCAATCGGTACGTGAGTATGGCCCGTATGTGGATGTGCTGATGTGCCGTCCTCTGATATCTGGCGATTGATCTCGATCTTTAGTACGTTGAGATAAGTTAACAAAGAGGCAGAATCGTAAGCTGGTGGCGGCTTGCCCGGGATGTTTGGACATGAGAGGTTAATCTCCATTGCGAGTACCATCCGTACAGCTCGTTGGCAGGATGTGATGAGTTTGTAACAGGCAACTACTTCCTCCACAGAGCCTGTCACAGAAATGACGACAGGTTTGAAATGCTCTCTTCCTCCTTCTGGTCGTGACGGGAGGCCTTGGCTTATAGACTTGATGAAGCCTAGGTATTCTTCCAGAAGTATTGGGCTATAGCCCAGTGTATTCAAGCTACCTGTATCGTTGGGCTTGCCTGCTTGATCGACGTTTGAAGGCGATGCAACATGGTTTGTGGGATCGTAAAAGGCAAATTGGTGGACCGCTGGATCGTGCGGAAAACCATTCAGCAGGGATGTCCGCGTTGTGATAGCTCCAGTGTACGCACTGTCATACAGTTCTTGAAGTTGTTCAAGTGTAGTGCACCATGGATTTGCGGAGTTCAAAAGTGGTGGCGTGATTGTAAGGGGTGCCATTGATGATAGGAGTGCAGGAGCAGCACTCTGCCGACCAGAATATTGTCTAGTAACTTTTGATGGATAAGAAGTAGATGTCAGGTACAGAGAGTCGAGGTGTCGAGTTTAGATCCACAATAGTGGAGGAAGCTACCCCGCGATACATGGGAGGTGGGGTTGATAAGGTGTTGTGCATCTTCAACCTCGTGAAGACATCACAAAAACCTCATCGACAGCCTAAATCGTACTCATTCTGAGCAGGAGCCCGATAGCTTCATTCAATTCCAATGCTAGACACGATGTTGGGTCTGCCGTTCACCGCTTACCTTCATGTACGATGATGCATCGTGAGCGGCGCTTCGCCGCCGCCTGACCTGTTTTGCTTTGTCACCTTCGAGTCAAATTCTGAACGACTCATCTCCGCACCAAGTACGATACACTTCGTTCGTGTTGAGATGACGGATATGTCGCCGCCGAAGAAGAAAAGAAGAGGAGGCCCGAGAAGGAGAACCGGTAAGTAAGACAAAAGAGCCGTCGATTTGTTAACCGAATGCTGATGACTCAGGATGGTATGTCAAACTCGAAGCTGGAACTACCTTCAACTAACTGACCGGCTTAGTGATACATGCAAACGTCGACACACTCGCTGTGACGAGAAGAAGCCTATCTGTGGCAATTGTGCACGTCTCGACCTTGTTTGCGAACGAATTGATGATGTATGGAAAGTCGATCGCGCAGTTCCTGCGCAAGATCACTCTGTCCAGGAACTTCAGCCTTATCAACACGAGACTCCGGATCCTCATCATGAAGCACCAAGCTCAACACTGGACATCTTCAGATCGTATCTGGACGGCCTTGACCAGTTGGTGGAGTTTACACCCCCGGATAATGGGATAGCAACAGCAACGACTATATCTCCACCGACGACGACAAACTGGAGCGGCTCGGCAGAGAGAAAGTCCATCAGCTCAGAAGGCGCCTTTCTTCTTCAGACTTACGTCAAGACCGTGGCTACTTGGATGGATCTCTTCGACCACAGCTGCACATACCAGCTCAGGGTTCCGCCACTCGCGCTTGCCTCACCACTTCTATTCCACTGCGTCTGTGCGTTCACGGCCAATCACCTTGCGCTCTCCAATACAAGCTTGAATGCTTCTTGGAAATTAGTAGCTGTGCGGCACTACGGACAAGCTCTGCGTTTGCTCATCGACGCACTGGAAGACCCCTTCTGCGAGACTGCCATGACTGGCAGCATGCTCCTTTTGAGTTATGAAGTCCATGGTGCTATAAAATCCGAGGACTACAGACGCCATTTCATCGGGTTGACTATGCTGATCAAGTCGCGTGGCATTACAGCACAGTCAAGTGGCACTGACTGCGCCAATTTCTGGATCTACTGTCGGCACGAGATAGCCGTGGCATTGGCGAACGAACGACCACTCGTTCTAGATCCAGCAGAGTGGGCTGTGTCCTGGCAAGAAGGCGAAGGGCGAGAGGACGTCCTCGGGAATCAAATGATGTGGATTCTTGCAAGAGTCATTAATCTTGTCTTTGGCTCAGACGGGGCGAGAGAGGCCAGTAGGCCCGCGCGAGAAGCCTTCCTGCAGGAGTTGAATACCTGGCGTGCAGGGCTATCACCGTGCTTCATTGGCATCCCATACGGCAATGCAGATGACGATGGATTCCGGAAGATATACTTTACTGTCACTGCAGCCGCTGCAACAGCCTTCTGGTACCATATTACCCACATCTTGTTGTACGCCGAGCCGGTTCTGCAGGACGAGAGTTACATTCCCTTGATCCAGGACCAGGCGATGGAGGTTACGAACATCACCATCTCAGACTTTCCAGCGGCTTTAAAAGTCTTCTCCACGCATGGACTTTACTATGGTGAGTCCTGTTCAGATCTTCTTTCTTGACTTTGCTAATCCATATGGTAGCTGCCAAACACATCAAGACCGTATCGCAGAAAGCGCGAGTATGGAACGTTCTCAAGGACATTGAAAGGGACACAGGATACCATACACGGTCTACGGTGAAGCATCTGCAGGCACAGGTAGATCAAGGCAACACGTCTTGAACGCATCAAAAATTATCCTGCAACTTCCGATACTACAACTTCGACGATCCCTGCGGCCTCTCCAGGGCCTTCGTCTTGCTCTTGAAGTTCCTTACCAACTGCCTTACACCCAAGTCAAGCATAACATCCTCACTCCCACCAGGGATCCGAATACCCGGTACCTCGCGGTAGATACGCTCGATCAGCTCTCCCTGCCCACTCTTTGTATACCCATTTCCACCGAACAGCAACTGCGCCGTCTGCGCACACTCGTTCAATACGATACCGCTCTGCGCCTTGACCATTGCTGTGAGGCCACCCAACTCAATATCCGCTGTCGCCTTCGGCAACTTCGTCATCTGGTACACGAACTGCTCGACCCACGCCCACTGACTCTCGAGCAGTGCTCCAGCCTTGGCCAAACGGTGCCTAACGACCGGCTGATCGACAAGCGGCTTCCCGAAAGCTTCACGCTTGAGTACGTACTCCATCGCCGCGCCTAGCGCCACACGAGACTGTCTCGTAGCCCCGATAGCGATGGTGAGACGCTCGTGGTTGAAGTTCGTCATGACGTACTTCATCCCCATCCCCTCCTCACCAATAAGATTCTCCACCGGCACCTTCACATCATCCAGCTCAATGAACGTCGTACCCGCTGAGACTTGTCCACCAACTTTCAACCTTCGCATATTCACGCCCTCATTCCCCTTGAGCGGAACAACCAGCATACTCAGCCCACCCGGGCCCGGGCCACCAGTGCGCACAGCCATAGATGAGTACTCGGACCAGATGCCATTTGTGATCCACTTCTTCGTGCCGTTAACGATGTAGTGTTTGCCGTCTGGTGTCTTGACGGCCGTGGTCGTGATGTTGGCGACGTCGGATCCGGCTTCGGGCTCCGTGATGGCGATGCAGGTGCGCTTGCGGCCGGTGAGGAGATCGGGGAGGAAGCGCTCTTGGAGCCGCTTGTTGCCGTATTTGATGATGGGTGGGACGCCGAAGGCCATGCCGGTTGTGAGACTGCCGCTGGGACCTGCGAGGCCGGTGCGCGCCATCTATGCCTCAGTCAGCTACCACATCTCTCTGAGACCTAGAGTTTTTGTTGTTGTTGTTGTTGTTTGGCAAAGGGGGAAGTACTTCATCAGCATAAATCATAGTATGTATATAATCCCACTCCTCGACCTTCACAACACCCAAGATATCATGTATCCCCAACTTCTTCAGCCACTCCACCGGCAGCGGCGCCGGCAGCGTGGGCAGCAACATGCCCGCCTTCGCAAATGTCTCGAATACATGCGGCGGCACCGTTTCTTCCGTGTCCCACTCCAGCCCTTTCTCAATGAGGTGCTTGTCGACGAACTCGCGGCATGCTTTCTGCCATCGCAAATGGGTTTCGCGGTAGTATGGTGAGGGGAGGCCGGTGATGTAGCCGGGCTCGGAGAAGGGGATGTAGGCGGTGGACGACATGGTGAGGTATCTGGGGTCTGTGGGGTGGATGCTACATCGTGGTGGTGCTGACAATGGTTATAAAGTAACCGGCTGTGGAGGAGGAGAGCGAATCTGGGGTAAGCTGTTGGACCGAGGTTTGCCGGGGTTGACGAGTCGCGCGTCGCGTGTTCTACTACGGAGACGCGACGCCACACTTATCTCGAGGTTGAGATACAGCTTTTTGCATCCTTGATTGTTTAATAATGAGCTTCCGCGTGTTGTGTTCGCAGAGCAGTACTGCAGCCTCACGATGGTTGAGAAGGATGAGCGACTTGAATCCCTGGCTGTATTCGGTGATTCACTGACTAGACGAATATTCTGAAGCTACGAATTGAGTGCTACGTTGTTTACTGACGATGGAATGCTCTCAAGTGATTCAGATTCGACTGTTCGTCTCTCCTGGTCGTGCCTCGAAGTGGACGTCATCTTCTCCATGAATGACTCGAACTGTCGAGTCATTTGCACGTGAACGACTGAATGCCGACTGTGGGATTTTGATAACGATGGTTTTTAAGATGTATGTATGCATTGTCTGCCTTTGAAATAGCCTACGGACCAGCTACCTACTAGGTATAAGATACACGAAACCCAACATACCATTAACCACGCTTTTGAGCACCGCTCATTGTCTTTACTGATGGCACTCCCGTTTGATTCCACAGTACTCACTCTTCACTTCAAAGCTCAAAGGACTCGGCTTCCTGGGCAAGCTTGATGGCGGGGGCTTCAACGGAACAGGGTTCATCGGCAAGGATCGCTAATCCTCTTCGATCTCGCCCTCTTCACTGCCAGACCTAAGAGCGCGGTCTTCTTCCTTGATAGGCTCAGGGACGGGAGTCTTGGACTTACCGCGCGGGTCGGGACGGGGTGAGTAGCGAGGGCGCTGTGAGCTGTTAACACATGATCCAAAGGAGGTAGAGTGTGGGAAGAAAAGATGTGAAAACTTACCTTGACATCGCGACGGCTTGCACTCACATCGCTCTCCCTTCTGCGCCTGGAACTTGCTGTCCTACCAGCGCCATCGCCGTAGTCGAGACTCACGCTGCCTTCACGTGGATCGGCGCGACTGAGGGGGTCAGCGCGGTACGTCCTCTCGCGTTCGACCTCGCGTTCGCGGCGCTCACGGCCGTAGTGGTCTCCTATAGGGCTGCGACGGCGCTCATAACGATCATCATCGCGATGGTCGCGGCGACGCGGGGGTGAAAGACCTGTGCGCTCGGTATCCCTGTATCTAGCCTCGCGGTCTTGCTGGGCTCGCCTACGCTCAGCGGCGTATGGGTCATGTTCAGGTGAGCGGGTGCGCGTGCGATGACGATCACGGCGGTGAGAGTCACCGTTGCGGTACTCACGATCTCTGTCGCCACGGTCACGCCTGTCTCTGCTTCTCGGACGATCATCACGCCTGCGGTCGCGGCGCTCGCTCTCTTTCTCCTTCAGGCGCTGCATGTACTTGTCGAAAGCGCTCTCGCGGAGGGTATCTGATTTCAGTGCGCGGTACTCGTCTGTTTTCTCAACACGGGGACGTACCACTTCCCAGGTATCCTGCACTTCGACGGGAGGCTCGAGGCGCTTGATGACCGAGCGAAGGCGGTCGATTGCGTGGCGCTCGTCGGATTCCTCGATCTTGCGCTCATCTTCTTCGCGCTTTTTGACCTTCTCGAGGATGTACGAGTAGATGTCATGCATCGACTGTTCGTCAATGTTAGCTGTGCGAGAATCTTTGCGCATGACACTCAAGAACCCTTCGACCGGGGTCGCTGTGGTGACCTCGAAACGTTGGTGCTCCAGCACATCAAGGGCGTAGCGGCGCAAGGTACGGAACTTGCCCGTCTCCTCCTCCAAAGCATCCCAGAACAGATCAACTGGAGAAGATCCGCTCTGCCCAAGCATAGCAGTATAGCGTGCGTCGTTCTCGACAAGAGGGTGGATGTCCTTCCACTTTGTGCCATATCTGAGCTTGCCACTGTCCCTGAGCTCGTTGAGGAGCTTCATGAATGCGTCTCGGTTCTTGCGCTCGATACGGTGCTTGACGCGGCGCTCCGCTTGGACTCGATCGTTGTGCTCGCGCTGGAGCTGGCGAATGTGCTTCTCGAATTGGTTAAGGACGTCCATGCGACTCAGCGTTTGGAACTTCTCGCTCTTGAACTCGTCCTTCTGTTCAAGCTTGGCTTCGGCTGTCTGCCAGCGGGTGAATGGCTCGAGATCAAGGCTCTGCATAAGGCCAAGTATCTCGTCGAGCGCAGAGTTTCTGCTCTCAGCCTCCTCTTGTTCGTGCGCCTTCTTGAGGGTGATGATGTACTCCTCGAACAGCTGTCTGCGCTCGTTGTCGTCCTTGGCCGAGCGGAAGATGCTCTCTTCCTCGATGATAGGCAGCGCCGTCTTCCAGCGTGTGTAGTACTTGATCTCGGCGTGTGATCGCAGCATAGCAGTGAAGTCTGAGCGCAGCTTAGCCTGGCGATCCTGCTCCTTGTTCTTCTCCTGAGCACGGAGGTCCTCGCAGTATCTCTTGAATGCCTCCTCGCGCTTCTCCGGCTCAGACATGGCGCGCCAATTGGGGTCTTTGACGCCAGCGCGCACGGCTTGCGCCCACTCCCAGTCAGGCTGGACCTTCATCTGCTTGAGCACCTTCATGAAGGCAGCCTCAGCTTCTTGTGCGTTGGCGAACTGCAGCTCGGTGCCGGTCGAGAACTCGACTCTCGGTCTGTCGCCGCCAAACCCGCCATCGCGCTCACGGTCGAAGTCGCGGTCGCGGTCGCGGTCGCGACGCTCAGGCCGGTACTCGTCACGCTCTGGACGGCGAAAGTCGTTTGAAGGAGGAAGCTGCGCAGGGCCCGCAGCCCATCCGGCAGGACCAGCTGGCGGGCGCTGCGGCGGCATGTTCGCCTGGGCTTGGTCCATCTTTCTCTGGACGTCCTCGGGGACGTTCCATGTTGTCTGGCGCGACTCTTTGTGGTAGTAGTACGCCTTGCCCTCTGGAGTGAGCTGCCTCGCCCAGCCAGTGCCTTCAATCGCGCGCTGCTGACATCAGTACTGATCGCTTCTGTAACACTGTTGCAACGTACCTCGACTTCGTCCTTCAATTCATCAGGCTTCTCCCATGTTGTCGCATTTGTCGCAGCGTTGTGGTAGTACTCTTTGCCTTCTGCAGTCTTCACTGCCCGCCATGCAGATACAGGCATGCCCATTGGGGGCGGATAGCCGTTCATCGCGGCACGTGATTGACGTTGTGTCGTGAAGAGTGAGCAATGCAAGGTCGCGCCTCGACTTCGAAGTTTTGGACCGTTAGCGCACTGACCACCGATCCCTACATGGGGAAGCTCCACCTTCACGCACCTTGCCGCACGTGAACTTTACCCTTACACTTCGGCCTGTCACTCATCTGGAGGGCTCACAGCGAAAGTGATGGGCTCGGAAGAACAGCCTCGAGCCAGTCTCGACTTTGCAGAAAGCTCAGTGTTGGAGGCAATCGCACCTGCTACTTCGAAGGTTGACATCGAGGAGGCATTCAACTCGTGGGATGGCACTGTCGAAGACGAGGGCGCGTCAATATTGCCCTTCGTGAAGCAGAGACATGTGCTGCTATTTGGTATGTGTATCCATCATATTCATTCAGACAAGCCTCTTACTCATACGCAGGCTAGATGAATTACTCCCGGTTTACGTCGTCTTCCGGACGCCGTTACTTGAAAACGAAGTACTAAAGTCGTACCTTGATCGATTGGCAGTCAGCCTCGACGTATTTGCTTTCGGTACAACCCCTGGTCCGGATCAAGAAGCAAAGGCCTTACCCAAAGAGCTGATCTGCTCCGAGACGATCAAGGACACTAATGAACCTACAATTGTGCTTCACGAGAGCGGAGACGCAAAGCACGCCTATGTGTTCTGGAAGGTTGAGGTCGCCATAGGTGAGTCTTCCAGTCTCACACGCTCTGATACACCGAATACCTCCAGCCTTCATCGCAATGCGTGTGTGTATTGAGCTAACGATGTGCAGCTCGACCTCAAGGCCGATTCCACAAGCCTGCTATATACTTTCAACCCACTGCATCTCTGAAACCCGATGTCACGGCGAAGCAAAATGTATCTCATAACGACTACCTCCCGAGTCGGGTTCCACCAGCTCTCAACCTGCTGCAATCGTTCGAGCATGATCCGGCGCTGGCTGGCATCCACCCTCGGCTGTCAGCGATGAGGATCAGTAAAATTGCACCGTCTGCACCTCTTGCTCGAGAGATGGTTCGACCGATCAAGACTGGGCAGCGGCCCCTCTTTCGAGCTGTACCGCCTCTGATGTGGAGGACCAGATTCGCGAAGGTGCACACGTCGCTAGCTGACTTGTCACTAATGGTTTCACTGGATATTGAAGTTGCGCAATACACATCCTACAACGTCAGGATCAAGACGGTCGATCTGTTACTACACGGAGGCGACATCAAAGCTCTGACAACCGTCAACACTGTGGCAACCTCCAGCCCTGGCGATCAATTGAGTTACTTGTACAAGGCCACTCCAGATCTAGGCCCTGATGGCACACCTGCACTTGGGAGCCAAGGCCATATACTCACTCTAAACATCGAGGCCGACATACTAGTGTCCGATGGCTGCCAGCCGCACGTCGCCATCCAGTGGAAGACAGCGGTAGACTTTGCAAGCGAGCAGCAGTCGAATTTGATCAAGGCTGCGCACCGGCTGAGCAGTGCTTCACATGCTGGCAGTATAAAAAGCCCCGACAGCCTCCCGGCTCAGGACACAGACGAACCAAACGCCCCGAACGATGCGATCAATGTCACGCTAACAATTTCCGGCCCACCGAGTGTTCAAGTTGGGGAGCTGTTCCATTGGGGCGTCTTTATTGTCAATCGCTCAGATAAGATCAGAAGGTTGGCCGTCATGGTGATTCCCAAGAGAAAACGAGACGCACACAGACCACAGCCTTCCGCTTCCTCCATCGGTGGGCACAGTGCTGAGAAGAAGGAACTACTTGCGACTGCCGTGCTCGACGAAAACATCATTTATGGTAGGCAGAAGGGCGCGAAGACTGAACCCACCGAGCTGGTGTGTCTGACAACGGACATTCGTCTGGGGTGAGTCGAATACCTCCGGAGGTCCGTATCATCCAACGAGCTAACATCTACAGACAACTGGCGCCAGGCTCATGCTACACAGCAGACCTGAAGTTCATTGCGCTTTCTGCTGGCGTACAGTCGGTGGAATCGGTTCGCGTCATCGATCTCGCTACGAATGAGACAGCAGACGTTCGGGACCTACCAAGCATTGTAGCAGTAGAGAAGCAACCAGAAGGCATCGAGACTTGAGCGTCTGTGGAGTAGCTTTCATATGGCAGGAAAAACTGGACACAAACATACCGGTTCCCTGAGTTTTGAGAAACAGTCAGGGTGGCTTTGTCCACCTTCTGCTAGCTGAGAAGAATTCAAAAGACTACATGTGATTTTTCCTCCAACAGACTGCTCCATCCTTTAGCGTTGAAGGCCTCCGGACTTCAACATCAGAACAAGAGGCCGTAACTGCGGCGGCCGAGCTCTTACAACATGTAAGAGTAGATGTCGAATCTGAGCCTGTCGATGCACGAGCAATGCAGATGACATGGATGCAGCACACGAGCCAATGACATAGCCTGTATCCTTCCCCGCAAAGTAGGTTCCGATCATCAGTGGAGTCGCCGAAGCCGCATTGACTGCCGTCGATAACGACGGCGCAACTCCAAGGAAGGCATCTCAACTCTCACAAGACAAGCGGCGGCGGTCGGGTGGCACCAGCAGCCGAGACGAAGCCAGGATGAGCCCGCGACGCGTCTCAGTAGTCGATGGCAGCGACACGATGAGCCCTCCAAACGACTCGAGCGCGAACCAGAAGCGGAAGAGCGACGATGGGGCGCCGCAACCACGGGCGAAGCGCAACCGCTACATCAGTATAGCATGCAACGAGTGCAAGCGTCGCAAGATCAAATGCAACGGGCAGACGCCGTGTCAAAGATGCGGCAACCTCAATCTCGAGTGCCTGTATGCGCCCAACTGCTGCAACAACTTCAAGGAGAGCGACGAGTTCAAGCAGATGACAGCGCATATCTCGAGCCTGCAACAGCAGGTAGACGACCTCTTCCACAATCTGAGCAGTCTGCGCACGCAGGTCGATGTGCACAGCAATGGCTCCATCGGCACGCCGTTCACTCAGCAGGATTACCCGCCTATGCTCCCTCCACCATCTGCACGCTCGAGAACGAAGTCGTTCAGCAAACATCCCCGCTTCCATGGCCCGACAGCGAATGCATTCAATCTGGGAGTGGCACGGTCAAGCCTCAAGACAATGGGCATCACCGCGGCCGAGGAAGGGGAAGACGAGGGCGTGGTGACTAACAACCCCACACCGCGAGGATCGCCACCTTTCACAGGGCAATTCATGCCGAAGGCGCCACTGCATGCAGATAAGGATCCGATATGGTCCATCTCCAAGCAGGAAGCGCTCAGGCTGGTGCACGTCTGGCATGAAGAGCAGGGGATCATGTACCCCATCTTGGACATGGACAAAGTGCTGCGCTACACCCAGATGCTATTCTCGTTTGTCGAAGCGGCTGCGCAGTCTGGCTTGATGCAGGGCGCTATGCCGGGTGCGGACTCTATCATGGACGACCAGACCAGCGTGTTGAAGTTGGTGCTTGCAATTACGCTGGTCATGGAAGGAGGAGGGAAAGACCCACTGGGGGAGAAGCTGTTCGAGAACGTGCAGAAAGTCATCGAAAGAATACTGTCTGAGCCTGTGAGCTTACAAAGTATCAGTCTCTTGACCTTGACCGTAAGTCAATCACTGTTTTCACTACTCGGTGTACTCATCAAAACCAGGGCATGTACCACTTCACCCGCGACGACGAAGGCCTCGCCTGGCGCATGATCGGCCTTGCAGCACGACACTGTCTCGAACTCGGTCTGCACCGCCGCGAAACCTACCCCACCCTGTTTCCCGATCCCGACGAGCAAGCCTCCGCTATCCGCATCTTCTGGTCCGTCTACGTGCTCGACCGGCGCTGGAGTCTAGGCACCGGTATGCCCTTCGCCCTGCAAGACGCGGACATGGACCACAACCTGCCGAAGCCTGTAAGTCGCAATTTTCACACTCGTAGCAACTTTGACGTTTACTGACGGGTTGCAGGATGTTTCAACACACACATCCACACCCTACCTCAACGCCATGATATCCTACTCCGCCATCGGCAGCAAAGTCTGGAAATCCGTCGCCTCGACCTCCGACACCTCCTCGCCCTCCGACGTCAAGATCTCTAAAGAAGACATATCATTCCTGGACTTCCAGGTGCTCAATTGGCACCGCTCAATACCAGAACCGCTCAAGTTCAAGCATCCAGACAGCCAATCACACACCCACCCAACCGAGCCTCCACCGCGAGCCCTGCACCGGCTGCAAATCCTCCTCTACCTACGGGCTAATCAGATGCGGATATTGATATACAGACCGGTCCTCCACACCGCGACGACGATCATGAGCTATCTCGACTTCGCCCACACCGTAGTAAAAGTCGCAAAAGACACAATCCGGATCCTGACCTACATCAACCAAACATCTGACATCTATCGGTGCCAACAAACAATGTTCAACTACTTCCTAATCTCCGCCCTCGCTGTGCTGTTCCTGGCTGTTGCGCATGCACCGGCTGAGTTCTCGGGGCAGTGTAGGGATGAGTTTTATATGGCGCTGGATCTTGTGCGCGGGTTGAGTGGCGAGAATCATGTGAGTAAGAGGTTGTGGCGCACGGTGAGGGCGCTGAAGGAGGTCGGCCCGAGACTGGGGTTGGTGAGCAGTGAGCAGTTGCCGAACGATGAGCATTCGAATGCGGCGGTGGCCATGGCGGGCTTAGCAGGCCATCCCGTCGACGAAATCGCCTTGTACAATCGCGGCAATCCAGCGCAGAATGGAGCTGTGCACACGCTGGATACGCCGCACGGGATGGCGTTAGATCTCACCACGCTGTTCGAGGCCGCGGGTGGGACATTCAACCTCAATGGCTTCGAGGGTATGGGCGGGATGCAGAACGGTGATCAGGGGCCGTATGGGAACGGGACGCCTGCGTATGGGCAGGAGAACGATGAGTTGGCGCGGATTATGAAGGATTTGTTTTGATAGCTGTGAGCGTTACACACCCGCTTTGTCGTTCGCTTGGGACATAAATGGATATGAGCGACGTTAAACGTTCAGCAGTGAATTGATATTACTTCTTCGTGAAGAAGCCGGCACTTCTCGGTTCGCGTGGTAGTATAGAATCAAATGAAATCTATCTATCCAATGCCTGCAAGTCTAATCGCTCCGCAAGGACCATCTTACTGCAGATGAAGACGCGCCTGATGCAGATCCAGAAGAAGACTCGCTTGAGGCAGAAGGATAGCACTCTGAATAAGACGAGTAATACAGGCTCTTGAGCATCTGACTCCGCCAGCGCCGTTCATGTATGAGAATCTCCCATCTCCGCTTATTGTGATGTTGTGGTTCTGCAGGAATCTTCCTCATCGTCTCGCAATCACCAAACACGCACTTGTCGCCCCATCCTTCGATCCTGAAATGTTCGTCGCGCTGCCAAACACCTAGCGCTGTAGTAGGCGGATCCTAGTCCGCCGCATACTCCTTACGCTGGCGACGCCCCAACTCCGTCTTAATTGGCACCTAGCCTGCTGCAGCGTCGACAGCCACACCGTTTGTGTCCATAGGGCTACCCTCAGCCTGCTGAGCTCCACCGCCGTTTGCCGGCCGCCTTCTTGTGCGTGCTTGTTTCCGTGTCCGATTGGCAGGTACACCAGCCTTGCCGCCCTCTGCTACATCCACCATGTTCATGTCGTCTTTGTCTGGCCGGTCCTCGTCCTCAGCGCGGTCTTCCCAGTATCGTCGTGTCTCGTCGAGTTCGGTGACGTCTGCCGGGCGCATTCGTAACCACTTCATGCGCGGACCTGAGCGAGCGCGCTCGCTGACGCGGAAACCGTAGATGCGGGGCTCGTAGATTGATCCTACACCAAGACCAGGCGCAAGGTTGTTCGGCGCGACACCGTTGATCAATGTGACGTTTGCGGGGGTGGTGTTGTTGCGGGACTTTGTCTCTGCGCTCTGGGCCTGCAGTTGGGCGAGGGCGTCGATGGTGGCGGATGTGCTGTTGCGCAGGCCGCCGCTGATGTCGAGGTCTGTGAAGGTCATGAAGAAGAGGGAAGGGAATGTTGTGCCGAAGAAGGCGCCGTCGACGGTTTGGAAGCGCGAGTTGGGCGGGGTGTAGACGTCGAGGCAGGAGGGGCAGAAGAGCTTGACGGTCTCGTGGCCGGGGCTATCGTTCAGGCCGACAGGCAGGACTTTGCAGGAATTGCAGTTTACGCGCGGGCAGGTGCCGAAGTGCTGGAGCTCGTATTTCTCTGCCATTTGCTGGATACCGGGCCTAGAGGTGATGTAGCGCTGGTGTATCAGGCCGTAGAGGAGCTCGGCGGAGCTTTCTATTACGCTCAGGTCTGAGGCTATGCGTAGATGTCTTCGGTCACTTGCCCTTCGGTAGGCTCCCCGCTCGTCACCCAGGACCTCGTCCTCGTCGTCGTCTTCCTCCTCTTCCTCTTCGTCCTCATCGTCGTCTTCTGGTTCGACGTCCAGGATCATCTCCAGTGCCTCCTTGTACATGGGTACCTGCGATTGCAGGCCTGTAAGATTGAAGTCATCCTCGATAAAGTCCTCTGCAACCTCCGCGAAGTACTCATGGCCGAGCAGGCCGCAGAAGGACGCGACCCACGACTCGGTGACTTGCGACGACGACGACATTCTGGGAACAGACGTGCGCCGCTGTGTTTGGCCGGCTCAGGGTGCAAGGCGCAATTCCACTCCGCGAGTGCCGGGACCAGGAGGGGTCGAAAATGTGAATGTGGGGTCGTGAGTCGGTCTTACGCAAACACGCGGTTCTGGTGCCAGTAGAAGCTTTGCCTAGTTTTGCACACTTCACGAACAAGCTGTTGGTGTCTTATCGCGTGTGGTGTGGTGCGCACAAGCAGTTACAGTGGGGCTCGGCGTCGTGATGCGAAACAGTGAATCAGGCGGGGTAGCTGTCGGTGAGCGAGTGTGGGTGGAGCTTGAAATCTGTTGCGTGAGGTCAAGCCCTATTCGCTCGATGATACTGTTATGAACATCCAGTGAAAGGGTTGTTTATGAAGCTTGCGCGTTGTGACAGGCGCATCAGCGTCGTCGCTTCCAGCCACGAAGCTAGCCTTGGCTTTTGCACGTGATTGTACATTCTGCTGGGCAATATCGAACTTCAAGCCGATCACGTATCCTGAAAATACTCACAGGGAAAAGACAGACATGGGAGGAACACAGTAGGTCAATAAAATCGAAAATCGTGTATTTACTTACAACATGGCATTATGTATGGTATCAAGAACTGAATCAAGCCTCCCAAGGGCAACGCCGCGCTGAAAGATTTCCCAAACCCTATCTGGGTACCTGAACGCCGTCATTCATGTTTTGAATGCTCAAAGGGCTTTCCTGTCCGACCCGCGTTTCGGTCGTGCCCTGTAACTCCCAAGACCAATATCAAGTCCACCGTCTTGCACCGTCATGCCATCGAAGAGCTCCTTGCCCAATGTGATGATTTTAACAGTATTACCAAAGCCCACTGCAACGCTGCGCTTGCCCAATCTCACTATAGGTCCAGGGGCTACTACGAGAAGATCGTCTTTGGCGTCGTCGTCCATGTCATCGTAGTCGTTAGGAAGTAGCGATCGAGAACGAAACTCGCCAGTTGACGACAGTGTCCATGCCTCCCACGGGTCAGTATCGTTGGTCGACGTATGCGTGTATTGACGGCCGTTTGTGGAACCATTGGTGAACCTGGATGAGACGATTGGGTTTTTTGGTTTGCTGGCGCGTTGCCTCACGGCAGATGTGGGAGCGATCGAATTGGGTGCATCGTCATCGTCATCGGATATGACTGATGGGGTCGAGGTAGATTGTGTGCGCCTGCGAACGCCTACTATGCTGGAAATACTTGTTGATTCCCAGACGCCGGCTGGTTCGACATAGTGAACAGCTTCAGTGGTGCATTTGAGTCCTCGGCACTTGTGCTTCACCCTGTCTAGTGGTTTTCCAAGGCATATCTGCGAAATCGAGGTATCCTCAGGGGTGAAGGTCTGCAAGATCATATGCTCCTTGTCTTGTTCGGCATACGCGACAGACAGCGTCTGGACCGCGGGGGCGCCGCAGTGGCATTGACGCCGCGCAGAGTGCATGGCTCGGAAGGAGTGTGGCTTGATGTGCCCAATCTCGAAGGCATGTATGAGTGCCTTGCTGTTGAAGTCGAATATCTCTGCTCTCTCGTCGCGGAGGGCGAAAATCAGCCCGAGACTGGGTACACAGTGAATGCACTTGACCTTGGAGGGATTGCTGTCCGGCGGCGGACCAGGATCGAGACTGGCAACAACCTCAGATGATGCATTGTTGGGCTCTTGTAAAGACAAAATGTGTACTTCGCCTGGTTTGCACACGAACACAAGACTGGCGTCGCCTTTGGCTTTGACATAGAGCTGAGCACAGAGTATAGCACTGGCACTGATCCGTTTCGTTCGGTGGATGCCAGTGCGTGCCTCAAGTTCAGTAAGGTAGCCATCCGGGCTGAGTACCATGACGTACGGCTTCTCGTTGTCGTTGCGGGTGATATTGACGAAGGAGAACAGCGCCGGCACTTGCCCTCGAAAGTCAACATTCGGGAACATCAAAAAGCGCGAGGCAGGGATGCTCCAGAGGCCAATCCGTCCACTGTCGGTGCCCATAGCGAGGAAGGCGCCACTCTCGTCCAAAGCACTCGCCACGATAGGCCATAGTTTGGGTTTCATGGAGGCTGTCTGCAAGGTCGTAGGCATGTAGCCTGTTCGTCCGTTGAGCCAGATCGAAGTGGTTCTGTCCAAGCTTACACCCGCCAGGTTGCCTTTGGAGCACGACGACATGTGGACAATGTCCAGTGTTTGCTGTGTGGGTAACGTCTTGACAGAGAAAGACGCCTCTTCCGCGTCGTCGTTGTCTGTGACTTCAGGGAGACCGGTCCACAGGAGGTAGTTCATTAGTAACGTAACGCCGGCTATCAGGAACACTGCCATTAAAGCTGCTGGAAATGTATGACCTTGCGCAAAGCGTCGGAGGTGACCCATCAGGGTAGTGGGTGCTTGAGGCTTGTCCCTTCCTCTCGCTCCGTTTGTTACAACAAGTATTGGGTCGTAAATCCGAGCGATGAAGTTATGAGCACCTGGCTTAAGAAACGCAAACAGCTCCTTGGCCGTGTTGTGATCTTGTAACTTCAACCACTCAGCAGGCGTTCTTGCTTGGTTGATTGGTGGGGAAGTCCACTGGACTCCATTGCTTCGCCGTTGCCTCCTAGACATGAACTTCTTCCGGACCGTGTCGAGAGAGAAGTGCTGATCGCTAACGTCGAAGAAGTGCCAATTGATAGCCAGGATAATCGAGAAGATTGCGACTGTACCAGCGAAACGCGTACTCAGCGGCGTGGTACCTTCCATCAAAGCAACGAGCCATGACCGACGTTCAGGGCGTTTCTTTTTGGAGCCATTAGCAAGGTCAGCTTGTCCAATTGAATCAGACAGCTCCATGCGCTGTACGTCCACGCTCAGAACGGCGACAAAGAAAGTGAGGTGGTAGACGAAGTCGAAGACGAGTGTGACCGCTGCAAAAACGCAAAAGTCAGCTACCCACGGCGAAACGAATCGTGAGCAAAGGTAGATCAGGGCGAGATTCTGGAAAGCAACCGCGAGAGACAGATGACCAACCTCTCCGAGCGCATTTCCAATGCGCTGTTGCGGGGGCATCTCTGGTGGTGTTTCCAAAACGGCGTTGATCAGTCGGAAGATGTTTCCTAGTCCATAACAGAACACCACTGCTGGAAACCAGGGCCTCGGTATCCGCGCCAGATCGATTCCCAGCCATGTACACAAGGAGAAACTGGCGATGATGCAGATGGCCATCTTGGCGCCGACAGTGATGAGCAACCCGAACCAACTCTTGACGGCGCGCAGCTGCATCATTCTCGAGATCACGTAAACCGCCGTGACCATGTACGAGCCGGCAAGAAAGATGTCGTCCAGCTTCGACATAGGCTTGACGCGAAACTCGTATAGGCGATTCCTCGTGATCTGTCCATCCTGTGGGAATATTGCCCAATCTGGTCCAAGCCCTTGTGCGAGCGTTCTTGCCCTTGCGTCCCATTTATCGCCTAGGTCTGAGTCTTCTGTCTGATCGAACAGCGTCAGGACCAAGGCATCGGCCGCTCGAAGCTTGTTGTTGGCGAAGAGTTTGCCCGCGAAGACGGTGCTTGGTCGCAGGGTGAGGTTCATAGAAGTTTGTTTCTTGCTGCGCGCGTTGATGGTCTCGAGTATGTTCTTGTCGCTCTCCAGTGCTTCATGCGAACAGTCCCAATACATCAAGGGCGACTGCCAACCCCACTTCTGCCCTAGCCTTGGCATAACACAGCTTGAGTTGTCGCGAGCGAATACTGTCGTTGGGCTGGGTCCCCCTACGTCGAAGCCGCCATCGATGAGAGCATCCTGAACGTCCAAGGCTTTGCGCAGCACGCTCTGGTTGACTGCGCTCATGTAGTCGCCATGCACCCACACCTGGCGCACCACAACATCGGCGGGGCGTTCGCCCTCAACTTCCGTCGTCGAGGTCCAGACATGCTTGGGGAGGTTGCGCAGGCCCGCGCCGGCGGGACTATTGGTTTGGAAGACGGCCGGGTAGCAGAGCAGCACCGAGATGCTGATGGTCAGGACGAGCGAGAGCAGCCAATGCTGCGCGGTAGCAGTGCCGTGGGCCTGGAACGCCCGGCGGATGGGGTGTGAGGGCGAGAGTTTGGGCGGTTCGGTCGTCCTAGGTGTTGTTGAGCTTATGCCTTTTGCGGACTCGGAGGACTCGAGTGCAGATATGCATCACGACTTCGGAGACTTACCCTCGCAGCGGATATAAGAGAAACCAAATCATCTAAAAGTCCCTCGCGGGAGCATGCCCAAACTTGCGAAGAATTCGGCCTCAGCTACCTCAGCTGAAGGTTTGAAATGCGCGCGCGCTCGACTGCAGCAGCAACAAGAGACGTCGCGGGGTGAGGCTGGACAGAATCATGGAAGGTGCGGAGCAGCAGCGCTAAACGTCAAACTCAAACCCAGAAACCACCGGGTGGGCGACGGCGTCGCTCGAATCGCGGGACTTGTGGAGATCGAAGAGCGGTAGCGACACGCATTATTGTCTCTTCGTGGCGTTCGGGCGCGCAGGTTGAGCATCCAGTCCATGCCAAGGAGTGCATCACAGCGTTACACACTCAATGCAAGCTCGCCAATGGTGATCACTTTACGCGAGCAGTCGGTGCAGAAGTGTCTCAATGCAGTTACAGCGACGGGAAAGGTCTTTGAAGTGGTTCGAGAGCACCCGTCGAACATGTCATTCATCCACTTCGGTTATGCCTACCAAAGCCTCCAAGACAGACTACAAAAAGCGGCAATGAGCGGAGACCCGACCACTTGGAATTGACTGTCTGGGGGAGACGTCCTCGACGGCGCACAATTGCAGATCACTAGTTACATACAGCGAATACCCCAGTGCCGAGCACATACAGCGGCCGATGGCATGCAGGGCCCGTGTTACAATTCTCCGGAGAGCCTCAAGCACCGTCCCAATTGGGGCATCCACGGAGTCTGTGGCACCAACTGTTTCTAGCAATTATCGCGATGGTGCTCAATGGCGCTCTGTGAGCGATGGGCAACAGTAGCGGGACCCGAGTACTACTATGCAGGTAATCTGGAATTACTCTGCTTCGAACAGTGTGGGCGCATCGCAGGTCAGACCACAACGGAGAGGCTGAGTGCACGAGGAAGGGGCATTGGGCACCTCCGCCATGCCGCCATGCCGCCATGCCGCTTCCTTCTAGAACCAGCTTTTGCACCTGTCGATTTCAGAGCTGTAGCGCCTCAAGCACCTTCCATCTCCTCATCGTCGTCCTTGCCACCCTCCTCATCTGACCACTCATCTTCTTCTCCCTCAACAGCCGGGCCCAAAATGTCGTTCAGCTCCTTGAGAATTTCCTCGGCATGCTCCTTCAGCCGCTCATCTTCGTACTCCAACATGCCATACAGCTTGAGGCAGTTGTCCAGCCACTCACGACTGGCCTTCAGCAGCGAGGTGACGGTCTTCTCGTGCTCCCCTCCTTTTGCTTTCTGCTTGCCTGCAAGCAAGTGCAAGCACCAGCCACCAAGATACCAGGCCTCAACACTGCTGTCGTTCTCGTTGACCAGTCTCTCGAGGGTCTCCATAGCATCATCCTCCATGTCAGCCTCCATCAACAGACGTGACAGACTGATCAGGGTGGAGAAGTCAGGAATTTTGGGGTCGTCTGGCTCCAGATCTTTCCACAGCTCGATACTCCTTGTCAATGCTGCCTGTGCATCCTCCTTTCGCAATTGTGAAATCCTTATCGAGGCCAATGTTTGAAGAGGTTCCGCGTTGTTCGGCGCAACCATGAGCGCTTCTGTGACTGCGGCTTCGCACCGTGCCTCAGCGTCTGCTTCCCACGACAAGTCTGTCATGTAGACCTCCGCAATACCGCATAACGAGTTTGCGATCTTCATCTTCTTCTCTTCCAGCAAATCCTCGACCTCTGCCTTCCTGACCAGCCTCCCGTCGAGCTCGTCAATCTCCCGCCTCAAGACTTCCACACCCTTCTCGAACCACCGTACTGACTCAGCTCCACCATCCTCGTTGAGTTGTGCCAGCCAGAGAAACTTCTCGGCGCCATCATTTACACCCTCGGGGTCAAGAAGTATAGCGACCTGAAAGGCTTCGCGCGCAGACTCTGGGTCGCCCAGTTCGATGTTGATTTCGCCGAGAAGATTGAGCGCAGGGAGAGCCGCTATTGTGGGCTTCGAGGTAGGCTGAAGAATGTTGAGGGCCCTTCTTGCTGCGACGAGAGCTTCTTCTGGTTGCGAGGTCTGGAGGAGGATAGCGGCTTGTGTGAGGAGCTCTTCGGCTGAGGCTTTTGACTTTTTGGATTCGCCAGATTTTGACTTCTTCTTGACGTCACCGGCGCGTGTTGAGGGTTTCGTTTTCGCCATGGTGTAGAGTCGTGTGGGGTATCAAAGTGGTGTTGCGAAAAGAGCGTCTGTAGAAAATATATTTCCAGAAGAATGACGGTGGGTCTCCGCGCTAGTCCCCGCCATCAACCAGAACCCTGCCCACATGTGAGCTTCTACAACACTCTAGCTTCTCGAAGTAACAATTCCACAATGGGTGTTGAAGACCAAAAAGAGGAGAGGGAAGTCCTCGAGTCAATCTTCCCAGACGAAATCACAGGTACTGCGCTCGATCACAACTCTAACATGCCTAGCATGCTCACTCTCCTCCGCAGATGTTTCCGAAACAGAATTCCGAGTTTCAATAGTCCTCGATGTCACACCGGGCGATGAAGACCCAGCAGACCTCGAAGGGCGTACGTGCATAGATTCCCTATACACCCCTACCTACTAACGCCCATCCAGCGACAATAATCCTCAACGTCCAATACCCCCCCTCCTACCCCGACGAAGCGCCCCGCCTCGACCTAACGCAACCCCCCAACGCACCCAAACACCCATACCTCGACATCCAAGATGACAAGCAGCGCCTCTTGGACTCTCTATCCGAAACCATTGAAGAGAACCTGGGCATGGCGATGATATTCACTTTGGTCACTGTGCTCAAAGACTCCGCTGAGTTGTTGATTAGTGAGAGGCAGAACGCGAAGCAGGCGCTCGCGGACATGGAAGCTGCGAAAGTCGAGGAAGAGGAGAACCGGAAGTTCCAGGGCGAGGCGGTGACAAGGGAGAGCTTTTTGAAGTGGAGAGAGGAGTTTAGGAGGGAGATGGAGGAGAGGAAGAAAAAAGAGGAGGAGGAGAGGGAGGCGGAGGACAAGAAGAAGAGGATAGTGAAAGAGGAGCGCAAGCTTACGGGGAAGGAGTTGTGGCAGCAGGGCTTGGCGGGTAAGGGTGATGAGGAAGACGAGGAGGGGGATGATTTGCAGGGGATGAAGGATTTGAAGGTATCAGCGTCTTCTTAAGAGCTGAGTTGAGAGAGAACAATGCATATACCCGTTTGCGGGGCGCAGAGCGCTCTTGTCAATATGAACACATATATCACTGGGCGAAACGCTCATACATCAACGCTTCAACGCTCGTATAGGACTCTTCTTCCCCCCTCTAACAACCTCCTGTCCCTCCTTGAGCGCCAGTCTCGTCTCCTCATCCACAATACCCTGCATCTTCTTCGCAATCTCCCTATCCTTCGCCAACTCCTCTTCATACGTCGCAACGTTCTGCTTCTCCGCCTCGTTCACCGCATCCGTCCACTTGATCCTATCCTCCCGCCTCCCAAGCTGCGCCACCATCAGCATGTCCCACTCGTCCTCCTGCTTGGCCAATGGCAGCCAGTATTTCCCCAACTCGATCCTTTGGTGGAAGCGCCCAATGCGGCGCGTGAGTTTCTGCCGTATAACGCGCGAGAGGGAGGCGGGTTGCGGTTTTGTGAGGCGCAGGAAGGGGATCCCGTTTGCGGAGGCCATGACGGGGACTTTTCGCGCCCCGGATACTTGCGCATATGGGCGGACGTTGAGGACGGCGCGCTCTGGTGGGAGGACTGCGAGGGGGTGTTTGCCGGATGGGTGGGGTGCAGGAGGAGGTGGTGGTGCAGGACGACGAGTTGGAGGAGCGTTGGTCAGACCGTGTGGTAGGGCAGCGATGAGCTGTGAGAGAGTGCGTGTGCCAGCAGTGTCACCTGCGGTTGAGGCATCGAGCTTGTCTACGGTCTAGTCATGTTTAGTGGGCGCGACGAAGAGCTGGACCGTAGCAGCATACCTCATAACCGAGTTTGAAGCTTAGTCCTAGCTGGTAGGGACTTTGTATCTTCCTGTTCTGGCGGAATTTATTCTGAATAGCATTGCGCAGCAACGTGCGGTCGTCATCTGGGAGGCCCGCGGAAGAGCATCCTGAAAGCAGTGCTCTGTATAGAGCAATCGCTGGGAAAGGAGTTAGCGAATGGAGTAAATGCATGTACGATTGACGGACCTGCTACACGATGTTGCGTCGACTTCTTAGGTTGAAGAAACCGGGGCATGCATGGGACGGGTCAGTGGTGTTGGAGGCCAGAGATTCCGAGCAGCTCGGAACGCGAGAAAGCGCATGGTCACGTGTCAGCCAGCAAATTGTATGCATGGTGGAAAGCACCCATGCGATGTTGATATTGATGTTTCATTTGATCTTTCTGGTAACCTTAACCCTTATAGCTGATATGGGCGGCCAAAACTCCATACATATGCACGTTGGTCAATCCAATCCCGGGTCATTGTTCGCTTTCGTGTCGTTCGTTGGTGGAGTCTTGCTCTTTAGAAGGTAGAACCCTCTGGCGGCTGGGGCAGCTTCTTGTTTTGAGGCAGAGCCATGTATCTGCGGAGTTCGATCAGAATAGTCTCCATTGTGAACTCCCTCTTCCACTGCGCCAGGCATGGCAACTTGGAGGCATCGACCTGGGCTCTGTTAGCAGGAGCTTTCTGGTGGGACATGGCCCTTCGTACCTTGCCATTCTGTGCATTCACGCAGGGCAGGTTGATCTTGGATGTGAACTTGATTTCGGGCGGCGCATCGGGGTAGTTTGGGCCGCAATGGATCGATACACTGTAGATGCGGTTCTCGTGAACGCTCTATGTTACAGCAAGTCAGCGTGCAGTCGCCAAATACGTGTGAAGTGAGCGTACGTGAGGCGGGCCGAGGATTGTGCCATTCCAGTCTGACATCAACAGATCGTCACCGTTGTCAAGTCCGTACGAGCATGCCTCTGTTTACTCTCTCAGTGTTTGGCCTTTGTCTGACTGCTGTCGTCTACAATACCAGCGCCGAGACCCTTCTCGCCCTTTTCGAGCTCCTCCAGCAGGCGGAAGTTGCGCGGTACTTTGGCACCCATGTTTGTTGGTGTGTGGTTGTGTGATGGAGAGAGGGCGTAGGGAAGTGGGATGGTTGCCCCGCTATCGAGCTGGTCGTGGTAGCTGTCGCGCGCGTATGGAAGCACAAATCGTGGTCACGGGTGATTGGGTGAGACGATGGATTTTATGTCAAGAAGATGAGGCTGAGTACAAACGGTAAGGCTAGAACTTGAAGATCTGCTGCATTTCTGCGGTTTGGTAAGCTCTTTCGATCTCTTGGCCTATGACGACGGAAGGAGCTCGCGGCCAGACAAGGGTCCTGCGCCTGCCTCGTGCGCATGCGGATTGACCGCCTCCCGTACTGCAAGCTTCACCTGACAGGACAGGTTACCTTTCGACATTGGCTGAGACAAGGAGGACATTTTGCGATTTTGTGCTGCTATCATCCATGGATAGTATCCATATGCCCTTGTCGGTCCTTCACGCAGCATGACAGCCCAGATTCTGGCGGCGGAACTAGGGAATCTGATCTCGGATTCGAAGCGCAAGAACACGGAGCTTCGAACGGCTGCAGAGAAAGCCTTGCAGGATCTCAAGTCGTTGTCTAATACATCTGAGGCTCAACTTTCTGCAGGCAAGCAATCATCGTGTGAAGCAGACATGTCTAGCGCTAACAAAATGGAAAGACCTTTCGAGACGACCACAATTCTGTTCTCCATTTTTGATTGCCTGTAGCACTCAAAATGCAAAATTCACATCGACTGCTGTCTCATGTTTGCAGCGGTTGAGCGTCTCTCGAGCGTTGCCCAGAGAACGGCTATCCGAGGTCCTTGAAGCCTTCAGGCAGTCTGCAACATCAAGTATGATCTTGTAGCGAGTCAAGCATGTGCCAAAGCTAACATGCCCCAGGTCATGATGTCCAGTTGAAAATATTGCAGGCGTTGCCGTCTTTACTGCAGAACTATCCATCTGAGATACGCGGAGAACTTCTGTCCACTGTGCTGCAGATATGTTCAGGCTTGCAGAACATCAAGAATCCTGCCGTCAGCAATACCGCGGCTGCTACTCTGCAACAGCTTGTCATAGCGATATTTGACAGGGTCACAGCAGAAGATGGTGGGTCTTCATGCCTTCCAGATGAACTATTCTAACTTTGTTCAAAGGCAGGGCTCTCGAGATCCCAACAGTCACTGACGTCAAAGGAGACGATGGCTTTGTTCCTGTCAGACCAGCGGCAAATGATGCATACAAGGTCTGTACACCGATTGAAAGACGGTGCATACACTGATGATGCTCAGGTGTTTAACGACCTCAATCTTCTCGTGACAGGGGAAAAGCCAGCGTTCATCCGCTTTTCAGCAATTCCACCTGCCTCGATACTTGAGCTGATCGAAGCAGTTCTATCGAACTACGGTCAGATCATGGTCGAGCATCCAGAGCAGGTTTACATACTACGAAACCTTCTGATGCCTCTTATCATACGATCGCTTTCAGATCGCCTGTCATTTCCGATCATCGTACGCGTCATTCGGATCTTGAACCTCATCATTCGCAACCACTTGACGATCCTTCCGTCCGAGTGTGAAATCGCACTTGGGCTTCTCAATCATATGCTTGATCCACAAGCATCGCAACTATGGAAGCGAGCCCTCTGCCTCGAGGTCTTCCGTGGTATCTATGCTGACTCACGACTTCTACTGGCCATCTACCATCAGTTTGATGCACAAGACGGAAAGAAGAAGATCTTCGGCGACAACCTAGCATCCTTCGTTCGACTAGCAACCGAGAAGCCTGCGCTGATTGGTCTTGGTCAGCAATCTACCGCTCCCGCGAGCTTCGCTGATGACAGTCTGGCGGGGTCTGATCAGGCAGCGGCCGCAGCAGGTGCAATGGCGGGTGATATTGGCGGGCCCATCAGCGATCGCAGCAGCAATAGTCGCCCGTCTGGGATCAGTACGCAGTGGAGCTCCATGAAGACGCCGTGTATCGACCATCTGGACAAGTCAGATCCACCAGCTTTACCTGAGACGTATATCTACAGTCTCGTTCTGACTTGCATCACCAATATCAGCGAGAGCCTGGCAAGATTCGTGCTACCTCTGACAGTACATCATGACAGCAAGAGCCGGAGAAAGACCAAGACAGATGATCCAGCTGCTCTAGACGGAGAAGAGGCACCTCCAAATGAAGGCGGACGCCGACTTTCGAGGACACAATCGTTCCGCAAGAAAACCATACCAGTCAACCCGCTGGGCCTCACCGACCATCCTGCATACGCATACATACAAACGTCGTTGATGCTTGTTACCGAGTGTTGGCCCGCGATTTTAGCGACCTGCTCGACGTTTCTTAATGCCTCACTAGACGTAGACTACTATCGTGCCTTGGTACGAGCGATCCAAAAGTTCACTCAGGTTGCAGGTCTTCTCAGAATGGCAACACCTCGCGATGCATTTCTTACCACTATGGGTAAAGCAGCTGTTCCCTCCAACCTGCTGCTCGCGAACGTGGCTTCTCCCAAGACAGCCACAGCAGATTACACTGGCATGTTCAACAACGCGAAAGGCTTGCTGAGTGTCGACAGCCATGTAAGCCAGGCATCCTTGGCCTCCGCAGATCACAGTCGACGCCCTTCGCACGACATCCAGATGCCCTCGTTAGGACCTCGCAACTTATTATGTTTACGAGCACTCCTCAACCTTGCAATTGCGCTGGGACCAACTCTCCAGTCTGCATGGTCAATTGTGTTCGAGACGCTACAGGTTGCTGACCTTGTGCTGTCGCTGTCAAATCAAAGTGGCAATCGAAGCTCGACGCATTACGCTGAAGCGGAGGGTGCTGCAGAAAAAATGGAGGCGGAGACATCAGCAGTGCAAGCGGCAGCCCGCAGACTCTTCGAAAGTACCGTGGACTTCCCGAACGACTCTTTCACAGAAGTTTTACAAGCGCTCTGTGCTCTGCTCAGTGACCCTTCTTCAACTGAGAGCGGTCAGATGACCCCAACAAATGCCGGTCGACCGCAAATTCTTCACCAGCGAAGACTAGGGAGCGTTTCCAGGATCACTTTGAACACCGATACCAACTCTCGCGATGCAGCATTTGCGTTGAACAAAATCGGCGAACTCGCTGCTCTGAACGAGGCCAGGCTGTCACAGTATGATCCCTCGGAGAGTGGCTGGGACACATTTGTCCATGAGGTTGTTCGTTTCTCCGCGGATGATCGTAAGGCACCAGCGTCGAGATTGCTTGCAGCTGATATCCTATCGCGGACCATCCGAGAAATCGCAGAGATCTCCATGTACGATGAGCAACGCGAACAGATTCAAGCACGTATTTTGGCTACCCTGCAGAGACAGGTTGCCGTTCTACGTCTCAATGATGTGAAGGTAAAGGACAGTTACAGCGACACTGACGTCCGTGTTCATCAGATAGCTCTCGATGCGTTGAAAAACGTAATCGAGCAATGTGGCGAGTCACTCGTTGCGGGGTGGGTTTCGGTCCTCGACAGCCTGCTCAGTGTGTTCCTGTCGAACGATGAGCCAGTTGAGGGCGGAACTCTGAGTGAGTCAAAGGTTCGGAAGCACGAGTCGAAGACCATCCGCGTCATCTCAAGATCACTGGCTCGATCCGCGTTCGCAACAGTACAACTCATCTGTTCCGACTTCTTGGCGTCTGTCCCCGATGCCTGCCTCTCAACGCTTTTGGAGCTCCTCCTCAACTTCTGTGGGCAGCAAGATGACCTCAACATGTCTCTGACTGTACGTACACCCATCGATCAGCTTCTTTACTCGACTGACAACTGCAGGCCATAACGTTTTTCTGGAACGTCTCAGACTTCCTGCAGTCACGCAGCGACATCGCCTCACTCCCGATTATCATTGGAGACGCTCGAACATCGCAGGAGATCCGCACTCTGGTCAAGTCAAGCTCAGAAGGTGGCAATACGCCTGCATTGTGGCTTCAGGTGTTACTCAACCTATCCACAACTACTACAGATAAGCGCGCTGAAGTACGGAACTCGGCAGTACAAACGATCCAACGTATCTTCGAGAATTATACCGATCATCTATTAACCGATGCATGGATGCTGTGCCTTCGCGCAGTACTGTTCGAAGCAGTTGAGGCAAACCTTGCTTCTCAAAAAAGCGTCCGACATGGCTCACGCAACCCGGCCGACACCATCGAAAGCTGGAACGAAACTACCAAGACCGTGCTACAGAGCGTCAGTACCCTCACTACAATGCGCCTACAGAAGGTTGACGATACTTCTACATTCGGTGCAGCTTGGTCAGACCTCCTGGGCTGCTTACAACAATACTTTGCTTTTGGCTCGCATGCTTTAGGATCCTACGTATTCGCGACCATTACTAATGTGTTATCGCATCTGGCCAACGCGCAAATGCTGGGCGAGTCATCTTTGCGCAAGACAGTGATAGTCTGGACAAGCTATCTAGACTCCCACAATACGTGGGGAACAAATCCTGGGGATAACCAGGAGGCATTCGTAGCCTATGCGGACGCGTTCAAAGCGATTTATAGATTGGCGGGTCAGAGTATCGACTCCGACCTTCCCTCCATGTTGTCCCATTTGGAAACCTGCATCGTCGAATCCGATGCTATTGCATATTCGACAGACGTTGATACCATGACTCCTCTTCAGATTAGCATCTTAGAGTGTCTATCAATGGTCGACACTACAGCATCTAGCCTTCCACCATACATGATTAGGTTGCTGGGCCGCTTCAGCGTGCTACCATATACGTCAGTCGCACAGCATCCCGAGAAACAAGGCCCGACCTTCGTCGCGCTGTCCAAGGCCTCGATGACCATGCTGCAAGAAGTAACTGTCAAGCATATTGCGCATAAGCAGATCTATACGGATGGTGCTTTCAACACCGCCTTGACACAGCTTGTGCAACCAATTAAAGAGAAGTACGCATGGCAGAAGGAAGGAAAACCTCCAACAATCTGGCAGAAAGCTACGACCACTGCCATAGCTATATTGCAAGCGGGTCTCCCACAGCTACAAGCCCATGGTATTACTGGCGAACCGCTCAACAACATCTGGGCCACGGTCGTCGATGTTTGTCACTACATCACGCGAGCCCAACACCTTGACCAAGAAAAGCCTCCAGCGTCTCTGGAGAAGGACGAAGATTTCGACATTCGATCGTTTACAGAACTACGCGACCTAATTACTGCACCTCTAAATTCTGTATCACTACCCGATAGCCTCCGCAGAACCTACACGCGCAACCTCTTCTCCGTCTCCCTCATCCACCCACCCTTGCAAGGCGAACTCCCAGAGCTTACAACATCACCGCTCGACGGTCTCTACAAGACTAGACTCGGCCAGACTGCCGTCCTACCAGCCACCCTTCGGTCGAAAATGAGCTACACTTGCACATCCGAGCTCTTCTCGCTCGTCACTGCCCGCTCCACCAATGCCTCACACATCAAGCTCGCCCAAGCCGCAGCCCCTTACCTCATCCTGCGCGCCGCCGTGCCGCTCAAGACATACATTGCCGACCACCCCTTGCGAGGCCGCATGTCGACTCCCGACTCGCAGCGGCGCGAACTGCTGCTTGTCCTCAGCAAGCTGGAAGATTTGGAAAGCGAACCGCAAGCTATTCCTGATGCCCCGGGAGTGAAAAGCAGGCATAGAAAACATTTGCATAGGCTGTATCCGCTGCTTGTGAAGGCTTTGAAGGTTTCGGGACAGGATAGGGAGGTTTTTGAAAAGTTGATTAGGTTGACGGAGAGGGTTGGTGAGGAGTTTGGGATGGATGATGAGTGAGTGATTGAGTTGGTGGAGGGGTTAGGTTGAATGGGTGCGAGATAGGCATGTACAGTATTGGGTGATGTTGGTGAAATGAAATTTTTTGTTGCAGGTTGCGTGCTTGGAAAGCAATGTCTGGTTGACTGACCTTCGAGTGGACTATATATAGCAGGTGATGCAGTAGGTCTAGTTGTGCATCTCGAAACTTGTCGATGTACGTGTGGTAAGCCGAGATAAATCTCATGGTAGGCCGAGCTTTCTCCATGGTAGGCCTCTGGACAACACATCACAACGTAACTGCCGCACATCAATCCTGCTACGCAAATTAAGCAACATCACTGATTATCTGACCCATTTGACGATATTCTGTACTGTTCGCATGTGCTCTGTCAGACCAGTATAGATTTCATAGTTGGCCGAGCTCATAGCCATGGTCGCCCGAAGTCCCTGCGTGATTAAATCAGAGGGAGCAAGAAGCCTCCCAATGTTGTTGCGGCACCTAAGTCCACTCTCAATAATGTCAGTTTGACGATATTGGGAGGTTGTCAATTGTGTAATTCCCTTTGCTGAGTGAGGATCATCGTGCCAGCCCCATGTTCAGCCGAGCTTCTGCTATGATCGGCTGAGCGTTCCTTATGGTCGGCTGAGTATTCCTTATTGTCGGCTGAGTATTCTTATTGTCGGCTGAGTATTCCTTATGGTGGACCGATGTACGGGTTACAGCAGTAAAGTGCGCTTGTTCGTTGAGCGCAAAAGAAGCGCGCAGTCGATCATTACAAAGTGGAGGTGAGTTACACTGTGCGAGTTTTGCAAGTGTTCTCAAACTTTCCGAGTTGGTCGAGCTCATGGCAGACCGAGCTTTGATCCATGGTCAGCCGAGCTTGCGAGCATGGTTGCTCGAGCTTCCTATGGTAGGCCGAGCTCTCTCGAGGTCACCTCAGTGAATTATTCGTTGGCAATATGTAGTTGCAGGCAGACATCTCTGGAAAAAGACAGATGATTGGTCGCATTTCACTGTGTTGCTACACTGTTCAACAACATCCTTTTCGAATTCATGGTAGGCTGAGATGCTCATGGTAGGTCGAGGTTTTGATTATGATAAGCTCAGATGCAGTCATGTCCTGATTACAGTCTGGGTAAACAGCACTGAATGAGGTAGGGATGTGACCTGATGTTCCTATCAGCACTGATGGGTTAGCGTTGCATGGAACTCCTCGGCGATTGTTTCATGAGGCTCATTGTGTATGCCCCTCTTGCACCAGAACGCTTGTCTCCGTATCGACAACAAAGGTAGGTCCGATATCCTTTGAATCCTCCCTGAGCCGATACAAGGCCGTTATGGTATCAGAACTGGTGATTCCAAATAGCCTGTAGGACACAGGGCTCATCTTGTCACCCGTAGTCCTAAACCCACTCGATATCTGATCTTCGGTCCTGAGCAGGGTCCAGGGTTTGACGTTGACTTTCAACTTGACACTTGACAGGTGGGGAGCACAATGTGCGGATACTGTGGACACGCAATTCGATGTGTGCGTTGCAGGACCGAAGGACGCGAAAGCAACATCTATATGTGGGTCATTCAAAGAAGCATTGATAGGGCTTCTTGATAAAAACGCCTTGCGGCCAAGACCATCCGTCCGGCAGTTCGTCCACGCCCTCAAAAGCAGGTAACCAACCGTTCAAACCACGCGATAGCCGTTGCTCCCAAGCCCTCGTTAACCGACATACGGACATCATGAGTCGAAGGGACGCTGGCCCAAGACCGTACCTCTGATATCGAGGTTTAATAATTTCCTCTCCAAGACGTCACAGGCCCAGCCTCCAAGTCCGCGGCTGCACAGTCCCAGCGGGTTAAATCTCGATCCTAGTGAGGCGGGGCTGCGATGCTAGTGCACTCCTTGCTGCGGAGATTTACGAAGTGTTGGATGGGGAGCCCTGGTGTGTCTTGGTGTTGGAATTTTGACTCGCTTGGAAATTGGCAGGGGTAGGGCAGGGATGGAGGTAGGAGGGAAAGGAACAAGCGGGGTCGCGGCACGGAAAGATTCGGTTGAGATATTGTTTGAAGTGCAAAAGCAGAATGGTTGTGGTACAAATAATGCTTTGCGTGAAAAGTAAAATGGTGTATGCAGGAGTGATGTTGGGCTTGGAAAGCAACGTTGGCAGCCACAGGACAATGGACCCCTATCAAAACCTACAGTGCGATAAAGCCAAACATCATATCAAGAGTGCCAGGCACGGCAGATGAATGCTGTGAGGCACATTGTGATAGTTTTGAAATATGTAACAGGCGTGACCGTCCACTTACAGGCCGCCCAGGTCTTGCTTCAGCACATCAAGAATTCTCTTGCTATCCACCTCTTCATCGGCATTCTTGCTTGTCCCATCATTCCTGAGTCTCCTCAGGATCTCAGGATCAACATCCTTCATCAACTCCTCGAACTCTCTCTGCTGTTCACCCTCCTCTTTGCGATAGTCATCATCTAGCATGAACTCCACAGGCAGCTCTCGCGTTGTAGTAGGGAAGTAGTATATTGTTGGGAACTCTTCCACTGTACAACCTCGCAGGGCATCGCCAAGTGTATCGGAGGATGTCAGAGGGATGAGTACACGTCGACTCGAGCTCGTCCTTGGCCGCAGGAGGTAGAGATCATACCAGACGTCCATTGGCGCGTCAGGTTGCGCAGTGTCTGGCTGTGGAGCCTCGGCTTCTTTGCTCCTAGCAACCTCTTCCGTTGTCGCTGAGGGTGTCGATGTCGAAGGCAGTGGCTTTTGTAAATTCGCGATCGGTTCAGTCTGTGGCGACGTGACCTTTCTTGCTGTAGGCTCTGCAGCGACCTGAGGCGGTCCAGATCGTGTGGTTGAATGTGCCTCGGCCTCTCTCTTTCTTTTCTTCTTCGCCAATGGGCTCTCATAGAGAGGATGCAACCTGTAGATCAGTTCTACAGCAGGACTCTGCGTGAGTGTCCGGCTCTTATCTTCTCCAATCCACTCTACTGTCCAGATGAGGTTCTTATTACTTTGACGGCGTCAGTAGTCTCTGAGTGAAATGTGCGGCACTGAAATCATACCCTGACTTTGACCGATGTGTCTTGTTCTCTTTCGCCCTACTCATCCCTTTGGGTGCCCGAATTACCTTGACGCCGGCGGTTGCAAAGTGATAGTTCATTGCCTGAGTCTGGTCGCCCTTGGGCCTAGCGGTGAGACCGATGTCGAGACCCTTCTCTGTCACGGACTTCTCTGACTTCTCGAGATCACGCTCAATACCAGATAGGAAGTTGTAGTCATGATCGACACCTGCCGGTGTAGCCAGTTGGGACTTCTTTACATACTTCGTAGGGTCTCGTTTGCCCGAGCATTGTGCCCATTGCTTATGACGCTTGACGCAGGGCAGCGAACATGTGCGTGCAGAACAACCTGGGCATTTGTACTTGGACTCTTTGTTGTTGCTGTTCGTGTTAGTTTAGAACAACGTAATGATCTAAGCATGTGCCTGCTGCGTGTACATAAATCAAGACTGTCGAGCGGGCAGAAAGACGGCAGGCATAAGAATCTCAGTGCATGTTGACATACCAGACGCTGCAGAGACTGCTCAAAAGAGTTTGATCCGACATGTTAGTCAAGATGTAAACGCAAGTCCCTTGATATCCAGATCAAAACCTCAGTTGCCAGATCTCAGATCTTTGACACACGGTCCCTGCGATCGGTTCGGAATTGCGGGTCGTCAGTAGCTCAGGAAATAGTGTGAGGTTCTCAGACGAAATTGGCAATTCGGATTCGGCGCAATAACGTTGCTGAGTGGTGGTCGCGAATAAACTGCAGTGGCTTGGCAGCTGCTGAAATATTTAGCGTCCGTGCGGAGCTCTCCCAGCTAACCACACCTTAGAACCCATGATTGCGAAATGCAAGATCCAGGGATATCAGCACTGCTTCCTCGAAGGTTTTGACAGCGTCGTGATGTGCGCGATAGTCAGAAGATGCTGCAGCCTAGAAGTCGTCAGAGTTCACATGGCTGGCGTTGGCTTGCCAACATGCCCTTCGGCCTGCCGCAACGGCCAGTCTCAATACCTGCGGATCGCTGCTTCGGACTCCAAACTTTTCTTCTTCAGCAGTGCGCGTCGAGCACAGAGGAGAAGAGGTTGGCGTACTCAAAGCTAACGCCGTTATAGTTTTCGTCCGCGATAAGACGTATCAGTCACGGGTACAGAACCGGGCACATTCTCCTTCGTTTGCCCGCCTGCTGATTCAACCAGGAGTGATCAAACAATACAACCCAACATATATGGAGGGCCACGACTGGGACAAGACGCTTACATATGGATCTGTAGAAGAGGTCATTCAGAATTGAATTATGGTCTGCGGAAAACATGGGCGAATCTCCCCGATTCGACAATCGAGCAACGTCGAGCCAGTGTTTCGGCATCATGATCTTCTCCACGCCCCACAACTCTACTGCAGTCAAAACCCATGGAACCAATTGGCACTACGTACGCAAATTCAATCAATGAGGCCGAAAATCGTACGGCTCAGCGCTCTCGAACGACACTGATATGCGCGTCTTCTGCAGCCAGATCGGAGTAGCTATTCGATGCAGAAATATAACACGCTTTCGAGGACTTTGACGATCAATCATCGCGTCAGAGACCTTGCAAGTTCCGCTGACAGTCAGGGGAAGGCTCGAAAATCTTGAATTCTTATTCGCCGAGAACGGAGCCCGCTCCTGCGGGAAGCCGCCGTAGCTTGCTCATGCACGTTTCTGCGAGGATGCACGCTGCAGATGGCCCTCGCGTTGTGCACAAAGCTGCAGCCACCCCAAAACGGCCCTCAGCATGAGACCGTGCCGTACGCTATTGCCACTTGAGGCGGGGATTTTGATCGTTCAATATCACTATCTACAAGGTTTGGCTACTCGGGCTGCAAGGCAGCCTTCCAGCAAAAGGTCGTGAGCTGTGAAGCATCTTGTTGCGCGTACTGCAGCTCGTGATGGGCTCGTATCACAGCCGGCTCACTGATCTCGTTCGCATACTGCCGTCAGACGCTGTGCGTCTCGGAGGGACTATTGCTTCTCACGGAAAAAGGACGCCCATTGCTGGACGGCGTGCACGCCCCTGACTACACCATGCTCGGAGGCGGAGACCTTCAAATGCGGATTGGCATGGAACATGCCATCATTTGCTCAACCGAGACTTGTGAAGCCCACCCATGCTAGCGCTCGGGTGGTTTCTTCCCCAAGCTCCAGCCCGAGCTTCGAGGGCGCCGCAGGTCCCCAAAAGAAGCCAGCCGCCTCATCGTGTTCCCCTTGCTGCAGCACTCCTTACTGCAATCACGCAGCAAGGTGACTCGGAGCTTTCTGCAGGTAGAGTTCGTTGAGTTGCTGTTGTTGTGTTCGAATTATATCGCATGCCCTCCTGAAGCTTTACAATATCTTCGGATGTTCCCTCTGTCGTTATCATAGTACTACCAAGTCTTGGACCCTCCGGACGTTACTAAGGGACTTTTCGCGCGATCGATTCGGTACCAGCGTAACGCATTCCAACAATGGCTCCGTCTTTGACCCTTCGTCCTCGCACTCGCGACGACCGGCCTCCTACAAGGGACAACACCGATCACAGTCTCATCATCCCCAGCCGGACGTCCTCTCTCCATTCGCGAATCACCCAGCCGCTCCCTTCAACATTGAACGTCAAACAGGGTGCTCGCAGCCCCAAGACATTGACCCATGCGTATATGGTATGCGGTGTTGGCCGGGAACCGTCGCAATGGGTGAAGGCACCAGCACTAGCTCAGGGCAAGATTGGGCACATGAAGGGCGCAGTGGGCACTTTCTGGCTGCCAGAGATCTTGGGTAGCAGTCCTAGGTTGGAGCAAGACAACGAGATTGCAAGGTCTCTTCACGCTGCTATGCGAGTATGTATTCATTCTGCTTCTATTGACACGTATGTTCTGATCACGCCATAGGCATGCTTCCCACACGATGTCGAGATCTGTACCGGACGAAGCCAGCCGCATTGTGTGCACCACTCCTTTGTCCTCCAGCAAGATTCTTCCCACACTCTCTACGGTATTGCCCTGCGTGTCTGGTCCCGCGCCGACGAGAAGAGGGCCGAGACGATTCGTGATCTGCGCAAGCGCATCGAACCGGACTTCTTCGACAGCCCTGATGAGACCTACTGGATCCCATATTGCCTGAGTTTCCTCTCGAGGTATCCCTTGTACAACTTGCTCGGCGACTATCTTCGAGGGATGTGGATTCACTGGAACAAGGCGACAAACCTGTTCCACGCTGAAGAGGTGTCTCGCATACTGAGCTTTCCCGCGCCACGACTGAACGACCTAGTCCGCATTGACATGAAGGACTATGCGTTGTGTTACCAGTTCCCCTCTTCGCCAACCGGTTTCCAAAATTTCGCCATGTGGCCGCTGTTCACCTGTCTCTCAATTCCCAACATTGTTGGCGTTATCGAGGCCGCAGTATCGCCAACACGACGAATCATCTTCACCAGTCACTACCCCGCCGTACTTACTATCGCAGCCGAAACTGTGCGATATTGCGTTCGGGTGTATGAGTGGAGCGGTCTGTACGTACCTGTCGTGCATGCGCGTCACGTTAAGGACCTCGTACAGGAGCCGGGTCCGTACATCCTTGGTGTAACATCGGAATGTCGATCGCTGTTCACTGCTCCAACCGACGCCCTAGTGGTAGACCTGGACCGAAACTTTGTGCTGACTTCGAGCCCACCGACTGCCCTGACAGCTGGACAGAGGACGAAGATGATTCAGCGTCTCACACAGGCTCTCAACGGCGAAGTGTCGCCGACTGGTGTCCCACAACATCTGCGTTCTGCTTATGGTGGTGGCAAGCTGATCCCTGCTGGTCAGATCATCGTCATGCGCGGCGAGGTTGAGAGCATTCAAGATCCAGACTGGTGGAACCAGGATGCGGTAATGTCCGTCATGGACCACGTGTGCGAGAAACTCGTAAGTGCTCAGCTAACCAGATTTACCTCGTTCTTGACGCTAACGATGTACCACAGGGACGTAACAGTGGGATGAAGGCAATCTTCGGTGGATCTGTCAAGAAGCCACTGATGACAAAGGTTTCTATGCGCCACCTCAACGAGATTGTTCGCGAACGCAACCAGTATTCTCGTGACGCCCAGGAAGCTTGGCAGGACTTCATCAACCTCAAGGGTCGCATGGACACGGAGCTCTCCAAGGTCTCCAAACGCAACAACTTCCTGGTTGAGGAGCTTGAGAGCTGGAAGCAGCAATTCCTTAAGTTCCAGACATTTGCTGAGCAACTCACCAAGGAGACTCAGGAGCTCAAGGTCAAGATCGAGAACCATAAGCGTGAGAACCGTCGCCTTACTAGTCTCATCGACCAGCAGAAGGACGATGCTGCACGTCTTACCATCCGCCTCTCTGGAACCGAGAAGCAGCGTGATGATGCTTTGGAAGCCCTTGTTCTTCAGCAGGAGATTGCCGAGGAGCTCGAGCGCGAGAGGAAGAGGAACAAGAAAGAGCTGTCTGCTCTTCAGCACACCAACTCCGCCATTCTTCGACAGCGTGATGAGACTCAGCGCGTGGTTCTCCACCTGCGCGCTCTTATCGAGGGCCAGACCCACCACATGGAGCACATTGTCAAGTCCCTGAACCAGGACGACATGAACAACTACATGGTAGAGGGCTTCGAGGACGTTGAGGAAGAGGAGGAGGAAGAGTTTCACGACTCTGAGGTTCCTCAGACTCCCAGGAAGGACAGGTCAGAGGTTGGCACCATTCGCGGCATGTCTGGTATTGACAGCCAGACTGGCTCGAGATCCAGCACCGCCAACGGTACGCATCTCGAGGGCGAGGACGTCACACCCGACATGGAACATCGCTTACACAACTCTCCAGCGCGCAACTCGAAGCGCTTCTCCAACCAGTCCATGGTCGATGTTGCCGATCGCGTCCTTCGCGACAAGACCGACGCCATCGCATACATCATCCGCAATATCTCCGAGCAGTGCGCCGCCGCCGTCGAGGGACTCCAGCTCGCCCAGCGCGCCGACACCGAAGATGGCGATAACCACAGCGAGCGCCGCGCTAGCGTAGGCCAACAATCAACTGTCGACGGCCGCACACAGTCCACAATCGGCAGTGAATACGGCGATGAGGACATGCTCCGCCCTGGCCGCGGCTCCAGCATCCCTCCCACCCCCGATCTGACCCACCGATCAAGCACATCGATGTCCATGGCCAGCGCCTCGACAACACCAGACAGGACGAGCCTGCAGCACCGGACCCACGACGTCCCTGACGTGCCCACCCGCATCATAGAAGACGAGCTGTTCGAGGACAACAACTCGTACTCCGACCTGCCTGTGTCCAAGTACGCAACCCCTCTTCCTCGCTCGCGACAGAGCTCGCGGCATGTGCGGTAGACCCGCACGGCTTATGTACGACGATCTCTCAGCTGGCTCAACTAGGCCTCTCTATCGCAGTTAACCTGCACATTATAGCTCTTTGAGCCACATTTGCATTTAGCCTTTCCTTTGGCGCTGGCGTTGGCGTCAGAAGGGGCGAACTCACGTTCTTACTGTCCTTGATCACACGTTGCATCTATATGCTTACCATCCCCTACGACCTTCTTGTGTACGGCCATTCTCATTTTGGTAGCGCTGGCAGCGCAGAGGTGGAAATGAACGATCGTCGAGCACGATTGCGAGAGAGCCTGGGCGAAGGCGGAGATGTCTTCCTATGTATCTTATCTTAGCGAGCTTTTTTGTTAGTATAATACCATATTTCCTCGTCTTGAAACAACGCCTTTGAGTCCCTCATGTCATGTCTTGAAATCCTCCGTCGAGATTACTTTCACCCTCACCTGTCTTCCCCGCTTCACCTTCCCTGCCCGACAGCCTCATCCTTACCTCACCATTACAGTGCCTACAGCACGCCACAATCTAGACTAACGGCGCTACGCACGCAGTATCTCATCTCGCCTTGCCCAGATCTGGTGGCGTTGGCTCGCCAGCTCACTGGCTGGTTCGGAGAATATGGCGGGACGTTGTCGGCGTCGGAAGGCGGGGATGATCGATGTTTCATCAACTGAGATATGAATTCTGCAGAGTAATGTTTGTAAACTATAGTAAGTGCTCTATTGCATGAAGCTACTGTGGGTGTTGGATGACATGTCGTGTACGAGAGATGATGTGATGTTGTATGGGTGGTTATGAATGAATGTGTATTGAAGCAGGTAGCAGGGGTAGGTACGCAGTATGATGTGTCTCGTTACGGCAACCTGCATCTATGCAATATTGTTAGATTGTGTTGCACAGACAAGTGATCTGTCATCGAAGAGATGCTAAGGTAGTTCTTGCGCCTGTGATTGCTTTGCTTTTGTTACTGCGCTAGTGCGAATGATTGCTGAGGTGGCTGCTGCAGGTCTCTGAATCTGCAGAGCTGAGTTGTACTGTACAATGCCCATCTCCAAAACCCGCCATTTGAGGTACTGCGCACACTTCTGAACTCACTGTCTACTGGGAATTATAAGTGTTGTCTTCGTGGAACACAGCCGACTGGGCACAACATGAGACTCTTACCAGTTTTGCTGACTGCATTGACATGGCTCACAAAACCAGCAAGTAGAATCTTACGTCGCAATATTCCCACGCTTGTTCAATTACGCCTATTCGATGCCGCTGTGCAAGTTGGTACGCAACGTTACCTTTGCCCTACGTTCATGCGTCGCTTGTTCTTGAACGACCTGATATCATGGAGAACATTCACGGCTTGTAATACCCTTCGACTTACCCTCCCATTGCGCTGACCGTAAGCAATGTAGAAAGTAGAGCGAAGTTCGAACAGCTTCTGTCCTATAGGCATAGCACGGGTGCTGACGACAAGGTTCTCGTAGCTGCAGATGTGGTGTTGATGGTGGGCAATCAAAGCGTGTCGTTAAGCCTATGTCGGTAAGCTCTTGAGATTGGGCTGGCGGATGACTGCTGGGCCTCGATCTTATTTGTTTGATGATGGGAGTTGTTCTCGAGCATCTAAGTTTTGTAGCTGTAGACCCTAGGTAGCAGATTTGCTTGCGGATTGATCACGATCGCTGCTCAGGATGCAGGAAGATTGGGCAGCTGTGAAAACCTCAAGGGGAAGATCAAGTGATGCTGCAGCAGAGCTCAGTCTTGGGTTTGAAGCCACAGCTTGTTCAGTGGGGTAGCCTGGTGCTGAGAAAAATGGTCAACGGTAGTTCGACTTGAACAAGAGACTACTGCAACGTCAAATGTTGTCTGACACCGGATGACCCAGCGGAGGCAGCGAAGAACGCCTTGATTCGAGCTTTCTGCACGACATGCGAAGTCGTCACCTGGCGTCGTCAACTTTCCGAGTTCCCCGCCATTGGCGTTGACGATAGGTTTTAATGCAGAATATCTACCCCACCTCAAACAATCCACTCGCAGTCATGAGGCAAGGTCCTTGATCATAAGAATGCCCAATCTGGTATCGCTGGTATCGGTAATGCTATGCTTTCTTTGGCTGAGATACAGCCCTCGAGGGCCTCACTCACCTTTTACATGTCGAAGGCATGGAACATTAAACAAAAAAGAAGAACGTTCCACGTTGTCGATGGCGGGACTGGATGGAGTGAACGTCCATGATCTCCGACAGGTCTTCAGTTGTTCGTAGTGCGGGTGGTGCAAACGAGGTTGCCTGAAGTTGTCGTAGCTGCAAACTTGCTGGAAGTTACTGGATCAGCCGATCCATCGAACCATCTTTGACAAGTTTGGTACCACTCCTTAGGGTTCTGTGCCTGCCCAACTGTGACTTCCTCCTTTCCCGCCTGGAAGAATTACAGGTTCGCGGCTGAAGAAGCCGAGGCGTGCTGAAGAGTAACTCCTTACTTCGAGCTTGAGGCCGTGTGTCTCGGCAGTCGCAGTAGGCTAACATTCGTCTCCGGCTACGACTGCTGAGTCCGTGTTGGTCTTCGCGTATCTGATGTTACTCAAGACTGCAGAGGGTGGTGTCTCTCATGTTGTCGCCAATTCCAACCAGGCAACTTCGAAGGAAGAGCAGATGGTGGCTTCACGGTCCACAGCTGATGACAAACTGCTTTTGTTCTGTCGTTGTGACGACATCGTGACTACGGATAGCAAGCGGCGCCGTTGAGATGTTGGTGGAGCAGCAGCCAATCACACGTGGTGATCCGCAACTCTCTGCATGGCAACACGTGATTTGCCCTAAGTGAGATGAGAGACTACATTTGATATGTCAACCTTCGACTCAAACGAAGACGAAGCGAGCTGAGCGAACAGATGGGAAGCTGAACAGCTCGTACGTTGTGTCACTTCCAAGCGCTCCAAGAGAGACCGAGCTGGATTATCGTATTGTGTGATATCTGTATCGTTGCTCGGCAGGAAAAGGAGTGCTCGCCTCATCATGGAGACAGTCGTCGTCCTGAAACACAATCACCCTCTGGTAGGCCTACTGCACATGCAGTCTAGTGCGTGAAGCGGCGTTGGGATCGTCAGGGTGTTTAGATGAGATCTCAAAGATGAAGGGCTGCGGATTAGGGGTCCAGCAGCCAGAGGACGCCAGATGACGAGAGGCATGAGCGTGGCCAACCAATATGCGTTTCACAATTCGACTCCGCTGGCGCAGGTGATGTTGGACAGTTGTGCGAACACGTCAAGGCACCACCAACACCAGGTGAAGGTGAAGCGGCGTTGCCCCGGGGAACAAACAAAGGTGCGCGTTGCATAACGGCGTGGACTGCTAGGATAGTCGTAGTGAAGCCGAAGTGGAGTCGTGGACAGCATCGAAGAAGCGTGGTTGTGGCTTGTTCGAAGTTCCTTTAGGCGCGCCAGGCCCTGCATGAGACAGGGAAGGTGCGCCCGAAAGAGTCGGTGCCAGATGCCTGCCTTCCCCTGGGAGACTACATCCCGCCATGGCCAGGGGTGCAGTTGGGTCTCTTGCGCGGCGCTGTTTATGGAATAATTGTGATTCCCAGCCTCGACTGTTCATTTTCATTCAGTGAATCTCCTGCGCAGAAGCTCGTGCGTCACTCTGACTGCAGTTGCGCGTTGCCGCACGATAGGGATCAATTGCGCGCACCTTCACCTGCCCCATGCAAACGCGAGCTGCCTCCACCCGCCATTATTACCGCCTCTCGGCACTGCTACACCTAAACATCACTTTCGACACGTAATTGCCTCACCACCGCTACGTTACACAGCGACACCGCACCTTTCTCGACGAACGGCGCTGCCGTGGCCGCATCATCATGGAGTCCCCGCCGACATCGCCGCCAGCGCGCGGTAAACGTCCTATGAGCGCAATGGTCAGGCCCAATCGCAGCTCGAGTCGATTAAGTATGAGCAGCAAGATGGGAGGGAGCCGTGCTTCAGACGACGAGAGCAAGACGGCAGTCAAAGTGGGTATGTGGGCAGCTCTTACCCTGAATTTCCCCGCAAACAAACATCCCTAACAGTAATTATTACAGCTGTCCGAGTACGCCCCCCACTGAAGCAGGAGGACCCAGGGTTCGATCTCGTGCCCCAGCGATTCCGTTCGCCGCGCTGTCATGTCACCTCACCCACCAGTCTCTCTGTCGACCCAGCTTCGGGCGGCCGAAAAGTCTTCGTCTTCGACCGCGTGTTCGGGGAGGATGTCGACCAGGAAGGCGTCTTCGAGTACGTCTCTGACAGCGTCAATTCCTTCGTGGAGGGATACAATGTGTCCATTTTGGCGTACGGTCAGTCAGGCGCCGGCAAGTCTTATACCATGGGTACGACAGGGCCCAGCGACCAGGGCAACGCTCAAGTCATGGGCATCATCCCCCGCGCAGCCGCGCTCCTCTATGAAAAGCTCGAAGGACCCAGCATTCATGCGCCTGGATCTGGCATACGCCCTCCCAACTCTCGTGTCTCCAGCATGGGTTCACAACACTTCTCCAGCAAGTCATCTTCCAAGAAGAGTTGGCAACTCACAGCCACCTACGTAGAGGTAAGAATCTGACACACCGTGAGACTGGCGATGCTGACATGTGCAGATCTACAACGAACAGCTGCGCGACCTCTTGCTCTCCGACACAGTACCATCCGCTCAACGCCCAGAGGTGGCCATCCGTGAAGAGCCTGGAGGCCGAATCATACTCGCCGGTCTCACCCAAGTTGTAATCAACTCAGTAGAGGATCTTTTGAATGCACTGAACTTTGGTTCTTCCATTCGCCAGACTGACGCGACCGCTCAAAATGCAAAGTCCTCACGTTCGCACGCTGTCTTCAGTTTGAACCTTGTTCAAAAGAAGAGCTCGTCTGCCCCCACCACCACACGCGAGAAACGCCGATCGGTACCTCTTGAAGCTATGTCAGGCTCCGGCGAGAACTTGGTCACAATCGACAGCAAGCTGCACTTTGTGGATCTAGCAGGAAGTGAAAGGCTGAAGAACACACAAGCTTCGGGCGAAAGGGCAAGAGAGGGTATTTCCATCAACGCTGGGTTGGCAAGCTTGGGCAAGGTCATCTCTCAGCTGTCCTCACGCCATCACAACGCTCACATCTCCTACCGAGACTCACGCCTTACACGACTCCTTCAAGATTCCTTAGGTGGAAACGCTATTACGTATATGATTGCGTGCATCAACCCGGCAGAGTTCCACCTTAGCGAATCCCTGAACACGGTACAGTACGCACAACGCGCGCGTGCCATCCAGATCAAGCCACAGATCCAACAAATCCACGATGACAGCGACAAGCAAGCAACGATTGCACGGCTCCGGAACGAAGTCCAGTTCTTGCGAGATCAGATGAGGATCTCCCAGAACACAGACCGGCTCAAAACAGATCCGAGCGAACGCGCCAATCAGCAATATGAGCGCGAAATGGAACTTCAAAACCAGCTTCTCGACTTCCAAGAGAACTACACCGCTCTTAGTCTCCGTCACTCTAAGCTGATTGCTGAGATCTCCAGAGTACGAGACGACGACGCTGCGGATACACCCATTCTCAGAGGCACCGTTGGTGATTCTGCGCTCGAGCGCCTGAAAAGATCTAATACGTTTGCAGATGCAGTCGAAGATGTGGTAATGGAGTACGAGAAGACGATCCAGACACTGGAATCTTCTCTTTCAAACACTCGAACGTCTATGTCTGGGCAAGAAAGCGAACTTCTTGAGAGAGAAGCTCGCATTTCTCTGCTCGAGAGTCAGAACCACCAGCTGCAAACCCGCATTCAGAAAGCCGTGGAGCGTGATGCTAGCAACGAAGAATACGTGAAGTCACTCGAACGTCAAATCGACAGTTCCGCGTCAGGCGTTGAAAGAACCGATACTACTATCTCTGATCTCCGCGAGAAGTTGCAGAAGGCCAGGGAAAACGAGTCAAGCTGCGAGGAGTACATCTCTACCTTGGAAGAGCGCCTTGCCGAGAACGAGCAGGAGGTTGAAGTCATGACGCGCGAAATTGAGCGTCTCAAGCACGTGGTTGGGAGACAACGCAGTATTGGAAAGCTGGACAATCTTCTTTACGAACTCGACACTGTACGCCAGGTAGACGCCAAACCTGAGGAAGCCTTGGCAAACGGTCACAGCAGGGGCCCCAGCGATCCCTTCATCGAGAAGCGAGTCTCTGGTGGTGGTCAAGCTCCACTCGAAGGCGCTCGTCACTTCAGCACTACAGTAGATGCTATCGCAGAGGAGGATGATGTCGAGCGTCCTACTACTGCAGGAGCAGCAAGTGGCAAAGGCGGGTCGGTAGCGCAGGACGACAGCCGCTCAGTCAAGAGCATCTCCGTCAGAGCCCTCACTGCAGAGAATGGCATGGAAGAACCATCAAGTCCTGCGCAGTCGAGATTCGTTCACGATAAGCTCGACTCTGTCACACAAGAGCTCTTCGATCTTCGTGTCGAGCATGAAGGGACCTTGCAGGATTATGAGAAGCTTGCAAGCAAGTACCAGGAAGCTTTGCGTACTTTGGCTTCCCTTCAAGACACTGTAGACGAAGCACGCCACGGATCTTCTCGTTCGTCGGCTTTTTTAGGCAGCGCCGAAGCCAACGGCCTCGACAAGGAGCTTGGAAAGCCTACATCATCGCGTGCATTGTCATCGGAATTGTACTCAGCAGAGTCTCACAACATTACTACACCTGAGGATGCCACTGAGGCTGGCCATGAACAGGCTGACGCTCGCCGGTCATCGACTGCTTCCACTGAGAGTGGATATTCCGTTCCAAAAGCAATCCTCGTTCAGGAGTTGCAGTCTTTAAAGACACTGCATGCTGAGAAGGAACAGCGTGTCGCTGAGCTCAAGCGGGACTACTCTGATCTGCAAGAGCAACATCAAGACGCGTTGGATTATGTCGAAGAGCTCAAGTCTGAGGTATCGAAGGCCCAGCTGACCGCGCGCCCAAGCTCCCCGTCGGTACATATGATCCGCCGCAAGTCCAGTCAGGCATTACTCTCGAACGACCGCTCTAACCGTGCTGTCAACTCGCTCCGTAGCCTGGCGCTGGACAAGCTCGATGAAGAACCTGCCCTGGCTTTTGAGAACAACCTGAGCGCAATAATGACGGAGCTCAATACCAGATCCGAAAGGGTCCAAGAGCTGGAGTCTGAGGTGGGATCCGTACGAAAAGAGATGGAGGCCAAGATGACTCTGATCAGTGGCTTGACAAAGGAGAGATCCAGTCTGAAAACCTCTTCACCTCTGGACATCGCTATTGTTGCTACCATGCAAGATCAGATTAGGCAGAATGAGGAGCAGATGAAGGAGCTGAAGAACTCGCATGCTCAGCGGGAGCTTGAACTACGAGAGCAAGTAGCCCTCCTCACAGCTTCGGCAAGATCACCAGAGTCCTCAGAAGAGGCACTGTCTGCTCGCCAACTACCCGATGCCGCTGAGCATGATGCCAACGTGACTGACGATGCGACACGTCATCGACAGCTGATCAGCCTCACGAACGAGGCCGCCCAATGGCAATCAAAGCATCTCGAGGCTATCGAAGCCACTAAGGCTTCCGAGAAGCAGCATCTAAGCACAGTCCGAGAGCTAGAATCTGCCATGGAGCAGCTCCAGGCGAACCACACCGCCCGGCTGAACGAGCTAGAGGACACTAGAGGTGCCGAGGCGTCAGCAGTACTCGAACAAGAGCGGGCTAAGCACGCAGAGCTCGTTGCAGCTTTGCAGGCTCAGGTTGATGAGCACAAAGCGACCGCAGGTAGTAATGCTGCCCGTCTCGCCGAGCTTGAACAATCACACGCGAACATCATCAAGCAAGTGGAGGAAGATTCGGAAGCTAGAGCGTTGACTGAGAAGGAGCTCGATACCCACAAGTCGCTCGTGGCCAATCTCGAAAACCAGATTGAAGAGCACAAGGCCGCCATTGATTACCACGAGCAGGGGATGGACTCCTTGCAGAAGTCTCACGCAGCTGAGCTGGAGAAGTTGACCTCCGAGCTTACAACACACAAGGAGTCAAACGCTGTGCTACAGACCGATCTCTCCAGAGCCAAGGAAGAGTTGGAAAACCTTCTGCAGGGCGTTTCTATTGCCTTGAACCAAGAGATTGCTGTTGGCCAAGTGCAGTCGCAAGTCGAGTCTCTGGTTGAGGCCCGCAAGTCACTCACAGCCCGCATGGACCAAGCTCTCGACGATCTTCAGGCAGCTAGACTTGAGCTAGCTGATGCGACCAAGACAATCGACACTCTGAAGGAGAACATGAAAAAGTTCGAGGTGCTTAACGCCGAAACCATCGAGGAGCTTGAGCGCGTCAGCGAGAAGGAACAGAAGAGCTCCCGTCTGGTTCAGGAGCTGGAGGATCAGCTCAACCAGAACTGGGACCAGCATGAGGCGACCAACAACCGCCTGTCTGCTCTTCAGACAGAGCGCAGTCGTGAGCTACAGGATGTCATTGTGCATCGCGAACAGCTTGAGAAGGATGTCGAAGACTCCCGGGCCAAGATCGCCCTTCTTGAGGTACGTACTTCCTCTGTGCCTGCAAACAAAGCTAACAACATGCAGTCACAGCTCGCAGATGTCAAGCGAAACTCTGGCCGCGTTTCCATGGATCCTCGCGAGGATCTTCAGAGATCCAACTCGAACAACTCCAATGCTCGCAAGAGCTTGAACATGTCTCTCCCTTCGCCACCACCAGCTATTCCGCTGCCTCCTCTGCCGCCAAACAGCCCTCCTCCCAGCCAGGTCAATGCTCCTTCGCCACCCGCCTCGCGTCACCAGAGCAAGGACATTGCACAAGCTCAGTTGGTCGAAGACCAGGAGGCTCGCATTCGTACCATCGAGAAGCACTTGTTTGCTGAGAAGCAGCTGACAGCTACTCTCGAAGATGCCCTGACGGATCTCGAATCTTCGAGCCAAAAGACCAAGACCGATCTGGATCAGTACAGGAAGAAGTGCGCTGGACTCGAGGAGGAGCTCAACGCCATGCGCAAGGAGCGCCATGCTGCGCGCCACTCTCTTCAGGCTGTCGAGGAAGAGCGCAACGCTCGTCTACGCGTGGAGGCAGAACGCGCACACCTCGAGGCCCGCATGGCCGCTCTCAACGATGCCAACAGGAAGAGCAAGAAGAAGGGCACCTTGAACTGCTTCTAAGCCCTTCACGACTACAGCACCGTTCATACCGTACATTTTTCGCTTTGCGGCGCATTGGGATATGGCGTTACATACCCCGATACACTCTGTTCTTTCGTCACCATGTCGACTTAGTCTCGAGATGGATGTAATGTATTCGACGATTCTTCACGTACCGGGTATTCTACTCGGTACAACTTTTCTTCAGTCATATGACAGGTATGTCACCAAAGTATATTCGCCACATGCTCCCCTCGTTCAATTCTACGTTGTTTGTTTGTTTATTTTGCGCAAGCGTGCATACCCCATACCCCATACCCGCTTTACTTCCTAATGTATACAACGTTTGGTGGGAGGAGATGGTCTGGTTACAACATAATTCGTGGGGGAAGTCAGACATGCCAGCTCCTTTATGCTCTAAGCATTGATGAGATTTACGATGGCACGGCATTGCTCTTTGAGCGAGGTCAGAAGATGAATGGCATTTGAAGAATTTAACTCTATTTCACACCCAGATCATATCGTCTTGACCGTGTGTGCTAGACCGTGAAGCCTGATGAACTGCTGCAAGCTGTGGGCAGCTCTGAAGCTATGCGGACGTTCGTACTGCTTGTGGCCTGTCGTTGCTCGCTAGGTTGTGCAGCGTTGTTCAAAGAATGATAGATAGGTAAGGACACGCTCATCGTGCAACCTCTGCATTTGCCCGGCAAACATGCTGCATATTTCGTCGGGCGATAGACTGCAAGGTACGGGCTATCGCCGTCCCGCAGATCAATGGCGGGTCGGCGCGGGCACGTCATCTGCACTAGAGGTCGAGAATTTGGGCACGCATGCAACCACTGTTCACAGAATTGGCATTTGTTAAAACCCAGATTGACTAAAAGCGCATAACGTTCCTTCCCTCTGGTCTCTCGTTCATTTCACTCACATCTTCCACTCCATTGACATCTCAAACTTCCCCAAATCGTAGCAAAATGGCAACGTGAGTGCCCCGCCGAACCCCACCATCCACCATCTTGGGGTCTCCAAACGAAGACAAGAAGTATACTGACAGCCAACAGCAACATCACCTGGCACCCATCCCTTTCGCGCGAGGAGCGCAACACATACCGCAAGCAGCCCGGCTTCACCATCTGGTTTACCGGTCTCTCAGCGTCTGGAAAGTCGACCATCGCGACTGCGCTCGAGCAGCACTTGCTACACTTGGGCTTCGCTGCCTACCGTCTTGATGGCGACAATGTGCGCTTCGGATTGAACAAGGACCTAGGGTTCAGCGAGAAGGACAGGAATGAGAACATAAGGCGTATTGCTGAGGTCCGTTTTCACCAACAGCCCTGCCCACAGTATCGGCGCAAGACAAGACACAGCTACTAACCCACCCACCAGGTCGCAAAGCTCTTCGCCGACTCCTCCACAATCGCCATCACCTCTTTCATCTCGCCCTTCGCCGCCGACCGCGCAACCGCACGCGCCCTGCACGCCGAAGTCAAGGGCAACGACGCACCGCTCGAGTTCATCGAGGTCTTCGTCGATCTGCCGCTCGAAGTCGCTGAGGCCCGCGACCCTAAAGGTCTTTACAAGCTTGCTCGTGCGGGCAAGATCCCAGAGTTCACGGGTATCAGCAGCCCGTATGAGGCGCCTGAGAACCCGGAGATTTACATCAGGAGTGATCAGAAGAGTGTGGAGGATGCGGTTGCGGAAATTACACAGTATTTGGAGAAGAGGGGGTTGTTGACGCTTAAGCAATAGAGAGTGTGCCTCTGCGCATCAACCGATCAAATTCGCGGTATGCGATCTGCCGGTTTGAGACGTCGCTATGTTGGATTTAGATGAATGATGGAATTACAAAGTGCCGGGCGAATAAAAGCTTCTGAGCACGAAAAACATCAAGACTGTCTTTCCCCCACCATGCTACGTACGTGATTGAAGGCTAGGTCGTACGCTTTGCGAACGGACTTGTGCTTGCTTTCTGTGTGCTCGAAGGTGGCTCACTTCGTGCGCTCATGCTCTTGACAGATCATTGAGATCGATGAGGTTCTACTACGGAAATTTATGTTTTGTCTTTGCAAATGACACCGTCAGTCAAAAAAACACACACAACAAATGCTCAATTATATGTATACAAGCCGACTTGAGTAACCATCTTGCTGCTGCTTGAAGCCAGTTACGTAAGCATCCCGGCAAAACTCCCGGCCCGCTTCTTGCTCAAGCCTAAATTTTCGGCAGCTCCAAGAAACCCTCACCACAACCACCAACACGAACACATCGCGCTTTACATGCGCGCGTTCTTGTTTGTTGATATTTACTGACGCAGCGATGCGCTCTCCACTGTAGTATATGGTAAGCTTTTCCTTCCAGTTGCGCCCGCGCAGATGATTATCAAAACACGAACAATCCAATTCCTATCAGTCATGAAGGACTACCTAAACTCTAGAATTACAATGATGCTCAAATCACAGCATTGCTTTCGCTCACACGCTTGCGTATGAATACTCGACTAACTGTACTTCAGCTTCTCTTCGCTTCTTCGTAGGCTTTTTGCAGCGTCGTCGGCACATTATTCTTCAAAAGGTACGGCAATTCCACACCACCCACCACCCCTCCCCAGCATAGTGATGATACTGTGACACGGAAAGGCATTCCTCGACCTGAATATACAATGTCGATCTTATCACGCAATTAAGTTTCAGCCTTGTCTGATTATGCTCAACACCGTCAATTGCTCAACATTTGATTCGAGACTCGACGCTGACATGTTCTCTTCAGGTACATACTCCTTCTCGGACTCATTGTCACTCTCTCGAACCCACCTACCCTTCCTGATGAGACCCCTCGATGCGCCGGGCGGACAGATCGTACTCTCTGACCGACATCCGTCAAAAGCAGGCGTACAAACCTGTGGGTGTCGGAAGGGGAAGTACTTGTTGATATAGCATCACTGATTGCACATACCCCCGTGCTCACGTTGCGACACGCCTTGTTGCAAAACTCATGCTAACAGTCGCTGCACAGGTACGGCATACTCTTGTCTTCTTTTACGGTCCATCATTTCTATGATGATTATTTGATATTCACACTGTGTGACGCGGCGGCTTCGTAACGGTTGTCGTCGCTCTGATCACTTTAAAAAATCTGATTTAATGAGGTATGTTGTATTCACTTATCACTCAATGAGCGTCATCAGCTAACGCCTCTCAGACTGAAACATTTGATGGACTTCTATCTCTCATTCACCAGAATGACAGGTCATTTCGTTCGAGCACACGCTGACGACGTGACTCCAGTGACTTCTCCCGACTCATTTGCTTGTAGTATTGCATCATTTCGTAAGTCTACTCACACCTCACTTCCCCTTCACCCATCTACATGAGGAAGACAATGTACTGCTGTATATCTTCTGCATACCCCTTGAAGAACACCACATCACTTTGGAGACCTGACACTCGATCCCATCGAGGTACTGTCGACACGCTGTCCGTAACAAGCTTGCTGACTAGTCTTAGGTACCTTCTGACTGATCAACCCCCGAGCGAGATCGGTCTGTACATTGTAGAATATATATTCAATACAGCCACGTCTCAATCCTCCACACCTATGCCTCTCTGCCTACATGCGAATGAACGTGTCATTCATGACTGCTTTGATCTTCTTTAACAACCCATGTCCCTCCGACTTGACCATCTACCGTATACACCATGCCATTCGCCAGTCTTTGTTTATCCCCACTCCTGCCGCTCTTCAACGCTCTCAGCATGGCTCTGTGGGGCCTCCTCGGCTCTGGCCGTCTGGAGTGTTAGTGCGGTATCAACCACAATGGCGGTCAAGCACGACTCCGTCGGCGGCGCAGGAACGGGCGTTTACCCACCCTTCTCGTCTATGTACCGGGTTCGAGGATGTTATTTAAACCCACTGCAGCAGTTTTGCTTGAACTTTGACCGGAGACTAGCATGCTGGGCTTGCCGAGACTTCCGGTCGATATCAATGCGTTACATTGGAGGCTAAGGATTGAATGGATTTGGCTCGGTGATCTGATCTGACCAAATCAGACCTAGACATCAGTCATAGATAACAAGGGTGATCACAGGCATCAGGATCACATCCACACTCCGATCTCGATCGTTTGTTTGTTGTGATTGAGATCTGGTGGTGTGACTTGTTATACATGCGATTGTGGAGTACATGTCTGGATGTATCATGTGAGTTGTGCCACCGGTTGTGGAGTACATACAGATGTCGCTGTCGATTGCGACCCGCATGCAAGACACTGTCTGTGACGTGGTGCAAGATGTGGGGTTGAGCGCGCAATCCTTCTGCAGCCGCGGAGCAAAGCGGAGCTGCTATCACAAACCTTCGTGTACAGTCTCTGGTGGTCTGAGACTTGGTTCTAATATCTTGTGGCGAGGTGGATGTGTTGGTGATGCGGTGAAGTCCTGACTGTGATGCTGGTGAAGCTTGGGGGCTGGTGCGATGGTGGGAGATGGATCTGGCTTGATTTGCGAGTATGTCTAAGATACAATTTGAAAACCGGTAGAGCTGAATGTGTTGCAGCTCAGTAGCTTCGGGTCTAATCTATTGGCAGTGTAAGGTTTGTTTGACTGATTGATTAATTTAACGTCAATAGTGATTGATTGATAACACGATTTGTTTTGCTGGGTAATGAACACAAGATTGCTGTTTTTACTGCTTTTACTGCTATTGCTCGAGCTGACGTTGCTGAGAAGAGGTTGCTGATGTTGGTCTGCATTAGGCTCATGTACTCATGTACGATCTATCGATAAGTGATGTGTACTCCGCAAAGGGATAACTTGCGCGATGCTGTGTGTGACATAAGCTGACGCGGGGGAGCCGGAGACGTGAGGATACAGTAAGCGCCTGCGTGTCGGTCCGCCCCAGCGCATCGTGTTGCCTTTGTGGGGCATGTGTGCTCTTTCTGTGTTTAGATTCGGGTAGTGTTGCTGACTGCATGTGGTGCATGCGGTATCGATATGGATGTGAGGCTGGTCAATGTGGGTGAGGCTGATGTGCTGTTAGTGTTTGAAGCAGTGGGTTTTCTTATCGAGATGGACATTGACGATGCGAAATTGGGCTCTAAGCGACTCCAGGAGAGAAGGGAGAGGAAGTTGTTGGTCGACTCCAGCAGATCGTCGAAAGCAAGTATTGAATTTCTCTGTTCTGTCCAATTGGAGGTGCAGTCAGTTAAATGGTCAATTTCTCGACGTATCACAAAAAAGATGAAAATCGAAAAGCAACGCGCGCAGGTGGTGCTACAGCATGCGCCACAATGGATATACCGTTGGGGCGGGAGAACAGATGGCTCGGACGACAACTGTCGTGCACTGTGGACCCACGTTACTTGCTTTTGCCTTGCCGTCCGTGAAGCAAAGGGTCATTAAGGATCTCGAGTCCTGCTCGAGCTTACCCCGCCGCAGAGGCTATGTAACTATCGCTTTTGGACGCGAGGGCACTTGGTCAAGGCCCTGGGTTGATATTTTGGGTTCTAGCAAGGTAGCCCTTTGGTTTGAGTCTGGGGCTGAAGCGTTGCACCCTCCATCTGTTCCTGCGGACATGTGACAAACATCATGGCAGGTTGTGCTGTATGCGTCTTCTTGTGGTAGGACAACTCAGGTCCGTCCTGTGGCGCGTGGCTCAATCATTCGTGCAGCTTGCGAAGCCACTGAACTTGCTGTTGGTAGAAGAAAAACGTGATCGTCACATGTCGAAGCCAGCAGATGACACAAGCAAAAATGCAAAACAAGTGCGCAAGAGAACGCGGACGATGACGCCGGGAGTCGAAAAGATCCCAAGTTCCAAGCACCTTAGCAATATTGCTGCCCAAGGGAGTGTTTTGGCGGCGAATCGACCATGATGGGGGTGTTGGCCGGATATCGGTGTCCGACATGGCTGAATGCACCAGGACGGTTGGGAGGTTGGAAGATCCGTGGTTGTGGTTGATATCGGGCGTTCCGAGGTTATTTTGCCGAACAACAAAGTTGCAGTGTCATAGGAGTCGACCTCTGTGGTGCTGTATTTCCGGTGTTTTCGCAAAGAGTTACGCAAGAAGCATCATGTCCACCATGCTGGAACCGAGGATGCTGCGACGTCCGAATCTTGTTGTAAAGTCCGAAGTGATTTGTATATCTACGGGGCTTATTTACCTGTGCGTTTCCATGAGTATCGTGACGGTGGGCCGGCAATCTATTTTGATGGTCTGTGACGAGGTCCTAACGCGGGAGAAACATTCTGGAAGATGAGTTGCATATGTAACGAGGCCAATTTGACCCTTAATTCGAACAGTTCGCCCAACGTTGTGGGAGGCGAATGTCGTTGACTGCACTGTTCTTTACGCATGGACTTGGACAATGGCATTTCGGCATCTCAGGGTCTCCAGCAAAGGTCTGATGGTGACAGCGGAGAGCGGGAGGACCAGCAGACGGCATTACGTGCGTCCGGCAGAGACAGCTCGGCGAGCCTGGCGAGGTGGACTTGCAAAAACTCTGCTCGCCGTGCGCAGTCCCTTTGGGGCACGTTGTTGACAGTGTTCCTGGAGCAACTTTGCCGTACGGATGCTCAATGCTCCTGGCAGTTAGAGTTAGCCCTTGAGCTTGCTATCGTTTCGTCGATCACTGCGTGGTAACACGGCACGTCAAGCTCTCCACTCCCCGTTTGCCCTGCATTTCCTAAGCCAGAGTTCAGCCCAGAATGACGACGATGACATCGTATTCTCAAGGATTCTGAATGATCAAACACGCCCCTGATGTTGGGGTTAGGTACGCCCTGATTTTGGGATCCTCACGATGAGCGCATCAGCGACGGTCTCAATATTCCATCTCTCCACCACTGACTCAAGCTCAGGAAGATTTCACGCCGCTCTCTCACCATGGCTGTTCCGGGACGCCACGGGTGCGCTAGAAGCACGCCTCGACAGCGAAACCACGTTGACGGTGCCGACAAAGGCTCTTCGCCAATAGTTGCAGGCGCTAGATGTGATGGCCAATGGGGTAAGGCTGCAGGATGCTCAGGAACCTGCCTCAAAACAGGTACTAGTGGCTGTCGGCGCAGGTCAGGAAACGGAAAAGGGGCCGCAGACTTGACGAAACATAGTTGCCCCAGCGAAATGACAGCCTGATGGTCATGTCTGACAGAGGCCGATCGTGAAAGGGTTGCGTTGCTCAGATACCTGCTGCGGCGCGGAGAAGCGTAAACATGCAAGGCGAACCGCGTGTTGGCCGCTCCATCCCGGCTGTGGCAGGACGCGTGATCTGCTGGCGGCGCGGGTCGTGAGCTGGAGATGAGGCTATGTTTCGTGCGGTGAGCGAGAGTCGTGGGCGTACATAAGATATGTGCGTGCTAATGCATACGCTGGAGTGGATAATTTTGGCTGCATCGGCGACATGGAGTGTCACGTGCTGACACATAAAGTCGAGTGAATTAAGCAGAGCGCGCAGCAGCCCAACCTATGAGGTTCATGACAATATTGAAAAAGGGGGCGGGCCGCCGCGAAGAAGGCCAATCGTCGCCGCGCGCTCAGCCTAGGAGACATGCGTGCTGGCGTCGGACGCGTTCGATTTGGCACTCGAGGGCGCCTTGCCGAAATGAGCACTGAGCGAACCGAGCGCACCTGCAACTTTCTATCGCGCCTTCCCTCACACGCCCGAGCCCGTTGACAGTCAGCCCCGGTCTCAAGACGGTCCTGCCCTCATTTCGCGCGACTCAATCTCGCTGGCCGCCACATCATCTTTGTTCTGCCAAAACACCAAAATACCGCCATGCTTTTGCACTTCACCGCTCACCCTGCTCTTGCCGCTACTTGTTCCGCGCAGTGTTTCGCTCGCTAGCCGGTCGCCTCAACCCACTCCATCTGGGCCGCGAAGAACTGTCTGCCAACGCACGCGTCTGCGACCGCCTTCACCACAGCAACAGACCGACTACTGGCCTTGGACCAGGCCTTGCCTGACTGGGTGTTCTGATCTTCATTATTACGCCTCGCAACGCTCCCCGAGCGCCCCTTCCACCCTAATTTCCTACCTAGCCTAGCTCGGCGATTCGTGCAAAGGCCCATTTTCGCACCCTTCCTGTCTTTTATTAAAGAAAACGGTCCATCAATCACAGAAGGTTGCGGCTGCCGGCGCATTTCTGTTCGTGTTGTCACCTCCCGTCAATCACGCCTGCCTCGCGTTAGACCGCTTCGTCTTCAACCACCTCAACTGGAATTACTGGACCAGGCCACCCATTCCCAACCTTCACTCGTCGGCCAAATCCACTTCCCTCTAACCCCCGACGCTCGGATCAAGGCCAAACCTCCCTGCCTGATCACAAAGCCATTTACGCTATGGTCACAAAGTCATACCTGATCAAGCTCACTAGAACATCCTAACTTACGGAATACTACCCACCTACCGTGGTCCCGGGCTTGTCTCCACAGGCCTTTTCCAACCGTCGTCCCTCATTTCTTCGACATTCCCGCATCTGCATCAACCTGGACCCTTACTCCTGCTGCTATTGCACTTCAAACCCTTTGATACGCACTGGACTCCCCCTCCCCCTCCAGCGAAACTCGACATCAAACCAACTCGACCATCAAAAGAAACCAACACTTCGGACCTTTGGAATGAGATGAACTAGACCAATTCGATCGATCCAACCAACCAATCCAGGACTCCCCTTTGGTGAGCTCATTAGTTGCCTCCACAAGGCATCTGTCTAACCTGCGACAGTCCTGTGTACTACGCAGAATTGTTGAACGACTCACATCACTTTCACAATGCACCCAGAATCACGGGAACTGCCCCATGGGTGGGCCTCTCTTGAGGAGAGGTATGAGGTGATGAAAGAGATAGGTGACGGTAGCTTCGGCAGCGTTGCACTTGCACGCGTCCGAACTGCTGGCGCTCACATTGCCCGTCGCGGCACTTTGGTAGGTGCCATATCGCGCAAACAGCTCACGTTGATGACCAACTGACGCGTCACAGGTCGCGATCAAGACAATGAAGAAGACCTTCGACTCATTCTCGAGCTGTCTGGAACTGCGAGAAGTCATCTTCCTTCAGTCACTGCCTCCTCACCCTCATCTGGTACCTGCACTTGACATCTTCCTGGATCCCTACAGTAGAAGACTTCACATCGCCATGGAGTACATGGATGGAAACTTGTACCAGTTGATGAAGGCTAGAGACCACAAGCCATTAGACGCCTCGAGTGTGCAGAGCATCCTCTTCCAGATCCTTGCGGGTCTTGAGCACATCCACGCCCGCGAGTTCTTCCACCGCGACATCAAGCCAGAGAACATCCTCGTCTCGACATCACAACAAAACGACTCATCGCATCCTTTCCGACGATACTCAGCAATGATGACACCACCATCGACCCCTCCTGCCTACACCATTAAGATTGCCGACTTTGGACTCGCGAGAGAGACGCACTCGAAGCTCCCTTACACAACATATGTATCGACACGATGGTACCGTGCACCGGAAGTCCTGCTACGCGCTGGCGAGTACTCCGCTCCCGTCGACATCTGGGCAGTTGGTGCGATGGCCGTCGAGATCGCGACATTGAAGCCGCTCTTCCCTGGTGGTAACGAAGTAGACCAGGTGTGGAGGGTATGCGAGATCATGGGCAGCCCGGGCGGTTGGATCAACAAGCATGGTCAGCCCGTTGGTGGAGGCGAATGGAAGGACGGTGTCAGACTTGCGCAGAAGCTGGGCTTCTCCTTTCCTAAGATGGCTCCGCACTCACTCGACACAATCCTTCAGACGCCGCAATGGCCTGCCAGCTTGGCCAAATTCGTCACATGGTGCCTTTTGTGGGACCCGCGAAACAGGCCGACGTCCACCCAGGCTCTCGCCCACGAGTATTTTCAGAACGCTGTCGACCCTCTGCGCCTCAAGTCATCGTCTTCTCGCCTGCTAGGCCGCAAGCAGTCTGACCTGTCTGGTAAAGATTCCCCAGACGCTTCTCCCAGCATCACCTCGAAGACTTCATCGTGGCTGCGCCGATCGCTGGTAGCTCGCGAGAGTGCTCCAGCCGTTCCTCAGCACGTTACCCCTGTGCAGCAAATGTCACCGCGCCCATCACCACAGCAAGCCAACACAAGCGACCCAAGTGGGTCAACTAAGCAACGTCCCAATCCAGTTAAGCGGGCTACGTGGACAAATGGAGTGCCCAACAACGGCGCCCCTATCCCTATATTGCCTTCCATCAGACCAGTCTCCCCACTCTCTGCGGAAGTCACTGCGCAAGCAAGTGTCCGTGCTGCCGACAAGGAGGGAAAGGCCAAGATCGGACGTCAGCTATCACTCGCATCACACGGCAACCACTATGCAGATGCTCACCGCCAGGAAGCAGAGAGGGCATTGAACGGCCAGTCGGGACTTGCATCCCCAGCGAGCGGTCACAAGGAGGGCTTCTTCTCACATCTCCGCAAGCGCGCTCGACGCCTTTCAGGACGTTATCCAACTCCTATGTCGCCCAATTCGGACGATGTCGAGGCTAATGCGGGCTGTGCCCCATGGGCTGGCTCCGCTAGGTCTTCACTAGTAGTTGATCAGCCACTCGCCGCAGCACCATCAGCAAACCCGGACTACTCCGAGTTGGACAAGGCTCTTCAGCATGTGAGGTGCACAGTTGAGAACAACGCGGCAAAGCAGCGTGTCGCATCGAATCCCGTGCTTAAGAGGCACCACTCTGTGCCCCATGGCTCTGAGACCCGTGTCTCTGAGAACGGCGTTGGCGGGCCCGTCTCCAGCAGGACTAGGCGAGCGGTTCAAAGCAAATCAAACCCTTCGAATCCTCCCAACAAGTACGAGACTCCCAACGAGGAGGAAGAACTTCTCAGTGAAGTACTTGCCTCTGCCCACAAAGCTGCGAAGAAGCTGGACAACCAGCAGAAGGCACCGCATCACTCACACTCTCACACGGAGCCAACGGCATCGTACCTGACTCCATCGCCATCTGCCAACCGCAACAGCGCATTTAACCAGAACAACTACGTCACGCCCAGCAAGCCCATGGATATCTCGAAACCCTATCCTGCTCAAGACGAGAATGTTTCGAAATGGCCTACCCCGCCAGACGACAGCGACTGGGCGTCAAGCGTAGCAGCAAGTCTCATGGCAACGCAATCGCTATACCGGTAGCTCTACTGCCGGTCAGAAACTCTCTTCGCTTCGTTTTTAACCCTTTCGATCACATATTAAGTGTAATTTACGGCCTACATCTCCATCGCCAGCATGTGCTCGCGCCAGTCACCCTTCCTTCACGGCTATGACCGCATGACATGAGCTTCGGTCTCCCGTCTGGAACGGTGCGCAACAGGTCACAAAAGTGGCGGCGTTTGAACATCACAGAACAATTCGTTCACATCTCGCAATATTACCTCATCTCACTATCAGCGACACAATCGTTCTGTACACCACATCTTTCTATATCGGATTCTATACTTTGGCGGCATTTTCATTTTCATCTGGCGAGGGCATTATCGCACAGGCATGAGATCGTCGATATCTCACTTTTGGTTAGGGATAAGTCTGGGATATCCCGACACTTACCTTTGTACCCTGTTTCATCTGGGCAATATTTTCGTCAAAGATACCTCGCTAGACTGATCAGCACACATTTTCCTTGTCAGCTTCATTTCGTTGTTCCTGGCGGATACCCAATTTGCATTTGGCGACTACATCAACATTGTCGTCCCCGCAATCTCCGTTTGTTTTGGTTAGGATGGAAGTCACGGTGGACCTCGTTTTGGGATACTTGGTGCACGGATGGGCCTGTGGTGTTCATAGATAGCTAGTCCTGTTGAGCGATCAACTCCATTTCCTTCCCCACTATCTCCTTGCGTTTCCTGGCAGCCATACACTCCATCGTTATAGACCTGGTCGGTGTCTCCTTGCCTTTTTCGCGACTATTCGCCCAGAGCAGTTTGGACGTTCCTTGTAATCACCTAATGTCGCCTCGCTCGACAACACACTTCTTCTCTTGACCGCTGGTTGGTCCCTGTACATTTTTGTAGTTTCTCGGAGGCTGGAGCACCCCCGGGATGGATGGAAGAAGGGTTGATACCACTGCGCTGTCTTGTCGTTACTCGGCTGGACCGCTCTTCAGATCAATTTCCTATGTAGCATATCAATCAACTCATGGTGCTCGCGTTGCGACATCAACCAACAGACCTCTTCACAGAAATGCTTCATGATTCAAAAGACCAAGCAGCCACCGTTCGAGTCAAGATGTTGTACGCGTAGTCGACTACGCCAACACCCGAACAACGCACAACCAGCCCACCATGACCCCTCCGCGAACGGCACTCCACCGCTCTTCTACCACGTACACCGACGTCCTCCACAGCCCCTCCTTGATCAGCCTTTTCACCGCCACGTCGACACAGGGCAACATGCGTTCGTGCAAAAGGGAAATGGCACCTGCCGTGCACGCCACCGACACATCACTCGCATCAGCACAGACTGGCTCCGGAGTTACTGTTAGCACAGAATCTGGTGCAAGGACCTGGCTTCATCGCATGGCGAGCACATCCTCGCATTCTCAACTGTGCCAGCCCTGCCAACTGGAGCTGGGACTGATGTGAGACTCTATGGACACTGAGGTAAGACCGGATCTTCAGGGTGACGCTTCATCGAGGACCCTGGTGAACACGTATGCAGATGTTGAGAAGTGCATGCATGGCATGGGGAATGTATGCACGGCATATGTCGCACAGCGACGGTAAGACTTGGATACGTGCAGTGACCCTGCATAGTATGGTATGCTGGTCTTGCCTCGTATAGCCGATTTGGGAGCAATCATTCATATGAGGTATGTTCGATCCAACTACTCATTGCTTCACCTCCAGCTCCATCTTCTACCATCGAGAGTACACTGAACACAATTCAAACAAGCAACCCACATCAAGTCTGAAGCCGCGAAGATGTGGTTCGGGTAAGGTTGTACCACCGGTTACGGGCCGCTGCGTGCATGCAGATCAAGGGAGGCTGCGTGAGCACCCGTGGTTGTTGACATGCCTTGTTGCTTTGGGCGTAGGGTACCGGACTTGACCTTTTGAGGTCGTCCAGTCACCTGTCAGAGATGGTGTTTATGGAGTTGAGGGAGGCCTTAGTCTACCCGTCGCTATCACTCAGCAGCTCGACCAGTCCTCGTTGCTCAGCAGCCACCCTCGAGCTGGAATGCGCAAGCCGGAACGAGCGGAGGAGCATCGGCGACGCACGTGACGTGTCAACAAACGTCGAGTCCTTGATTGGCCGGGAGGTGTGGCGGAAAAGAGTCAAACGCCGCGGACAAATGTAAAATGCAGGCTTATCGATAGGAGCGCCGTTACGTGACTGCGAAATAGTAGGGCTTCTCCGCGCTTCGGCGTGGATTACATATCAACATACAGCGTGCTAGACTTTTTTTCTTTCAGTCTTCAGTCTGTCCATCCTGGTTGTATCTGCTTTCTGGGTGTCGTGTTGCGCACAACTTAAGAAACTGCGCCGGTCGCATTCAGTAATTGCTCGCCACCCCTCCCCCGCCATCACGCGCGACCATGAGCGCGATTCTCTCCGCCGACGACCTCAATGACTTCATATCGCCTGGTGTTGCGTGCATAAAACCGATTGAGACTTTGCCGGCCAAGGAGGAGACCAGCTCGGTACGACTTGCCGTGCCAAAGCCGACAGGCGCACACTGACAGCTGCCAGAACCCGTACGAAGTCACGACCGAAGAGAAGGCCGCCGCCGCCGAACCGCCGCCACCCGCGCAGATATCGCTCACAGACTGCCTCGCCTGCTCAGGATGCGTGACGAGCGCCGAGGCTGTGCTTGTTCAGCTGCAGTCGCACAACGAGGTCTTGTCAACGCTGGACACATACAAGTCGCTGGACGCACCATGGCTGGCGCAGAGCGGGACGAAAGGGGTCGCGAACGGGCACGCACATGCAAACGGCTGTAGCGGGCACCAGGCGGAGGGAAAGCTGTTCGTCGCGAGTGTGTCGCCTCAGGCGCGCGCGAGTCTGGCAGCAGTCTTCGGCGTGAGCGAGGAAGAAGCTGGGAACATGATCACACAGCTCCTGAGCGGCCCTTCTGGGGTCAAAGCTGGCGGACACCAGGGCAGCGCATTCACGTGGGTCATCGACACGAATGTAGTGCGCGAAGCATGTCTGGTCGCAGCCGCAGACGAAGTCGCCACCGCCCTCTCACCAGAGACCTCGAAGACACCCTCGACGCCTGGGAGCGAAGGCGCAATCGATACCACCCCGAAAGGGCCGATCCTCACATCAGCATGCCCTGGCTGGATCTGCTACGCCGAAAAGACGCATCCCTATGTCCTCCCACACCTCTCGCGCCTGAAGTCACCACAAGCCCTCACTGGCACCCTCCTCAAGTCCGTTCTCAGTCAACGCTACAACGTCTCGCCCTCACAAATATGGCACCTCGCCATCATGCCCTGCTTCGACAAGAAACTCGAGGCCAGCCGCAGCGAGCTGACATCGTCCGCCTGGCTACCGAGCCACGACCCTTCAGAACCGGTTCGCGACGTCGACTGCGTAATTACTGCGCGCGAACTCCTCTCCCTCGCCTCCGCCCGCAACATCTCCTTCTCCTCGCTCCCCCGCACACCACTTACCGACCGAACGCCGTTCCCCGACCGCACACTCGACGCCTTCCTCTTCCCCTCCACACGACCAAGCCGGAAGAACCAGTCGCGAGACGCAGGCTCTTCGGGTGGCTACTTGTACCACATCCTCCAAACCTACCAGACCGCACACCCCGGGTCCACCATCTCCGTCTCACGCGGCCGCAACGCAGACGTCGTCGAATACACGCTCGCCCAAGGCCCCGACACGATAATACGCATGGCGCGCTTCTACGGGTTTCGCAACATCCAGAACTTGGTCCGGCGCCTCAAACCCGCGAAGATCAGTCGGCTGCCAGGCGGGAAAACAGGCGCAGTGCGACGACCGCCTGGCGCGAAAGGGGTCGTGGAGACGAAAGATTATGCGTATGTCGAGGTCATGGCGTGTCCTGGTGGGTGTACGAATGGTGGAGGCCAGGTCAAGGTCACAGAGGTTGAGGAGGTACGGGCGCTTGAAAGCAAGCAGGAGCAGGGGTTGGTCGAGGAGAGGGAGGTGGTGAGGCCCGGGCCGAAGGAGCAGAAGGAGTGGTTGGCGAGGGTGGATGAGGCGTATTTTTCGGGAAGTGATGCCGAGGATGAGACTGCAGAGAAGGATCAAGATGGAGATGAGGAAATGCAAGAGGCTAATGGCCATGATGCAGAGGGTGACGTGGTCAATGGGATTGACAGGAAGCACGTCAAGGGTGCAATGGCGCATTGGTCAAGCATCACGGGCGTCGACATGCAGAGCTTGTTGTACACTTCCTACCGAAAGGTTGAAAGCGATGTAGGAAAGAAAAAGCAGAGCGACATGGAGAGAGTGGCGGGTCTGGCCGTCACTGTCGGTGGTGGGTGGTAGACAAAGAAGGTATAGACAAGCATTGGGCGGCGTATCTAGAGGAGCAAGCATTTACATAGCCTTATGGCCGACAAGGAAGCATCTGCACGATTTGAATGTTAGAAGCTTTTGTAATATTTGGTTGCTTCTCCATTTCTCCCACTTGTCACGCCGGACTGACGATCGCACAGTCGACACGGCTATGGTGTTGAGTTCAACATGGGGAACAACCCGGTCAACATGGGGAGGCCTTGAGTTGCTACGAAACCCGCTAAGAGCAGCAGCAGGAGTACAACCGACGGAGCTGGGAGCTGACAATCGAATGCAAAATCTCAACACCTTCGTCGCTACATCAAGGCTAGGCTATGACCCCCGTGCACTGCAATCTCTAGCGCGGACGAGCAGGCAGTACCACCAGCCTTACCGTCGCTCACCAATAAGATCGCGAGTAAGCACTCTCGTACTCATCCCCAAAAGGACCTCATTCTTCGACTTTCTGCCTTCTCTACCGTAACTGCTCCTCGCGCAAAGACTGCGAGACACCTCGCGTCGCTGCGCAAACCCAATTTCTATTCGGTACTGTTCTGCGTGCCAGAGTGTGACTCGGTATATGTGGGAGCCAAGGACGTCCGCTTCTCAACACTTGATATTTCATTGAGCGGTTCTGGGCTGTACTTGACGGACCAGGGGCGAACGCGAGGGGCGAACGTGACGTCGATACCGGATCGCTTCAGCCATACATAGTCTGTAGGGCGGGAGCGCGAGGAAGCGAAGCAAGTGCGCGATCAATGGTCGTGTGCGAACGTTCCCGACCAAAAGCTCAAGAAGGGGTCCATGGTGAGCGTCGATACCAGATCCCCTATTTTCGAGCGCTGGCCATGGGTCTGTAGCCTCTGGCATGATGTGGGGCCTACCGATCGACATCCGAGCTCGAAACTTTCCCAATCGAGCGTTTCTGCGTTTTGCAGTCACGGGTCAGGGTGAGGGACCAGAACCTGTCCTTGATCAACAGGAGCGTTCAAGTTTCCTGATTGAGCGCGTTCAGCGTCATGGATGAGGGTCGATACTGGACCCTTCACTGTTCGTTGGACACCTAGGGTCTTGCATGGCTGCTTTCTACGCTTTTCCCTCTTCTTTCCTGTTGAGGCAGCTTGGTCTTTTGAGGGTCCAAGTAGGGGGGCCCACCACGAGGCAATCTGCTGCCGATCTCGTTCACCAGGGGCTTCCCAGGCAGTTCTCGACATTCGACCTGTGTCTTTCTTCATAGGGAAAGTTATCGTGGGTTTGTCCATGCTTCAACCGGGAGTAACCATGGTTCTGGAATTCTTCAAAGTCCATGCTTCACATAAGCGAGCAGTCCCATGGATATCACATCATTACAGCACGACAACGATGGTATTCTGAAAGAAATACAATCATGTTCTCCTGATCTATGTTCGTTCGTGAGTCATGTCGTTATCGTCGTTAAGTAAACCAAACCCATCGTCGTCATCCTCGCTACCAGTATGCCGTCACTACAGAACGACCGGAACAAAGAAAAGAAGAGCCGATCCATTCGGACACTAGCCCAAGGTATAAAACCCTACAATCGCCCCAGAACCACCACCGTAACAATAGCCATCTCCAAAACTCATGTTCGTGACAGAAGGAAAACATCAGTACTGCGCCCCCATGGGCGGCGGCGGCATGCTGCCATAAGGATTCGCATCCGCATAGCTGGTCGTAGGATACGGTTGCGCAGCTACAGGGTACGCGTACATATTAGCGCCATTCATATGTGGGTTCTGCATGGCATTCTCGCGGGCCTCTCGTTCACGGCGCTCTCTCTGCTTTCTCCTCTTTCGTCGGCGGCTCTCCAGCTCTTTCACGCTGTGTCTTTGCTCATTCATCTCCTTCCACTCGCTGTACGCAGACTTGATACCGAGGGCAGCGATGCCGACGGCAGCTGCGTCCTGGAGCATGTTTTTGGATTTGCGTTTCCGAGCTTCTTCGGGCGACATTTCGCCTTCGCTGACGAGCTTGCGCCGTTTCTCAGAGGCGACCATGGACGAGTAGACGCCATGTGCCGCGTGGATGGTTGCCACGGTAGCGAGGCCCGCGGTCAGGAGTTCCTTACCTCGAAGCTTTTTGCGCTGCTCCTCCATGTCCGTCGTGCTAGACGAATCGCTGGAAGCATCTCTGCCACCGCCGCGCTGAGAAGCTAGACTCCTGTTTCCCTGGGTGGCGAGCGCGCCGGCTCCCGCACCTGCGCCTGCTGCCGCTAATCTGCGATCTGGGTTAGCCCGAGAAGGGTCATTCGACTGGTAGCCATTATCCATACTGCGGCCGCGGCTGTACGAGCGACGGTTCCTGCGCGAGGGTACGTAGCTGTCTGCACTGGACGAACGCGAGCGGTCACGCCTGTTGCGCGAGCGAGATCGAGAACGGGAGCGAGAGCGGCCGCCAGGACCGCGCGACTTCGAGCGCACCCGGTCGTAGAGGGCCTTTCCTGCTGCGAGAACCGCTCCGGTGCCAGCGATCTTCGCGATTGGGTTTCCGTCCCTGTTGCGCGGAGAGGTGGAGCGAGAGCGGCCACGAGAGCGCGAACGGCTGAAGATGGACCTGGAGCGCGAGCGGGATCGACCCCCGGGTGAATCGTCGCGACGGACGCGAGAGCGGGAGCGGGAGCCGTTGACGGCGCGGTTGGCAAGCAGACCACCGAGGGCGGATTCGGCGACATGGCGCTTCTCGTGCTTCTCAGGGTCGCGGTCAATCAAACCATCAATACCGGCAGCACCGAGGGCCGCTGTAGCGACACGCTGGCCCTTGGCGCCAGTCCAGGGGCCAGCGACATTGCGGCTGCGGAAGGCCTCGACGGCACCGGCTACTATGGCGGCTTTGGCGGCCTGTTCCCACTTTTCCGACTTGCGGCCTCCACGGCTGCGACTGCGCGACCTCGAGTCGTACCGGCTGCTGCGGCGGTCGTAGTCATCGTGGCGGCGGTCGCTCTCGTAGCCGCGGTCGTCGCGACGTCGGTGTCTTGAGCGCGAACGCGAACGGGAGCGGTTGCCAGTGATTGCGCCGATGACACCGCCGAGGCCTGCCGCCTCGCCGATGTCTTTGGCTCTGTCGACGATAGACTTGCGGCGCTGGGGCTTGGGGCGGTCGCCAGCATACGAGTCGCGGTCGTCGTAGCGGTCGCGGCGTCGGCGGTCGTCATAGTAGTCGTCGTCGTAGCCGCGGTTCGCCGAGCGGGTGCGGCGCGGGGCATACTCTTCGCGGTACTTGGTCTGACGGTACTCGGCGCCTGGTGGAGGGAAGTCGCGCGGGATGTCTTCGATGCTGTCCTCGCGCGCAGGGCGGTAGACGAGGTCGCGCACTGGCCCGGCTCCTCGGCCGCCGCGCTCGATGTACGTCGTCTCGGTGACATACTCGGGCTCGCGGTGTCGCCGCGGCGCATAGCTGTACTCGCTCATGGCCGGCCGTGCTCTCTCTCTCTCTCTCTCTCTCTCTCTCTCTCTGGCTCTCTGGCTCTCAGTGTGCAGGCAGTCGTTCAGGGTCCTCTGGCTGTCGTGCTGGGGTCGGGCTAGGCAAAGCTTGATGTCAGCGGGTAAGGCGGAAGAGAGGGGGGCTGGCCGGCATAGCGTACCGGATGGCTTTCGTGCTCAGTCGGCTGTTGTGAGGCAGTCGCAATCAAGAATACAAGGGGCCGGCGAAGGACGAGACAAGGTGGGTAGGGAGGGGGGAGAGTGATCAGTGGCCAGGTCGAGTCCGGCGGGGGTTGGGTCTTTCGTCGTATTTATCAAGAATGCGGGCGGCGGCACAACGGGGAAGGTCCAAGGCTGAGATGGCTGTGCGTAATGGTCCGGTTGTCTTGGCTGGATATGGTTCTCAGCGTTACCGTTGTGGGAGGAGAGACTACGAGTGGCGCGGGTACCAAAAAGCATTACTTCACTTGCAGCCTGGGGTGGAGCAATGGGGCAGTCGTTTGGCAGCTGCCGCTACGTCATCGCCTGCAGGTTGCGCAGCAGGGCCGAAGCACAGCGCCCAACACCACATCAGGTTTGCGCCCTGGAGGTGGGCAGAGTCTGCAAACCAGTGCAAGCGGCTGATGCATCGGTGAGGGGCGCCGGTCAAAGTGCGCAGCAAGAGTCACCCGCCAGCGCTTGTTGCTGCGAACCCTTTTCCTTCACCGCGTGCTCACTCGCTCCCCACTGCCCCTCGGCGGCTGCCGCTGACCGGTCCCACACTTTGGACTTTGACACGATGCTTGATCTTCACTCGACTCTTCAGCTCGCAGAACCTCATGGAGGGGCTCGGAGCGAACGGCAGTTGCAGCCAGCGAACATGTTTGGCGACGTTGGGCCTGCTTCACTTTCGCTTTTGCCAGATTAGCAACTCGATGACGATGCCCGTGCAACGCTGCAGGGAAGACGTGAGACCACACGTGAAGTTCGTGCGATTGGTCAACGGGGACTACGAGGATGAGGCCTGCTCACAACTCGCACTTGACGTCTGCCAGGCACCCGTGGTTCGGCCGATGGATAGAACTGCCCAACTGCGGCCCCTGCTCGAGTATGCAACGTGAGCGTTCTTTGCAAGAAAAAGACAGTGATGCTTTCGAAAAGGTGTGTGTCTTTGCATGTCTGGTCCTTCATACAAGAGCAGGGTAGAGGTATCGCCCCTTCCAACCATCATGCAGCCGCCCGTGAACGCCGGGCCTTCCATGCAGATACAGGATACTATACACGTCGTGACTTCCTCAAACCTTGCCTTCCACCTTCGCAGCTGAGGCGCTCTCAACCTCCTGCCACCCTCTCTCTGCCCTCCGAATCAACTCCTCATACACCGTCCACGCCAGCGCACTGCTAACCGCCTTCCTCGCAATCCTGATCCCCAACCCATCAAACAGGCTCCTCGGGCCTTCCTCGCTCAGCATCTTCTTCCCCGCTTGCACCAAGTTCGTATACGTATCTGGCATGAGCTGGATCCTCGTCTTGATCGCATCAAACGGATTCGTGATCGTGGTGCCGAGCCCGGCGGCGGCGACACCGGAGAGGAAGTTGATACCCGCGCTCGTGCTGGAGGAGAGTTTGGCGCTCGAGGAAGCGTCGGCGGACTCGATCTTCGTTGCGAGGGCGGAGAGGCGGCGCTTCGATTGTTCGTAGAAGAGGACGTAGAGGCCTGCGTATGGAGCATCTCTCACGGCCGTCACACCGAAGCCCGCAAAGAAGCCCTTGAGGCCTGTTGTGCGGTAGATGTCCCTCGTTGCGCTCGTCAAGCTTGTGTATGCGTAGAGACTGCTCTCATACCGCACTTTCAGCACGGTAATCGGCATCATGATGAAGCCCGCCCATGTTCGTGCTGCAGCTCCGGTAGCCAGGTTTGCGGTGTTGCTGAGTTTTGGGAGGGAGGACGAGTGGTCGCCCGTCATGATTGCTGCATCAGCACGACCCGCTGCGAGTAAAGCTGCGCGCCGTCGCAGGGCGTTGAGCGAGGAGAAGTATATCGCTGAACCGCATCCTGTACGAAGTGTGGAGGGAAGTGTGCCGCGCCAGAACTGGCGTATAGGATTTGGCCCGTTGGCGATGGAGCGGATTGTGCCGAGAAGCGTGCTTGAGCGCGACTGTTGTACACGGGTTTTGAGGAGGTCGGCGGGTTGGAGGAGTACGGCGGAGAGGATGCCGGAGCTCAGACCGGCGAAGAAATGGACTGCACTTGGTATCAGCAGCCATTCATGGTTGTGGGTGGCGTTGCAATGGCGAGACAGAGCTTAAGAGCTCAATGCGGAAACTCACATGAAGACGACGAGCGCGACTTCCCGCCATCTGACATTGCCGCGCAGTCAATGTATGTATTACTCTACTGTGGTATTGCACTTTGTGCTCTGCATCATGAGAGCATATCAATATAGCGGATGGGTGTAAGCGGGTGTTGCAATGCCTTGCGAGAAGCTGTCTATGAATTTGTATGACGTTCTTGAACATAGATCTCAAGCCCGCAAGTGCCCGAGAACAGCGGTGGATCGGCGCAGCCGCGGTACAAATCTCCGTCCCTATGAACGGCCTATGAACGGCCAGCGCTTCAACAACGTGGAGTTTCCGACTTGAATTGTCACGATGAATATTCTGTCTTATCAAAGAAGTCTGTAGGGTTGAGAAGCGTCTAAAGCGCCTACCGCGCTCAATCCAATATAGGTTCTCACATCAGCAGCTTCGGTATGGCCACAAGAGGATGCTTCACAAGTGCTCCATGCAGGACTGATCTCCCTCTGAACGTATCGGCGAAGCAGATTTACGGGTGGCTCTGGTGAAGGTAATTTGCATCACGGAAAGATGTAAGGAGAAATGACATAGATTCTCGGCTCTGAGCGTGTTGTTATCAGGTAGCGTCAACAGAGGAGTTGAAGAGGATGAACGGGAGAGGGGAAGAAGGAGCGTGGTAGAGAACGAATGTGGAAGAGAAGGTGCATAACGGTATGGTAGAGGGGCGTACTGAGAAGGCGCATGGTGACTGGGAAGGAGCGTGCAACAACACTATCAACAACATTGTAGATTAGCTGTAAAGAGCAGAATGTACTATATGCGTTACTCTTAATTCGAACTTACTACAGTTTTCCTCCCTCAGATGGCAAGTAGGCAATCCAGCTTGTAGGGCGGCTGAAGTCACATCCGTTTGGTTCGATTACAGTCCAACAGATCTGCACAGATCCTCTAAGCTGGCAATGGAGTTCCCAGATGACACGTCTTGTTGCCGATAGCGACAAGAGCCCGAATGTGCGTGAGAACAGAAGGGTAGGTGCAGCCGGGACACATGCTTGATTAGCGGAGCTTAGAAAGAGTGTGTACTATTGATGTGTTACCTCAAAGAAGTAAATGGAGGGATCGCACCGCAGACTCTATGGTCCGTTACTTTCATCTATTGGTACTGGATGACAGACCCCATACAGAAAAGTAACGCTGAGTTGTTGGAGGCTTGCTCCTATTCATAGCACAGGAATCTTTTATGAATCTTACGCATCCATCTATTTCGAACAATTAATTGTATGCAGTGATCGTTTGCAAAGCAGTCCCGGGCTGCAAGTGTAGTCCCTGTTGTCCTTGAGGAAGAGTAGTCCCTCTATGGGATTAAAATCGCTGGCCACCCGCCCCCACAGGCGAGTTCTCCATCTTGCATCTGTAACTAATTCCGTCTTGCTTGAGCATTCCCTACATTGTTGTGGCTGATTGGCTTTGCACTGCCACAGATCAAGCCGAAGCATTGACACATCCACAGTGAATTGTCTTTGACCAACATGTCACGTAGGGCAGACCAGGTTGGCGCCCGTCCGGTCGGCTCGAGCCGAGACGAACGCCGTCGGGGAGGTGGGAGCTCACGTCCAAATTCAGGCCCCGGATATCAGCATAGTGCAGTGCGTCTCTCCGTGCTCTTTTCTTATTGGTCCTATGCTCATTTGCACGATGTAGCACGCACCAGTGTACAACTCGACACAAAGCGCTCAACACGCTTATCCTGCTGGCGTACGTCAGCCTACCTACGAAGCAGCCCGGGCTCGGGCGCATCCGAATCCTGAGGTGGATCGAGTAATGAACGACCCTCGTCTGAACTCCACTTCTGCGTACTCTCAACCGACTGCGAAAGAGAGTTATGGCAACAGTTCCTACCAGCCCACCAACGGATACCAGCAAGCCTACCCACAGTACCCAGGTTCGCAACAGAGCGCTAATGGCAATTTGACCGCAGGCCAGCTCTATTCTTACAATTATGGCCAGCCGTCGTCGAATGCAGTCGATACGTGGGAAGATGAAGGCCAGCGCGATGGTCCGTGGTACGGGAGTGTGCAACGAGGATAGTCATGGAAGGTTGCTGTAAAGAAAGAGTGCTTGTTGGGTCCTGTAGGAGATGGGTTGTTGATCGGTGCTTATACCTATTGATTGAGAGGTTCTGGACGCTGAGAAGCCACTAGAGGGCTGTGTCAGGGTTGCATAGTCTTCCTAATCGTTCTTGATTTCGGGTTTGCGAAGGTTCACCGGAGAGTGGCTCATGCCACAAGGCTGGCCAAACAAGACTCTGCGTCGATCGCGAGGCTGCTTTCCATGGGGGGTTTTTTTTCACAAGTTCTCAAGGTCAGCAACACTGTCCGAAAAATATTTTTGCCTTGCACAGCGAAACCCCCTCTCTGATCGCAATTGTTTTTGTGTTCTTTGGCGGTTGCTGAAAATTAACACGACTGTGTGAGATGTCACTACGCGAAGGTCTTCACCCATGTGACATCACCAAATCGTGCAAACAGCACATCTATCCGACTCACGGCACCAGAGTGGTATGACCTACCAAAGATGTGTCCGCTGGAACTGATTTTTCGCTGCTAGCCCTGACATTGTCTCATCTAGTCCTGCAGAGTACAGTCGGTGAAGGCAAGGCAGACTTCATCTGGCGCGAATCTATGCCTCTCATGACGGACCAGGGGATATGCAGTCGCGACGTGCCGGGGTGCTGGAAATCGATGTCGAGGCTAGTGATTGGAAGGCTGAAGATGCATACTCATTTCATGCAAAGAGCAGGACTTGTTTGATATTTCAATGTCGTTGACATGTCACCTTTCGTTAAGAAGGACCTTTTGGTGAAGGTTGACACTTGTGAGTCCCATGCGCGCTGGTCAACGACCAGGGCAGACGCTCGATAATGCGCCTGGGTGGATACCTGTGTTAAAGTTGGCAAGAATGTGGTTTTGAAAAAGAGCATACAATAAGGGAAGATGCAATCCCTGCAGTAAACGACCAAAAATAATGCGGCTCTGTTCGATTCGTCGCTATGTGCCTGGTCCTGGCGTTGGTGCTGTCCCGCTGATATGGTGTTTACCGTATGACATCATGCATGCTGGGTTTGTGTCGATCCGACAAACATCCAAGCTGGGGAAGGAGGACTGCGTGAAACAACAGGCAATCCAAATGTAATATCCGCTAAGTCGTAGGCAAACGTTCCTCCGCGAATCGATCCTATCGCCCATTTTCGGCTTGTCTTGCGAGACTATGGTCCTTCAAAAGACGGGCGTCAGAAGGAGTGAGCAGGCAACGGATCGCCTCGTTGCGGCGCACCCCGAGTCGCTAAAGATAGACCTGAGTCCTGCAAGTGCGCATGCCGCCGAGCAGTTTTGTCCGTCTTGAAACCCTTGTTGGTGGAGGGGTCATGTGTCTGATAGAGAGCGCTTGAAGTCTCGCCAGCTTCGGGCTCGGGCTCGGGCTGACCAAAGTTGCCTCAGGATATGATACGCCATAATGTCTAGCCGCCATGAAAAACTTCAGAATGCGCCTTGCCTCAGCCCCCACTGCAGAGAAATCTTGGGGGCCGAGTTCAACAGGAAGAATTCATTGTTTGAGGTCTCTCGACGTGGGCTGTGCATGTCAGCGTGAGCAGCTTTATAGCGGCTGCCTCTGCAGAGGTAGGAAATGAGAACTTTGGCTCTCACAACCTTTCAGAATGCCCTTCACGGGCTTGCCTGAGTGGCATACTTGCACCTTCCAACTTATCTCGTTCGCTTCGTGTTGATTGGTCGGCTTCGTTTCGAGTGCAGGGGCAGACACACAACGACGCATATTCCTCGCCGGGACCTCGCATATCCCATTCAGCGATCTTTTGATGATGAGCAGAACAAGTCGAATCCAAGCCGTATGTCTACGCTACTGGCCGTGTTGTTCAGACTAAGGACCGCCTCATTCCGTCGGACCACCCGGAAAAACCATTCGCCAATGGCTGAAGGCGCCACTGGTTCTTGAAGTCTTACAACTTTCATAACACGAAACTGCTGCGAACTGGCATGGGCCATGCTGGTCGTAAGTGCCCAGTGGCTGTTGACCCTATCAGTCCGGCCACCAGTCCAATTCACGATTCCTAACATGTCTCGCTGCACAGGCCGCTCGTTGCCATCGCACGCATCCAACTGAATCTGTATCGACGGTATTATACGACTTGCCCTTCGGCCAGAGTAATGATCGGGACAACCACTCAGATCAGCATCTGCGCGAAGAGTCCTCCATCCACCATGCATACCCAGGATGTTGGTTTGCCTGCTTTTCGTTTCCGGATAGATCCTTACTGGCCATGTCGACACGGCCGGCCCATTCAATGATCCACAATGTGCTTGAGGTCCTGCGTCGCCAAGGTCAAGCATCGTGTATTCGAGTAAGTCGAGGATCTCTTAAAAGTTTAATGAGCCGTCCAGCAGCGCCATCAACACTGTCCCTGAGGACTCATTGCAGGTTGCATCAACCATGACGCCGGGACAATTTGTGTAGCAGCTGGGTAAGTTAAGAGTCCTGCGTCGACGCGTCTACTCGGTGCCATAATATCTGGACTGGTTCCTCTTAAGTACTGGTGACAATGAGACTTCTCATCGAACGGGTGCCAAGCCACTGGATCGTGGAGTAAGTCCGTACCCCCTTCTATGGCTTCTCCTGTCAGTAGAGTTGTTACTAACCATGTTTAGGTTCACGACATCTTCTAGCCACGCCGAGGCCAAGTACGCTCGGGCTGGCACCCTCTCGTTCATTGCAGAGCCTGGAGCCAAAGCAAAGGCCATACTGGATTCGGTCGATCGAAAGGCCGCTGTTGATCTCTCAAGGTCTTCTCGTCGGGAAAAGCTGCACAAGCGTATCCGTCGTATCTCTTCTTACCTCACCCGTTCGGACACCCGCACGTCAGGGTCTGAGAAACATCACCAAATGAATCCATACAACATGTTCCTGGAGGATGACCATGATTTCCTCAACCTCAAAAGCTCTTGGTGGACCAAGGGCAATGGCATCGCCTATCAACCTGTCAGTCACCCCAATCGCCCTGAAATGCCTTGTAACGGCAAATTTGAGCTTGCCTCCCACGCATGCCAACAGCCGATGGAGAGACCCGAGATACCTGTCGCAGAGCTCCGGCCTATGGAAGGCACCATGTTTGCCGAGCTTGCTGGCGAAGAACCGTGGGTGTATGGCAAGGATCACCTTACCTTGGACGTTGCTCATCCCCTCATGAATACACCTTCGACTGCGACCACCCCACCCGACGTGGATGCTCTTCCTCAGTTGTCGCCTCAGGATACCCCTCAAAAGGATTCGCCAGTGTCGTCAATAACGCCCACTACGATTCATAGCGCTACCACGCCTCCGCATTTCAATCGTGTTGCCTTCAATGAGTCACTATCGCCAGATAGTGCATCCGCGTTCCAGGACCCTCAGCGTGAGAATCCTTTGTATTGGTTTCAGGAACTGCAGAAAAATCAGTCCATCTCAACTCTTGATCGTGCGGCTCCGTACGTTTCGTTCGCAGATCCCAATACAACAATGCCGCCCATCAGTTGGCAGCATACCAACGGTGAGCATGAGAACTACGAGCCCACCTATCCAGCTCAGCAGTCAACCTTACAGCGTGCATCTACAATGCCGTCTCGGCTGCCTGATGAACGACGACAGCGCTTAGAACAACTAGGTTTGCTGGTAGGTACCTTCGAGCTGGACGAAGCTACCTCAACTTTCACTCGCTGTCTTGACAACGTGGCGTTAGCAGAGCTCCATAGTGCTCGCACTAACGCAGGCCACGCTATGAACGAGTCTGACAACATGTACGATGGCGTTTCCCCTCAAGATCATGCTCTGAGTCGACCGAGCCTACAAGAAGACAACCACCACATTTCTGCCGTAAGCTCCGACAACACACAGCAAAAGATTTACGACCCCGTCAAATGCAATCAGTGTGACCAAGAGTTTGCCGGCAAGTATGGGCCAGGCAATCTGCGGCGACACGTTAGACACCAACACCTGACTAGACGTTCGACCGACATCGACTTGACTTGCCGTCTCTGCAAGACGTCTTACAAGCGAAGCGACGCCCTTCGCAGCCACCTCTGGAGAAAGCACTCGTTGCCGGAAGCAAAACCCAAGACGAAACCAGCATCCTGAGTCGACCTATGCAAACCAGCCGCCCAGGGCGTGCTATTTTCGTTCTGTTCGTTTCTTGTTTTTCTCTCATAAACTTCTTCTATCTTCGCTTTGCGAGATGGGTTTTCGGGTGACTTGATGTTGCCACTCATTTGTTTCTTCACTAATCTCTTTGCCCCCTTCTCCTTTACCGTCTGAGACAGGAAGGCAGGGTATGGTCTATGCGATAAGATAAGGTCCCTGAAGGTCAACATAGTAATGATGATGAGTAATGCAGCGAGTTTCTTTCCCACAACCTTGCTCTTCGCAATCACGGTGGCGTCTTTGCGTGAGATCGGAGCATGCAAGAAGCAACGGGGGCTGCGCTGGCCGCGCGTTCTGAAGGCCGACCAGAAGGACATCTCCTGTTCGGGACGACGTAGAGCTACAACTCGGGATGTCCCTGCAGCCCAAGTTGACCAGCTACTGCTACAGTCGTGCCTCGTCTCTGGATTGGTACCTGCATGCTTAGCGTTCTTCGCTTGCTCGCGGGACATGATCCGCGCCAAACTGCTGCATTGGCCATACTCTGACGTGTTGGCTCTCTGTTGAAGCTCCATGTGATGAAGCAAACGTTGCACCTAGCTCTGTCAGTCGTAAAGCAAGGGCAAAGGGCGTGCTGCTCTAATTTGAAATATGCAACTCCTGAGTCACCCCTGCTGCGGTGCCGAACTTTGACGACGGGAGTCCTGCATTGGCCGCGGTCAGCTTACTCTTCCGCAGAGCGACCGAATGTAGTTGCTCGATGCTACGGTAGATATTGAGGTGTGATGTATGCTAGTCCCAATCAGAACAGCAGGAGCCAACAAGCGGCCACGTTCGACCCTTCTCCCCTGATTTAATCCGAGTTGTAGGATCTCTCGAGCTGTGGAGGAAGGTCATGCGACATGGAGAAGCTTCTGTGCATGCTGAAATGATCACAGCATTGCCAGGCTGACTTTCCCATCTTCCAGTCATCGAGATTCGCGATCTCCGATACACCAAAGCCGCCTCCTGTCTGTCAAGGCAAAGAAGGCAACGGCGCCATTGCACACCTTGAAACAGAGCCGATAATGACTTTCCCCTGCAACAGGTGGTGACACTGCCACGTCGACAACAAGATCGTTTGCGATCTGCGTGCGTACAAGAGTAGGCTCTCTTTCCAGACGAGACAGACCCCGGTTCTCGTATAGACTTGAGAGCTGAGTGCTCTTGGCGCAGTTGAGCCTCCGTGCTGGCAGCTGATTATGTTGACTGCGATAGCGGGTGCGTCACGTGCACCCCGCCACCTTATAGAGACCCGAGTCGGTTCGTGCAGCTGCTACATCCAAATTCGACATAGTAATGCCGAGTAAGGAACAGCCTTGAGGGACTTGATTCGGGCCTGTTTCTTGACATGTTGCAGTTGACATGCCGCGATACCAGGCAGCGGGTGCTTGACAGAATCGAGCGTCGGGAAACTGATTGGGACCGACCGGCTCGGATCGTCAGCTTTGACGTGATGTTCAGTAGCATCGTTTCTGATCAAAGTTCAAAAATGCAGTCAACCGCTGCAGAACACGTTCGAATGATCTGGTCTGACGGAGTACTGGAACGCACCACAAGACCAGCACCCATAACGATGGATTCTTCTCCAGAAATACGGGAATTTCGGAAATCTGTATTTCCGCTCCAACCCAACCAACTCCTTCAAGCATGTGTTTGCGTTTGAGCTGGTGGTATGTGCGGAATTGGTGTTCAATGCGGGAATTAGCGCCGAGCGAATCCTTGAAATCGATAACGTGGCTGCCTTAGGCGCAGAGAGTTGCAGATGCTTGAGACAACACGACGCGACTGTGAAGGCTCGTCAATGTGTATCAAGCTTGTCGTCTTGCGTGGTCCCAATTGTAAGGCGTAAAGTTCGAAAAGTCTGTGACGCTCGAGATCAAAATCCATCTAATGTCTTTCTCAATCCAGACTTGAAAGCGTGAAATGCCTGGTTTGATTTGTTGATGTTGGATTAGCTCCTTCGCATGAGGCTGGCACGATCCGCGCTTGACCCCACCATACATGCAGACTAGAGGTAGAGCGTGCTCAATCACCGCATGAAGCGCGCGGTATTTGCAGATGCGAACGCAGGATCTCATCAAACACGCACATGAACGGGCATTGAAACGAAGTTATTGGCTGGCGACAAGAGCTGTCGTATGTCCCGACGATGGTCGATACTCGAACCGCACGCCGGATGAGGCACAAAAGTTCCTAATAATTGGTTCATGAACCCGCGGAAAGCGTGATGTCGCCTGTCATGTATCTATTCTGGACAGATGTGAATGCAAGACCAACAACGAGCATACTCGGGCATTGACGTTCTTTGTCAGGTCCGCGCATTTAAGTGGTCGCTGGGTATGTGGATGGCAACATCTAATGGCGCGCTGAGGCGTTGGGGGCGCTTCGGGATAACCGTCTTTAGCAGCGGCCCCGCGGATTTGCGAGGCCAGACGCCGTCTGCCCTTACATTCCAGATAGCCAGCTGTGTTTCGCGTGTGTTAGGACGCATGTTGCATCCCTTGAGGTTGGGGTCGAAATGATGCAGGTCAGGTCGTTAAGATGCGTTGGGACCCGTGTGAGAAGACTTTCCTTTTCTTTCGCATCTTTCGTCCAATCTAAGAACATTGCCGTGTCCTTGCAAAGTCGCCAGTCTTTGAAGTCGTTTACTACATCTGGCAGATCCTAATCTAGCCGAGATCTTGTTGTCTTTCGGCTACTGGGGGCAACATGTTCCATACCGAAGAAATCGTCCGGCCCGGGTCCGAGTAGACCAAGCTGAACCTACAGCTCGTCGTACCATCGTCATCGTCATCATCATCATCATCATCATCGTCGATTTCGCCCAGGGTCAGCCTTGCTGTACCTAGAAGCCGGCCTCGGCGCTGCTGGCAGTGGCTAGGGGGCAGGCTATCCCGCCATGATGAGGCGCAATAAAGGGGATGGGGAAGGAGCAACTGCATCCGCGAGTTGCAGGATACGGAATGCAGACCTGCTTGCGCTTGCGCACGGAAGACATGTAGTCCTTGCCGTAGAACAAAACAGGTAGGTTGACGGCTAGTATCTATAACGGAGCCGTTTCATCTCTGCCTTGATGGTGCAGCCAACAGCGGGTGTCAGGAGCTCATAGGCCAAGCTCTGGGTCCTCGCACCATGGTAATACCACACCGCTTGGGCTGTGTCAAGCAATCATCGTCCGCCACGGTTCTCTGTTGCTTTTTGAAGGTCCGTGTTGCAACGCGAGACAGTCTGGGATAGCTCTGCCGCCTCCGCTGTAGACGTTCGTAACGGGGGGCATGGTCTGGTTGGCGCTAACTTGACCTCAATCAGATTTCAGTAAGACGCTTCGAGGCTGAGCCGGCAAACTCTGTTGAGAGTTCCAGAGGTCATACTATCGCGCGCTTGTTGTACAGAAACGCGCAGACAGTGTTTGTTGTCGATCCCCGACTCGAAATGTTCGCGCAAAGACTGACGATACCAGCGAGTTCGCCTGAATTCTCTCCGCCGGAACTACACATTCGATCCATCTCAACGGCTGCCGCTTCATTGCGATACTTGCTGCTTGCCGTAGCATCGTAACTGTGAAGATTGTCCCTGTCATTTTTTCAAGTCCTGGTGAGGGTAGTCCCGCAGCAGCACATAGTGCGTCCTTCGTGTCCAGTCCTTGCTCTTAAAACTCTGCGCCCACCCAGGTCGTCAAGACAGCCAACGGCACAACACATAAGCGTGGTACTTCCATCTCTTCCTACCAACTGCCCGTCACCCATTTGGACATCCCAGCTCTTACCAGACAGCCTTAATCCCTGCACCTTCCTTCAAACTTCTTGGTCGATATCATCGTGGTACTCGCTGTCGCTCACCGCTTCCTCCACGATAGATCCTTTCCAGCAACATCCACGCACCCAACCTAGTCGAAGGCGAAACTCAACACTCCACAGCAACAGTGGCCCATCCAACTACTCGGAAAGTCGCCATCGCTCCATCGCACGGTATTGCTGCACATAGTTGACGACGACTCAGACAGGATGCCGGACTACTTCGACTACGGGCATATGCTGCTAGTCCCTGTGGGCTTCCCGATCAATACTGCGAACAATGAAGAGCAGTATGACGTTGATTCGAGCAATCACCAGAACGAGTTGTGGGCTGGGATGACCAGCTCCACTGGCGTCCAGGTCCATGCACAAGGTTATCATCCACAAGCCTATGGGCAACCAGGAGGCCACCTGCAGACGATGGGCCGATACGAGACACCGTCACCAATGGACATGCAACAGAATAACAGGACCCAACACGGTATTCCTCGTGAATATGATCCTAGGGCTGACGATTCGTATCCGCTTGGGTACATTGATCCTACTCTCCTCTTGATGCCACGACCATCACATGGCCAGGTACCTAGCTCCGATGTATACAGCCACCAGTACCATCGGGCGAGAGCTTGTCCTGGCCAGCCGACAAATCCGTTGGCGTACGCAGGTGTCCAGCAAGGAGGTCAATGTAGCGAATTGGGTATCTTCAGTAGCGGCTATGACACTGTCGTTCCTGAGAAGTATGACCAGTTGGCGGATATGGTTTATGATGCTCAGACGGAACCTAGATACCAATGCACGATGCCTGGATCATTCGGCGCTCAGTCCAGCATTCCCATCAGGGGACCAGACAGCCTGTTCATTCCCGGAGTTCTTGGTAGGCAGGAAGATCACCAAGCAGTATTGGGGATGGACACAGCCCGATTGATGCAACGGCTGAAAGCACCCAGTGATAATGCTCATGTGCATCCGGTGTTCGATAGGTCTCCCATAACCAACTCAGATTCCTGCAGCGAGTCGATGGAGGACAGCCACGCGACAATCTTCCCGCCCCAACCTTTGCAAGTCATCCAGGCACAAAGACCACAGGGACATGGCCATGTAAGTCAAATGACGGACAAGTCCCTACCAAGGTGTTCGTCCTTACCAAGGTGGTTTGTGGAACGGAGCACTCCAGAAGTTGTAGATCCGGACGTATCCGATTCCAGGTCTGGGTAAGTTATTATGACTGCCCCATTTGTGCATTCAGTGACCTGATATGAAGCAGGCTCACGTCAGATGATCGGCTCCACCCCGACGCAAGCTCTCGGGTCTCCGATGCGCCGTCGCCAGTACATACCGATGCCTCCACTGACATCTTGTACTGCCCCTTCGACGAATGCAATGCCAAGTTCACCGGGCACTATCGCAAAGGCAATCTCGGTAGACATCGCCGCCAGAAGCACGCTGGTCAGATCGTGGAGTACCGCTGCAAAGACGAATATTGCTCAAGAGTGTTTCAAAGGAAAGACGCTCGGCTCAAACACTATCGAAAAGCCCACCCATATCTGAATACAGGTCGGGCAATGTCGCGAAATGCTTCATCCTCCACGGGGAGTGATTGGGTATACGCAGATCACGTGACATCACCATACGCTCATCGGGATGGCTTCGATACTGGCGACGTGTCATCGTATGGTGATGTCCAAAGCTATCAAGGGTACTCCAGTCGACTTGATCTGAGTGAGGGTGGCGAGAGTCAAGCCATGGCCGGATGAGTTCCAAATATTCTTCCTTGTCGCAAACGTTCGCCAATCGGCCTAACTTTATGATCTCATGATCGCAAGTCTTTCTCGTCCCTATCGGAGTTGATTCCATCGTCAGTTCTGCCCGTTGACATTTCCTGGAAACTCGCACCCGGCTCCGTGTGCTTCCGTTTGGCGTACGAAGTGTCCATCGAAGTCCTGAGTCAGGTTCTTCACCAGAGGTCCCGTATGGTCTGAATATTTCCTTCTCTTCCCCATAACCCAACAAAATTGCATTATTCAGAGGAGCAGGCGTTATGGTGTGTACTTGTCGGCGTTTGGATACGTTAAAAAGGTGGGATGGCTGTGAACTCTGGGTACTCGGTGTGCCTGTAGTAAATGTATAGGGGCGGCAACGCTGATGAGAGGCCGGACGTTGCAAGGCAAAGCGTCGAGCAGGCAGCATCAGCGACGAGCAGGCAATCGACCGGATTGGCTCAGCACGGATGGAAGGAGACGGTCATGCCTCTGATCTCACGTTGGCTGCAGGAGGATATGGACGTTCGCGAACCGGATCTGCCGAAGGGGCCTAGTCGACGTTATGGGAGCGAGCTCACAACACAGTCTCAGCTCAGTCGGTCAGGACCATCTTGACCCTTGACCTAGGATCAAGACAGTATGCCGATTAGGTTGGCGGTATTCCATCGCTCAAGGATGTTGCAGCCTCGCGCGCATGGTGGTTGTTGGTCAGAAGGTTGGAGGTCGAGACACGAAAGTTCGATGTTGCTGAACACAAAAGTGAGGGAACCAGTAAGGAGACATGGCGCTGTCATACCGCCTTGTGAAGCAGCGCCATCCGTATCAGACTGGTCGAGGGTTGAAACATTGTCGAGATTGCATCGATGGATATCAACCGCAGGTCCTCGAAAAGCTTGGCATGAGCTTTGGGCACTGGGCCTCAGCTTCGAGTGAGGCGGCCGCGGCGATCACTTGTTGTGGTTTGACAACATTTCGATGCAGCCTCCTCCGTTCTTGTATTTTCTTCTTGAGTGTGCGCGGAAGTGCAGTTCCTCGGAAGGACTAGGACGTCAGGGTCTTAACTCTAGTCGACGCTAGATCCTGCGGGCGCTGGGGGAGTAACGCACCTTTCCCCACTCTCTCTTAATTCATTAGTACTTCATGTATATACCTAAAGACGCGCCTTCTCCGCTAGCTTTCGTCGACTCACCGCTGCCTAATTCTGTGACTCGTGGCATCTTCACGGTCCAGCAGGAACCAGTCCTCCATTAACAGCACCACCACCGCTCTCGCCACAAAGCCACCGATGCCAGGGCATCCCATATATACACTCGACGTGTCGTACAGGGATCACATGCGTCCAACAACGTCAAGAGAAGGCAACACTGGTGTCCTATTCGATATGGCAGCGTAGCATCAGCGCGCTCAGCACCACCCCGGGAGAACATCTCGCCACGTCTAGACTATCTTTCGCATTTTCACTTTTGCATAACCGTAGGACTCATTGGAGGAAGAGGTATTGGTTACGAATGCAGTGCTCTGCTAGTGGCATATAGCATGCAACTACGATGGAGCCTCTTCAGGAGCCCCGATCCAATACGCACTCGACATTCAGGAATCCTGGTCCGTTCCTGCAGATGACTACTTACAAGGACCTATGTAAGGACACGAGAAAGACTTATTCCACCGATGCATATCAGCTTTCTTCGCTCGACTCAGCAGAAATTGTCGCTGTGGCGATGCTCAGCCGCAATTTGCCATCAGCGACCAGACCGCACGTACTCGGTGTACGCGACAGCAGGTATCTTGACCTCGAGGTATATAAACTAACCTACCGCCTCCACCGACATTTCAATCGAAGTCCACAGCGTTGGACTAGAGGTGTCGCTGGCGACTTGCAGCAAGGCGCATACCGCCCCTGCAGAAGTGACTGGTCACTTCCTGTGGACCTATCAACGTTCTCGCTGCATGCAGTCGTCAGCGCAAAACAGCAACCGCACAACCTCTCGTTACTGACATCCAGGATTAAACATGCTGAAGGCCTTTCAAGCGCCAGGACCAGTCGTGCCAGTCCCCAATAACATGAGCTAACAGCATTGCAAATACGAATGTATGTATGCCCAATAAGTCAGAACATCACACCGTTGGGGATGACTAAACAAAGCCACAACCTTGATTTCTCGTGACTGCAATGTTGAATCCGCTTATCTTGCCGAGCGCTTGCTTTATGACACCTGGCGTAACGTCCCCTGCCCGTAAGCAAGAAATGTTCCTCAGCGAGATGGACTAACCATTTAGACAACTCAACCTTTCCCACCCGCACCCACAGATCCGCATTTAGTGTGATCCTCTTCTTCGGCTACTTCTCTTTCGCATTCTGTATTGCGGCAGGAAAAATATAATAACGTCCGTCCCTACGTGCCGGGACGCACGGTGTGACGGGACACCTTTTCTTCCGGACGCTCGGATTACCGGCAACGTCCTCAAAAATAGACAAGCGCAGGGCGCATCCATTCTGCAACCCTCGTTCTCTCAGCACATCAGCCTCCGACGTTGAAAAGCGCGTTGTTGACCACGCTGTCGCTCGTTGTGTCAGTGCCGTCGACCGACTCTGCTCTATCAACCCCCTGTTCATTGGCGACAACAGATGTCAGTAAGGAGCTCGGTGGGTCAGAAATGAAACCGAGATGGCAAAGTTCAAGACTGTAGCCTTGAAAGGTCAACTTAAGGTGAGGAGTGGGCATCCCGGCAGTTTCTCCGCGCTGACGACAAGATCGTCAAAACGTGTCGGACCGGCTCTTAGCGCGGCAACTTGCAGTAGCGTGCTGAGATGGTTAATGGCCGCCGCACTGCGCGCTGTGGCTGAGGCGGCTCCCACTAACTTAATCACCTGGCCTTAGACAGCTCTTATTCCCGGCCGTGCAGGCAGCCGTTTCCCCGGATCGTGCTCGCCCCCGTCGCGTAGAGCCAGGCGAGACGCTACTACGACAACCTTCGAAGATCTGCTCTATTTGCTGACATCTTACCCACATGTGCACTCTTCTAACATGAGTTCACAAGGCAAACACTGCCTCAGCGCAGATGGTTAGGCAAGGCGGCGCAGGACGCTGGGCGCTTGATGTAGCCAGCAGTACCTTCAGCCCGGTTGCATGCACTGCCTCGCCAGGCTGCCTTCTCAGCCTTGTTGCAACCATATCATTCTAATCTCACTACCACAAAAGTCGTTTGCCCCTCTACGCCCCCAGGGCCAAATCCCAAGCTGCAAGCGCCATGCGGCTTCTCCATTTTGATGCGCTGGGCAGACTGATCTTGACAGACTTTCGTGGCAAGCCGATCCCGCCCTACGCTATCCTGTCGCACCGATGGAGTGATTCTGAGACCCTCATCGAAGAAATATTGAATGAAAAGTACAAAGAAAGAGAAGAAGGCTCTAAAAAGCTACAGTTCTGCTCCAAACAGGCGGCTCAAGACGGGCTGCAGTACTTCTGGATCGACACATGCTGCATTGATAGATGGGACAACAACGAGCGCTCGAAGGCGATCAACTCGATGTTCCAGTGGTACCGGAATGCGGCCCGATGCTACGTCTTCTTGTCAGACGTGTTGCTGTCAGCTGTGACGGGGACGGCCACATGCAGCGACTGGGAGGCGTCGTTCCGGAAGAGCGAATGGTTCACTCGAGGATGGACGCTCCAAGAGCTGATTGCGCCAGTGTCAGTCGAGTTCTTCTCGCGCGAAGGACAGCGCATAGGCGACAGAGCGTCGCTCGACCAGCTCATACACGAGATCACCGACATCCCGCTCGCCGCGCTGCGCAACTGTCCTTTAGACCAGTTCAGCACATCTGAGCGAAGGCGATGGGTCGAAAATCGCAGAACGACCGAAGACGAAGACATTGTATACTGCCTGCTTGGAGTTCTCGGCATCTCTATGCCTATCACGTATGGAGAAGGAAAGGAGAGCGCATTGAGAAGACTGCAGGCTGAAGTCGAGGGAGCTGGCAGCGCACTGTCAATCATTCCGTTCTCACGAAACGAGTCTTTCGTGGGTCGCGAATTGCAGCTTGCCGAGCTTGAAGCAAAGCTCTTTAGCGATCAACAGACCACTACCATGCTAGCGATAGTGGGGCCAGGGGGAACAGGCAAGTCGCAGCTCGCGCTTGAGGTTGCACACAGAACAAGACTAAAGAACAAGGACTGCTCGGTCTTCTGGATAGACGCGAGCGACAAAGACAGCATCTACTGGTCTTATGCAAGCGTCGCGCAGAAGCTCAGTATTCCTGGTTGTGACGATGACCAGGCATACATAAAGCAGGTTGTAAAACGCTGTGTTGCAGAGGTGAGTACGCGGCAGTGTTTGCTGATCTTCGACAACGTCGAGGCCACAACTGTACGGCCTAGCGGCTTGCCTACGACACAAGCTGCAGATATGGTCGACTTTCTGCCGCACTCCAAGCTGTGTTCTGTCGTCTTTACAACAACAGAGCGCGATACCGCCGAGGCGCTTGCTCCACAAAATGTCATAGCGTTGCATGAGCTGACGCCAGACATGGCGCTGAGGATGCTACAAAACCGCTTGACAACGCCGCTTTCATACACGGAGCAGCAGGAAGCCATGCGCTTGCTAAAAGAGCTATCATATCTGCCTTTAGCAGTTGTGCAAGCGGCAGCGTGCATGAACGCAAGTAGTATGACAGTGCAGCAGTACCAAGCACAGCTCGATGAGCACAAAGAAGCAGCTCTCAACTACAGCGATAAGTCGTCTAGCGGCAAGCTGCGGGAATCTGGCGTGAGCAACACTGTAGCCGCTACACTATCTCTCTCTTTAAGCCAAATCCGCTATAGCAATGCGGTCGCTGCAGACTATCTCTTTCTTGTTGCATGCGTAGATCGAAAGGACATCTCGCTCAATCTTCTAGAGGCAGCTTCGCCACGGGCCCGTGAAGATGCCATTAAGGCACTTGACAGGTATGCGCTTGTCACCAGGCGACCTGCTGAGTCAGCGCTCGATGTTCACCGACTCGTCCATCATGCGCTGAGAAAGAGGCTGCAGGTGGAGGGTCGGCTCCAAGAATACATTCAACGCACAATCACACAGCTACTCTGGGTGTTTCCAAACCACAATCACCATAACAGAAGCAAGTGGAGACGACTGCTTCCGCACGCGCAGTATGTTCTGTGGCATAGTCAGAGGAGGGATGACGATGAGAGACTGGATCTCGCATGGAACTGTGCCATGTCTCTGTACAGTGACGGACGGTATAAAGAAGCCGAAGATCTGGAGATGCAAGTGCTGCAGACAAGGAAGAGAGTGCTTGG